GGCTGCAGGTGTCGTGGCTGCGGAATCGCCGCTCTTCTTTTCTTCTTCCTTCACGGGTGCTGGTACTGGTGCTGGAGTTGGAGCTGGAGCTGGTGCTGGCGCTGCTGGTTTAGGAGCAGGTGCCGGTATTTTCTTGGAAAGTTCACCCGACAATGGTCTCAATGGGGCAATCTCTTTCCTGCTCACAATGTCTCCGCCCACCGTTGCCGAAGATCCCTTCACCTTCTTTTTGACTTGATTATCCAAGAAACCTCCCAATGCTGGTCCACCACCACCACCGCCACCTTCTTCCTTCTTCTTTGGTTTGGTTTTTCGGATCCTTCGAACCTTGGTACCATCTGGACGAGTAATAATTTCGACATTTTTGTCCTTGTCCGCATCCGACTTATTTTCCGTCGATGCCTTCTTGACACGTCGAACCTTCTTTCCATCCCCTCGAACGTAGACTTCTCCGGTGAGGGATTTACTCTTGTCCAAGGCAATCATATCTCCTGCCACCGAAGCGGAACCACCCATTTTGGCTTTGGTTTTTGGCTTGGAATCAAAAAAGCTTCCCAGCGACTTTTTGTCACCAGTGTCTGAGTCATCTTTGGCCTTTGTCCGGCGTATTCTTCTGACTTTGGTTCCATCCGGACGTGTGAATATCTCTGTCTCTGGTTTATCCTTCTTTTCTGGATTGTTGTCCGCGGCCACAGTAGCTCCTGCTGCCGAAGAAAGTGGCTTCGGTTTCTTGACTCTTCGAACTTTCTTTCCATCCGGTCTCACGTAAATTTCTCCCTGAATATTGTGGTCTCCAGCGACAGAGTGACTACCCGAAAAACCCTTTTTCTTGGCCGGACCACTGCCCTGCTCTAGAAATTTCATGAGATTTTTGTCCTTTTGAGGCTTCTCCTTGTCGTCATTTGAGGAAGAAGAGGTGTCAGTTTTTTCAGTGGAATCCTCTTCAGTCTTGGCCTTTGGTCTTGTTTTTCGGATACGTCGGACCTTGGTACCGTCTGGTCGAGTGATGATTTCCACATTGCTATCCTTTTTGCTATCACCGCCACTGCTGTCCTTCTTGTCCAGGGGATCCTTGGTGGCACTGGATTTCTTGACCCGTCGCACCTTTTTACCATCCGCTCGGACATAAACTTCTCCTGTCAAAGATCGTTCCTTGGTGACAGCAATTTGATCTCCGGCGACCGACGCAGCTCCACCAAACTTGGTACGAGGACGATCCGAAGAGTCGAGAAAGCCACCTAGAGATTTCTTCTTTTCGGCTTGCTTGTCGCCGCCAACGCTACTGCTAGAGGAGGAAGGAGGACCCGAAACGGAACTCGAACTAGACTTTTTGACTCGACGAACCTTCTTTCCATCTGCTCGAATGTAAATTTCACCGTCCCCGGCAACCGATTGACTTCCTTTTTTCTTGGAAGACTTGGTAGATTCGTTGGAATCCAAGAATCCCGCAAGAGACTTTCCGCTTCCACTTTTGGATTTCTTGATCCGTCGTACCTTCTTTCCATCCGCTCGTGTGTAAATCTCTCCTTCTTTGGCTTTGCTAGGAACCTTGGTGCTTCCTGATCCTCCTCCTCCACCAGACGTGCCATAATCGTAGCCATCGCTCTTGGATCCAGATGAAAATTCTTTCGGCAAACTACTTTTGGAAGGAATCGCTTTGACCGTTTGCATTGCCTTGAAGGCATCTGATGCACTAGTGGAACTTGTAACCTTTTTGATGATTTCTGAAGCTCCCGCATCTAGAGAATCGGCGCCGCCCGACTCCAATTTGGAACAAACGTCTAACCATTCTCCCAATCCAACGGAGGGTTTTGCGGTGGTTCCTTCCTTTTGAATAAAGAAATATTTGTGCCGATCAAATGGCGGAGAAGCCTTGACTCTAGAACCATGATCGACATGTACGTGTGCCAATCCTCCATCCGAGAATTTCTTTTGCAGTGCATCGACGGAACCAACGCCCAAGACTTCCACTGCCACGTCTTCTGTCACCCATGCACCCTTAGGACAAGTGCTCAGAAGGGAGTCTAAAGACACCATATTGTGTGCGTTGTTTGTGTTGCAACAATTGTCTAATCCTTGTAATCTATTTTGCGTGGGTAGATTGGTTTAGATTGATTGATTTGGTTGTTCTTGCATGTGTGTTTGGGATTTGTTGTTTGTTTTTCTGTTCACCTCTGGGATAGATCGTATCTCGTATCTCTCTAGTGTTCGTTCGTAGGTAGGTCTTTTTTCCTTAGCGGGTCTTTTTGCAGCTCGTCTGGTGCAGTTGTCTGTAGAAATCTACGACATTCGGAGATTCAACGCACATCCGTAGGAACTATACGGATCTCTACGAGTGATGGCACGAATCGATTTGGTCATCCATGTCGCACTGACATACAATCGTGCCACCAAACCACTCGGGACTGACTCGAGGAAAGAGAGTAATGACAAGTGACAAGTGACAGCATAGTTGTACAACAGAGGTTGGGGATACCTCAAACCCACCCTGGAGATAATAATGACTGTCGTATTTGATTTATAAACAGGTTTACAAACAGGTACTCTGCCAACAAAGAGACGACAAATACTGCAGGACTGGCAGTGTAGTACTGAGAAAGTCGACCTACAGTACCTTTGATTGAAACAAGCAGCATACGGTAGTGAACCATCCACATAATATCGCCTTCACTACTGCGCAGTGCCCCAAAGTGTTTAAACTATTAACACGTACTTATTTTCATTTAACATATGTAAAACAACCATCAATCGTTATCCAATTTCCCTCACCTCACTTTCATATCACTAAAAAAAGATGAAAGTGACCATTTTCATTGTCCCCCAGCAACTTATTGTGAAGTCCCCATCACATCATTCATGAAATCGATTTCATTCATTCACTTCTTGGTCCGGGATTTGCTTCTTGTCCTCTTGGTGGTGCTTTCCTTCTTGGTGGAGCTGCCAGTGCTGGGTCGCCCTCTTTTTCGGGGTGCAGTCTCCTTTTTGGGTCCAGCTTTGGGTTTGGGCTTGGCCCCAGGACTCTTGGCGTTGCTAGCACGCTTGGCGGCTGGTTTCTTTTTAATGGCCGAAATGGGCTCGTCATCACTGTCTTCGGCTGCATCTGCTGCTGCTGCGGCAACTTCTACCTTCTTGGCAGGGGTCTTTTTCTTGGGTGAAGGAATCTTGGGTTCTTCCTTTTCTTCTGCCTTTTTGGCAGTAGCAGGAGTAGCAGTGGCATTCTTTTTGCGTCTCTTCTTGGTGGTAGTAACAATTTCATCGCGGGCACGTCGAATGACTAGTTGACACTTCTTCTTGTCTTCCGCATTGGTCTTCTTGACGTCCGTCTTGAGATCACGAGGAGTCAGTCCATTGTCGAAGGCCTTTTCCAATAACATGAGCTGCTTGGGGTTGAAACTAATCAACGTGTCAGCAGTGGCAACAGGAGCACTTGTAGTGGTGGCAGGAGCAACGACCGTCGTTGGGACAGTAGTAGTAGTGGTACTGGTACTGATATTGTTAGTAGGAGCGGGAAGCATGGTGATTGCAGCAGGTGCGCTACCCCCACTGGCAACGGCCCAGCTGGACAGAATCTTTTGTTCCAAGGCCGGATTGGGAGCGTAACAAACAGCCATGTGTGGATCACTGGATCCCTTGGTCTTGACTTGGACTACTTTGCGGCGGCCATCAATGGCGGTGCACCAAATAGTGTTGCTGGTGTGGATGAACATGGCCTTTTCCTTCTTGGTCTTGGCGGCATCGGCAGTCTGAAAGTTCAAGTGTTCCCAGATGGAATCTTGTGCTTGCAAGACTCCAGTGTTGGCCAAGTTGCCTTCATCCACCTTGGAGTCAGCCAAGGCAACAGATACACCAACGCCAACCTTCTTGATCTTGCTAAAGTCCTTGGGCAAAGTGTTGATTTGACCGTCCATGAGAACCAAGGTTTCGCAACCATCCCCATAGGCCAAAATGACAGCATTTTCATTGGGAGAGTGTCTTCTGGCTAGCTTGACCAACCATTCTAGGTTGTCTTCGACGACCTTGCGGGCCCACATGCCCACACTGACAATGGCCCCGCTAGAATCAAACTTGCGCACAGACGATCGCACCACAAACTTACTGTTGGAGGAAGGAACCTTGCTGGAGGTTCCCAATTTGGCAGTCCCGACCATGGCGGTGGTAGCCTCTTGCTGAGCCTGAGCAGCAGCAGCCTGGAAATGAGGAAAGAAGTTTGGTGGAAGACCTCCGAGCATGGGAGGTGGGAAGCCTTGCATGTTCCACATGTTCCGGTTGTTGGCAGCGCCCTGTCCAGCATTGACGGCTGCTTGGAAAGCTTGTGCCTGGGCTTGTGCTTGTGCTGACAGAACCATGATTGATATTGATTGCTATGGCACTATTGGATTCTATTGATAACTATTACTGCTACTGTAGATGTAACGTAACAGTGTCGTCACCAATCAAGCAATCACAGAGGAGATAGAGATGCAGTACTAATATTAGTTAGTCTCGTCACTTGATTGATATTGGTCAGTTCCTTATTTTTCTTGCGTTTGAAGCATTTTTCAAAAAGTTCTGTAGACTTAGTACCAGTGGGACGCGTAGGAATGATGGCGCGGTTGTCATTTTGACTGTAAAATTCTACGCAAAGAAAATACCACGCGGAAAGTGTTCTTACGAGTATGACGAACATTCGTGTTTTCACCGTGCGCAGAAAAGGGTTTCGCAAAATATTTAATTCAGGCTAGAACGACGACTACACCTACCGGTACACATTTTAAAATAAAATACAACCAATACAACCTACACGCACTGTAGTCCTACAACAACACATGACACATAACAAACAATAAAAATAAGCAAATATACAACACACTCTATTTCGTCATTCCATCATTTAAAAACTAACTTCTATCTTGAATGACTTGAAAGCCATCCGCATCGACCGATGGTTCCAAAAAGCCATCGGGTGTAATTAGGAACTCCCCGGACAAGCGCAAATCCAATTCTTCTTGCAATCCTGCCACCATGACATTCAAAACCGAACGGGCATTGTAGGCTCCCACTTGGGCGGGTTGTCTCAACTCGTTCACAACGCCCATGACCAGTGCAATGCCAAAGACGATGAATCCCAAATACCAGGCCTGAATGTTCAGAATCCCCATGCCACCAATGGTTTGGACACCAGCACCTAGTAGTGGAAAGGTAAAGAGAACAATCGCAACCAGTGACCACAGTAGAAACATCTGTGATTTAAATCAGATGGATTTATTGATATTGGAGGAACAAAGTGAATGAGACGACACAACAATCGACAACGACATTTCATCGATTTTAAAAAAAAACGTACATGAATTGCAGGCAACTTGCGCTGCAAGGCTCCTAAACGACTCGCCCGTGCTTGCCTCAAGGATCGCACTGTTTGATAGATCATGGATGGTTCTCCCACACTGGTCAAATACAAAATTTCTTCCAAGGGATCGTCCATGGGTTTGCTCGAGAGTAACACAGCTGGTTCAATGTCATTGAATTTGGTCAAGTCATTGTCCACATAATCTCGGACACATCCCAACATGCGTTGATACAAATTCTCTCGGCCTTGCGACACCAACGAGACTTGTTCCAAGAGCGATTTGGCCGTGGTGACTTCTTCAAAGAGGCTGAGATAAATGGCTTCTTGTTGTTGGTACATGAAATAATAGGTTTGTCCCACTAACAGACTAAAGGTAAGTCCAGAAGTGGTCAAGACATTTTGAATGTATTGCGACGAATCTTGAGAGACGACGGCAAAGACTCCCGAATCATTGATCAGATTGGCCAGCGCAATGGCAACCGTGGGATAGGCAACGTGCGCCGACGCCCCAAGGAAGAAGGATGGAAGACCCACTCGAAGTAAAGTTACAGTTTGTGTATAGGCCCGTGTCGCTTCAATGTCTTTGGAAATATCATCACCGGGATGAAAGACGCGGGCCATTTGTTCCCAAATGGATTCTTCTTTGATTGCTACTAGATCCTCGTCCAACGTGCTGCTCGAGGATGCCAATGGGAATGCTTTTGGGTGCAAGGTTGCGGATCGCGGCAGTGATAATGGAAATGGTCTGCGTGTATTATGTGTATATTGAAAGGAAAATGTGTATTGTGTTAACGAAATGAGTAAGATGCATATTGACAGTAGTAGGGATATGCAACGGATGGATTTCATGATGGATTGGAAGGTTGTCTGTTTCGGATGTGATGAACATTCAAGATGCGGTGTGATGATGTGGATGATGAAGAGATCTTCATGTTGGACGGACAGACGTTGGCCGGCCGCGTTGACCGTGTGTGTCGTTGCGGACATGAGACACGCTCGAGCGAGGTCTGATTGAACTAAATTAGCGCAAAACCAAGATGGTCTCTATTTTTGAATGAGTGTAATATTTTATTATAGTTAGAACAAAACTTTGCCATGAATGTTGCACAGCAACCATATGATGAGCGGGTTGCATTGGCACCCAATTCAAGACCTCAATATTATTATGTCTACGGAAGCGTGGAAGGAGACGATCATGTAGAACCGGGAGATCATGATCCAGAATTGGAAGATTCACTGTTCGGCGAGCAACTCATTACGACGGATCACGAAGATGAAGTTCCTGCACGTGACGAACGAGATATACCGCACTTGGTGATTACCAATGGTGGCGAAAAGAACAATCAGTATTATCATGGGAGAATAATGAATCGATGTTGGCCGTATCGAATTGGGTGGGTTCCGATAATTTCACTGTTGATTGTGGTGGGCGTTGTCCTCATACTAATAGTAATACCGAAGGAACGAGAACCAATGCGGGCCTATGGCTTTGTTCCCTATGGACACGTCGACCGAATCGACTATGGCGATGCGGTGGAAGACATATTATCCATGGATCTATTTCACCCGACGCTGATATCAGACACCAAACCAAGAGCCTTCAAGTTTCCCTTTCCGACGGGCGCCTTTTGGACGAATCTCGTCATGCCAACCGACGAAACAGACGGACTCTCATTTCCAATCGTCGTGTATCCATATGCTTATAAATGGGCAGATTCCGGCCTGCAATTATCCTATCCAGCGGCTCACCGAACCGTCAACAGCACTGGTGTCCACGACGCCTTCAAACCTGATGTTACGATTCATATGGTCGAAGAATCAAGGAATCGATACGTTACCAAGTTCGATCCGCTCAGTGTCACCTTAAGATTTGTATCCAGTGAAACCAGTAAATGGGAAACCCCGTTAGTGCAAGGCAGTCCATACTCTACCTTTCGAGTCTTGAGTGCCACTCCAGTCTTTACATCCTTGACAACATTCAAATCGATTCAATGCCCCGGGGCGGACAAGGAAATGTTTAACGATTTTACCGATAATGACGACGACTACAGAAGGCGACTGTTTGGTGTTTGTAGCATTGACGAAAGCGACAAGAAGAAGACGACCATTCGTGGTGTGCAGTTTATTTTCACATCTGCCGAAGGACTCGGCTGGATCATGTTTGCCTCCGAGCCAATGATTCTGGAGTTTGATACGGATGACAGGACCACGATAAAAGCCTCTACCCAATTCACTGGAGTCATCCGTCTGGCACATATACCGACCAACTCGCCCAACGAAAAAACTACAGACTCGGATACTTCCACAGGACTCCGTCGACTGATATACCATGCTGGAGTTTATCCTACTGGTTGTCATGTATCATGGGACTTTCATTCACCATCTCCTTCGGCGTCTTCCGCTACCAATTCTCAGACACCAGGAGGAGGAGCAAACACGGTTCGACAGGCATCGGTCACCTTTACTTTTGGCACTCAAACAATGCTCGACACTTCCCATTTGCCAAGCGAAGCCGCCAAACAATTGTTAATGTTGGCCCTTCCACATCATGTCGAAAAGTTACCGTCGAACGTATTGCTCAAACCAAAGAAATTCGATTTGACCTTTCGTTGCATAAAGGGGAAAATGACACCAGTGGTCGGTGGCACATGGACGTACACGGAACCCTTGTTGGACATTGGACTCAACAGTGGATACAAGGACGTGGACGATGATGTTTATGAAATACTATTGCAGCAAATTGATGATGACATGGGACAGCTACTGCCGACGACGGCGGAAAATATATACGGATTTGGCAAACAGATTGCTCGTCTTGCTCAGTTAACCAACATTGCAAAACGAATCGACAGAGAAGGAGCGACTGCAAATGCATTCCTAACGGGGGTGCCAGACAGAGGGATTGCCCTATTGACGAACTACTTGGAGATGTTTTTGAGCTCACAAGTGACAGACAAGCTACTCTTCGATTCAAATCTTGGCGGTTTGGTATCGAGCAATGGCTTGCTGGACACGGAAGAAGACTTTGGAAATGGGAGATACAATGGTACGCCGTCATAGTAAAGGATTCAGGTATTTTTATTGATATTGTGCAAACGAAATTGGCTCACGTTCTTTTCCACTTGTCTTTTTTGCCAACAGATCATCATTTCCACTATGGGTAAGTGCAGAGGGCCGCGTTTTCTTCCTGTCGTCTTGGCTCGGCACTCAATGATTTTTCTATCACCATACCACCTTTAGATACATATTGTACGCTTGTGCAATCATGGGAAAACTTGATCCAACTTTCCTGGACCGCTTTGGACCAAATGTGGATGCCATTTTCTACGATGTTGCCCATCCGTTGAATGGAGATGCTACCGAGGTTCAGCCGATCAGTTTGTTCTTTCCACTGGCGCGACACAAGTCTTGGTTCGATGGTCACTCGTATGGAACAGGTTTGTTTCCAATTGCTTCCGGAAAATTACAGGAGAGTTCAAGTGAAGCAATCAACTGCTACTTTGGAGCTTACGCTTGGTCTTTGGTGAGACACAGCACTGTCCATGTGGATTCTGATATGACAGACTTTGCAAGATTACTATTATCAACGGAAATCCGAAGTGCAAAGACGTATTGGCAGATGGTCCCGCCAACTGCCTTGGGTGTCCCAGGATCAGCAGGCGTCTATAATCGCGAATTTGAAGAGCAATACATGGTTGGAAATGTAGGGATGCTGGACGTTACCGCAAAAACATGGTTGGGCAACGACCCTCTCCATGTACATATCAACAATGTACTTCCCGTGACGGCAGTCACAGCTGCTATTTTCAGCCCGGACTATGTTCGGTATCAATATCCTTATCTTATGAAGAATTGCAAAGATGTCGAAATGACCTACAAGGGATACCTTGTTGTGCTTCATGCTATCATTAACACTACAGAAGCATGGAAAGAGGCTCAAGAGTTGAACTCTTGGGAACTAGAAAAATCACTCAGTAAGAGTGAAGTCCTCTATTGGATTACGCAACGACCGGGTTTCTCAAACCCGTCTCTTGATGCTGATGATTTTGACGAATCAAATGATGTTGGATCTGCTTCCTGTGAAAGCCATCCAAAGTGCTCGAACATCACAGGGTTTTGCTGCCCTACCAAAGAGTCTGTGTATATGGGTTGTTGTGAATAGGCTCTTGAAACAGTTTTGTCCGAAGTTTCAATGACTAGTCAGTCCTCGATTACAAAGTTTCATGCCTCATTTTTTGCCAAAAAGCTTTAATTGATTGTTTTACAATATTGATTCTACATTTGTGATGTTTCATTTCATGATGGTTAGGCCTACGATAGCTGACCTTGAGTGGCAGCGTTAAGGTTGACTCGTGCCCGAGTCAGTTTCGTTCGAAGGTAGTATACGTACCCTGCTAGAAGGACTGCAATCGTAAGGAATAGTCCAATGAAGACTGCAGCAATCTTTGATTTACGGTTTGCAGATGTTCGAATCACTCCATCTTCTCTGATGATTTTGACACCTTCAATGTACGAGCAAGCTCCTTCATTGGGGTAGCTGACATCCGACATTTTGGTTTCGCATTTACCAGAACTATCGTAAATGTACCCGCAGAAATAACTTGTCTGCGAGTCTCCGCCACTAGCGTAGTTTGCATAATCTTGGTATCCGTCGCTATTGGCGTTCGCGTTACAGCTGATGCAGGAATTTGTTACCAAAGACTTGGAAGAGAATGGGAGAGAAGTTCCTGTCATGTAGTAGTAGTAATCATTGCTTGTGAAAGAAGAGCATGTATCGTCCGTGAAAATTCCCAACTTGATTTCTCCACCTTGGGCGGCACAGTATGGTCCAATGTAGTAATTATCTTGGTAGTAGCCGCATTGTGAGTAATTTTCCAAGTTGAATCCACCGTCCTCGAGCTCACGAAGCTTGCGGTCGTAGTTTTCACTGTTCTTCGCAGCTTCAATGTAAGCTAGTAGGAAAGTGTCCATTTCTACAACATAATCGCCATATCCAGAGTTGCATCCCTGCGAGTGCTCGCTGCTACAAGAATCTGATGGGCATAGGCGGAATCGAACAAGACGCTTGGTCATGATTCGAACGGCATCTTCATCCTCTTCCGAGTTGGGGTTCCATTGTTGGACGTGATGACAGCCTTGGAACTTGAGGCTGTAGTTCACCATGAAACTTTTGTCGACTTCTTCATAGAAGTTGTTGCTGTAGTAACCTGCATCATCAAGTTTTCGTGCATGACTCAAGAGATGACGACCAACAACCGATTCCGAAGCAATGCTCACACTACTTTCGCTGTTAATGGTGACTTCTTTATGTGCATGGGCGTTCGTAGCAGCCAGTAGAGCAATAGCTGCAAGAGAGATGTAGTTCATCATGGTTGAGCTTGTTCAGCAGGGTTTTGTTTGGTGTGATTGTTGGAAGCCAAAAGCAATAACTCGCTGAAATGATCGAAATTTCGATCTGGCGATCGCCAATTCACTACGGTTATTTTCTACGTGTATGTGTACTGAAAAAAATGATGTGTGTGAGAGTGATTGAGTCACGGATATTCGGGACTCATGGTTTAGAAAAATTTCATTACTCCAACAATATAAAAATCAAATGAAATTCGTTCGTGAATTCAGTCTATTCTTAGTTCTATTTCCATTGCTTGGATTTCTGACTCAAACCATTCTTGGTATTTGTTAACACGTCAGCCAATTCGACAGCATCTATAGTGGTAGGCAGTCGCAATGTACACTTGGTTGGGCCTTGACCACCATCTTTCACAGCCTTCATAATCTTCTTTCCGAAGAAGCTGTTTCGTTGCTGCATTTCTTTTTCTTGAATTACGTCAAGTTCCTTCTTACGAATATTTGAAACGCGAATGGTGCACGCCCTCAAGTCCAGCGACACGGATGGAGTTAACTGTTTCGCTATATCCGCTTTCCTCCTCCAGTCTGCCGCTGACTCAAATTCCATTGACGGGTATAATAACCGAAAAACTTCCAACGGAGACTGATCCAGCGATGCATCGGCTCCAGGTGGCATCGAAAACACATGAAAATTACCATCACTGGTCACAACAACCAAAGCGAGCTTGTAGCTAGCCTTAACGATACTCCCCAGTCCAAATGGTTTTAACTCCAATACTCTGGACAAGACAATCATGGAACTGAAGAATGGGCTTCCGTACAGTCGTTCTATATCGGTGACATCTTCAGGCGAGTCCTTGGCAGTTTGTAGTCGAGATCGATTCATAATAGATGATCTATGCTTTTGAGATCCCGCAAGTCGGTCTCTGGACCTATTTTTGAGAGTGTCATCAATGTGCTTTTGCAGCGATTCTTCGTCAATTCGCATTCCAACCAAGTCATCCAGTACACCCTTGAAAGCATCCGGCATTGCGCTGAAGAGACGTCTTTGCCGCGGAACAAAGGCAATCATCAGAGGGTGCAACTTTTGAAGACGCCTCTCTTCGAATATGGAGATTTCTTTGTACAGTTTGCTCAGTTCGGTTTCCGCCATTGCAAACACTTTTTTCTGGCACGATATTGCCGACTTGTAAATCAATTCTACAAGCCAGCCATCTTCAATGCTGCCAAGAGAGCCTAGCTGCTTGAATTTGCTTTTAATCGGCGAAGTACCAGTAGATGCAACGGAAGCCGAATCCGGTATCATTCCGTGCAGACTTGTGGAACCAACGCTGTGGAAACTTCCTCCATGCATGCTGCCGTGAGAACTACCGTGCACACTGTACTCCATAAGGTCACCCGTGACGAGTGCGTCAAAAACATCTGTTACAAAGGAAAGCAGAAGGCGTTGTTAGGCTAATAATCAAATAATAATCGTATTTTCATTCATATGGATGACACGTACCCCAAATGTTCTTGACCTCGATTTCCGAAGTCATCAGCTGTCTGACAATGCCCCCGCCAAGCATCTCGAGCTCTGCAGCCGTCGCTTGGATATCCTCCTTCAAATCGGTCACCTCGGGAAGCATCATATCCATCAAATATTCAGCGCTTTCGTCAATTGTTTGTGCCATGGTGAGTTGGGATTCGATCAAGGCTTTCAACAATGCCGATTGTCCAAAATCGTCATCCTTGACTCGATTCTCAATGGAATATTCTTGTGTACTCCGCCTCTGTTTCAGTCGATTTTGGACAAAGGAAGACTTGACAGTCTTGCCACGATCGTCCAAGAACCGATCTTCGGAAATGGCCTCCAAGGAGTCTGCAAACAACATTCCCGCTTGGGCAAAGCCAGAAACCAATCTCTCGGCAAATTCAACATTGTGAACCCCCGTCAGCAAAATATCCCGGGCAGTTTGCCACTGTTCTTTGTGATAGTTCAAAAGCGTCGAAATGTCGGACCGCCGCCTAGACTCCAAGGCAATCAGGTCGTTGTGAACTTGGATGCGAAGGGTTGGATCCGATCCTGGCATTTCGAATGTCAGACCAATCGCGTTTGGTGAGATCCCCCCTCCTTCACTGGAAAAGGAAACGTCAGCTTTCGATTCTTCTCCAGACTCTTCCGATTTGGACCGACTGAGCGCAAAGGATGCATTATACTTGTTCCTAGCCTTGACATCTTCTTCGTCATCATAAAAGTCGAGATATTGTTGTTGGGGAGCCTCATCACTGTTGGGGTTACTCCGATGGCTATCGTCCACACCAACGTCAGCCAATGACTCTTTGGGACCTTCTTCAATAATGTCCATTCCAGCTGGTGTCTTTCGTGGCGACTCGGCGCTATCGCACGATTCGTCTTTAGATTGTGTCGGAGTAGTGGGATCAATAAATGCCGCTGATGACCTCTTTGTGCGAGTTTCCAACTCGACTGTTCTATACTTGGATAAATCCCATGGGTGATCCGAGTTTCTTGCAACAAGCTTCGACGGACTGCTACTGTTGGACATGTCATCCTCTCCCGATGGCGCTGGAGCAAGCATATCATTGTCCAAATCATGGTTTTCTTCCCTCTTTTGCGACGCTGCTGTCGGATCTGCTGGGAAAAGTTCTCTTTCTATTGACTGTTCGCGCCCAACCTCTTCATTCTGTTTTATCCTCTTGTCTATTGATTCATGGTGGGGTAGTCGGGCTTTTTCCTTCTCCTTCTCATCTTGATCAATGTTATCACCAGATGATGATTTGTCTCCCTTGTTTTCTTCCCAATCTTCTGGTTTGGTTGCATTTGCAGACAATACTGCTTGACTCACTTCATCATTTTCATCAGTGGTCAAGGCCGACATGTCAGATTTTCGTCGTTGGGGCGGTGAATCCTCAGCAGGACCTTCTCGTTCGTCGTCCGTAGCAGTGTCATCTTTTGGTCTTTCTGCGTCATCAACAGTATCATTCTCATCTTGTGCACCACGTTCATCCTTCCACAAGTCATCAAAATTGGAAGCATCGCCAGAAGGTTCTGCATTGGTCACTATATCATCAAAATCTTTGGAAGGAACTTCTTCCAAGTCATTGGTAGTTTGATCTTCCAAATCATCTTCTTCGGTACTGCTGTCATCTGCTGCTGCAGGCCCTTCCTTTTTCGGCGTTTGTTGTTGTTGTTGTTGTCGTTGATTTCGTTGTTCTTGCAAATGTTGATCCACCTCTTCCTTTCGCGGTGTAACCTCTCGTTGTTTGCGTTGATCTTGCAAATGCTTGTTGATGGACTTCTTTTCAGGAGTCCCGGTAGCATTGGAATAGCTTGGAAATTGGACTTCTTTTGGCTTGGGTGGTGTTTCCTTTTGAGGTGTCGACTTGGTCTCATTGAAGAGACGTTTGCTACGCACCAAATCCTTCAAGTCTTGGTGGACATCGGTGGGCGCGTAATTGGGACAAAAGTAGAAACCACCCGTGGGATTTCCATTGGCGGACAATATCCGATCTTCTTCCCCAACTTGAATGCTCATTTCCTTGACTTCATGTTCGGTAATACTAATGGGAACCCTGTGCAATTTGGAGTAGGTCATTGGGTTCTCGTAAAAGGCTTTGACGACTTGCGGTTGAAAGTGGTGCAGGGCCACGAACCGGCGCTTCTTGGCGTCCTCAAACTCTGCCTCATTCAAATCAGCATTGCACTTTTGGAGATTGCGAATGTACGCAGCTCGCATATTGTTGCGAAACTGATACTTGAAGGAAGGTGGGTTTTCTCTGTACCGCGGCAATTCCACAAAATGACATCGAACATCTCCCAACAATCGAAAGGCTTGTGTCATGCCGGCACAGGCCATTCCGCGGCCACAAGCGCATACTTTCTTGGTAGATTTGGGAGGTGACTTCTTTTTCTTTGAAGACGACGTTGAGGTTGGAGCCTTTATCGCTTTCTGTGGTTTCAACGACTGAGGCGTGGATATCTCATGCAACTTCTTGTTGTTCTCGTCATTCGCATGATCTGCTTGCGAAGCCATTGTGATTTTGATCTCAGACAGGAGCAAATCCCAAAGCTAGCAGACAATCCTTTCTTATTGATCTTCTGCTCGTTTGCGATGCAGTTGTCTGTTGAAACTGTTGCCAATCTTGCCAAACTGTGTTCGTTCGTGGATGCTGGATTCAAAAATTTTATAATGACGTGCAAAGGAAAAAGGAAAGGGGCGCATGCAACAGTTTCACAGGACCGTTCGCAAGGTTCTGAGTCTTGCAGTCAAAGGGGTCGTACATCTTTCCATCAATCCCGTTTGTCTTCAGTCACCCATGCAAATGTTTGGCAGCATCTCAATCTCAATCGGAATGAATCAATCAATCTGAAATCCCAACCACATCCCCACAAAACAAAACCAATCGATGATGAGGTGAACATTGCACTCTTACTCAATTGATCATAATGAACACAATCCGAGAAGTCGAAAAGATCAACCAGGAAGAATTGGAGCGTGGGTTAGCTGGAACTCCTGCCTCGTGGCACTCACAATACCGCAACTCTCCATGGGTATATGTTGGCAATTTGGAACATCAATTGACCGAAGGTATGTGAAAGAATAAATCAAAGCAAAAATATCGCCCCTCGTAAATGTACTATTTTAAGACCTGGGTTCATTTCATGTTTTTCAGAATATTCTGCATTCTCAATCATTCAATCATTGTATCGTCATTACTACTTCTATTAAAATACCCGTTCGTCCAGGCGATGTCTTGTGCGTTATGTCCCAGTTTGGAGAGATTGAAGACATTAACTTGGCACGAGATGAAGATACCGGAAAATCGAGAGGTTTCGCCTTTGTCAAATACGAGGATGCTAGGAGTTGTATTCTTGCCGTTGACAATCTAGTGGGGATCAAGGTCAGTGTGTGTATGTTTGTGTTTGTTGGGATGATTTGCATTGGCTCACAAAAGTTGGGTTCTATTCTCTCTGCATCATAGTTATGCGACCGATCCTTGCGAGTGGATCACATGGAAAAGTATAGACTGCCCAAAAAGCTATTGGAACAAGAAGAGGCCAAGGAAGCTATGAATTTTGGAGCCGGTCATGCCTACAAGGATACAGAATTGGCCAACCAGTATTCCGTACACCAAGGACAGGATTTGTTTTCGCCCACTGACCAAAAAGAAGAAGATGAAAAGAAGCGTCGCAAAGAAGAAAAGAAACGACAAAAGGAACTAGACAAACTGGAACGTCGGCGGAAACGAGAAGAGCGCCGCATCAAAAAGGAAGAAGAACGAAGGAAACATCGCGCAAGCAGATATCGCCATGATGATTCAGTGGATGAAAAAGACAAAGACAATAGTCGTAGAAGTAGAGACAAGGAAGAGAGAAGGAAACATCGCAAACGAAAGCATGAAAGAAAAGATTCTTCTTCCAAAGATGAATCATCATCATCCTCATCATCTGGTGAGGATCGAAAACGTCGAAGAAAGAGCCACACGCGTCGGCATCGGGATTGATCATGTCAAAAGCAACGATGATATAGACGAAGAATAGAATACGATAATCGAGGGATAAAGAAGCGGACAAAATGAAACACTAACTTTTGGGCTTTCTGCGTATGAAAAATAAAATCTAAAATCCTTAGTAGTAGTCAAGTATTCAATGAGACAAGTTCCCATCGAAACAAAATTTGACGTGCTTCCTTCATCACACTCTGGAGTCTATTCAGTGACGCGAGGGCGCTGAGATCGAGACATCTTGGGGCTGATGCTGCGGCATCGGGAGCGTTGGTGAACTGCTTTTGCGTCCGCCTTGGCAATCATTTGTGCAAACTCTGCACAGGTAGTGGAGTATTGGCGAGAAATGGGAGCCAACAAGTCTGTGAAATCGACTTGCTCGCCATTTTCTTTGGCTTGCTGTTGGGCTTGGAGGACAGCGTCAACAGCTTGTCTAACAATGGCATCCCGGAAGTCACGATGTTCACTGTTGACATAACGTTCCAAACCGCGCAAGTTCTTCTCGTTTTCCATCTTGGCCCAAAGATCAAGCTTGACTTGGGCAACGTCGGGCTTTTCATTGGGACACAGGAGTTTGGAGAATCCCTTGTCTCTGTTTTGATTCGAGATCCGGTGCGCTTGTGCACGGACGGCTTGGAATTCCTCTTCGTCCATCCACATGAGTTCTTCGGCCATCGAAATGAGTCTGATGGCGGCAAGCTCGTCTTGTGATTCTGGAAAGCTCACACGGCGCTTCTTTTCCATCTTTTCCATCATTACACTCGATTGGTGTGGGCTGGAAGGGCTGATGATGTTGAAAGGCATGTTATTGATATTGGTTAATGGGTTTTGGCGACCTGCAAAAACTATGGGAAAAAGGGTTGTGTGGTACTTGTATACGCTGTATGCAGCGTTTTTACGCTTGGAAAAGCATGAAACATTTGAACGTTTTGGGAGGTGATTTCAATCATCAACCTTCGACATTATTTTCGCGATATAAGTAAACTTACTTACGGCAAGACTCATGTGATTTGTCGTTAATTGCATGAACAGCATTTCGGAACACAGGCCTATGTAAAAGACCTTCTTCACCAGAAGGCTAAATGGTTCCCGGCATTCAGATACTTATAAATGGTTGAGATCAGAAACCTCGTGGGTAATATTGATATAAGAAAAAGAGACTAAGATAAACTGGTCGGTACTCAAATTCTTCCGAACGCACACGTACGTGTACACATGTACCTGGTACCCTGCTGTTGTGTGTGTGGGCGTGTGGGCGAATTTGAGACCCACACACAACGCGGTTCAAGACGAAGCAATTTGCAATGTGTGAACCACTTCACCAAAAAGTGTGACGCACGCGCTGCTCCCGCTCAAACTTCAACCATCACCCAACAACGTGAAAAAAAGATTTGGAGATTCGAAGATGCCCTTCCGTTGTAGAACAACTTTAGTACTACTTGCAATCATCCTGATTGAGGCCTCCTTTGGCCTTTGTCCATCACAATTTGACTCTACCAAGGCTAACAAGAATAACAACATCAATGTTCATGATATAAATCAAAAGGAAGGCGAGCAACACTCCAGACGACAGTTTGCGTCGGATATTGCCAAACCGATCCTTGGATCTTTCATTATTGGTTCGGCGCCCACAAGTGCACATGCATCCGTCCCAAAGTCTAGATCAGAAGGTTATGACGTGCAATTGAGCGATGCAGAATGGAAGAGCAAGCTGACTCCAAGACAGTATGAAATATTGAGAGAGGGAGGCACGGAACGACCCTACACTTCGATTTTGGAAGGTGAAGAGAGAGCTGGAAAGTATTCCTGTGCTGGCTGTGGGACCGAACTTTTTACTTCGGAATCAAAGTTCCACAGTGGAACGGGTTGGCCTAGTTTTGCAACTGGGTTGAAAGGCGTCGAAGTGAAGCAAGTGAGCAAATTTGAAGCCAATTTGGCAGGTGCCGAGATTCGATGTGCCACATGTGGTGGTAAGTGCGAGTGCAAGCTGAAATTTTCATTGTAGTATACTGCGACGGGTTGTGTGCTAATCTCAACAATTGCAATTTATAGGACACCTCGGAGATGTGTTCAACGACGGATGGATCTTTCCTGGGACGCCTGCTTATGATAGCGGAAAACGATTTTGCGTGGATGGATCGGCTCTAGTATTTCGACCGATTCAAGGTGACGATATCATGGGTGACTTGTATCCACAACAACGCAAAGTAGTTTGATGTTAATGTCACGAACTGACACCAAGAACATCAACATCCTTTTTTATTTCTTGATCTCCCTCCACAAAGTTTAGTCAAAGTAATCAAATACACTTTTCGCTCCACACGAGACGATGAGCTGTCGGTGTCAGAATTCACAGAAATCACACTACACGACTACTAGCCTTGCCCATCATTATTTTCACCATGATATATGTCTACCTCCTCATTCTTTGTACACTTTACTTTGTAGATGGTTTTCATAATCGCATATTAGTGCAGCAAGCACATCACAGTGGCTATCGACGAGGAGACAGCAGGAGCTACTGTCGTGGAAGCAGGTCCAATGGTTTGGTAGGTTTTGGCTCGGATGCTGAGCTCGACACGTTATCAAGCGCTGAGGATAAATTCGCCCCACACATTGCTATACCTGGTGGTGGTACGTAAAGGAATGCCATATGTTTCTATTATTTTTTATCATCGCAATCTCAATAGTGATCATGATTCTCCCGTCACAACATCTTGTTTTTTCAGGAATCTATTTCTATTGGCAAGCTGGCGTCATTACGTTTCTTCGTGAAGAAGGCTACGATCTTTCGAAGTGTACTTATACAGGTGCTTCTGCTGGAGCCTTGACGGCGACGCTGGGGATTACCAATGTAGATTTTTACGATGCCACAGATTTGGCATTATCTCTGGCTGGAAAAGCAGGGGTTTGGGACCGAAAGGGTGGCTTGCAAGGGATATGGGGACCCATGGTGGAAGAATGGTTGGAAGGTTTAATACCGTCCGATTCCATTGAGAATTTGAATGGGAGGCTATCTCTGCTTGGTATGCTGTTGCTGCATTGGTGTTTTCGAGGGCTGAATGAAAATGGTATGCTAACCCCCTCTCTTGACCATCATCCATCCACAGTGACACCAATACCCTCATTTGGGAAAGAAAAAATTTCAGACTTCAAGAGCAAAAGTGATCTGGTAAAGTGCAACATGGCGAGTGTGCATTTGGTACGTACCAGACAAAGCAAAACATAGATTATGTGGCTGATTCGGCATTTCATTCGCACGCCGACTTACTCACCCACTCACTCTTCTGTTCTTCTGCTTGCTAATTTGCCCCCATAGCCATGGTTCTTGGACGGTAGATTAACTTGTGACTTCCGAGATCGACCCCACATTGACGGAAGTTTTCTAGCAAGACCTGGTGATTTTCTGCACCCCAAGCGAAACGAGAATAATGATTCCTTGCTGATCTTGGATTGGCAGGAGGACCCTGTGCTTAATTCGAAAGGTAGTTTTGATTTTGTGGAAGCTCTTTCGCCGGATGGGATCTATGGACTTTTGGAATATGGAAAGAAGCACGCCAAACGAATGGAGGAACAAGGCAGATTTGCATCATTGAGAAAGGTATAAGATGACATAAATTTGATTCAAAGCATTGTATTTTGTGAAGCGGTACAGAAAAGAGTTAAAACTGCATTAAAGTTACAAGGTGAGAGCTTTATACAATCATGATTCACTGTAATCGTGATTGCGATTTGTTGTCTCAGTTTCCAGAGATGTTGTAATCGTCATAGGCAAGAGATGGTGGACTTGGCAACCAGTCATTGTCCACTTGTTTGTCACTCCACGATGGAGCCTTGGGAATCTTGTGCATTTCAAAGTAGATAGGTGGTGGGTTGATTCCTTCGGTTGCGTCTTCCGGTTCCAACAAAAGGGCAGTCAAGAAAGCAAAGGCCCCATCATCTTTTACCACACCAAGTTCTTTAGCCTTTTTCTTTTCTCGCTTTCGGAGTGCCCTTTGGTAAGGAGTCAAACCTCTGTTGTAGGATCGTGCACTGTCGTCGGAATCCCATGATGACCCAGGTTTACGAAGCTCTGGGAGAACAATATCCTCCCGAATGGCAGCTGGGACGAAGCAGTCCCAGACTTCTCGTTCGAGTAGGCCCCACATGTTCAGATATATGTGAGAATGAGTAACGTTGCTTCCTTGGATGTAAAAGTGAGAATTTGCAAGAGATGGAGTTCTCTCAAATATATGTATAATCTTTGTGGCGATCGGTTGAATGAGAAGGATCGTGGAGGTTGGAACGCATACCTATCTATGCAACGGAATCCAACGCATCAGTTCAACTGAAACTTGGCGAGTTCTGGAACGGCAGGCGGGCAAGTATGCTATGCCCAGATTTTTCTTTCAGGTTAAGGTAACTTTCGTCACGTCGAATCGATAAACCGTTCCATACAAGTAAGGTGGGGGGGTCACCATGGATAGAGCCGCTCGGACTGCGGCCATGGACTCTTTCGGGCATTCAACATGAAAGGTTGATGGTGCACAGCCCGTTGAATTTTTCACAACAGCTTGGCAAGCATGATGCTCTCCATCAAAGTCTCCAAAGAGAGCATGTAAACTAGCAGTTAGAATAGTGTTCACTTCTCGTGCATCATGCATTTCTGGCGCTGCCAGAATCTCAAGACGACAGATTCCCATGGTCGAAAAATCGCCTTCGACAACTCGTTGGTCTTGGAACGGTCAAGGGAACGTTGAGCGAATAAAGCCTGATTCTGTACTTTTCAGATTGATTGATATCATGATTCGATTGTAACATTCGATTGATTCGATTCGGAGACCCAAACAATAATATCACTGACCAATATTCAATCATCATCAGTCTCCCACTCCTTGTGTTGGAAAATAACAACCATGTCGTCGGAATTTCTAGCGTCCATGACCTTTGCCAATGGCAATAACGACCTAGGTTGTGATTGCGACGAATGCGGAGTTCCACTCCCGGCCCCGATCATGGCAGCTGTCCGCAAACGCAAGTGGGAAATGATTGAAAGACGTCCAATGTTCAGTACTCAAGAACGAAGTTTGATTAGCCGCCAAGACGGCACTTCTATTTGGAAGACAGTCGTTCCTGTGGGATCAGATCCACTTGTCGAATTTGGTCAGTCACATCGCATTTTATGGGTGAAGCAACTCGACCCAAAGACATGTCATATCAAATCTATTGGTGAAGGCATCATTGGATCTTCGTCGGAAGAAGATTCTCGAAAGCGTTTGGATTGGGAAGAGGGAGACATTTATTTAGTCAAGTCCAATGGTGGAAAGGCTATAGGTTGGACGCACTGTCTGAATAAAGAAGAAAATGCTGGCACTTTAGAGTCTTCAACCGCCAAGGGCAATTCAGATGATTCGACACCATCAGTTGAACCAGCCATATTGATCACCATTAAAATTCCATTGAGCAAGAAAAGTGAAGATACGACACCATCAGAGGACGAACTCCCCGACATGGACGGTATCACATCCGATTCCTGGGCTTCCTACTTTTTGAAGCTTTCACAAATCGTGTTGAATGACTGCAAAGAGCACTCTCCTGGACTCATCAAATTGTCCGAGGAATATCGCAAGAGTGTCAGACATGCCATGGGAAAAGTGCAGTCCAAGGCGCAAGCAATTCCCAACATGACAACGGGAAATGGAAAGGCACCTATCGACAGCTTTGCGTTGGCCCCAGGCACCCCCATGCCAAGAAGCACAAACCAAGTCGATGTTGCTACCGAGCAATTATAGGGCAACATTGTCGTTATTGTAACATCATGTAGCTAGTAGCTCTTATAATACTATACAGGTCTATTGTACTAGGCTATCCAATATTAATCGATCCAAAATCTCTGCCATATACAAATCGCATGCCAAGTTGGCTACCTTCGCAGCTAGTTCGGTTGCAAGGGCCAACTCCACAGCGTAAAAAGCCAATCCTCGTTCTTGAAAGACCTTCTTGCCTTTCATCACCAGAACCGATTCTTTGGATTTGGACTCGACACTTCCGATTCCAGTTTGCAACTGTTTCGGTATGTCCTTTTCGAATTCGTGAATCACCAAGTTGCTCACAATGTCTCGCATTCGATTGTCTAGCAGTTTGAGGACAGGACTCTGTCCCTTCAAAACGCTTCTGGTCTGGTTTTTGAGTGTCTCCAAAGCTTGCGGATCGATGGTATTCCCCAAAGGCGCCCATTCTTTTGCCAATGACACGACACAATCTTCAACAGATTGTTCGTAGGATTCGATCGACGGATGCACCTTATTGTTCATTACTTTTACCAATGCCACACCTTTGTCACCATCTTGTAGTAATACTTCAGGATCAACCTTAGCTGCAATACAAGCAAAATAACCTAGCGCACATCCGGCAGCGGCAATCCGTGTAGTGTTCCGAATGGCTTGCAAGTGTTGGAGGTCCATAAAGAAGACTTCTGGAAGTATCACTTCCTTTTCTCGTTGAAACAAAATATCGTCGATCCATCCACGTTTTATCAGATCCCGACGATGTTTGGAGCTATTTTGCAAGTCTTCGATAGAAACATCAGCAGTGGAAGAGTCCACTAGACCCTGTACCCATTTCTTAGTGATGGGTGGGACTTGATCTTTGCCAAACTTCGAATAAAATGTTTTCCGTTCCATAGATAGACCTTCCTGAGTGTTTCGAATTCGTGGAGCAAACACTTCTGTCAAATAAAAATCTTGTTTGTCTTTACTGCAAAGCTCTGCCTTGTCAATCAGATAGAATATGGAAGCAATCATAAAGTCTATCGTTTTCTTGGTGGGTGCAGTCTCCGAATTGGCGACCTTTAGCCAGTCTATCGTACTTTGTGATCGAGCTTCAGACTCTAATTTCGCCAGAGCTTGTGCCGCTTTGATGATGAACGGTAAAAACTTGATGGCGTCCTCTGGTTCCGGCAGTTCAATATCATCCTTCAGGAAGGAATGCAAGTCGGGACGATTTGGAACGAGGGCTCGTATCGCTTTGTGTAGTTCCAAGAGTAGATTGTGCAGTGGATGTAAATCCAAAGTATCGTCGATTTGCCTCTGAACGTTTTGCAGATAGGCTCGTTTCATAACGTGAGCAGGATTGGAGTTGTCCTGTGAGAGGTTCTCTTGAAATTCTGAGAATGTGGTTGTTCTGGACTTGAGACCTGGGGCAAGGGATTCGAGCTCCGATGGATCTGTCAGTAGAACCTGATGTACAAGTCGTGGTGGAAGATGAAAATCCATGTCCATGGTTGATGATTGGTTTGTAGTGAATAGCAACTATTATAATTGTTTCCTACCAGGTACTCGTCGACAATGATTATCTTCAGTCAAGTGTTGGGTTGGGTTTTTGGTAGAGTTTTGAAACTCGCTCTTGAGAACACTCACGACTCACGAATGAAAAATGATCGACCCATTGGACCCACCAACCGTCCTTGGTGCGTTTCTTGTTGGCGGACCAACCGAACGGAAGTTCTGTTTTTTATCACAACAGATCTCACAAATCGTCAACAATCAAAGGGATGTCTGCTTGCAAAGTTTTTCTTTCCATCCCGTCCGAAGACTTGCTGTCTTCGGCAGAAACAGTAGCGGAGTCACTAAGCTCGAAGTACAGTGTTGCTGATATCACTATCCGTTCCGCAAAAGCTCCATTGGATAGATTGCTGGCCAATCTTTCGGAAACACCTGTAGTCTTTGTATTCTTTTCTGGATCTTCAAGTGCTGTTTCCCAAATGTTGGCTGAAGAATCACCCTACCCAGTCGTGGAGGTGGATGGATCTTTGGAAGCTGCTGATATTGCTTGGACCGTTGCCAAAGTCTGCAGTCTGGAAAGCACCTCTGTTCGAACACAAGTCCATCAGGCCGCTATGGAACGTCGTCAGGCCAAGCTGGTGGCAGATGCCCAGCTTCAGACCAAGTCTCTCAAATACCAAAAGATCATTTCTACATCCTTTGACGGAAGCCTTCAAATTACAGGAGAAAAGACGGGGCTTGAATCCAAGCGTGGCAAGGTTCGAGATCGCGTCGAAATTGATGACAAGTCACTAGCTTTGATCACAACCGATCGTCAATCAGGTTTCGATCGTCAGTTGGCCCTGGTACCATTCAAAGGTGCTGTCCTCAATCTTACCAGTGCATTTTGGTTTGAAAAGACCAAAGATATCATTCCCAATCACATTTTGTCCATCCCACATCCATACGTGACGATTGCCAAAAAGTGCGAGCCATTCCCTATCGAGTTCGTTGTTCGGTGAGTCATACAGGACACTTTATGAGTGTCGTTCGACCAACTACTTATCCTGACTTCTGTATCTTGGTGAATTTTTCTCATGTTAGATCGTACATGACTGGGTCAACATCGACGTCGATTTGGAAAAATTACCAAAATGGTGTTCGCAACTACTGTGGACATGAATTGCCAGAGGGAATGAAAAAGAACCAAAAACTGGAGAAGAATATTCTAACACCAACTACCAAGGAAGAGGAACACGACCGCCCTATTTCCATGAAGGAGATTGTCGACGAAAAGTGGATGACCCAAGCAGACTTGGACGTCTGTGCCGCAGCTGCACTCAAGGTCTTTGCCCTTGGTCAAAAGATTGCTGCCGAGCACGGATTGATTTTGGTGGACACAAAGTATGAATTTGGTCGTGACTTGAACACTGGAGAGATCCTCTTGATTGACGAGGTTCACACTCCTGATTCTTCTCGATACTGGTTGGCAAATTCCTATGCTGACCGCATTGAGGCCGGCATGGAACCAGAGAACATTGACAAGGAATTCCTCCGATTGTGGTTCCGAGATCATTGCGACCCCTACAAGGACGAAGTTATTCCAGACGCCCCGCGTGATCTCGTACTAGAACTTTCTCGCAGATATATCACACTTTTTGAAATGATCACATGGCAGCAATTCAATTTCTCCATTGGAAAGGGAGAAGAAGATATTGCAGACGCAATCAAATCATATGGAAAATAACTATAGAAGCCTTCATTTGTAAATATTCCAACATAAAACGAGATCATCAAGTCTATGTTTAGTAGCTTATAACAGCATATCATCGCCACCCCCAAAAAATGTGTCAGCATCACATAGGTTGAACTCTTCCAAACTGACAGGCGGGGTTCCTTTCATCTTTAGTTTTTGGTTGAACTTGTGCCAATCGCTCTTGAAATGAGAGCGATATTCCGCTGCACTGTCAAAGAATCCGCCACATGTATTGCAACTCTTTCTAGTGTCGGTACCATCACCTTGGCTCGGAGCTACAGTTGGGATGGTAGAAGTCGCACCAGATGTCGATGATGCAACTTCTTGGGCCTCTTCCAGCGTACTACCTCCTGATTCGTTTCTGCGCTGCGCTTTCTGGTTCTTCTTTTTTGCTTTCTTTTGCTTTCTGCGGTTGCCTGCGGAACTGTCCATTATATCCTCGTCGTTGTCATCACCATCATCATCAGCGATAGTATTTTCTACGTAGGCATTGGCGATTGGAGCCTCGCTGTTGACAACGGAAAGACCCTGCATATCGCTTTGAATGTGATCAACACTTTCGAGCTTTACATCCCCTTGCTTCGTCACAATTTGGTTGATGATTTCTATTCGAGATCCCTTCATTGCAACAATCGCGTCGTTGAAGATGCGATACATACTTGGATCCACCAGAACGTTGTACCGCAATCCGGTTGCGTCGTCACTTGATGTTGAATTAGTCCATGTCACATCATTTTCCTTCATTGTGCTTTCGATGGTTTCACAGTCATCCTTGTTGCCAATCACTAATAACAGTTCCATTTTGGCTCTCTGTATCGGTATGGTTCCCTGAAGTAGTTTGACACAATCCAAGTATTGCCGTTTCAATGGCTTGGTCGGGTGTACTGAGAAATTCGCTGTCGACATGGCATGGCGAATCTGCGCAATAGTGTAAGGACGATCGGATGAAGGATGCACGCAATTCTTGGATATCCATTCAGCGACTTGTGCGATTGTCTTCTCCAGCTGTTGGCCACGCTCCTTATCCGAAACTTGAACATTTCCCTGCTTCAAGATTATTTTAGCAATTTCTTCTTCATCTTTTGTGCCAAAAACCTTTTGCAGATCTTTTGCTTTGGCGAATGCTCCCTTGCTGACATTGGTGAAAACTCGGTCGGTCTGAAGAACTTCGGAAAGGTCTGTCTCTAAGCCTTGACGATAATCAACAACCTTGTTGCGGTAGCATGCAATTTCAAATCTACTTCCCCCTTTGTTCATGCGAACCACAGCGACGTTTGTGAGACGCACTTGGTTGATGGGTTGATTGATTTGTCTCGACATTATTGTTGCTTCTATAAAGGTGTTTAGTGTAGAAATTAGAAATCGATTGTCGTGGGTGGTTTTCGTTCAAACGTGCATTGCGGTGGGCGACCAGACTGGTTCCAAAATGTTCTAAAATAGATTGAAGATTCAGGATGATAGACTAGAGCGATATACTGTATAATACAACAAACGAATACTATTAATACAACCAACTACTCTTTCTTTGGTTCTGGCGGAGCCAAATCAAATAGATACGTGACGACACCAAAATCAGACCGCTTTCGATATTTCACACCGCTGTGTTCAATGATAATGTTCATCCCTTTGTTGTCATTCAAAACATCCGCCTTGAGGTGTTGAATCTCGTTTTCTTTGGCGATGTCAATGAGCCGTTTGAACAGAAAGGAACCTAATCCTTCACCCTGCCAGTCATCTCGCACTTGAAAGGCAAGTTCCGATAGGCCACCTCGAGGATCACTTACCCACTGGCCGATTGCAACAATCTCATGGTGATATTCGTCCACACAATCCTGTACAACAATCGCCATGTCCTTGGAATAATCCACGTCTGCCGTCTTTTGAAGGATTCGCTGTGGCATTGATTTCAGCTTTCTGAAGTAGCGAAGGTACACTGAATGGTCACTCAGGCGGTGAAAGAAGTTTCTCAGATTGTCTTCGTCGGTAGTCTTGACAGCACGTGCAAAAACGTCCTTGCCTGTTTTTGTTTTGTGGTGAGTCTCCAATTCAGCAGGATAGCCGGAACTCAAAGAGCGTCCTGGCTGTGACCTGGAAACATATCGATTCTCCTTGGCTTGGCTCATTAACTCTTGACGGAAATCTGGGTGAGCAATATTGATGAGTGCTAGACACCTTTCTCGAATGGATTTGCCATAGAGGTAGGCTGTTCCGAATTCTGTAATGACATATTCCACATCACTCCGAGTGATAGAGACTCCTGTCCCTGGAGGCAGCTCAAAGACGATATTCGAGCGCCCCGAAATGCTCATGGATGGCAAGATTACAATCGGTTTCCCACCTTTGGAAAACTTGGCACCACGAATCGAATCTTCATCCGTCCAGACTCCTCCATAAAATTTGTGAGCAATCGAGTCTGTTGCAACTTGACCAGTCACATCCACCTTTAATGCTGCAATAATTGAGACAAGATTGTCGATCTTGGCAAGGGTTTGGGGATCACAAGTGTAACTCGATGGGTGGAATTCAATGATTGGGTTCCTATCACAGAAATCATAGAGTTCGGCGTCGCCATGTGCTTGACCAACCACACTGCGCCCTTTGTCAATTGTTTTATACTTGTTGGTAATCACACCTTCTATGTGCAAATTGTACAGTTCTTGGTTCAAAAGGTCCGTGTGTAATCCCAGATCACTTCGTTGACGCAAGAACTTGATAATTGAATAAAGCATGGGTGAGACACCTAGTCGAATGGTCGCTCTGTCTGGGATTTCCTTGACGACATGAGACCCAATCCTGTCCATGATTTCATCTGGATAAGACGGTCCCGATATCAATTCTGGCCACAGCTGATTTGTTGTTAGTATGGGTTTGTGCACTGGAATCCACCAATCGATTTCGTCTATCGGAATCTTGCTACGTCCTTCCGTCCATGGCATATTTTCATTCACCTCCGCAATGACAATCCCACTATGTCGGATAAAGTCCATTGTCGCTTCCACACCCATTCCAAGTGAGACAAATCCTTTGTGCGGTGGTGTCACTTTGATGATAGAAACATCCACTTGAACACAGTTTTCCTGAAGCAGCCGTGTGATTTGGTTGACACCAACCGGTGTGTAGTCGGTGAGTCCTTCGGGATTGTGGCGCTCTGTCGTGGAGAAAAAGTTGGTTGTATTATAAGAAAAGAAACTAGATGTCCGAAACCGGTCCAGTGATTGAGTAAGATGTGGCAAGTTTCCTCCTGGGATCATCTGAATTCAGAATAGTAAAGTGAGCGATGGAATGGTATGATCAAAATGTGATGGTTCATGTTAGTCTGAAGAATAATACACAGAACATCACAACCTCAATCACACACATACGATACATACCTGCAAGATTTGTATGTTGGCAAGCGACAAATCGTCAACCATGGCCTGCAAGCTTGCCTCAGTTGTCGAACCGCAAGATCCAATGTAGATCTTGGAACCATTGGATATCTTGCTGGGAACATCATCCAATGTAATTTCCTTTTCGTTCCATTTCTTTAACGTTTCGTTCATAGTTCATAAAGGTCGATTTTTGATACTGTCCAGGTGAAACAAGTACAGCAGGTTGTTGCGACCCGCTTCCTTCATTTCTGTTCATTGCCATTCGCATTTTTGTTTCATTATCTTTTTATCGTGAATGAATTGAGATATTGCATAGTTTGTTTATCGAATTTTTCCACTTATCGCTACCGATCTCGTGGCTCAATGGCAGAGCATCTGTCTTCGGAACAGAAGGTTGGGGGTTCGATTCCCCCCGGGGTTATTTTTGTCTTTGTGTTTTATTTAAAGGATTGAGCCTGTTTCTTTTTCACATGTAAAAAAAGATTATACGAACAAGGTGATTGATTCATTCGTTTTGCGACCTGATAACTGATGGCATTTCTTTTTCGGATGTTGTTGGGCTGGATTGCTTTGGAAATACCAAAGTGGTGCGCTATACTACAATGATAGCTAGTACTGTCACTTTTGGGGGTTAGTTTATGATTAGTTCGACTAACGTTGAAGTTCCAATCCACGTGGATGTGAGATGTGACAACTTTTTGACTCCATCGTTTTAACTTCATCAAGAACAACGAAAACCAAATTCAAAGTCAAACCATGAAGTTCTTCGTTTCCCAAGTTTTCATACTATCCTTGGCTGTGGATGCCTTCATGCCTGCGGCATCAAAACGCAGGCCACAAAACCACTTTGCAGTCAAAATTTCAGCAGAAGAAGATCTCGAGTTGACCCGTCAAGTTATTGCTCGACAATTCGGTGACGAAGGTTCTACAACAGTTACACCCCCAACGGAATCAAGCGGAAGCGACAACAAATTATTCAGCCTCACCTTTGATCGCAAGAGTTCCTACTCGTCGCCTCCACGACCGGAGAATGATCTCATGATTCGCGCTGCTTTCGGAGAGTCTGTCGAAAAGACACCACTTTGGTTGTTCCGTCAAGCTGGTCGTCATTTGCCAGAATACCAAGCATACAAGGAAGAGACTGGACGCAACTTTGTGGAGCTATTGGCCTTTCCCGACGTACGTGTTATTATTTTGGTTGACTGTCTGGCTGTTCTTTTCCGCATTGATGGGCATTAATCGGCACTGATGTACTTTTCGTCAACTAATTATTTTCCATCTCCATTATCATGTCAGAGCGTCGCCGAGTGCACACTGCAGCCTCTTCGCCGTTACGAAGTCGATGCCGCCATTTTGTTCAGTGATATTCTTGTTATTGCTGAAGCTCTTGGTATTGAAGTCACGATGCCGGGCGGCGTTGGAATTCAAGTTCCAGAACCCCTTACTTCTCCAGACCAAGTTGCAACTCGAATTCCTAATATTGATGCCATCTCCGAAGACTTTGTGAAAGATAAGCTTGGTCACGTTATGGAATCTGTACGTTTGATTCGCAAAAAGATGGAGGAAGAAAAGATTGCAATTCCCTTGATTGGATTTTCGGCAGCTCCTTGGACGCTTCTATTTTACATGGTTGGTGGATCTTCCAAAAAGAACAATGAAATTGGAATGCAATGGTTGAATGACCACCCGGAAGAATCCACTACTCTTTTGCAAATCCTTACAAAGGTCGTCGTCGAATACATGTCTGCGCAGGTCGAGAACGGTGCCCACATGCTCCAAGTGTTCGAGGCGATGGGAATGATGATTGATGAAGAAAAATTTGAAAAATTTGCCCTTCCATGTTTGGAAGAAATATCAAAAGAGCTAAAGTCTCGATTCCCAGATGTTCCACTCATGGTGTTTAGCCGTGGAGCAAGGTGAGTTTACTTTTTGGAGTTTCGTTCGTGATGCCTTGTTCCAATGCTCATAGAATCAATTGTTTGGGATCTAGTTTTGCCAATGCTAAGCTCGCTGAACTCGAATATGATGTAATCACCATTGATGGAGATGTTGCCCGGGATTCAGCTCGCCGAGTGATTGGAGACAACGTTTCCTTGCAAGGAAACTATGATCCCCGCGAATTGATCGAGGCAGAGGATGGATCCAAGACTCCAGAAACTGTACGACAGACTGCCAGAGAAATGCTGGAAGCCCTTGGGCCACAAAAATTGATTGCAAATCTCGGAGAGGGACTTGGTGGAAAGGAAAGTACGACTTTGGTTAAGGCATTTGTTGATGCCATCCACGAAGAGAGTGCTGCAATGATCAAGGAAGCATAAAAAGCTAATGTACAGAGCAGTCTCTAGGTTTTTACAACAATAGGTTAATATTGCATTGTATCGCTTGTTACATAGGTTGATTTGATTTGCAAGATTTTACCAAGTCCATTCTTTCTAGAGCTACCGGTACTGTACAATATCGGTAGGAAACAGAAAACAGAAATTGAAAATTGGTCTCGATGTTGGGGATCCTTAATTTTGAACGTTCGAGTACCGCCCCCAAATAAATCCACTGACCAGTCAGTTATCATAGTACCCTTCCTTTCGTCATGAATCTCATAGGGCAAGCCATTTACTTAAGGTGGTGATCGACACATGATTGGGCAAAGTCATTGGCAGATCCTCAAAGGCGTTTGATTAACAAAAATAGTCGCCAATTAAGGTCATTAAGAAAATGTCACTAGCTAAGGAAAGTCCGGTACTCGGTGCCACATTTTGAAATTGGTTGGGCCATTTCGATGTAACTTTTTTGGGACACACGCTTGTTTGGTAGGTATACAAAAGGTGCAAGGAAAACTTGTTGCACTTACAGTCATACTTCTTTCTATCTATGAATCTATTCCATCACTTGGTTTGATACAAGAGGACATACCGATTAATTATTGTTACTATTCGTTCAGTTCATTAATCCTTAGAGCAGAGCAAAGGAGGAGTTAGGTACATACAAAACATGAGCCACTCCGTCATCATTCCCGAACATGACGAAGACTTTCCTTCTAGCACGAGACAAGAACTCTCCTTCCATGGCACATCAAGAGCCAACACTAGTTATGGTCAACTGTCCCACACTATCAACCATCTAAGCTCGCTTGGGATCATCAGAGAACGAGAAGGTAGATGTGCTGAGTGTGGAATTGAGACTCACATTTTGGAGGAGACAAAAGACCATAGGCAAATAAAGGTGCCACTTACAATATGGGACGAAGTTTACAGAGGACGTTGTTTGCTTTGTCATCCTCTTCCAACTTGGTTCGAACAACCGAAGGAATACCAACAAAGCGTTCGGTCTGATGCCAGGCATTCGGGAGGCCCAAAACATCTTGATGATGCCGATGACAGTGCCGAGTTGGACAACATTCTGTATTCAATGCAAAGGTATCCGATGGATGAGAACAGTCAGGGCAAGTGGTGTGAATCCCTTTGGGTCTATTCATGGGATGACGAGGCATCATCTATCATTGGCAGTCTCGGGGGCATCAGTTTGATCATCAGTGCAATGGCCCGGTTTCCAGACAACACATTTATTCAGCTATGTGCCTGTGGGGCCCTCGAGAACCTGGCATCTGATTCCAACAATCGTTCACTAATTGTAAATGTGGGAGGGGCATTCTATGTGGCACAAGCCATGATGAGACACGCAGATGATGCCAAGCTAGAGATCTACGGGATCCGAGCATTGGATGCGTTTCGCTATCAAGGCACGAGTTCATTATCAGTGTAGTTGTAAGCTAAAGCTAATATTTGGGGATTTCAACCTTTGAGCTGTAAGATTTGTTTACTGGGAACGATACATGATTATGCTTAGGACAATTCCAGCACAGCAGATCAAAGAATGAATCTATTTACAAGCAAGTTAATTTAATTGTTGCAAACCAAGGCAAGGAGTATGCGCATTCCTCGACTGCTGCGGTTTAATTTGCATGGCAGAGGATGGCTAAGCTACTTCGACTGTACTATCGATATATTGAGGAATGAATGCATGACAAACAGTGGTCCGGAAAGGGAAAATCCGACTGTCGTTCTGCGACTGTTTCGCCCAGGAGCGACGTGACAGTTACATACTTCTATGACCAGATGTATCCAACAAACGGAAACTCTTCCTTTCGAGATGTTTCCAACGTTGGTGCGAGTTGATTCCGTGGCACCGTACATAAGAACACACCCAAACGCTTTCATCAACAAGATACTACCTATCAGTATCAGTATTTACGGCAGAGAGTAACAACTGGAAAAGCAGCAAACAATGGGAGTTCATTGCTGGACTAATGTGTTTCAATCTACCCAGCAAACTAAAGCATTTCCTCCTTATGATATCTTCTATTAGATTCATGCTGGTACATGGAGATAACGCAGAGCCCATCCTTAGGGCGTCAAGGATTGGACTCTGTAAGCTTTTATATTTCTTGTTTGACTCCTTGTATCAAAACACTTGGCCAGTGAAAAAAACGGCTTTGAGCATCGTGCAATACACATTTGGTACAGTAGGTAGTATACGCGTAAGTCTACTTTGGCAGAGCATTACAACGCCCCACGACGAGAGGACAAGACGACAATATCATCGTCACTGTCACTGTCATCAATCGTCAGAGGATTTTCAACTCCTCTTCCAGCAGTTCGATCATGACTATTGCTGGCATAGGATCGGCTTGCACCGAATCGTGATGCAAATGACATTGGTTGCATCATTGGCATAAGGGGAGGTGGTAGAGTGTTTGTGTAGACGCGGAATAGACTTGCAATAGGATTATCATCATCATCCGAGTTATCACCGCTGCCTCCTCCTCGAGCAATCGTAATCGACCGGAATGAGCGGGAATGGAAATCAATGCTTCCAAGGCTTCCGACACTAGACAAGAAAAATCGAGCGAGGTTTGGTGGCTGGGTTGAAGCAAAATTGGCTGCACGAACAAAAAGAGGAAACAATGAGATGGTCCAATAAAATAGAAACAACAAGAGAGCGAACTTTTTCCAAAACTCGTACCTAACAAACCCTCCAAAGCAGCACCCGAAACGAGGTCAGATCGTTGATCCCGTTGCTTGACTTTCTTGGTGTTCTTTTGTCCCTTTTTCCGCTTCTTGTTTTTGCGATCGATTTTGCTGAATCGAACCTTGCACAAAGGACAAGTGTTCTCCCGTTCTGCCCACTTTTCAATGCAGCCAAAACAGAATTGATGCTCACATCCATTGATACTAGCCAAGTTGCTTGGTTCCGCATCGCACATGCAAATGCAACAGTTGACCTCTGCAGGCTCTGGAGAAGAATCATTGGATGATTCCCCTGGGCTGGCTTTGGGTGGGGGTTGCTTCAAATTGCTTGCTTTAGCGCGAGCTCGCTTTCTGGGAGCAGTCTTCGTGGGCTGTGATGCTGCTGCTGAAGGTGATTCCGGAGCTCGGCGCTTCTTGCTTCGGCTTTGCACTACCTCTGGTGCTGGTGTTGTTTCAATGGAGGAGGCATCGGATGAGGCATCCGAAGAGGTAACAGCATTCACTTGGGCTTCTGATCTCGTGTGCACAGACCGCGTAGGAGTCATTATTGCAGACATTCTTCCAGTAGCAGAGTACCGAAAGGGACGTTCTGGATTTCTAACGTGACTTCTAGTAACTCTGTTGTTGTTGTATTGTCTTGCTGCAAGATGCAAGGCTTCCAAAGTGGTTGCTTGAGTTGCTGGTGGACTTGGAGCACCAGAGGAATCATAAGACCCGGTTGTAGGTGGGACTGCAAAATGCATAGGTGCCCGTCCACTGGTTGGTGTTGATGAATTCATGTTCAAAAATGCTGTGTTCTATTCTACAAGTGCGAAAACAAGCAAGCATGGAACAAACACGAAAATGAGCGATGATAATGCTTTCCAACCAACCAAACCAATGCAATCCCTTCAGCAACAGTGCAAACATAAACTCCTTCCAATATAGTTCTTCTCGGTACCAGTCCTAGCAGGCCATAATTTCCTCTCAATGGTACAGTACACTGCTTGCGCGGAAGGAACAACTCCAATCACTTCAAGCCTTTCCGGAAGCTCGTTGCAGACTTTTTGCAGCGCCTACTCTTGTATTCTACGACGTCGATGACTCACCAAGATAAAAGGATACACAACTAAGAACACTGAAAGGTCTGTTGTTTGCGTTTGTTCCAGTTCCAAAACTAATGTTGTTGTTGACGCTGTACTGTAATTTCCCAACTCAGAACTCTCTCGGTGTTCGAGCGTCGTGTCTTGCGTGTCTTGCTCTTCCCTTCGTAGAAATTCGGTGGATTTGATTCGAAGCCCAGCTGCGCTCCGCCAATAATAATCGAGTGACTTCATTGGGGCGGTTCTAGTAGAAGTTCTACATACCGGTAGAACCTCCTTGGTAGAACCCGACGGCTCAAAGAAAGTAAAATTATCGCGCCCAATCCCGTCCCATTGCGGGATGACGAACGTCCACCAAAAGTATTCCATGGGGGCCGAAAGAATATTATTGAAAATGCAAATAAATAAAATGCTATGGCTAAAACACTAGTCGAAATAATAATAAAATGTTTGTAATGACTTTTAATACGCTTGCAACAGCTTCATGAATTCGTTTTCTGCCTTGCCCCATGCAGCCCTATTCTCTTGGGATGGGTCCTGTCCCACCACAATGGCTCCCTTTTGCAGCAACGAATGAACACATTCCATTCTAGCTGGTGAGGAAAGGGTGGCCTTGCCAACACCTTGTACAACTTCCAGGCATTTCAACAACGTGTCGCTGCTCGTGTTCAACTTCTTGATAACTCCAGTAGTGGCACGCAAGAGTCTCTCTGTTTCAGGTTCGCTAGATTCCGCACCACCCTTCTTGGCAGGTACTGGCATGAGGACTTCCAAAAGAGCTGGAAGTAATACTTGGACAGAATTTGGTGGAAGTAGTGCTTGCTCCAAAGTCCGAGAAATCAACGTCTTTCCCTTACTTAACTTGGCCAACAACTTTAGCGCCTCAGCATCAACCTTGTACTCTTTCTCAATATGAGTGATTCCCATACACTTCATTAGCTTGACCAAATGGGACTGCAACTGCGGTGGGACAGTGCCGGCAGGAGCAGCACGCCAGATATCCACAATGATCTGGTACGATTGATAGGCTTGATCGCAGTATATCCGTGCCTTCCACAAACTAGCACGCTGCTTTTGCTCCGAGTCTTGTTGCTCACTCGTTTTGGCCTGAGGAGTAGCAATCAATGCTCGTGGACGAGCCACATTGGTTTTGGCAACATGGCCAAGAGTGGCCTTTTCCGAAGACCATTCTTTCGACTTTTTCGTACGGCTCACCATCTCCTTGTTCACATCCTTGGCGTTCTTTGGATTGTTAGGATTAGCTCTGGCCCCCGATCGTCGTAAGAATTGAATATTGTAGTCATCTTCCGAGATACCTGCGGCCAAGACTGGCCTCAGAATACCATGCACAACGTAGGCGATATCCCTGCTGGACATGTATTTTGTCTCCAATGCCGAAGCAGGAACTGGTGGTGCATTTGGATGAGGATCGCAGTAAGCTCTCATTTGAGGTGGAACAGGTCCTCTCGGAGCTGCCTGCCATGCTGGGCCAGCATGTGGCATTGCAATCATAGCAGGATGAGGCTGGTTGGGTGGAGCCATTGGCATCATGGATCCTGGAGGTGGCATTGTTCCCGGTGGCATCCCCATGGGTGCTCCCATTGGAATTCCTCGGACAACCGCACCATGAGGAGGGTGCATTACCCCATGTGGAGGCATCTGCCCAGGTGGGGGCATTTGCATATTCATGGCACCAGGAAGGGGGCCAGAATGCGGTCCTGGAGGAGGGCCAGGATGCATGCCAGGTTGCATTTGAGGTGGGACATTGGAGTGTCCTTGAGGAGGAGGAGGAGGCATGCTCCTAGCGTTATTAGCTTGTTGAGGTGGAACGTCAGCACGTTTTGGCATCGGTGGCTCGGCTGGTCGTGTTTGAATGCCAGCCGGAGGTGCCGTGTTGCTACCATCCACACTCACTGAGTTTTCTGGTGTTCTGGGAAAGGGGGCTGGTTTGGGAGTTGAAACTGGCTGTGTAGCAGCTGGAGATGTAATTCCTGGAGGTCCACCAAGTCCTGGAGGTGCAAATAATGAAGGCTTCTCGGCAATATCGTAATCTTCTGCACCCTGGAGGTTACCACTCGTTGGAGCAGACGATGGAAAACCGGGTGGCATAGTAGTCTGTTTTTGTTTGCGGACAGTGTCTGCAGCTAGAAAATCGTCCTGCAACGACAAGGCCGTAAATTGCTCCAAGGAACGACTCCACGCATCTAAGCCATCCGACGAAGCTGGAAATGGTGCCTGGGGAACAGATCGATCTTGTGCGTGTTGCACCACAAGAGAAGCAGCATCCAATCTCATATTGGGCTGAGGTTGCATTGCAGCAGGAAGCTGAGGCTCTTGGTCCAGCTGTGCTAGTTCTTTTTCAAGTTGATCGAGAGACCAATCTCCGTCTTCAACCTGCAAATCGGCCAGCAAGTCCTTCATCAGACTTCCTCCAAGGGTCCCAAAGTAATCATCGTTAGAAAAGTCCATGGTGACTCGAGTTTGTAACAAAACTCCAATATTTCTTCAGCTCAGAAAGATTCCTCTCTGCTCACTCTCCAAAGCAAAAGGACAACAGAGGCACTAAGACCCAGTCGATCGACAGAAGGATATGAAAGATGGATATTGATGACTATTACAATGAGAGGCATTCTGTCTCAAACTGTTGAAAATCGGTCTCGAACGACGGACAGACAGCAACTTTTGGATTTCATGTAGCGCCTGCTATCCTAATACAAAATCAACTGAAAATAAACAAATACTAAAATGTATTGAAACTAAATTCACAATGCATGAGCCATGCTCACATTCCTTGTGCCATACCACCCAAGTCCAATAGAGTGGTCATGAGTTCCTTAATCTGCTGCAAATCAGACAGTACCTCACTTTGAACGTTCTCAACGTCCATCTTCATTCGAGCCATATCACTGCGATCAGCTTCAATCTCTCGTTGAATATCAGCCTTCAATTGTGCGATATCTCCTTGAATATCACGCAACTGCTCCAACTTTTGACGTTCACGGGATTGCTGAGAAATTTGCCCTGTCTCAGATTGAAGCAACATGTATTCACGGACTTGTGGAGGCCAAAGGATTCCGACGGTCACAACACCCAGAACCACCCAGATTGGAATTACAACCAAAAGAGCAAAGCACTGGTATGCAGCGAAAACCCAGAATTCAATGTTTGTGAAGGACACCTTCTCGTCCTCGTAGAAGTGCGACTCGGTAAATAGCCCAGTCAGAGATGACCAGATGTGCCACATGAACTCCTTGTTTTCACTTTCAGCATCATCGTCGTCATCCAGAATTGTTGTTCCGCCAGGTCGTTCCTGAACCCGAGTAGGCGCACCTGCGGCGCCCTTCGAAGAGGGATTAAGTCCACAGCAACCGAGAATAATGGAGGACATACCGTCAGTCTCGGCGACGAAATCCAAACGATTTGTCCAGAAAACGATTGCAGCTCTGTCATTCTGAATGAATTCGTAAGAATCTGTCACAATAGCGATGAGCACATTACTGAGAAGAATGACCACAAAGAAAGCATATAGGATATATAGAATTTGTGCCATAATGATTCCATCGTATCTTGTTTCAGAGCCGATTTCTCCCATCATCATGGAATATGCCTACGAGTTTGAAAAGTCAAAAGTGTTAAAAGAAGCTTATCGCTCGACAGATGTAAACACAAGTGGAACATACCTTCAATAGTGAGAATTCGATCGAACAGTGAGGGAACGATGGGTCGGTACAGTCCGGAATCGTTTGACTTGCGTTAGCCATAATCCCTGCATCGCACATCTCTTCCTCTTGGTATAAAATGGCAAACATCAGTGCAAATGCAACCAAAATACACGCAACGGCCATGAGAAAGGCAACGAGACGCTTCACAACGTATACCACACCATCAAGGAAAACGGCAAAGTTGATACTGAGAGACTTCAAGAAATACACAACTGCAACCCAAAGGACCATCTTCGTAAAAGCACAGCCAGCTCGGAATGATTTGTTGTCTATACCCCACAGTTCATCTGGATCTCCGCCTATCTCTAATCCTCTCGGATCACTCATGAGAGCTGCAAAGGTACCAACCATGGAAATAACCATAACATCTAACCAATTTGTTGTATCATAAATCCAAGATCCTAGACCAAGTCCAAGTCCAACAAGAGCTGCCAATTGCGTCAACTCACGCAAAAGGAAATACCCTGAACCCACAAAGAGACCATAGCGAAATAGAGTTTCAAGTGTCGTTTCTGTTACTAACACCTCTTCCATGAAGCGAACTTCAATGTGATGAGTGGAAGCGACTTCAAAGGCGATAATCAAAAGAATGTACATGTACAAATCCGTCATAACAACACTGGTAGGGAATCTCCTAACGATCTTGTTGTTGAGGATTTTACGAACGTGAGGACTGACCACAGCCACATCAAGGAGTTCTTCTGGTAGATTCTGAATTTCGGCCAAGAAATCAGCAGATGCTTTTGGTTTGGCAGCAAGATAGATGCGAAGGCATTCAGAAGCGTTTTGCAGCTTCTCACCGTCGCTGTCCAAATCCACACCTCTTAGACCAAGATTCAGCAAATGCAAAGGAAGATTGCCTTCAGTATCTCTAAGATTGATCGTTTCTCTTCCGGCTGTATCCAAAAGGAACTTCAGAACATCAGGACTAGTATCACGCTGACCATTGACCATGGTCAAATGCATAGGAGTCTTTCCTTTGTTATCCTTGGTGGTAAGACTCTCTGGAAATGCATCCGCAAGGACCTTGAGAACATCGGCATTACTTCCGTAGGCACAGGCATAGTGCATGGGAAGCATACCTCCGCGATCGGAAAGCTCCGCAGCTCCACTGTCGCAAAGGAGACGAACGTTCTTTGTCATGACATCTGGGTTGTCAGTGTTTCTTGTAGCGTAGAAGTGAAGGGGAGTACGGTTCTGGTTATCTTGAATGAGCTTACTCTCGGGGTAAGCGTGGATAAGGATCTCCAAGACAGCGGTAGAAGCTCCGTTGGCACAAGCATGATGCAAAGGCAACCAGCCATGAGTGTCAGCAAAACTAGCAACCTCTGGAGCAGAATCAACCAGGTCACCCACCAATTCCGGTGGTGGATCGTTAAGCTTGCACATAAGATGGAGGGACGTAACCTCTCCATTTCCACGAATGTAGGCAGCTGCAGCACGCTTGTCTTGACTTTCGTTTGCCCAGAGCCATTTTCGAACCTTGTCCCAGGCTTGATCAATAATCTCGTGCCTGTTTTTCAATTCTTCTGCATTCATTAGAAGCGCTTCATCAGGCTTGATGACTGCATCTTCCAAAATTTGGAAAAGGCGCTCGGGTCCTTGGTTTTGTTCTTGATTAAGCGCAGAAACGTTGGCTGTCAAGATAGCTTCTGCCTGATATGCCATTCTTCAGGCTTTTTTAGTTGGCAAGAAAAAAATGAAATACCAGCTAGTACAGAAATACAATTGATTTCAAACTTTTTCTTGAAAAGCCCTGAAGATGAGAGACAGTGTGGGAGGTAGGTATCTGTATCTTCTCTTCAAGGATGGCTCCAAAGAAGATTTCAACAAGGTGACTATGGTGGCTTCAAACCAGTTGCAGTCTCAATTCACGTAGGAAAAGTACTGGATACTGTGCGGAATTCGCGTCTTTTTTCGGGGAAGCAATCGGAAATGCCTGTCACAGCTGTCCGTCCTCCTACAGTATCAGTCAAAAGGTTCCTTTCCAGTTTGTCTATTATGGTACCGGTACAGTTTACAGTCTGCATACTGTACATTAAAATACCTCCACCATTGTGATGACGATGACGACGATGAAGAAGAAAGTGACCTAACAATTCCTCCTCCTCGTCACATGCAATTCGACTTCTTGTCCAAAAATGACACTAATATTTGGTGCTAATCTGCGTTAGTATTATTTTAGTGTGCGCTATATAGACAGCCTATTGAAACAAGGAGAAGGAGGTGCTAAATAATTTCCTATGGATGCCTAATCATCTTTCTTCTCCCCGTCATCTTCCATGGCTCCCCGGGTGAAGCTCACGTATGTGGTCCAGAAGAACGATACGACATGACGGAACGGTAATCGAATATGAACTGGGAGAACAAATTGGATACAATCAGAGGGTCCCCATAGCTGTATCATGGCGGTCAAATCCTCTTTGGCATTGTTGGTATACTTTGTCACACCATCCTTCACCCAGTCTGCAGGATTCCAACTTTTTCCTCCCACAAGTTCTTTCACTGTGTAATAAGTGGGGAAATATAGAATGGGCAAGTGGATTGTGACATCAAACAGAACCATCTTCATGGCATCCATAATGCCGGCAGTATCTTTCAGTTTTGCTGCGAAAGAAAGCTTCGCAAAGCGGTCCATCGTAGGGAACCAGTGTCGATATTTCGTGACCATGAGCCAGTATTGAAAACACCCGAGATAGGTGAAGCCAAATACTACAAATAGTCCGTTTCGTCGCCAATCTATTTCATCGAAAGATTTTTGCTCTGCAACTACTTGTGCCACCAAGTCTGCTGCAGAAGTTTTCACAGTAGCAACTCCCAATTGAAATTTGAATGGATGCTTCTTTACGAAAGAACTCGATGTTGATTTCGAAGCGGCAGATTCGGTTGCCACTTTCGCACCTGAAGTTTCCAAGGTCGATCTATTGGCTGTCGATTTCAGCGATCTGACGGTTCCACTGTAGGCTCGTCGACCCGACGTGGACACAACAGAGAAGATGGACGTGCGATACGCTGAGATCATTCTGTCTTCGATCTGATGTTTTTGTTGAAGTTGTTGTGTCCAGATTGTGAAACACAAAAAAATCAAGAACGTGTGGGACGTCAGCAACTTCATTGTTTCTCGTGAAGTCCTCGCCCACGTACAAACGGTACAAAACAGAGCTGACGTCAGACAGAAGGAATGGCCTAGAAGTGCTCGAATGAATCAATAAGAAATCGAAGATTTCTTTTCTACCAGGCTACCAGGTACCGGTAACAGGTACCGGTACCTGCCTGTTACCACACCTAGTAGCTAGTGCTTCGCCAAAAGGAGTGGCTGTCATAATCTATTTACAAGTACGCTATTGCTCCATTGAATCGGAAGTCGACAATCTTCCATTGCAGTTCTCCTTCCGCTTCGTTGTATTCTCGTTGGAAGGCTGCAACATACGAATTGGCTTTGATATCGTCTTCCGATCCTTCCACGATTTCTCCATCTTTCTTTTTCCTTACGCAATTGATTTGTTGACACATGAAATGCAGCAGTATAATTGGTGATCCCTTGTTGACCTCGTCGCGCTGCAGTTTGATGGTACACGAATAGTTGTTAGTTTGGAATCATAAATCGATTTGATAATTGATAACTTCAGCAAGTCTTGTTCTTACCTCGCAAGCCAAGATTTCAGAGTTCATGATACCCAGCACAGTAGTGTCAATTTGGACTCCTTCTTGCTGTCTAGCTTTGTTTTCAGCAGCAATTCTCTTAAAGACTCCTTCTCCCAACCAAGGTTTCAGTTGGTTTGTCTTTCCTTTTAGCAACCACTCCATAATCTTTGGTAGTGTATGCTCGACAACATCACGTTTCCACCCGTCCAACGTAAACTCGGGATCCAACTCGCGGAGCTCGGCCACTGCAACGGATTCCGGCGAATCGGCTGTCAGTGTATCATAAATGGAACTGGCACGGTAGACCCATGGATTCTGACTCGTTTCCCAAGCTTCCTGTGCATCCTCCTTCAAGTGGTCTGCCTTTTCCTTCATTTTTCTGGCACCCGATTTCTCGTAAATTTCATCACCTCTCGCGAGCATATCTGTTTATCCATCATATAAAGTTAGAAGATGGGATAAGAAAGCACAAACGTCAGATGACGACCGAAGATTTTAATAGTCTTCAGTCGTGGACATGAGTGAGTGAGTGAGTCGTTCCTCCTCTTACCTGAAATGATGGGTGCTTCCGACAATCTCTTTTGCATACGTTCCCATGCCGTCAAGTGTTCACTTTCATCAATGACCATAATTTCAACAGGCCCTGTGTATTCTGCTTCTCCTTCTGCAGTGTCTTCTGGATGATTAATTCTCTTGTTGATGCTCTTGGCTTCACCAGCCCTCAATAGTTCCGCCCACGTTTGCGAGACTTCCTCTTTGAAAGAACTCCATGTTCCAGCCGCTGACCGCAGGAATCCATCGAATTGCTCTTCCATATCATCTTCTTTACCCTTTCCTTCTCCTCCCTCTCTCATTTTGCGAATGGTATCCTTGAAACTGCCACCGTCTTCCGTCTTTTTCGAGGTCTCGTCGGAGCCATCATCCTCCTTCGTGCTCTTCTCCGAAGCAGCAAACGTTCGAACGGAAAAGACAACTGGCCGCTCCCTCAAAACTGTATGTGTCGCTCTACCATTGCGAAGGGCTGCTCGTCGCACCAAAATCCTTTGGGCGTTCGAAAACATTATGAAATGTTGCTCCTTCGTTGAATGATGATGAGGACAAGCTTTCCCGTCATCCTTTCTCTCATGTCGACGAAGTTTCTGGTTGCCGACCGATGACAGACAGACGAAGTCCTTCTATCGAACAAAATGGAAAGTACTGTAGTAGTAGAGCAGAAGATGAGGAACCACACTGTGCCGCACGTGAAGTTGAACACATTGTTCAATGGAAAGAAGTATACATGTAAAGATCAAAAAATTTTATTATATGTATTCCTAGTATTATAAATATGCTACATCAATGCTGTACAATCCTTGAGTTTTGAGTTTCTCAAAGTGTATTTTATTCCTTCAAAAAAATTCTGATGCATTTGTCATCAGAAGGTTGTGTTGATTTTGTTTACGGTCGTCCAGATGGTGGTCCATGTGGGTTTCCGCCGCCGCCAACAAAGGCTGGAGGAATAGAAGAAGCATCTGGCTTTTCGCTCATGGAAAAGAGGAAATCGTGAACAAAGTCGTTGGCCCACTCGGCTCCAAACATGGCAGCAAACAGTCCGGTTGCTGGATCACGCTCGGCAGAGTATTCGTCATATGCCTCTTGTCGTTCTAAAACAAATTCCTTCGTGGAAGGATTTCGTTCGGTAGACTTGACAAGGTCTACATGTGTCTTGACATAGCTCTTAAACGCTGGGAACAAGTCATCATGGACAACCTTCTCCTCGTCAAATCTTGCAAACAACATTTGTTGCGAGAAGAATTGAGTTTCGTCGTAGAACTTGGAGCTCATGCGTCCCTTTAGAGTGTCGTACTTCTCCTTGATTGGTTCTAGCAGATCCTCGTAGGTTGCATCGTGGTCCGATTCCTCTTCATGCAGAGGCTGAAAGTCAACAATGGCAAGGTACTTCTTTCTGTTGAAAGCAAGAATATCAATTCCAAGAACTGGAAGATTGTATTCAGGATCAGGGTACCAAACAGCGTTGAAAACTTGAGTGTTATCGCCAGCATCGTAGTAGGTCATGCGAATCTTGCGGTATTCTTTGGAGGAAGCACAGATGTTTACGATGCGGGCCTTTTTCTTCGCGTTCGCGTTGTAGGAAAAGTCGGTCTCTCCATTGGTGCAAGCTTCGTATTGGAGATCAGTAAGATGTTCCTCCATGAAAGACATTTGCCATTCCCAGAACTTCATGTAAAGAAGCTCATCGTCCTTCACATTCGCATCGATTGAGCTTTTCCAAGGCATGCCATGTTCCGCTTCTGCTTCTCTAAGGGTCATCGTTGGTGCTACTTCCAATTGAATTGGAAGGTTCTTGAAGGTGTTTGCATCCTCATATTGGGACACAGGGTTGAAAGTGGCCGTTTCCATCCTCTCCACCATGGTGCTTGTTAGGCGCGTGGAAGCGGAGCGGCCCACAAAGGAAGGCTGTGCACCATTCAGAGTGTATGCAGCTGCTACTGGGACGAGAAGAAGTAAGTGTTGAGGCATCATGGTGGTGTGACTTGACTGTTGTTGGTAGGTATCAGTTGTTGGGTAAAGTACAGTATGTATCCAGAATCTTGTCTGCTTCAAATTATACCAGAAGAATCCTTCCGATGTGGGTCTACAAGTTGAATGTATCCTACTGCATCATAGCCTCCTTTCCTTCGTATTTCTTCTACCCACGTACGTAGAAAAGTGGTGGTTCCTACCAGAGAAAATTGGAATCTTGAAGTTGAAACGATTGGATCGCGTAAATGGAATCTGGAATTCAATAATTATTGAAACATTTTACAGGAAAGACTTTCGCCAAACACGATTGAGCTGTTGACTGACAGACTAGAGGCAAATTACCGTACCATGTCACGTTGTGAGATGTGGATACAACGACTGTTCACTGTTCACCTACCGTACCAGGTAGTGCTGTACTGCATATCATTCCATCCAATATATTGGTCTACTCCAATTTTTTAATACATTTAATATATATCCAATTTAGATCTTGTAGAGAACCTTTCCCTTACTCTTTCCGGCCTCAAGGTACTTGTGTCCTTCGGCAGCTTCTTCCAATGGGAACTCAGTATCAACAGATACATTGAGCTTTCCCTCTTGGAGCCATCCAAAGATCTCTCCGGCTCTCCAGACCAACTCCTCGCGGTTCACAGTGTAGTCCAAAAGCTTGGGTCTGGTAACATAGGCGGACTTTCCAATCAATCGAAGAACGGGGAAGGCAGGGACGGCTCCGGAAGCATTTCCAAAGGAAATAAAGATTCCACGTCTGGCCAAAGAGTCGATAGAAATGTCCATGGTGCTCTTTCCAATACCGTCAATGACGCACTTGACACCCTCTCCACCAGTGACTTCCTTGACTCGTTCCACAATATCAAAGGATTCGTAATCCTCGAAACTCATTCCTGGAACCTCGTCCAGAACAATGAGTTCATCACAGCCCAATCCCTCAGCGATGGAAGCCTTTCCCTTGGAAACGGTACCAATGACCTTGAAACCGCGAAGTTTCGCCATCTGAGCTGCCCATTGGCAGGTTCCTCCACCAACTCCGTGAATTAGGCACCATTCGCCTTCCTTGATGAGGTCGGCGTGAGCTGACGAGGTAAGGTAATGTGCCGTCATTCCTTGGACAACACACGAAGTTGCGACATCGAGTCCAACAGCGTCTGGAACAGGAAGAAGTTTGGCAGCTGGGACCGCAGTGAATTCCGCATAGGACCCGAAGACAGAGTATGCGACGCGGTCTCCAATCTTAATACCCTCGGCTGCGGCTTCGTCGGAAACGGCAGCAACGGTACCTCCCCCCTCTTGTCCTCCAATGAACGGAAGATCACGGGGGTATAGTCCCTTTCTGTGGTAGGTATCGATAAAGTTGATTCCGGCAAACTCGTTCTTGACAATTACTTGACCGGGACCCATCTTGGGTGTGGGGAAATCAGTCTCGACCTTCAAAGCATCTGCATCTCCAACCTCACGGACAACGGCGGCCTAGACAGGGAAATGAAATGATCATAAGAGAGACTGCAAAGGAATCAAACGAGGAATAGACCCAATGGATGCATCTGATGCATTTTGGATCAAAATATCATAGAAAAGCGCAAGAATACTCGAGAAACCAAAAGAAGAAGCCAGCTCATCCAAAGCCATCCTAAAAATTGTCCTTACCTTCATGGTCTCGGGAATGGCCGAGAAGGCACGACGGATGACATTGACAGAAGATGACAGTCTGCTACGACCAAAGTTTGACAACATTTTTTCTTTCAGTGAATTAGGATCGAACTATGATGTCAATGAGCGATGGTTTTGTTTTGATTATTGATGTATCATTTCAATGAGCTGACGTCAGCGATTAGTAAGGTCAGACAGACGGACGGCTTCTGATTTAGCTTTATTTTCATTTCAATTTTGATTTTTCACAACTCATTTCGACAACTGACAATTACTGTTGTTTTCAGTTTTGGTACTCCTATTTTAAATAGTGGATTACATTGGTTGTCCTGCAACACTCACGAGGTTGATGCAGTAGCGGTTTCCCTTTCTATCAGGAAGCTGGGGGAAAATAGGAATACGTCAGACTGGCAAATGAAAAAAGGGATCACAATATCTTACCAGCCAGCACAGCTACTAGCCTACCACTAGCCCCCTAGCTACTAGTATGACATCATATAAACTTACATTGTGGCCCAGATGAGTTCCATCAGCAGATACAGTCTCTCCGGAGTTCTTTAAGATTCTAACATTTTCCCAAACGACCTCTGAAAATCAATATGTTAGAAGATATTTGCTCTAGTTCAATAAGCAACACGACAAAAGACGTAAGGCACTCACCGTCGTCTCGGAAGCTTGGCCAGCCATGGACCTCCGATTCTTGAATAAAGTCTTCTGCTGAGCGATTGATTGGAGCCATAAACAGAGGCTTTCCAGTCACAGAGTCGTAGAATGTAACTGGTCCCTTCGATGCCAAGACGACATCTTCAAAATTGGTAGATCGGAAGTAACCAGCAAATTCAGCGAACTGACGATTGTAGCTGCAAATCTTGTCCGCCAATTTCTCAGAGACACCGTACAATAGGTTGCTTTGGACAGGATTTGCAGAAGTCCCATGTCCCTTTTGAGTCATGATCGATTCATCTCCATATTTCAACTTTCCGCCAACTTCAACTGCAGAGGCTGTGTTTGGAGAGAGTGCAAGGCTTACAGCTGCTGTAGACAATGAAGCCAAAAAGTCACGTCTATTGTTTGGAGACGCGGCTTCAAAGGCATAGGCACGGCTGGAGAGAATTAGGACGGTGGATAAGGCGAGTAGAGATCTCATTTTCTTCGTGTGTTTTGTGGGAAAAACAGATGTCGACCTTTGTCGTCATAATTTTCTGTGTCAGTCCCAGAGGTGTCAGTCCCAGACTGAGTCGACTGGTGTGACTAAACGGGGAGTTCCGCAAAGAAAAAGGATAAACATACCGGTACTGTAGTAGACATACATCATACATACATGGAACCAGGTTTGGTGGTTCCATTTGAAGTAAACTAATGAATATGTTCAGTTCCCCATCCCGGACAAACAGTCTCAAGTAACTGGTAATGCTCGTTGATCCAAATGATCAGCTTCACAGTCTGCTTTGTATTCAAAATTTCTTTGCATTTCGCCATTCGATCACGGAACATTTGAGTTTTCTGTTCACAGATTGACTTCAACTTTGCTAGCAACGCAAGACTTTCTTTCAGGTTATCACAAAGGGCCTTGATTCTTTCGCTCTGCTCGAAAATCCTCCTTGCCTGCTGTGGGTTGATGTCGAGCTCTTTCTGTAGAATCCCAGCAATTGGATTCTTTGGATTCGAACTACTGTGTCCCAGAGTCCACAGCCCAAGTTTTGTAAAATTTGTAGGAACAACAAGTCTACAAAAGAAAAGGTATTAGATAAGAATGAAAAGCACTTGCTTTTGCTTCGTGCGTAGCCGTATTGACCCACCTTGACAGCTGCTCGAGATGAAAGCTCAGCTCCTGCTGTCGATTAGACCCATAATCAGAGTACGTATCAGTCATATCCTTCACAACGCTTTCCATTTCATCGGCCTCCGCATTGCTGTCGAGAAGTTGTTTCACACGGGTAGCAGATTCTTCTTTGCCATGCTCGATCTGATGTGCTTTGTTGGAAACATTTTGCAAATGACGTTTTAACATTTCGTTTTCAGCCTTCAATTGAGCCAACTTGGATTCACAATCTGACAACCGCGGTTTCTTGCGCCTTTTGCTATAAAGCGGCTTGTTGCCGTTTGCATTGGCAGAAGAATTAGTTGGGGATTCTCCTCCAGGAGAACGCTTTTTGGTCACTGTTGTAATTGCTTCCTCCGCTGTCAAACGAAGACTATCAATTGTATCAGCTCTTGGCGTTCCAGGGTTTTCGTTTTCAGCTTCTGCTACAGCTGCTTGTGCCCCAACGATTTGATCTGATAAGTTGCTCATTGATGCCGAGACTGAAGAGCCGTTTTCCACAGCTGCTGTAGTCAATTGCTGCAAAATCTGGTTTGGAAGCTCTATTCCCAAGCGAGATGCCAATGTTGCGAATTGATCTACAAGCTGCTTCGCACGTTCCTCTGATACAGGTGGGTCGGAAGACAAAGCTGATGTCGGAAGAAATGCATGAGATGGTTTGGGTTGCAAAGGTTGGGTTGCTGATGAAGGCGCAGAAGGGTGCAAAGGCTCCAAATGTGATGCTGCATTGTGTGACAAGTATGGTGGTCGTAGGGACGACGATACTTGATCAGAAACTGGGGCTTGTAAATCAACGGGTACTCCATGAACGGCAGCGGCTGCCGCTGGAGTTGTGAAGACCGGTGCTTTTCCCCGTGGTGGTGACTGAAGCATTACTGGCGATGCTGTCACACCGAAGTCTTGCAACATTTGTTGCTCAGCAAGTGTGGTTGCATCAGCCAAAGGTGACATAGTCGATTCTCTTGATGAAGTGACCGAAGTTGCCTCGTGGAGCTGCTGGGCCATCATATTTGATGATGAAGGTGAACTGGCACTAAGCATCATCATTTCGTTGTAGAAGAGACTCTCCAAGAGTGCATGGTCCAAAGTAGAGGAATGATCGTCACCTGAGCTAGAACCATTCATTTCAGGCTCTGATCCATCGGTGCCGCCAGATTCGCTCATTCTTTTGCGTTTTAAATTGGAAGTTGGTAGATGATAGATCGATTGAAGTCCATGAAAGTTTGAGATTTCTTTCGGGCGAAATCCGGCTTGGTGTTGACACGACGGCAAGACCCAGTCGAATTGATCCATCCGGAAAGACTCCTCCTCCTCCTGATTGTTGATCATGTAGATGTAATCAAACACATCACGGAGCAAGATTGGATTGGAAAGATACGGACTCTGCATCAGCAAACTTCAGTTGAAATAAGATTGAAATGAGCCATGGAATTATTTAGCCTATTTTCTACATGATTGAACGACGTGAACATGGTAATCCCATTTTGAATCCTGCGGGATTTCAGGAAAGCCCAGGAATAAATGAGTCAAGGACTTAAATGTGCTACTCCAGTAGACGAAATCAAAACGGATTGAGACACCATGATAGCAAAAGGCAACGCCCTGTTCCCCCTGGTGATTCAGGCAGCACTATCGTAACTGACAGTGAGATCTCGGTAGTATAGCTTTTATAGTTATCCAATCTTTCAACCGTCTAAGAAGCCTCAAGCCTAGAAACCAAGGCCGGCAAGCCATTGTTTCACCTCCATCACTCGATTTCCCTTCACTTCAATAGTCCCACCAGTGCGAAGTCGGATTGTTTCGTCCTTACCATTCACCGTTGGAATCTGAAGGGCCGCTCGAAGTGCTGTCAAAAATGCGTCACGATCTCCCGAAACTTTCTTGATGCGCGTTGTGACCCTGGCACCGTCTCGTCTAAGTTTAGACAAAATTGTGAGACTGTGTGATCCATCAGATCGGCAAATAGGAAAAAAGCAGAAACCTACCGGAATTCTGAATATACTGGCAAGAAACCTACAGCATCGTTTGGCTTGTTTTTTGTACGAGAAATCTTGAATGGATATTCTGGAATTTCAATGCCTTCCGGTGGAGGAGGATTCCATCCATTCGGTAGCATCTTGGGCTCCAAAATGGCTTGATAGGTAACTTCTGGAGGGCTCTCTATGACTTTGCCACCCATCTTATTCTCTATTCTTCGGGCTGCTGGATTCTTCTTGAACAGCCTCTTCACCTGCCTTGATGAATGCTTGTCGCGGAAGCCAGTGGACTGCCTTGACAACGGACCTGCTATCTGCCGCGAAAACACCCTTAATGATGACGTGTTGGAAAGCATATTCAATGAAACCTATGCTATACTGTTATGATCAGTTTGTCGTTGTTTGTACGTGTGATGGAAAACGGCGGAAATGCTTACTGGCGAGGGACGGACGGCGAATCGAAAAATTTGAGCATATTTGTGATTTGCACTTTCCTCCATCGAAGCCTTGTCGAAGCCACCCTGTGAGTGAGTCTTCAACATCATATCGCTAGCTGGTCAACTTGCGATATCCATCGTTCAGATTCGACTCAATTCGATGAATTATCTTCCGATGATGTCTCTCGATCCGCAACCCATCGAGTGGTCTTCTGCTCGGGACATTATGAATTCGAATTCTCGGACTTGAATTGGTTTGCCTATCGCAAAGTCAACTCCAAATGGTAGCTGCATCATCGAATTTAAGTTGTGAACCATAGAGGCACAGCTTGCGCTGACGAGAGCAACGTTCCGTTGTTTCATAATTCGGTTCTTCGCTTCCCATTCCCTGAACCTAGCAACGCATTGACCGGAAGGAAGCTGCGGCAAGTCTTCGTCCAGCAAAATGGCGTCCCATGTTCTAAGTTTCATAAGCTTCAACGCTTCTTCGCCGTTATCTACAATGACACTTTTCCACTCTCTTGCTTCCGCAGCACGTTGCAGAGCTTCGACTTGTTCTGTGATACGGCCCATGGCAATCAAACAAACATGAGCAACCTTTTGATTATCATCTTGATTCACAGCAAGTTTCCCAGCACTCAGCATCTTCATCCTTTTTCGTCCAAAAGAATCGAGCTCGCCGCTGTATGTGGCAAGAACCTCGCTTTTGCTTAACTCAACCAGCTGCTTGAATGTAACGGGTTTCGGTCTGAAATCATCCATTCCAACTTCTCTTCCCTTCTCAATGTCAGTATTGCCCGCATGGGCAGATATACCAATGATAAATTGCTTGAAAAAAGGTCGGTGTACCTTCTCCCACTCTCGGTATTGTTGGACACAATCCAAGCCATCCATTACAGGCATGAGAAAATCGCATAAAACAACGTCAAATAACGAGGATTGAAGTTCTCGGAGACCTTCCATGCCGTCCACTGCCTGCGTAACCTCGAAGCCTACTTTTGTCAACGCTCTTGTCAGACTTTTTCTCACAACCATGGAATCTTCAATAACGAGAGCTTTCCGCTTTCGCTCCTTCATATCTTTGATGATACCATTGGCGTCTCCTGTTGAAGCGCCTGGAAGGTCCCTTTTCTTACCGCTCTTGTCCGCTGCTGTGTCTCTTGCGGGCTTTGATTGTGATTCCTTTTCTAAAGAAGGCATCGCCTTCAAATCGGAAGTCGCACTTGGAAGAATCACTGGGATTTGGAACCAAAAGGTGGAACCTGTCGAAGACGACTCCAGTGGTCGAAAACCATATTCTCCACCCATCGAACTGATGTGAATGGCCACTGAATATAAGCCAAGAGCTGAATTTGGAACTTCTCCTTCGGACATCTCAGTATTGGACCAGCTCGCGTAGGAGCTTTCCTGTTCGCCTTTTACATCAAATTTGAAGGGACGAAAGAGTGACGAGTAACTGTCCACCGGAAGACTTGGTCCAGTGTCTTCGCACTCAAATCTAATCCTCTGTTTGTCACCATCGCCTATCATCTTAATTGTGAAATTGATGGCCCCTTCTTCTGTCCGAGAACAAGCACTAGTCAAGTAGTTGATGGCAGCTCGGAAGACTTTCAGATCATCAGTGACAATAGTAGGTGGCACAGAGTCGTGTAGTGATATGTTGACAGGGACAGACTTTGGAAAAGGAGCCAGAATAGTTTGAAGCTTCGTGACAAAATCAGAAAGCTTTATTTCCTCCAACGGACTTGAAGAGATTGTCTCTGACAATTTTGGCAAGTCCTTTTTGTGTTTTTTATCAGGATTCTGTTGTTGGCTACTTCGAAATGATGATATTGCTGTTTGGCAAATTCGTCCCATAACATCTGTGCACTCCGAGGCTGTATGTATTAGTTCTCTTTGTGCTTCGTTTGTCTTTGAACTGAAAGATTTGTCTTCGCTTAAGAGTGAGAGACTTATCTGGACACCGGTCAAAGGCGTCATCAAATCGTGAGCTGTGTAGGCAATAAGTTGCTTCGGGTCTTCATATTCTTGCAACCTCACACGCTTATGATCAACTGCCGCTTTTACAGCCATTGATGCAAGGTCTAGCAAGTTTTCTTGCTCTGCGGAAGTCAGCCCATTCGGACGAGTAATCTTATCGAGAATGCAGAGTGTTCCAAGCTTGTAACCTTCTGGTGAGATCAAAGGGGCACCTGCGTAGAATCGAATGTCGGGAGGCCCTGTTACTAAAGGATTGTCCTTGAACCGGTCATCTTTAGTCGCATCCGGAACAATGAATAATCTTTCCTGAGACCAAATGGCATGAGCACAGAAAGCAGATTTTCGATCGGTTTCTCTGACATCCCCCAGACCTCGATTCGATAGGAACCACTGTCGCCCCAGATCCACCAAGCTTATTAATGCCATAGGACATTTGAAAAGCCGGCTTGCAATTGCAGTGATGCGTTCGAAAGACTCTTGCCGTTCGCTGTCAAGCAACAAATATGATTTTAACACCAATAACCTTTTCAGTTCTTCGTCTAATGTTTGTGCGTCCGATGTTTTTTTATTGAACGATTCTAGCACCCAATCAAGTTTGGGATCTAGAGGGACCTCTCCAGTAGTGTCAGTATGGGTAGTATTCAGCGTGTTTTTCAGTGCAGCGCTGTGGGCGTTGATCCGATGTGCTGGGTTAGCAAAACTGACATATGGCTCATTTCCAGATTTTTTAACACCCATGGACTGCATCCCCTGAAGCAAGTCATCAGCTGTATTGAAATCCGCTACAGTACGATTTTCTCTGTTCGCATCATCACTCATGTTTTAGTATCTAGCACTCTCAGGGCGACGATGATTCTGCAAGGGCGAAAAGCTTGAAACCCCTTCTTCCAAATTTCATCACACTCCTCACCACGCCTTCGTTCGGACGTGTTTTTGCAGCGACGCGACGAACAGACAGTTCAGAGAATGATCAATCCGACTACTTCAATTTGCTCTCCTGTACTGTACCGCTACCAGGCATCAGGTACCGTGTACCCAGACTGTACAGCAGCTCGTTCTCAACTTCCATGCATTGAAAGCTTATTGAAGACATCATTGTATATAATAAATATGCGTTATTAATAAAATAATAGTTTTATGAAATGTAAGGAGTTTTGATATTCATAATCAAAAGCAAATAGGCATGGATGGGCTGCCTGTTCTCTTCGACTCAAATAGGAGCAAAGTGTGCTTGATAACGCCGCATAATTTCTTCCTGGATCAATCGATCATCTTCTGCGGCATCTGGATGAAAGACCAAATCCTCCATCCACAAAGTTGCCCGCTCTGCGATTTTTTGAGCTTCCGCATCGTGATCAATTACCCATTGCATCAATTCTTCCACATTGGAAGCATCGTCATCCAAGGGTACATAGTGCACCCATGGTTCAAGCAATTCCTCCATTGCCCATGAAGTGTGTTTCGGCACAGGCATAAGGACTACCGACTGAGACAAGAGCGCCCACTTGAGTCCTGATGCAACATCATTCCCTTCAATCATCACTAATCCCTTGTACTTGAGCAATGCGTCTGGGTAGGACTTTACGGTTACCAATTCGACTCCATTCAAGACATCGGGCAATCTCCTTCTTGTGGATGTCAACTTGGCATCTAAAAGGGTTGAGTTCGCGTGTTCATAAACAAGTTTGCATCGGTTCATGTGCATACAATTGTAAAAGTCGGACTCGTGTCGAAGATAATTGTCCTTTGCGCCTGTAAGTTGACCTCGAAAGATCGCCTTATCCATCTTTTCACTCCATGGGGTATCCCAATGCTGTATTCTCGACAGATACCCAAAGTGGCGATGTGTTGCTAACTTCCATACAATGGGCTGAAAGACTTGATTCCCATGAACTGCGTTTAACATTTCTCTCGGCTTGTTATGGCATTCAACCGAAGTCACTCGATCCAAATCTTTTTGCGATGCAACTGCAGAGCGAAACTTCTTCAAATGAGGAAATGCAATGGTACCGTGACCATGAGAGTTCTTATTATCTCCAAACTGCAAAAGTGTCGGAGGAGCTTCTTTGTCTGTGCCCTCCCTTTCCCAGTCGACGTGTAGCAGTGCCGGTAGCATGAGCTTTTTAATATCATAGCAATACATTTGCATTGTGGATGCCATTACGCGTTCACTCAACACTTGATCTCTGGGGGATAACATGACCTCAATTTCAGGGTCACCAATTTCGTCTCGAGCACAGAATTGCATCGTCTCCTTGTCCATATAGAACAAAGTATCCGGCTCCACGATGCTTTTGATATGAAGTTCAGTCAGGGTTCCATTGACAAGCCCTTCATGTGACATGGCTTCCAAGTGCAAGGTTTTCCACTCGCTGCCATCAGACTCACTGTTATATTCATAGCGCACAAATTGATCTCTTGCATCATCGCAAGGTGGACTATACCAATTGCTCATGTATAACTTGATACGTTGTTCCACAGAAGGAAAACGATTGGCTCTAGTTGTTGGTGGGACATGTATTATGCTTCCTACATCTCGTATTGCTCGAGCTGGTGAATAGCGGTGATCTTTTGAAGTCAGTACTTTCTCTGGTTTTGTAACGTTGGTCTTTACTGTCTTGGGCTTTCGTAATCTAGCCACTGTCTTTTTCGTTTTGATTGGATAGGTTTCATCTTCTTCTCCGACATCATTACTCGGATGTGAATAATGTCTCTGTCTCTCCACGCTGTCGCTTTCTATGTCAGTATCTTGTCTTCTTGCTGTAGTACACTGACTTGTCCACAGCAGCGTCGAAAAGAAGACTGTCGAGGCAAAGGTTGACCTCATATTATTTCAGAATATAAGGATTGTGGAAACAAAGAGTTGTTGGATTTGACAGGTTCTCGTACAGGAATGGCGCCAATCAAGCAAATTTTATTCACAGCTTTGGAGTTGTTTCCATTCAAATCAACTGAGACAAGAAATGTGGCCATATTTTTCAAACCCAACGGACCTGCGCGTCCAAAACATTACCCACGCCTAGTACCTTACCGTATGTTCTACATACAGGGAATTTTCAAAGAGTGGCGGCAGGATTTGAACAAGGGGGCTTCATTAGACCCAATGAGATTCAAATCCACCCCCACAAGACACGATTTGGGACTCTGTTTGTTCCAAAGAAACCCGGAGATGATGAGTTGGAACATCAAAATTGCCAACAAAAGATGATTTTTCAACTCTTTGACGCCAATCAACAACCGAAACAATGAGAGGACTTTTACTACTCGCATCATTCCTCCAAATTGGCTCTTCCTTTGGATTTGCGGGACCGTCTCTAACTCTACAACAACAACAACGGCAACAACGGCAACAACATGCTGTATCAAACACTCGTCTTGAAGCAAGTAGAGCGGCCCAAAAGAAGGCATCTCGTACCAAGTGGATCCAATCTAGAGGATTCGAAGATGCCATCGCGGGAGGGAGCGACGCTATGACACTATTCAGCCCTTGCAAAATCAATCTATTTCTTCGAATCATTCGCAAACGTGAAGATGGATTCCATGATCTCGCCAGTCTATTTCAAGCCGTCGGTTATGGTGATACGTTGGAGTTGAAAAAGTTGGACGGCGATGCCACAAAAGACGCATTCTCATGCAATATGAAGGGGGTGCCGACCGACATGTCCAACCTCGTTTTGAGAGCCTTGGAGCTTATGCGAGAAAAGACTGGAATCAAACAGTATTTTGATGCCAACTTGATCAAGCAAGTCCCTGCCCAAGCCGGTTTGGGCGGTGGCTCTGCCAATGCTGCGACTGCCATGTGGGGAGCCAACGAATTGATGGGTAAACCTGCATCTTTGGAACAAGTAAGTATGAACTAATCAATCTGACTCTTTTGGAATGCGACAATGTGTACTGACGAATACGCAACACACCTCTACTGTACTACAGATGATTGAATGGTCGGGAGCATTGGGCAGTGACATCACTTTCTTCCTAAGTCGAGGAACAGCTTACTGCACAGGAAGAGGAGAAATCATGACGCCAACTGATCCACTTTTGGAAGCTGGAACAAAGCTATGCATTGTGAAGCCAAATGTGGGATTGTCAACACCATCTGTGTTCAAAGCATTAGACTACGGTGAACTGAGCAAATTGGACGCCGACGAAGTGTTGCTACCAGAATTCTTGAAGGCCGAAAGTGTAGACGTTGTATCGGGAGAGTATTATATCAATGATTTGGAGCCTCCAGCCTTTCGATGTGTCCCAGAGTTGGGTCAACTAAAGGAGAAGCTGAAGGCAGTTGATGGGTTCAAGCATGTCATGATGTCTGGAAGCGGTACAAGTATCTTTTGCATTGGTGAACCCAGTGATCCAGAGCAATTCCAAAAGGACTTTGGTGAGGATGAGGAACTTAAGGTCATGTTCACAGAGTTCATCAACCGAGAGGAAGGTGTCTGGTTCGAACGACCATAAAATCAAGAAAATAGAATCGTTTGTCTGTCTGTTCGTCCGTTTCCCTTACCAATATTCTTCGCTATCGAATTTCGCAAAAGCCACCGAGGCCATCATCACACAAGAGAGAGAAGCAACAATATGACGTCCATGAGAATAATATGGCAGACAGTTTTCGTCCTGGCCACCTTTGGCTTTGACGGGGCATGTGGCTTTTCTCTTTCTCCACCAACCAATGCTGTTGAGAGTGAAAAGGCTCTGCAATCAGCACCCGAGCTGAAATCACCTCTCTGTTGCAACACAGATGAGCTGTCAAATATCTTGAATGGGAAAGGAAGATCTCAAAACTGTTGGGAGGCTTTGCGTTTGGGGGTCGATCCAGTATGGTACTATTCGTCATTAAACGAAGATTCTTTGGAGTCAGAATACGACGAAAGCTTGGGGCTCAAGAGTTGGTCTCGACAAAAAATCGAAGATTCCATGTCTGAAATCAGTCTCACAAATCCCTTGGGTAAGGATGCAATCAATTTGTTGAATCAACACTTTGCATCCATTGAGGACGAGATTGCACAATTATCGAAGCTCAGCATTGCGCCTGATGGCACAACGAAGATGCTCATCAAACTTCTAAAAGACGGACTGGAGGTTGAATCTGTGATCATCCCATGGGATGATCAAGGAAAGTCGACACTTTGCATATCATCCCAGGTTGGATGTCGACAGGCTTGTACGTTCTGTGCGACCGGTCGCATGGGAAAGTACAGAAACCTATCAACTTCTGAGATCCTGGCTCAAATGCACTTGGGAATCAAAGTGTGTCGTCTCAATGATGTCTTCCCAATCAACAATGTTGTGTTCATGGGGCAAGGAGAGCCAGCAGACAACGCAGAATCTGTAGTAGAGGCGGCGAAGATTTTGGCCGACCGAGACCTTTATCAACTTTCACCACGGCGCGTCACAATATCGACGGTGGCTCCAGAACCAGAGTGTTTCGCAAAGATTGGAGAAGCAGGGGTCGCTCTAGCATGGAGTGTTCATGCATCTAAGCAAGAGTTGCGCGAAGAACTTGTGCCAACAACGCGACACTCGATGAATGATCTTCGCGAGGGACTCATCACAACGCTTCAAGGCAGAAGCAAAAGGCAGAGAAATACAATGCTTGAAATTGCGCTTATTGGGGGAGTCAATGACTCTAAAGAAGATGCGCTACATTTGGTGGAATTCTGCCAGCCTTTCTTCCAAAAAGTGAAGAATATCAAACTATTTGTCAATCTTATACCCTGGAATGATATCGGAGCTACAAATGGACCAGCTTCAACCTATAATAAGCCAGTGATGGATCAAGTCATTCAGTACCAAAACGTTTTGAGAGAGCATGATATTCTGTGTTACATCCGTACGACTAGAGGAGACGAAGAGAACGCCGCCTGTGGCATGCTCACCACCAAAAAGAAGGAAAGCGAAAGAGCAATAAAATAAGCTAGACGACTGACTCCCTACCGTTACAACTAGTACCCTTTTGGATTGTGATGATGTCTTAGAAACGTGCGATAAAAATAGTCTATGTTTTCTACAGATACGTAGTTTGCATTCCGGCCCGTCATACGTTCCTCGAAACCACAACGATCACAAAACGAGATAACCAAACACTTGATACCTAGCGACAATGAAGACTACATCCGTCGTTGCTTTATACCTAAGCAGCACAGTCATCACGACCGTGAACGCGACAAAAAATGTCGATAGAGCTTTTCGAATGGAATTTTTGCAAAACATGGAAGAAGCGACGAGACAGAAGAACCAATTCTCCTACATCAATGCTAGAAAGCTATTCACGGCAGCGACACCCATGTCCGCGCCTGAATTTATGAAGCCCCGTATTCTGGATCAAGTCGAAGAAGAAGCTAGAGATGACGCAGTTGAAGATGACGGTGCTACCAATGATATCGATGGAGATGATGCCACGGGAGATGATGCAGCGGGTGATGACGGTGATCAGGAGGCAAACCAGATTGTCTACTCAATCAACCTGGAAAACTATGCCCTCAAATACATTGGCTGTTCCAATATCCATACTTATAGCTCAGAGCTAGCAGAAGATAACGCAGGGTCAGTTCTCGAGATGAATCGATTCATCACCCTCCGTCTCTGTCCGAAGGACGAGTGTTCCAACTACTACAAGCTCGGATGCTCTTCTGGATATGGAGACTATTTGATCACCATGGGAGATTATCTTGAAATCATGTCCGAGACATATTTCAAACAATACGTCGAATACTGTCAAACCTGTGAGGCTTGTCTATACCCAGACTCAAAACATAATAAGACTGACAGCAACAATGGGTACTATGGCTGGAATGAATACGCAACGGATGGTAATTCAGGAGGTAACTGTCGATACTCGGGGGTTTGTTCCAAATATCGGGCCGCATGTAAGGATTACAGTGAGCAAACATACCACCTGGAAGAATATTTTGAATGCAGCCCTGTGAGCATGGGAGACTCGTATGTCTATTTGGGTCCCCATTGTGGCAGCGATGGAAAATCACTCGGAATCGGTGTGTATTCAGATGAATACTGCAACGAATATACAAAAGATCTGACGGAAATCAGCAGCTACTTTGGCATGGACATTGATGACGGCTACATGAAGCCTTTTCACTCTAACAACTGCATTTCTTGTGTTGCTTCTGAAGGCTATGTTCTCGATGCAAATCAGGCTGGAGATGGTATCAACGATGTTTGCTACGATATCTATGGAGCTGCTGCCAAGTGCAACAAGTATATGGGCCTTGATGAGGACGCTAATGTAAGAGTCTGAAAAGCGATGCACTTTGAATCTGTCATGACAGTTGGAACTAAACCAAATGATTGCTAATGTTTCTCGAACTTTGAAGTCTGAGGTACAGGAAGCCAACGAAGAAAGTGTTTGCACTTTCATTCACAACGTCATGACAAATTCATACGATGAATTTGGTGAAATCTATCTCGGTCGTGGTGGTATAGGATCGTACATTCGCGCTGCAGCTACAGTGGACGGCAGTCAACGGCACGTTCTCGTATTCTCAATGCTCCTAGTATCTGGTCTAGGGGCTTACGCCGCATATTTGCATCGAATGGTTTGCAGAAGCAAATATCCATGGCTCCCCAGGCGCGGTTATTCCACAGATCCAAAATCTGACCCAGCGATGCTTGGAAGAGATCACTCAGGGATCCTTTCCGGAAGATCCTTTGAGAAAGGTGCCTATGCGTAGCCTCATCACATTTTATTTCAGTTGCTGGGAAAGAGCTACTACTAAATAAAACTTGTAACAGTTAGACTATTGTATTCATAATGATATTCTGGTATGTGAGTGAGTACCTAGCTAGGTCTACCACCAGCCAGGTCGAACATTTTTGGTACACGTAGTGTACGGTATCGTACATTACCAGGAGGCATACAAATAATCCGCGAATATGCCGACACGCTCGCTCCAGTGTAACGGCATGATTATAGTCTGGCACGCGCCCACATTTTGGAGATATTTGGAGATCGCCAAATTCCGCGAAACCAGGAACTTGACAACAACAGTCAACAAGAACCTGTTCTTGACCATGAGAATCTTTGTTTTTCTCGCCGCATTGGCGGTACTACCAAGTGTTTATGCGGGCAGTGCTTCTGTCCGGGAGAGTCGAAAGATGACGCTTGAATTTATGGCTGCAATGCATTCAAACCCAAAAATTGCTCAAGGAAGTAAAATGGGCCGCCGCCGGCTGCATATTGAAGAAAGGCAGCGCAAACTTCGAGAAAGCATCATGAAGAAGGCACGTAAGCTTTCCAATAATCAAGGGGGGTATCAGCAGTCTCAGCAGTCTCAGCAGCAGAATGGGGGACAATCTTACGGATGGCAAAGTGAATATCAATATCAGAATGATTACAAGTACGGAGGAGATTACAACTACAATAACGTGCAAATGAACGACGGGGGAAGCTACAGCAATGGACAATGGAACGGTCAAGGGGTTAATGGAAAGTATCTCAACAACAAGGGATATGATAGCAGCAACTACGAAGGAGCAGATGGAAATTGGGGCGGAAACTGGGCGTCTGAGTACAATGGCGATTTCGACATGAGTTCCAGATCCTTCAAGTATGCTGGATGTGCATCAATTAAGAGTTTTGACGAATATTATGCAATGCAGAGTACAACACTTGATCCTTTCAAGACGCAGACCTATGTCACCTTCCGATTATGTCCAGCTGACAGCTGCAACAAGTACTCCCTTATGGGTTGCTCCAAGAACTACGGAGAGTACGTCGTAGAAATGGAGTCTTATCTGGAATCAATCATGGAATACTATTCGCAGCGCTATGAAGAATATTGTGAGTATTGTTTGACATGTGACAGCGAAGTACAGCTCGAAGCGACTGAAGTTCTACAACAGTGCTATTTCGAGAAAACAATGGAGTCCATGAGCCAGAACAGTAACAGTCAGAGCTCCTATGCGAACAGCAATTCAAACAGCAAGAACAACTACGATACGGTTTATAATAATGGAAACGGCTTGCAGAGTAGCAGCTACCAAACCTCCGATGGAAACAGAAAGTTGTACTATGACTACAACAGTGCCAATGGAGGTCAATCTGACAACAGTGCTGGTACGACTTACTCCAAGTCCATGTACGATGGAAATGGGTACTGGTCTAATGGAGAGTTTACTGAAGGATACTGGAAGGATGGACTGTTCTATCAATATGATGAAGAAATTGAGTCTGCCATTAAAAATTGCAAAAAGAACCAATACGAAGGAAATTATCAGGACTACGATTGTTCGCACTTGAATGATTGTGATGAGCAAAACCAAATGGATTACCCACCTTGCGATAGCGATGTGTGTGGTGATTACTACAAGTACTGTACTGAGCTACATGGTAACGTCAAGAATCAAACAACGTCCGCCAACACAGACTTTATGAGCTGTACTCCATTCGAGAGTTTCTCCTTTGTCAAGGAGAAGAACGTCCAGACAGTTCAAAACGGTGACGAAGAATATGTCAAATACAAGTACAAGCGTTACCAATATTATGACGAAGAACAACAAGGTGTCATGTTTTACATTGGACCCCACTGTTCCGACGATCACTACCATTTGACACTTGGAGTTTTCTCTGATGAGAACTGCGCCGACTACATTGGTGATCAGGTGTCCGTTTCCAAAGTGCTCGGCTTTGATTTTGACGATACAAATGTATTTCAGCTTCCAGAGGAATGTCTTTCTTGCGATGGTATGACAGAAGCCTCAGGATATAGTGGAAACAACCAGGGAGCTGATAAGTATAACGACGACAACTTTGCAAGCAAGCAATCGGGTTACTACAAGAGCTATAACGCTGATGGCTCGGCGAGCTATCAATACAGCGATGAATACCAGCAATACAACCAACAATACGGTGACGGTAATGACGACCAGTTCAGCGGCTATGGCGGAAACCAGAAAGCCTATGGATCCAATGCGAATTACTACTCCACATACGTTCAGGCCCCTGACACTGATGAAGATGGAATTGTAGCCATGTGTTCCACGCTCTACAGTGCTAGTGCGCAATGTAACAAAAACTTAAAGAGTTATTCGACATACTCTCAGTACATGGTAAGTACTGCATTGTCAGAATTGATTTACCTATAAAGGCGATACTAATTGCACCTCACTTTCCCCCCCCTCCTTTTCAGACTCGATATGAACTTGATATCGAAGCCAGATACTGCACATTTATCAATAACATCAATTCAGGAACATTTGACAGCGAAGGCCACATCATCACTGATGGCAATATCTTCAATGCCAAGACTTGGAGGAGGCAAAAGTATGGATCTCGAATGACAGTAGGACAAGGAGTTCTCCTTACATTCAGCGTACTAGTATGTGCATCGTTGGCCACGGTCATTGTCTACTTCCACAAGCTGATTCGAACCAGACGGGAATCCCCTTGGAGACCACAAAAAGAGATTAATCTCGAAGGCATGACTATCGTTGGACCCCCCATCGGAGCACAATTGGGTGGCTCGCCCAGATCGTATGGAGCAGACAATGCCTCTCCGTACGCAGCAGGCAATGCCCCTCTCATATACTAGGGACTGGCATTGCCTTAGGCGCCTTGCAGGGTTTGGCGGCCAAGTGGCATGTGGTATGTATGATAATAATAATGAAATAAGAATGAGCACTCGGATTCGTTCCGAGCTAATGAAAATAATCCGTTGACAGAAAGCGTTCTTGTCCATTACTTCCCAATACTCGCAGCTGTCCATCCGGCTGTATGTCGTTGACGTGGACAACCTCCCCCGTATTGCGAATGGTATAGGGAACACCCAGCTGCGCGTACATCTTCCATCTCGCAACGATCGAATCAGTAGTACTAGAAGATGAATGTATCGTCGTTAGGAATTCCAATAGACCATTGGCAATGCTAACGCCCAACTCGGGGGCGGTCGGAATTATAGTGTTCGAGCAAAACATTTGTAAGGACCCCGCCGATCGTGGAACGGCAAGGGCATCCTCACGTTCCTGAACTAGCTCTTTTGGATGTGATTGAAGATTGACTCCAATCCCCACCAACCACCAAGTTTGGTTTTGGATGGTAAAGTTTTCAATCAAAGTCCCTGCCACTTTCATTTCATCCAACAAGACATCGTTGGGCCACTTGAGGGTAGGTTTGGTCCGCGAGCAGTGCAAGGCCAATTGATCAGCAATGACAATTTCACAACCTAGTGGCAGCATGGTGATTTTGGAAAGTGGAATTTGCTCCACCGCAAAGGCACATGTCAAGAACAAATTACCTTGTGTTGTGACCCAAGAGCGACCAGATGTTCCACGGCCTTTCGTTTGTCCATCGGCAAGAACGGCAATCATAGTGGGTAATAGTTTAGAAGAAGTATCTTCCTGTTTCGAGATGCGTTCTTGTAGGATTCGTTTGGCTTCCTCTTGTGTTGATTCCACCGTTTTGTGCAAATGAATGACTTCCATTTTCTCAGATGAAAAGACGATCGATTCTTCAAGGTTTTCTTGTCCTATCTTGTTGGCAAGTGTTCGACAAGAAGTCCAGATAGAGGAATGTCTCGTTGTTGTTCCAAGAACAATGTGCTTTGTCACTGTACAATGTGACAGAGAAACGTAGCTGCAAGCAAAGCTTGAGATCCAGCTCTTTGGTATAGTCAATCGAGGTAACCCAAACAGCATTCGAAAACTGAGTGCTGTAACAAGTTGGTATGTGGGTCACCGAGTACTGGCAACCATCCATCAATTGAATAATGGTTGGAAGAAGTATCTTCGCTTCAATTTTCAATCATCTAACGTAGACGAAAGCTCGAGAACGAATCATTGGATTCCTTTCATCATACTGACGACGGTCGAACGACCGTCTCAACATCATTGCTCCGCAACACCAAGTCCGATCAATTTATCGAACTTGTGTGCGAGTATACATCAAGAAATACGTTTATTTCTTTCTTTGATGACAGATGGAGATGCAATTGGTAATAAACCATTCAATCGTGATGCTTGGAAAATTCTTTTCTTTCCAACCATGTCTGCTTGTCCTGTGGGTTTTGTTTGGCCTGCGAACGGCGGTTTTGATGAATTTCAGAATAGTATTGCTAATCGGAAAAAGGTCTTCTTGGGTCTTCTTCATCTAATGAAGACACGAAAGCCAATTATTGAATCTTGGTTCACGGCCGTTAAAGATAGTCCTGCAAGTTTTGCTGTCCCTGTTGTGGATGCTATGCCACTCTGGTATTCTTTCCCCACCAAGGAAGATCTCGACAACGATCAAGTTTTGGATAAGGCTTTGCTCTCCCCATTCCAAGAACAAATGGATCGTTTCCTCAGAAGCCATCTCATGCAAATCATTTATCGCAGTGCCTCTTTGCCAACGTCGCCTCTTGGATTCAAGATGCGTGCTCGTGTCAAGATGCACAACATGCGTGTGTCGGATTCCTTTCCTGAAGCTTTGGGTACAACTTTACCTGCTGAATGTCAAGCCTTTGTCAACTACCTCTTCCCATATGAAGATGAAGAAAGGTCATGGGATGGTCGTGTATCCAAATGGTACAAGTTGCTGGATTTAGATCCTGGGAGTGAGGTTCCGGAATCGTACTTGCAATATACACCTCGACCACTCCCATCCTCTGCTCAAGATCCTGAAGGATATGTTGCCCAACGGTTGCCGTTGCCTAGTGCAGCACCTGCCGGTCTGCCTGTGGATGATGACATGGCAGAGTTCATTCAGGCGGCTAAGCGCCACAAGCCTAGCTTGCGTCAAGCACCAATTCGTACACCGGTACCAGCTCGTGGAGATTTGATCGTCCTTACTGAGGATGGTCATTTCGAAGATGGGCACGGAACTAATTATGAGCCACCTGAAGATCATGCTGGGACCCAATCTTTTGCGGATAGACAGCTGCCAGCGGTGACGCCATCTCCTTTGCAAAATCGTCACATGGGTGTCAATCATCCCAATTCCAATTGTTTCCACGATGCCACAGGAGGTAATCCGTTTGCTGGTGTTATGAACGGTACAAACATACCACTCCAGTCGCCAGCCCAAGGTATGCCTCCTAATGGAATCCACAATTCAACATGGAATTCTCCATTTCAACAAGGTCCACGAGTCCAAATTGATCCTACCCCTCGGGGCCCGTCCCCGTTTGCTGGACATAACACAGGATTGCCGACGCCTGGGTTGCCAACACCGATGCACCATCAACAGATGTTTCCAGCATCGCCAGGGATACCTTCTCCTCACATGTATACTGCTTCGCATCCAAACCTATCTTATCCCGCAGGGTACGGAAGTGCAATGTATCCGATGGGTTATTATCCGGCCCATCCCGGATTCACCACAAACAAGCCAAATTTGCGGTCCAAATATACCCCTGTGCGGACTGCCAGTATTAACTCGGACATGGAGCGCATTTGTTGCCCCCCGGAATTGAAGGCAATTGGATATTGGTTGTTGCATCCAGTCCCTCCTACGGTGGGGATGGTGCGAACATCTCTCGGTGATCGAATGGCATCTGACGTTCTCCAATTTGGACTACCAACAGAAATTGGGCGTAGATGTCTGGAAGGTTTTGATTACAAAAATGATGGCAGTGTGGCTGCGAATATTGTTTGTACGGCTATAGAGTACCGAACCAAATACCAATTTGGAACATTCTCGCAAGTTGGAGAGCTACAATGTGATTTGCGGTCCGTAATGGACAGCGCCTTCATCAAGCGTAGTTTTGATATTGCTACATGGTGGGTGGATCCTGACAGCGCTCCACCACCAGGAACGTCCAAACGGTTTTCATTGCTAGCATTCCTACCCTGTATTTCGGAAGACTTTTCTTCTGATTACCTACCAAGTGACGGATTAAGTTGGCAGCAGATGAAAGAATTTGCAATGGTGATATACTATCATTTTGCACTCTTGGGCTCTACAAACCCAACTTCGGATAACGGAGATTACAATGATGAACTTTTCTGCAGTTCACTCTTTGGTCATTGTTTGCGACACATATGTCAATATGTCCTGAACACAAATTTGGGTCGTAGATGGGCTCAGACACCTGCACAGTGTACAGCTGCTTACGTTCGCGATTTAAGTGAACTATTTCACATTCTGAAGAAGTTCGTTGACCATCGTATTGGACATGATGTGGAAAATTATGGTATTAGTGATGCGTGGCCCACAAATGACCGTAATGCAGTATTTATGTCGGTGCCGTCAAAAACGAATAGTGCAGGTTTTATGGCTCAGACGGAGAGTGTAGTAAATGTTCTTCATGACTACTATACTCGCATACAGCGCAATTGGGGAGCTGGTCGGTATACTGCTCCAAACGAATGTTCGTGGGCGATGTCTTCTTCACCTTTCTTTGCCCCTGAAAAAGCTGCGCCTTCACGGCTTTTGGACCTACCAAAGCCAAAGACGACGGAGCGTACTCGGGATGATAAAGAGAATGTTCCCTTTCGTAACACCAGTCCACTATTTGTGTGGAATCATACTGTCACTCCTTTGGGAAAGAAATCTCCGTCGGAAATGTTATACCCAGTGGTCCAACGGGGCACCTATCCCTTGATTGTGGATCCTCACGCTAAACGCACTTCTGGTAAGAACACATTGTATCCCATCTGTTTAAATTCCACCTTTGAGGGCCATTGTACTTGTTCCAAACCCGGGACTTGTAAGACCCACAAGGTGGGCCGCTATGCTGGCAAAACTCGTCTTCATATCGATTTGAATGATGCGCGTTGGTCCGCGGCCACCTACAAAGAAGAGGATTGGAAGCCAATTGTCGATTTCATAAAGAAGTATCACGATCATATTTTGCCGAGCAAGGCATTCAAGAAACTGACTCCAAGTACAACTTGGTGATGGGATCCACTGGTACCCGAAGGGGCCCAGCTTGTGGAGCACGACTCCAAGCCAGTGGTATCAGACAGAGTAAAGATCATGGTTCCCCCAAGGCGTCGGTTTCACAAGACACCACCAGCTCGGATCAAAAACAGATGGCCTGGAGATTGGGACTGGCAATATCTTCCGATTCGTGAGTTGCCTCTTAAGACTGTGCCGTGTCTACCATGGGGAAAAGAAAAGAAATTCAACACTCCTACTAAGACGCTACATGAAAATATTCCTGGAAATGGACAAGTTCAGCCGACATTTATGCTGATTGCCCACCTGGTACAGGCAAGCAACTATTTGGATGAAACAGATTATAACGTGCTGACCCTGGTGACTCCGGCTTTGGCGAAAAATTCTCTGCTTTTGGAGTTTCCCTTCTCTCGTCCTTGGAAGACTACTCGCAAAAGACAATGGGGTTTTGGAAAAGTACACAAAGATCGCTACAGCACCCACGCAAAGGTCAACCCTCGATCCATGATTCATTATGCTTGGGGCTTTCTGTCGACAGTGGATAGACACAACGTGATTATTGCGTTGCCTCAGTGGCGTCAATATGCCTCTCTTCGTCGCTTTGCCTCTGTCACTTCGCTGGCTTGTTTGAAAGAACCACGTGTTCTACCAACAACGGGTATTCCGACAAGGTTGGATCCTACACGGGCAAAGCTCAATTCTGCGGGTCTTCTTCGTTTCGATTTTCTACATGGGGATTTCATTCGTTGGTTGGGTGGCGAATACGTCAATTCTGATCGAGATTTCAACGCAGAATGGGATGTCATTGACTCTACTTTGCATAACAAAGAGGTTCCGGCTGAATACCCACCACTCAAACTTGAAATGGCTTATCGCATCCAAACTGAGGGTGTTCCTATCAAAGCCCAATACACAACTCCTATGTCTGCTACTGTCCTTAGAGAAGAATATGATAACCATCCAGCAGTTGCTGCCAATTCTTCCAAAGTTGAGGAGAAGTTTGCAAAAGAAGAATGGAAGGCTTATCATATTCACTATTTACGGTTTGTGTTCCAATTCATCCCAGGTCTGGTTATTAATCCTATCCAGTGGGTTTTTGACAAAGGTAAAGGTCGGATTTGCATTGACTGTTCCAATGGTCCTGACGACTTAGGATCAATCAACACCTATATCCCCAAACCAAAGCAAGATAAGTCCGGTGAGCAGTGCCCTCCAATCCACTACCAGTTTGCGTTCAAGAGGTTTCTACGTCAAGTTCTCCGTATGCGCATCACCAAACCGACAAGTCCTATTTTGGTTCATGCTGACGATATTGAAGCCGCCTTTCGACGTGTGCTTTATCATCCAGATGTAGCTGTGGCATTTGCATATGTATACTCAGACTACTTGATTGTCCCAGTGGGCCAGGTGTTTGGTTCAAGGAATGCTCCATCATTCTACTGTGTTCTTGCCGACCTACGGGAGGTCTTGGCAACTTGTCGTGTTGATGTTCCTTTGGACAAATTACATGCGCTGGTCCGTAAATGTACCATTGCCGTTGATACTTCTACTCCTTTGTGCACGGTCCCTGCTGATTCCCATCACCCACCGTTGTCTGTGACCGAACTTGTTCGAATGTACAATGCTAGCTATGTTGACGACAATGCAGTTGCCGCCTTTGCTGAACATATCAAGCAAGCAATCAATCACAGTGTGATGTCTGCCTTTGAGGTTTTTGGTCATGGTGATAAGCGCCGTGGTGACTGCCTCCAGGACAAAAAGTGGGAACCTGAGGTTACAGAAACCTTTTTGTTTCTAGGATTTCGTATCAATACACACAATATGACGGTTTCTTGGCCACTCTACAAACGGGAAGACTTGCACTCACAGTTGTTGGACATCCTGAAACGTCGTCCACGTTGCGTTTCTCCTCGTGAGATGGCAAAGATTGTTGGTATTGTCCGATCTGCATCTGAAATTGCACCATGGGGCAATTTCTTGAGCTTTAACTTGCAAAATGCACTGACACAGGCTGCCAAGAATGCCTTCTCCGACAAACGAAGCTGGTGGACATGTTCTCGTATCTACCTATCGCGTGTGGCAGTTGCTACAATCCATCAACTGTTGGAGACATTATTGGCGCCTGAGGACAGCCCACTTTGGTCTCGGCCTATCGCTTTGTACCTGGATCGTGACTACACTCATCGTGCATATTCCGACGCAAGCTATGGTGGCTTGGGTGGCTGGAGTGCTGATTTCAGTTTCCTCTGGCGCCTGACCCGTGATACTCTTGTCGAAGCAGGTTTTGAGATGCGTGAAATAAAAATCTCATCTAATGACCCAGCGTTACCTGATGGTTTCTTACACATCAACCCATTGGAATATCTGGGTGCACTCATCAACCTTTGGATCTGCATCAAATGTGTGATACTTCTCGGCCCCATCGATGGGGGCTACATTTTAGCTTTATTGATCGATAATACAACGGCTGTGTCTTGGATGTCGACAGCATCCAGGACAAAAGATCCTCTTCTACAGGGACTGGCTCGAATAGGTTCTGCATTGCTTGTTGAAGCCTCTCAATTACTCATGAAAGTTTGTCCCAAACATCATCCTGGAAATCAGAACGGAGCAGCGGACGCCCTAAGTCGACCACAACTTCAAGGAAAAGATCACGAGAATTCATTGGCCTCCGTTATCGCGGAATGGTCCCAACTACAGACATGTCGCATCTGCCTTCTGCCTTTCGAACTGCTGTCCAAGATTGCATTGACGCTGAAAGAACCGCCGACAGGGGATCAGTACGGGCGCGTAACGACAGATCTTTTGACTCTCGAGCCCAATTTTTTGCCAATTGGTGCATCAGACAAGAACTTTCCGAGCACGATTTACAAAAGTTAGATGATGCCGGTTGCATCCTTGTACTTGGCACTTATCTTCGTGATGTCAAACGAGGTGACAACTCCAAAGAAAAAGAGGATTTGAAAGCGGATACACTTCGTAACTATTTGTCAACAGCTCACAAATACTTGCAATATCGCTTAGGTCGCCCTATCCAAGTTATGGATCCTGCTTATGGCGGCAAGCAAAATCGGTATCACCCATTTCTCTTTCAGCAAATTCATGATCGTCGTTGTTGGCAACAGAAAAATGAACGATACGAACCATTTACCATGGAAATGTTTGTTGCGTTGCAACAATGGCTTGCTAACTCACCAGATCCCACTGCCACATTCCTTGGTAAGGTACACTGTGTATATGATTGGACCCGCTTAGGTATTTTCACTGGTTTTCGGGCCAGTGAATATTCTCAAGGCGATTTAGACCGTGGAAAACTGTTCAATACAATCCCACACAAAAATGATGTTCCCAAAGCGTTCCGGGGAATGCCACTTGCTATGATGGCTATCGATTTTCGTTTCTTTGACAAGGATTATGTGTTGATCCCACACCATCATCTGGTAACACGATACAACCGTGGTGATGTTGTGTGGCTTGAGCTTTGTTGGCGTTATGATAAGAGTGCTTTCAACTTTGTGAAGAAGCGCTTCAAGATCACTGGCCACCAAATTTACTGTCCTGTCGATGCTGCTGTTTGTATCATTCGTCGCAAGACAATGCTTGGTGTGCCTGGCACTTGCCCTATTGGCGTATGGAGTTCTGGCACCATGTCTTCTTATCACTTCTTAAAATCCAGGGAGGTCTCTGAAGTGATGCGCCGTTCCGTTGATTTGGCATATCCCAATCCAAACCACTATATGCGGATTAACCGGCATCTAATTGTTCCTCATTCCAATCGGGTCACCGCAGCAGTGTGCTTACAAAAAGGTGGAGCCAATAATGACGAAATCGCGTTTCGATTACGCTGGCTTCCGAGCTCTGTGCCCACCTACCTCCGCGACTGCTTTCAATCCATTGGTGACACGCTTGAGCGAACAATTCAAGGGGCAATGAAGTTGACATTTTCTTCTTCTTCTTCTCCTTCTTCTTAGATCCATCTTTCCTTCCGATCTTTCTTCTTTCCTATTTCTTCCTGTTTTCTTCCATCTTGTTTCTTCTATGGCGTCTCGTGTGTTGTGGTGGTTGGTTGATTACACCATGATCATCAACTTTTGGTAGGCAAGCAAGTCTCTGATATTCCGCTTTGCGGGATATCAAAGACTGGTCTTCTGGAACCGCACGCTTCGCGCGCAATCCAAAAGACCAGCTTCACACCACAACCCACCAGAGTCACACCAAGAAAGAATCTCTCACGGAAGAAACCAGGCGGTAGGCGCCAGTTGGCTATCTTCGATAGTCTAACGTAGACGAAAGCTCGAGAACGAATCATTGGATTCCTTTCATCATACTGACGACGGTCGAACGACCGTCTCAACATCATTGCTCCGCAACACCAAGTCCGATCAATTTATCGAACTTGTGTGCGAGTATACATCAAGAAATACGTTTATTTCTTTCTTTCCCTCCCTCCACATCCCTGTTAGGCCATGCATTGCTGCAATTTGCATCAATGCATGACCTAGTAGGCAAGCAAGTCTCTGATATTCCGCTTTGCGGGATATCAAAGACTGGTCTTCTGGAACCGCACGCTTCGCGCGCAATCCAAAAGACCAGCTTCACACCACAACCCACCAGAGTCACACCAAGAAAGAATCTCTCACGGAAGAAACCAGGCGGTAGGCGCCAGTTGGCTATCTTCGATAGGCATAATGACCCATCTGACCAAGGATATTTTGATGCCAGTTTCTCCATGCGACATTGTGCCTTATTGTGACTGTTCATTTTACGCTATTGACATGGTTCACCAGAAAGTGCAAGCCCAGCAAGTATATTGTTGTTTCGCCCTTCCGTAATTTTATCAATACTATGATGTTAAAAGACGATGAATCTTGCTAGTTGTTATCAAGAAGCATCTGCCACTTTTGGTTTGTTTGTCTGATTATTCCTTTCCTGCTGCTGTTTTTGTTCTTGTTGGTCCACCAATTGTTGCTCCCAATCTCGCAACTCGCAGTACTTGGGGTCCCGAAATTTGGGCTTGAAACACGTTTGTCGATTCTTTTGCAGCAAAATAATCAAATCCGCAATCAGTGGCCCATTAATTTTCATCAAATGTACCGGTTCGGCAATGAGCAAGGTGGGCAACCGAATCATGAGCCGCAACAAAAATTCGCATCCGTAAATCTGACATGGAGATTTGCCTTTGCAATTGGGATCATTTTGGAGGGAATTGTATTGGGGTCGTTCTTCGGGATAGAGCAAGACTAATGGGAGTGCTGAATCAAAGACCATCCCCAGTCCATGACAAAAGGCTTTGATCTGCTCTCGTTTGGATTCGGTTTCCGCCGAGCCAGTTCGTTTCTTTTGGTAATGCAAGAGTGCTTGTTGTACCGTGACGGTGGCGGGCAAATTGTGAACGCTACGGGGCGGTAGCGAGATCGAGTTGTGGTCGTAAAATTTTGGATTGACATAGCCCTTGCGGGTAACCTTGTCCCCCTCGTCCACCACTACCGTTTTGAGTGTAAAGGGCAACTCGCAGTACCCTTGGTAGGCCGCAATTCGTTTCTCCGCAAATTCGCGAGTGTACTCCCCGTTGGGTGGCATATTTTCGTCACCCTTTCGTCGCTTTTTGCGTGCCGAATCATTTAGCTTTTCCTTGCGTTTCTTCTTTTGTTCGGCTTGATGTTGTTGGACGGCAATGTCCTTTTTCTGGAGATACAAGGCTCGATTCTCTTGAGTATCCTCGCAAAGGTCCTCTGCATTCACCCAACGATCCCATCTAGAACTCCATCCGTGATAGTGCACAAAGAATTCCCACTCATCGTTGCCGAGTGCCTTCAATTTGATGACCTTGGCTTCGTAAAAGTGAGCTCCGTTGCTGACATCTCGACACAAGACTTTTTGGTTGATCCGAAAGGCAGGCGGGTTTTCATAGGAGTCATCATCATCATCATCACTGAGATCGGACTGGGTGCCATCGTCCATGTACATGGGCGAGGCAGCGGAAAATGGGGCTTGAGAAGAGGAGGACATCTGGGGCGACTGATAGTTTTATTTGTGTTTGTCGATGCGAAGGGATGGGATGATGAAACTCTAAGCAAATACAGAGTATTGAATCAATCAATCAATCAATAATCCTCGAGATCGAGCCTAATTGTGCAGTCTTCAATGTATAAGAAGTGTAACGGGGTGTTCTGGAAGGCAGACTACCTCAATAGGGCATTTATCTTAGAGTACCGGTGCCGGTACAAGAAGAAGAATGATGATTGCCACCACACAAATACTCTGTAGCAAGTTTCAACTTTTGTCGAGGATCGAAGAGGTTTGATGTGCGATCAGAAGGACGAATGAATGCATGAAGAATGCACAACTAACCGGCTGGCGGTTTCTTGACGTACGAAAACGTACTGGTACAGTTCAATGGTGGTACAATACGATATTGAAACCAATGCGCGGTTTCGGGGGAATACCAAACACATTGATTGGGACGAATCGTCCCCCACAAAATGAAGAATTCAACGGACGCCAAACACGAAAATTGTTTTTGCTTCCACTTCGTATCGAGCACCCATCAAAGTGATTGTAATCGGCGCTGCAGCCACGAACAAGAACAGCAACAAGAATAACACCAACAAAGACAATGAGGAACCCACTATCATCCTCGATAGCAGTTGCAGCCATAGCAGCATCTGTCATGATGAATGGCGTGGTTGCTGAGAATCTTGGAAAATTCTTTTCGAGCGAAATTGAAATCACGGTAGGTGCTTCTTGTGTCGTTGTCTTGAGTGTTTCGATTGTAGTTTGGAACGTTACCATAGAGGTGCAAAAGGATTCCAGCATGCATGAGATTTCGGTATCTGACACTCCTCTTTTTCATACTAGTCTCCGTCGTGGATGCAAGGAACATTGGATCACCGAGGAGCCCTTTATGGACCTTTTCCTGCAGGAACAACCGTGCAACACGAGCTATTTTATACGACTCGCAAGCTGTGTGGCGATGAAACACCCAGTCCACCCGATGCAGTCAAGCAGCAAGGATACTTTTTGCTGGTGGATCGAGGAGGATGTTCCTTTGTGGAAAAAGTGCGGAATGCCCAACGAGACAATGCCACGGCCGTCATCATTGCCGACAATCATTGTGTGTGTACCCGTCAGAGCGAAATGGATGGAACTGATGGCAGCATTGGTGGTGTATGTCCCAACGATCCAACCCAAGCCTGTGAAGATGTGGTTCCAGTCTTGGACGACGATGGAACAGGTGGGGATATCACCATTCCCTCCTTTATGATTTACAAACCAGATGCCGAGATATTGATTGAACAATTGAAACGTGGTACCGATGTGGAGGTGAATCTATCTTGGCCCATGCCCCAGGCAGTCAACGAACGGACCGAATTCGTCTTGTGGACGACCCCCGATGACATTATGAATCATCAATTCATCCACACCTTTGCCAATGCCGTCAAGGAACTGAGAAATCGGGCCATGTTCAAACCTAAAATGTTCATCAAAGATGGAACCGAAAAGGGATGTCGTCGATACGATGCGGTGGATCCTTGTCCAGGATACTGCACCAATTGGGGACGATACTGCCCATCTCGATTGTATGACTTTGATCAATACGAAAACAAGGGAGTCAAAATGGTGGTCGAGAGTCTGCGACGATCTTGTATTTGGGAAATTTATGGTGAACGGGATGGAATCGGAATGGAATGGTGGGACTACATGAAGGCTTGGATCTTGCAGTGTGGTGCTGGTAGCCAATATAGCGCCAAGTGTGCAGAGGACATTTATGTTCAAGCTGGAGTGGAAAAGAGCTTGGTGGAACAGTGCATGGAACAATCGGGAAACTTTCGACACAACGTGGAGAATGTACTCTTGGATACTGCCATTATCGAGGCGGCCGATTTTGATGTCACATTTGCACCCGCCTTGTACGTCAATGACGCAGTGGTTCGTGGGTCTCTTACCTTTGAGAATGCATTGGACGCCATTTGTGCTACTTTCCAAACGAGCAATTCGGTTCCCTTTTTGTGTTCCACTTGGGAGGATTGTAAAAAGACCTGTCCGGTTGATGAAGATTGCTATATTGAAAGCGGCGAATGTCGGATATACCAAGAACCAATCTTGGAAACACTGACAGTGTACGACAATGATGATTACATCTTTGAACAGTTTGGAAATCCCACTGATTCAACTCCCACAAATGCAATTCCAACCCGATCTCCGACGGTCGAACCTGTCGCTGCACAACAACCTACCCAGTCACCATTCAACATGTGGCAACCGGTGCGTACGGCTACGCCAGTGGCACCCACAGCAACAGAACCAACCCAACAGCCAGTGGCACCCACAGCAACAGAACCAACCCAACAGCCAGTGGCCAATCCAACCAGCACTCCAACGGAAAATCCCACACAACGACCAACTACCCATCCAACTACTAAGGTCACAAATCGGCCCACTGTGTCTCCTACAAAGCCAGAAGTCAAACCTGTGGCTGCACCACCCACGCCTGATTCCGGTTTCAAAGAAACCATCCAAATCTACGAAGGAAATCGTGGTGGTGAAGCTGGTCCAGACATTGCCCTCATTCTTGGACTCAGTATCGGTCTCGGCTGCGCCTTTTTGATTAGTCTCGCCATTTTCTTGATCTTGAGGGATCGTAATCGCCAAGAAGACTTGCGACAAATCTCTATGGAAGACAGCCGCAGCCTCGTGTCCCACAATTTCATGGACGAAGAATCTATGGGCAGAGGGCGTCGATTCCGCATGCCTCGCATGCCCCGAAGGCATCCCGATGAGCGCCGTTCGTTCCGAAAGCTTTTCCCTTCTCGACGACCCCGATTTGAGCCAAGACCTCCTACACGCAAATCGAGAAAGGCTTTTGATGAAGTCTGGGACGATCAACCGTCTCCCTTGGAACTGGATGTTGTAGAGCGAGTCAGAGGTGACTATGACGCTGATATTAGCGATCCAGATCGACCTACCATAGCGAGGGGACCAAAGCAACCTCCTCGTTGGACCCGTGATATGATTCCGGCCGACGACTCGTTCGAAGAAGAGTATTGAAAAAGATTTGCGTTGAGCAATTGGGGAATCGATGGGGGACTGTATTCAAAACGAATGAATAAATTGTAATCAAACAATTCAGTTATATTGTATACTAATAGCATTGGTTGTTATCTACTCGTTCTAGCGTTTTTCTAGGACATGTCATATTCTTGTCCAATCCCCTTTTCTTTGGCACTCTTGACGACTGCTTCTGCCGTCAAGACATCTTGAATGGCCGTTCCTACAGCCTTGTAGAAAATATATTTTGTGGAGCTACCAATCCCTTCTGGATTGACAAATGCATCTCCTGCCCTTGCCACAGGATGCTTGGTAGACTCGTAGCTTCCCAAATGTTGCAAATCCCCAACCGACATTGCGTCTGGAGTATCAATAACAACGTGTGAATCGTTCACAACATATTCGGGAATCTCTTGCATACCAGGTGTATAGGACCCAATTCCCGTAATGAGACATCCTTCTTTGAGTTGAACGTGTTCTTTCCACAGTGGTATCGTCGTGTTGGTAGTGGCTGCCACCACGTCCGCCTCTTGCAAGGCAGATGCAATGGCAGCAGTGTCGTCAAGTGCCGCCACTTGAATGGAATCATCCCCGCGATCCAGATTTTCTTTCAATCCCTGTGCTCGTTCCAATGATCGATTGATAATGGTAATTTTGGGTATTCTTCGTTGAATGGCCAGTTCCATGAGTTCAATATGCATTGCTGCTTGTGCACCGGCTCCAAACAAGACTAGATGTTGCAAATCAGGCTTGAATGTCTGGACCGCCAGTGCCGGTCCCGCACTCGTCCGAGCAACCGTCACATAGGTTCCACTAAGTGTAGCTTGGACAATCCCACTGGGTGGATCTACCAATAAGATGGAGGCCGGAACCAAGGGCAAACCATTGGAGGGGTTCTTGGCTCGCACACTGACCACTTTTAGGCCCATGGAAATATTATTGGAGTCTTCTTCTTGACCATAGAAGGCAGCTGGTTTTATCAAGGTCCAATCATCAGGATCACTACTACTGCCGTCACTCGTCTTTGGAGACGCTACACTGGGATGGTTGGGATAGGGCAGTCCGAGTCGACTCGGTACGAAACCTTTGCCTTGACAGATGGATATCAGGGCTCGTTTGTTGACTTCTAAGCATTGATTGAGATCAAGCGCTTTTCGGACATCACGTTCACCCAGTAGAAACATTTTGCTTAGCCTTGTCAAGGATTGTCGCATTTGGATGTTGAACGAAGGATGATTTCGATTGGTTCTGTTGTGTTACTGTTCTAGCTATATACGGTACTCTAGTAGCAGCTCTAGCTAGCTATGGATCTTTCCGGCTTATTCGACCCGTTCGACTACCCAAAAGTCACTCTTAACGGATGCCTCCGTTGCTGCTGAAGAATACAATAAGCGCAGCTGCAAGGATACATCCTTTGTTCCAGTGAAGCAATCCACACGAAGGTTAGCGACCAACCTCCTATACCTTTCACCACCTTATTACAGCAAGAAGGAAAACAAAACTCTTTGGTGTTAGTCAGTAGTCTTGCGCGTCGCTTATTCTCCAAAGACTCACTCGGCCACCCTCCACCCAAGCGTGCCATTTATTAATCTTTCCCCTGAAACACAACAACCATGGATGGTGGACTCGTAAAAGATGTCTTCAAAGGCGCCACAAAGGGTGTTAAGGGAGTTGGTAAGGGGGTGACAAAGGTTGCCTCCTCTACCACTAAGGGAGTTACCAAAGGTTCGTCGTTCCTTTGAAAGATGGCTTGGATTTGGGGTATCACGTGTTTGAAATTCTTTCTCTAATCATTATATTACGTCATCGCTCTACAGGTGTGACACAAACCACATTACTGGCTGCCAAAGGTAAGCTTCATTACTACGTGTGTAGAATTGTTGCACTATAAAGCATGCTCAACTTGATGACTTTTTCTTGTCGCTGTTCAGGTGTCTCCAATACTGCCAAATTTGCCACGTCTGGTGCCGTCCAGGGTGTCACCACCATCGGCGGTGTCGGTCTCAAAGCCACCAAGGGTGCTTTGAAAGTTACTGGTGTCAACAAGGTTTACAAGACTGTCACGGGTGCCACACCCAAAATCAAGAAGATCCGGGATGGAGACGATGAATATATAGAAGAAGAATACATTGAACAGAATGAATTCTTTGCCAACATGGACGAGGCTTCCGCTCTGAAGGCTAGTCACATTTTGTCTTCAGCAGGTACTCACCGTCTCAACAGAATTCTCCGCAAAACCAATGATGACGATGAAAACTTCAATGTGACGGGCTTGAACGACACCAATACCAAGAAAATTCATAAGGTTAGTGATCCAAGAAACTTTGCGGAAGTTTCCGAATTCGTCGCCAAGGTGGTCCTTCCGCCTCTGCGAGTGGATTCCAGATCAATTGGAGGCTCTAGTTTTACCGAATATCCAGACAACATGACAGTCGAGACTCTTTTGACCTTTAAGTGTCGGTCCTTTGAGTTTACAGGGGATGCCCACATTTCCGTCTCGTGTCTGCAGAACCCTGCTGGATATGCCAAACACAAGCGATCCTTGGGAATGATGGGCAAGGGAACTAAAGGACGCAATAAAGTGCACTACGTTGTCTTTGCTCGTTCTACCAACCGACCATTGATTAATAGTCATTTGACTAAAACGGAAGTCAAATCGGATATGCGGGAGTCCAATATAGACAGTGGTTACGACAAGATGTTTTCGCCTGGAGACGAAGAACCCTTTGATGAAGAGAAGGAAGAAAACATGTCCATCAAAGACGATGATGACAACCAAGACGGAGCAGGAGGAGAAGCAAATCGAGCCGGACAGGATGATTTGGATTCCGAAATTTCGTCCTTCCCAGTCATGTTGTGTATGACTTTAAATACGGATGGTGCCAATCCAGACATTCGAAAATTGGTTGAACTGGATCAGCTCACAACTGTACAGGATGTGACTGCTACTGTCGTCCAATTGACTTTCCAAAATGGACACACCATTCGATATGATTTCAGTGAGGAAGATGAAGATAAGGCTGTTGAAGCCGGTTTGATTAAGGAGCGATTCATCTGGTCACTCTTGCAAGTGCACGCCATGCTTTGCGTTTCCGTTGTGGAACGAAGCACCATGGGCGATCCGGAAGCTAAGGAAAGGAACATCTTGCCACCATTGAATATCAGAAACTTGGATCGGGCAGAACTTCAGTATATTGCTACAGTGAATAACTTTTTGCGTTCTTCTAAGAGTCTTGCTGCTCTTTTGGATCGACAACAAGAGCTTGCTCGCGGAGAGAAGGATGGCGGCCAAGGACAGATGATTGAGAATGGGGAAGAAGAAAAGGCTGATGAGGGCCGCGACGTTATGGCATATGATTTGATGATGGGTAACTTTGCCACTCGAGTAGCCATCTTTCAATCGGCAGATGAACGTGCCGAGGCAGAAGAAGTGCTCAACTCGACCGAGTGGACGCTTTCTCTGAATAGCGAAGAAAGTGCAGCCGCCACAGCTGCAGAGCGCCTTTCATTGGTTCTTCAAAGGCGAATGCGTGATTTGGAGGCTGAAACTTGTAGGCGACTTATTGCTTGGGAGGACGAGAAGCATTATTCGATGACTGGACACGTCGGACCGAATTCCAGCCGTGATACTGTTGATGCTTTGTCGTTGCAGCATCTATTCACCACGCTGGAGAGTCTAGACGCAGAACTTGCAGAAATGGAAGGATGGCTCGACGAAAGAGTTTTGGCCATCAAGCCCCTGACGGATGATTGTAGAGATATCGAAGAAGAGAATCGGCAGTTGGAGCAACAGTGGAAGTCTTACGATTTGCTGGGATCTGAGATGAAACGACTGCTACAAGGTCTTACAATTCAAGAGGATCTTGAAATGATTCTCAGTAACCCAGCTGGTGCACTAGTCTACGATGATGGTGGTAACATTCAAGTCGCAGAAAGTGAAGGAGGCGTAGATCGTATCTACGAAGCCGGAAAGGCACTTCAACAAGCGACAGAGCACGCAGAAAAGGCTGGAGGTGTGCATCTTCGTGCTGTCAGTGAAAGAGTCGAGAAGCTTTCCAAGACAGGCGACTTTTTCTGCACGTCTTTGGCGCAAATTATTGTGACCATTATGGAACAATTCAAGACAATGGTTGTCGCTGGAAGTGACTATGGAAAGGTCTCCAAATCTGACACCCATTCCATGATTGCTAAGAAAGTTCGTGACACCCAGCGAAAGTTCCAAAGTTCACTGCTTGGGTACATCAAGCTCATCGAAGTACTGGCTTTGTTGGATCCAAAACTCCTTCCAGCCATTCGCGACGCTTATTCTGAGATGGTGTCCGAGGGCATTTTGATGAAGAAACGAATGAAGGGTTATTTCCAAGCCCTTCCAGGAAAGAATGCTGCGTACCTCAATAACGCTGCAAAGGATTTGGTCGAGTATTCTCCCGACGATTCACCTTTTAGTCATATGACAGTGAACGCCGAGGATATCAAATTTTCGATGAGCGAGTTGCTTCCCGTGGTCGCTCGTGAAGCTTACTTCACTGCTGCTCTTTTCGGTCTGAGCAACAAGGCGAAGGATGGAAGAGAGAAGAAGCGCAATTTTGAAGCCGCAAAAAAGAGTGTTGACCACTCCACACAATACTTCCGATACTACATTCAAAGAACCTGTGGTATCGCAGACGAGACTGAAAAAGACCCCGCTCAACGAATCAGAGGGGATCCGATGCTTTCTTTGGTTGCTTCCATCCACTTGAATGAGGCAATGGAGAATTACATTGATCGTGAGAAGAAGGGTGGAGACCATTCACTGTCTCTCGCGTACGTCCGCGCCACCATTTTGGACCTTCGAAAGAAAGTGGATAAGCAATGGGTTGCCTGGGTAGAGAATCAGATCGAGTGGATCCGAAGTAATCCAGGAGTTCCCATCAATGGAAAGAGAGCAGGAGTTTTTGCATCATTTTCAAGATTTCCATGCTATCTTGATCATATTCTTCTGTGTTGCCGAGAGGGAAGAAAAGACAACTTCACACCTGACCTTGCCAAGATTAAGGTCGTTAGTTACTATCTGCAGAAAATGGCCTCTGCTCTTTTGGAAAGTCTTCGTGATTGTGCGGAAAGGGAGGCAACTGATCAACAGTACGCTGCTAGCGTTATGCAAATGGAAAACAGCTACTACTTTACTCAAAGCATAAAAAACAGAGGCAGTGAGATTGCCGTACTCTTCCAGAAGCAAGTTACCAAGGCAAACACAGTTTGCAAGTCAAGCACTGATGCTTACCTTGGTTGGATGATTAAGAGAGAATTCAAGAGTCTACACGCACTGTTCTCCAACATCTCGAAGGTTAGAAGGGAAGTTGGCGACAGAGATGTCCCGATCCATGTTCCAAAGGCTACCTTCATTAGAACCCTTGCGAAAGAGTCCAACAGAGAGGTAATGAAAGAGAAGATCGCTGTTATCTATTCAAGAATGGAGAAGCACTTGTCTGAAGAAGGAGGCCTCCTGCCCGTTGCATGGAAAGCGCTTGTGAAGGTGCTGTATGAGTGGTTCGGAAGATGGGAGAAATTGAGTTCACAAATTTACAAACACGTTTTGGAGCCAAGTGCTGTGGACGTTGTCCGAATTGCCAAAGCAGCTGGAGCTAGCAGTGCCAAGGCCGATGATCGAAAGGTCCGATCAGAGGCAGAGTCGCGAGCTCGTCTGGAGAATCGGCGGGCTGATAGAACCAGGGCACAGGTCTAGTTGCGACAAGAGTAACATAGAAATTCATTGTTTTGTACTACAGTGACAGCGTCGTGAATTCGAAGGATAAATGGAAAAGTACCACCAGTATCGTGATGAACGACTCACAGGAGTTTGATTGCGGAACGATTAATCAGACGAGTCGACTATTTGACAACTCCATCCGCACATCTCGATCATCTCCCTGGCTCGGTTCTTCCTCGTGGTGCCTCAATCCTCCCATCAGCTTCCAAATGGCAGAAAGCAAGCGTATGGCAATGAAAAACGTAGTAACTGATGCAGATCAGGCCATCCTCGAAGAAAAATATGAGTTCATCCCCGGAAAGAAGAAACAAACATCATGGCAGGATCGAATGGTAGAAAGGTATCAAAGTGGCCTCTACAAGGAATATGCACTCGCAGATCTGAGTCGGCCTGGAAAAGTTGGCCTACGATGGCGAACCAAGAAAGAAGTTCTCGAAGGAATAGGCGAAAGGACCTGTGGCAACAAGGCATGCATGAACACAGATCTGTTGATTACCCTTCGTGTCCCCTTTGCTTACATTGAACAAGGAGTCTCAAAGATGGACATGGTCAAACTCCGGCTATGTCCCAAATGTGAGCCGTTTGTAACCAAAAAAAAATCGAGGAGAGTACCCCAATCAATTTCCAAGAAAACTGAAAGTGAAAAAGACGAGGACAAGCAAATCACAATGAAAGACACACATAGTGATGATTCGAATAAGGAGCAAGAATCATCTACAAAATCAGAAGAGGATAGTTCAAGTGAAAGATTTCCTAGCAAAGATAAAGGGGAAAGGAAGAGATATGATGATGAAGATGATGAAGATAAAAGGAGGAGCAGAAAACGAAAGAAAAGAAGCCATAGGTCGAGCGACTCTAGTAGAAAGTCCCATGACAGAAGATGATGATATTGTCATCTCTCGCTACAAAACTACATACCATCGCATAATCTTTGGGGCTAGCATTGAACGAGCAATCGTACTACCAGACTAGCAAATTCTCCTGCTCGCGATTCGACCTTTGAATGATGTCCCGATTTCATTCATTTATCGGCCAAAGCTGACCTTCATCACCACGAAGTCAGTGTCCACAACCTAGAAACTAAAATGCTTCTATTTACTTGCATCAGAGGAATGAATCAAAGAACCAGGTCTAGCACTGGTAGGCAGTACGTCAGGTAACAGGAAGTTACGGAAGAAGTCAGAAGTTATCAATAGAACTGTCTGTTTTCGTCCGAAATAACTTTCTGCAGGACAAAAATAAAAAATCGAACAAACAGAAATGACAAGGGACAAAGCAATCAAACGTCGGCTATGGGAAAGAGGAAACCACCAAATTCCTCTCAATTCCAAGGTTCAAGACACCAAGAAGGAGACCTACGATGAAATTTTTACAAAATTTGCAACAAAATCGCCCCAAATGCCACTCAGTTTACTCACTGCAAGAGGATTGATTGTGGGTCAGGAATTCATACTGACGTGCCTGCTGCTTGCAAGTCATCGAGTGGCACTGGACGATGAAAACAAGTCTCCAGAGTATCAACCAATATCGAACATTCTGTCTACTTTTCAGCCGACGACGCAACCGTATGTCTTGTTCGTTCCCTGGGTATCCTTTCTTTTAACTACTGCCATCTTTAGCCGAATCTCGCCAGACAGCGCTTCGATTACACAAAAAGAAAAGCTACAAACTCGAGGAGCAGACTCATTATTCATGGCACTGTTTCTAAGGTTTCTAGCTGGCGTTCTACAAACGCTAACGGCGTCGTATTCTTCGGATACTGTTCATGCTCTTGCAATTGGGGGTCTTGTTCTCCACTTGCTGGCATGTGATTTTGACTACGCAAATGGCCACACTGAAAGTAATGGAGTCGACACCACGGGGCGTCCGCCATTCAAAGGTGGTACACTTTCCCTGACGGCCGCTTTCTTCTCTACAATTCTACTCGCGAGTAGATTGGAGGAAAATGTTTCTGTCTACATTTTTGTCACCTATTCCGTGATTTTGTTTGCCCTCTATCCTGCAGCTCGGCATAGAGTTGCGATTGCGACAAAGTCGAAGTATAGAGCAGGTAAGTTTGGTGCATGATGATTCACGATGGCAAAACATCTCTAACAGAATACACTGCAGTTCCATTTGCAATGACTCTACAACTGGTGTTCATGACATTCCTACTGCTGAGTACCTATGAAGCCATCTTTGCTGGAGCTGTTTTTGTCACATTATGCCTCCTTGTTCCAGGTTGGGTTTACACCCTCCAATCATCAAAAACACAACTTCGTGGACCATGGGATATTGCCCATGTCTCATGACAATTTATGCATGCTTGGGTGATATCTTTGATGAAGTTGCTGCAAGTCAATTGACTAGCGAGGAGAATACCATACCAGAAACTTAAAATGAAGTCTACAGCAGATGGATCTGCCACGTTTGGCTCTGTGAGAAGAATTGAGACAATGCTCTAAGAGCCACCTAAGATGAAACTTACGGTGGAAAAATGTCTGATCGGGAGTACAACGTGGCACTCATCATTTCTGGTCGGAAGGTTCGATTTGAGTCGAAAAATCTAGCGGCACCTCAACCAAGGCCTCAGCCAAGCCTCAACCCTCCGATCTTTTTCTCATTGATGTGTGATGTCGGCGTTCTGTTTTTGATGAGAACCGTTTGAAAAATTTAAATATACAAAATCAATAAGATCCGACACATTCTTGCGCACCACAAACGGCTCGCTCACCAGTTTCTCGCTCGTGATTGGGTGCGCCCTTGTTCCTCACAAACGTCATCGACTTCTACAATCCTTTGAAATCGATTTTAAATGGAAGGGTCAACAGACTTGCCTTGGCACCATTCCATCATAATTCAGATCCAGCTAAACAGCGCTGCCAAACAACAAGCGAGGCAAATTAATAACAAGACATGAAATTCACGGCCGTCACAGTCCTAGCAATCGCTGCTTCAGCGTCTGGATTCTCATACCTTGAAAATCTTGGAAGTGCTGCCCCAGCAGTGTCCAATCCTGTTTCGTCGAATAAAGCACAAGACGCTCCTTTCTTTTTCACAAACCAAGCAGAGGAGACTGGCGACAGTGCTCCTTTCTTCTTCACCAATGGATCCACTGAGGCACAAGCCGCACAAATGAACGGATCAGGTATTCAATCATATCTTGATTCCGTTCCAAAGCAGAGTGGAGTCAGTGGGCCTGGAATGACTTCTTATTTGGACACTGTTCACAGAAACCCTCCAGTCGGAGGAGCAGGTATCACGTCTTACCTTGACTCCATGAGTGGAGCTGCTCCAGCACCTTACTCTCCTCCTGCTTCTACAGCTTACACTCCTCCAGCACGTCAAGCCAACACTCCTCCTGCCGCTGCCGCATCTACCCCAGCCTTCAGTTCGACTCCACCAAGTGGACGAGGAATTGCTAGCTACCTTGATACTGTTCCCAAGAACCCTTCTGTCAGTGGACCAGGAATCACTTCTTACCTTGATAGTGTGCCCAAGAACGCACCTGTCAGTGGACCGGGAATGTCGTCATACCTGAACACAGTCGGTGGTGGATCTGGTGGATCAGCACAAGCGTACGCTGCTCCCGCTGCGTCGACTCCAGCTGCATCTACACCTGCTGCTGCTGCCCAAGCTGCCCCAGCCTTCAGTTCGACTCCACCAAGTGGACGAGGAATTGCTAGCTATCTTGACACTGTCCCCAAGAACCCATCTGTCAGTGGACCAGGAATCACTTCTTACCTTGATAGTGTGCCCAAGAACGCACCTGTCAGTGGACCGGGAATGTCGTCATACCTAAACACTGTCGGTGGTGGATCTGGTGGATCAGCTCAAGCCTACTCTGCTCCAGTCGCGTCTACTCCAGCTGCATCAACCCCAGCTGCTGGTCAAGCTGCCCCAGCCTTCAGCTCTACTCCACCAAGTGGACGAGGAATTGCTAGCTATCTTGACACTGTCCCCAAGAACCCATCTGTCAGTGGCCCAGGAATCACTTCGTACCTCGACAGTGTCCCCAAGAATGCACCTGTCAGTGGACCAGGAATGTCGTCATACCTGAACACTGTCAGTGGATCTGCTCCAACGCCCTATTCTCCTCCTGCTTCTCAAGCCACTCAAGCATACTCTGCCCCCACACCCGCCCAAGCTGCTCCTGCTTTTGCTTCGACTCCACCAAGTGGACGTGGCATTGCTAGCTACCTTGACACCGTTCCCCAGAACCCTGCCGTTAGTGGAGCTGGAATTTCTTCATACCTAGACACCATCTAAAATCACAATGGTTGCTGATCGGAGTAGAATGCTCTATCCTGTAATTGCATTAATTATAGCTATATTGTTTACATGTTGTGTGAAAACGATGTTTGCACCTGATAGTTCTTCCCGGTTTTTGGTTCAAACTTCGGCGCAATTATTCTGTTTTCGCGCATGTTTTGCGCAACATAAAAAATATTTGTTTGCATTTCCCATCACAAATCAGCAAACATGGACGAAGCAGTACCAAGCTTCGAAGGCCTTTTGCCACCCAACCTAGAGTCAGTCATTGCAGGTTGGATCCATGATGACATGCCAAGCTTCGATGTAGGGGGGCTTGTTGTTGGATCTGACACAAAGGAAGCGAAGCTTCTCATGAAATCCTCAGGTGTTTTTGCAGGCAAGCCAAACAGAATGGACGGTATTTTTTTTGCTCTAGCTAGTCACGAATGTTCTCACGTCTTAGCAATAATGTTTTCCAGGCAAACCGTTTTTCACAAAAGTTTTTCAGATGCTGGACTGCAAGGTTGAGTGGGAAGAAATCGCAGTCGAGGGCAACAACATCGAAATCAGTGAAAAAGTTGTTTTCGCAACTGTCACGGGACCTGTGAACAAGATTCTTCAAGGGGAACGGACTGCTTTGAACACATTGAGCCGTTGCTCTGGAGTTGCAACTCTTTCTCGAGAAGCCGCAGATATAGCGAAAAATCTTGGTTGGAATGGCTGGGTTGCTGGTACCCGAAAAACAACACCTGGGTTTCGAATTGTTGAAAAGTACGGCCTTCTTGTGGGTGGTGCAGCCACTCACCGACTGGTACGTCCAATGTGTTGTGTTATTTGCTACAAGTACAGTCGAATGAAGGGCTCTAACATTGCAAAAGGATTTAAGTCAGATGGTCATGTTGAAAGACAACCACATTTGGGCCTCAGGATCAATAGAAAAAGCGGTCAAGCTTGCGAGGAAGGCTGCTGGTTTTTCACAGAAAATCGAAGTGGAGTGTCAGTCACTAGAAGAGGCTCTTGAAGCTGCCAAAGCCGGGGCTGATATTGTCATGCTTGATAACTTTACACCAGAGAATCTGCGAAAAGATGCCAAGACATTCAAGGAGCAATATCCACATGTCATCGTCGAGGCTAGTGGTGGGATTACGACTGAAAGCATGCCCGGATTTCTTTGCCCTGATATCGATGTCGTCTCGCAAGGAAAATTGACTCAGGGATACTCTTGTGTGGATTTTAGCTTAAAGATTGTCCATTAGATGTCAACTAAATGTTATATTTGCCTTTTTTTTGTTCAGGCTACCGAGAATGCTTCCTCATCGGCTGCGTCATTTGCTTTTGCATCAGCTTCTGACTTGTTTCAGCCGTGGCGTATGAAGCGCAGCGTCTGCGAGCTTGGTCGAGAAGTGATGGTTGTTCCTGATCCACTTGACCGAAGCTTTCGACTCGTTTCAAACTCGATCTTCGAGACATTTTGCCACTATCATTTCTTTGACTGAAAGCCTTTCTTGCTAACACTTCCATTTCCACAGGTTCACTTCTGGTTCGACGGTGATTCTTCCTCTGTGCAGGAGGGGTAGGGACCGGCGGCGTGTCCGTGCTCAATATCTTGTCTAGTCCATCCAAGTTCTTATTCCATGATGGCGGGCCTCTATTTTGAAGGTCTGTGACTGCCCTTTTGCTTGGTTCTGCGGGTTGAGCCACGAGATCACGGTGTCTCGGTGGTAGGCGGTTTTCGGTCGATTCCTTTCGAAAACGTTTGCTCTTTGCATCGAAGTCTGCCTCGATCGTCATTCGAGATACGCTTACGTCTCCTATGTGGTCGAGGACTTCACTACTTGACTCTGATACCTCATCGACAATGTGGTCAGACTCTGCTTCTGACTCGGACCCCAAAATGTCGTTGTCTTGTACTTCGTAATCGATGACGAATGGCCTCCCTTCCTTGCTACAAAAGTGAAGATTAGTGCACTTCGTGCAGCCCAACGAAGTGGTCGAATTTCAACTTACCCCGGTTCGCAAAGTACCTCCGGTGTCGCCATAATATCACCTCGGCTTCGTTGCTTGTCGTAGAATACAACTCTTCGAGAAATTTGGCAAGAAACGAAGACTGCCACTGTCAACAGTGGAAAAACAGCAGAGTAGTCTCCCGCAACTTTAATTCCTGCAGCACCATCACCTTCTGGATTGAATGCATCAATAGTCAAAGTCAAGATCAAAATGATTGCGATATGTGCTCGAAAGGTAACCACGTGTGTGCTACCCATGATGCATAAGAGACTATACAGCAAAGACCGTTAGCGACAAGGTAATCCTCAACCAAGATTACGAGCAAACCGATACTCACGCGACGCATGGGTAGGCCGAAAGGCTTGTTGATAGGCCAACACTTCTTGAGATTTGGGCCACAAAGTCAGTTAAAAAGTGTGACATGGCGCACCCAACGAAAAGCGGTCCCCAGAAATGTCCACCGACAATCCCAGTCCCAAGGCTCAATCCAGTTACAAAAGTCTTTGCTAGAGCAATAGCTTCATTGCAATGTGTTGGAATTCATCACATAAATAACGGACTGACAAACAATGAAGCCAACATACCAATTGAACACCCCAGAGTGAAACCGTTACCTTCGTTTGAATCATTGTTGCTTTCAATACAATACCCGAGGGAAACAAGGCCTGCCGAAGGATCATCGCCCCGCCCAAAAACAGGTAATGGGGTCCGGCCTTTATCGATTAATGTTTGTAGCTGAGCCTCGCCCCAAAACATGACGTGTGGTATAAACATAGAAGTCAGACCAACCAAGCTTCCAGCAACTGCTCCAGTAGCCGCTGCGCGTTTACTTTTGAGACGCCTTGTATTTGCATTGGGGCTATCCACTGATTGATTTGAAATTACATTTTCAGTCGATGGCCCTCTAACAAGTGGTAAACTCTCGGAAACTGATGCTGTCTGTGCCGAAGGATGTCGGTGGTTTTGTTGTCTTGATGACGTACAAGTACCTTGAAACATCTCATGAATATTATGCTTCAGCTTCATCACAGCCTTGGCATACATGATACCAACTGCTGCTCCAAAAAGACCAAAGATAATGGCACTGGTGAAAATTTCGCTTGGCAAAGTCTCATTCAAGAAGGGGTATTCGTAGTAGCCTGTCACGTCGTTTCCTGTAACGAGCCGATTCGTTAGTACTGCAACGATAGAGGCAATCGTGGCAGGGGATAGAGCTTCAAAGTACTGCAACCCCATCCTATGAGGAATCTCCAGAACAAACAAAGCTCCAGCCATCGGAAATCCAAAGAATCCTCCAACGGCTGCAGATGCAGCAGTGAGGTTCAATACTCGAGCTTGAAGCATAGACTGCTTACACAGCACCCCCAGCCACGATCCAAACATTCCAGCTGCAAGAACCAGGGGTAATTCAGGGCCAAGACTAAGCCCTATAAATAAAACATGAAAGTTAGCGTGCTGTTTGCGACGAAACCAGTCTTCGCTCAAAGCAAATGACTTTACCTGATGACATCCCCGCAGTCGACAGAAGAAAGAGCTGCCAAAAGGTATCATATCCTTGTATACCACGAGCGTGGAGGCTATTTATCCATTCATTCTGTCCAGGGATTGGAGTTGGAAGTGATGCAGAAATGTAGGAAAGTACAGCCCCCATAATGCTGGGACAAATCCACATGTAATGGTAGATGGGAAAGCCTCCGTCAATACTAGTAAAGTATCCCTTCTTTAATAGCATCGTTGGGATATCTTTCCACACAAATTCAACACATTGTTCAATCAGCATCTTCCATGTTGCTGTGAACACTCCCATAGTAATGCCGATAATGACAGCCCACGTAAACTGTTGCATCGATGTGAATTCAGGATAAACTGGATTGTAGAGATAAATCCGAAGCATAGCAGACACACTCCAACTTGTATCGTCGTCAAAATACGGTGTGCCATCTTCGCGAAACTTCATTCCAGTGGAAAGAAACTCGGATGGATCCAACGCGGTCACGACAAGGTTTCGAAGCGATCCCATGTCCGGAAGAGCTTGTTCGCTGCCTTCATCTTGAAAGAGTTTTTCAAATGGCTGTTGTGGGTAAGGATCAAGACGCGGTAAATCTTTCTGAAAAGACTGGTTCGTGCCATAGCTCGGATGAGCTCGAGGCGCATCGTTGCCTCGGTCTCGCGGAGGTCGAGTGGCCGTTGACTGTGTGTTGTGGACGCCAGTGAAACTTGATGGTGGTGCAAAGTGGTCCAGGCTATCAAAGACTTTTACATTCAGATTGTTCACTGGTGGGTCGTCTGGTAAAATGCTGTCACCGGCAAGTGAAAAGCTGTCTGGAAACAAGCTGTTTTCACTGGAACCTTCTGAGTGCGAGAAAGAGCCACCATGTTGAATGCTGTAAATGTTATGCGACACTCTGGGAATGTTTGCCATATGATTTAGAGGCACGGAAGGAATGAAAGCTGGAGTCGGAACAAGAGTATTGGTTGAAGAATAGTCCAGAACACTTGAAAGAGTTCGGTCCATGCTCCTGTCATTGCGGCGAATGGAAGAGCTGCCATGGTTCACAAACGGCAGTCGGCTCGTTGTATTGTTTTTGCCAGTACTAGCACGTCGCAAATACTGCGGATTGAGGTTTTCGCTGGCATTTTCCTTGTCGCTTCTTTGTGGCATGGCTACCAATCCCTGCTCGCTTGATTGCCTCCTGTCAGGAGGAGGAGGAAAGCCACCATCCTGGTGCCGAGTGTATGGATACATTCTGTTTTACGCGTTGAAAACCAGTCCAGTGACCGATTTTGAGCCCATCTACAAGGGTATCGGATCCATTGCCGTTTGGCTTCCAACGCATTCTGTCGATCCAATCCGTTTGTTTGGTCTGAAGGTTGCTTGATCGGGCGGGAAAGAAATATCTCAGCTACGGAGTGGCAACGCTTTGGATGACGACGGCGTATCAGTCATCGTTGGAGGTATAGAATGGTTCAACGTCTGGGGAGAAGAAATCATCGTGTCCACTCAACAGCACCTGACGAGGTGCTTCACAATGACAAAGAAATTTTTAAAAAATGGGAGGAAGACTCGTGATTGAATCGTTCGATTCACAATTTGAAATTTCAAAACATGAACACCGCATCCTTTTTCTTTTCTTTCGCAGCTCGAAGTGGTTGCTAATGCAGCATGAGACTCAGCTCTCATCGGCAGGAGAAAAATTATTGTAAGGAATGTCTAATGCTACTACAATTGCTATTGAGCCATCTACTGGAATTGGGTTTCCACAGACCTACAACGGGCTGGAACTCGTCGGACTTGGCGTTCGAGTGAAGTATGTCATTGTCAAGGCAAGTATAGAAATTTCGTACAATGTGTCACCTGATCCCAGTACCGTTTTTTTTCAATGATGATGATGTTTCTAAACGAATGCATCAGCTGTGTAGGTATATGCCGTTGCTACCTATATGCATCCTGAATCAATAGAGGCCATCAAGAAAGAGCCGTCTACAGGGGAGGGTAGTATTGAACAAGTTCTCCTGGATCCTTCCATCAATCGAACCATTCGCATCGTGATGTATCGAGAAGTCGATATGGAAACCTGCATTACGGCTATTTTGGAAGCTTTGGAGCCCCGGATGAACGGTGACGACTTGGACAAACTAGAGGAATTCAAGAAACTAAATCCAACAGATGCGTTTCTGGAAGGTGCCATTATTGAAATGACTGTGAAAGGGGACACTCTGGTGTACAAGAATGTAATCGGAAATGTTGGAAGTCTGAAATCAGAACGGTTTGCAGAAGCCGTATGTGATGCTTACTATGGTGCTGAGCCAATTAGTCCAACGCACAAGGAGAGCGTAGTAGACGGTTTGAGCTAGCGCCCGATGATGATTCCAACTGTTGCTGATGCTACCATATCTACTTTTGCTGGTAATCTATCTACATTTTTACAGCTTAAAGCCACTGTGAATCATTCAGTATAGTACGAGTCTGGTGAAAAAAATTTGGATGATGATATTCACCTAACCCCACAAGCATTTCTTCCGACGAATCATTATGTATCTAATCAAAAATACCTAAAATATTATGCTAACGTTATTGTGCAAGGTTCAGAAATTCATCTCCTGTTGGAATCCTCAAGTCTGGATTGTTGAGGATGCGCTCTGCTTGCGCATTTCGTTCCTCTACAGTTGGACCAGAAGGAAAAGGATTGGAAGATGGTGTTGGAATACCGGATTGTGATTCTTGGGTCAAACTTCGCAAGTATTGCATGGCAAAATATTTGCGGGCTTCCACGACTCCTGGGTCAGCAATGGGCGCCAGGATTGTCTCTTTCAATTGCTGCTGCTGGTCTTCGCTTTTCTGTTCCATTCGCACATCTGCAAAGGCTCGCTTGAATTCTTCCGTATATTCTTCTTCATCCACTTCTTCGCCCTTGAGTTCAAAATATCTTCTCCATTGTGCAATAATAGCCCAAGCCCCTGGCGCGTTGGTAGTCTAGAAGAGGAAAACTGCGTGTCAGAAAAACAGGAATGGTACGTAGGTTCCATTTCAGGTGGTGTTGTCAAATTCCTACCTTGACAATGCCCCCTCGCGAGGCAATCATTTCCAGTAAAGAAACCACTCTAGTCGCCATGATGTTATTTCGTATTGTTCGTGGGTAGGTATCACTAGTAAAAAAATCAAGGATATGGAACGATGCTTTTGTGTTGATCACTTCTGAAACGGGTGCCACAAGAACACAAAATTCGACCGTCAAACTTCTTCGTCAGTCGTGGCATTCAGAAAGAACCCGGATATTAAAGGATTCGATCAGCGATGTCGCTGCCGATGTCACTGCCGGGAGTAGTACACACGGTACACCGGAAAGACCGCGAAAATGGCATCTGATAAAAAAAGACATCCCCAAATAGCCGTTGAATTTTAGATTTACGAATGACGATGGCATCAGATTCAGAGCGCAGCAGCAGTGACGAGGAACCTCCTCTCGAGGGATATGAACGGTAAGTCATTCATGATTGAATCCAGTTTTCTATTATTGAAATGAGCATCTACATCTTTTGGAATCTTTCATCTGACAAACTTCTGTCTTCCAATGCAGCACTGAAATGATTGGCCAAGGAGCCTATGGTGTGGTCTACAAAGGGAGAAAAGAGGATACCGGGGACATTGTTGCCATAAAAAGAATTCCGTTTGCGGATTCCACACCCGAAGGTGGAGTTCCGTGCAATGTGATTCGAGAAATCTCGCTACTGAGAGAATTGGATCATCCCAATGTGGTCAAGCTGTTTGATATCAAGCAGGCTGATCCTGGAGGTTTGTATCTAGTCTTTGAGTTCGTCGCACATGATCTCAAAACATACATGGATCAGTTCCAAACGTCGGATGACATTTCGGATCGAGTGGGTTTGCCGCAAGAGACAGTCCGCAGCTTTATGCGACAAATTGTGGCCGGTGTGGGATGCTGCCATACCTACCGAATTCTGCACAGAGATTTGAAGCCTCATAACTTGCTCATTAGTGGGGACGGTAAACACGTCAAATTGGCCGATTTCGGTTTGGCTCGGCTATCGGCTATTCCCAATGGACCTTACACATTTGAGGTTGTCACTCTTTGGTACCGTGCTCCGGAATTGCTTCTAGGTGCCAACCGGTATTCCACTGCGGTCGATGTCTGGAGTGTTGGTTGCATCTTTGCCGAAATGGCCACTGGTATGCCCCTATTTCCGGGACGATCTGATATTGACCAGATCTTTAAGATTTTCCAACGTAAGGGAACGCCGACGGGAGATATGTGGCCAGCGGTCACTCGATTGCCACACTACAATGCTGAGTTTCCGCAATGGAGGGAACGTCCACTCACAGATCAAGTGCCCATGAGTGCGTTGGGAAGCAACAATGCGGCAGATCTCTTGACCAAGCTTCTTGTGTACGACCCTGATCGAAGGATTGCCTGCAAGACGGCCTTGCAGCACCCATATTTCTTTGAATAAATATAGAGAACCTTCCTTTTATACATGATATGATGCCATACTATTGAAAGTAGTCAAGAAAGAAAGGATGTTGGGAACTCAGACGACTATTTTATTCTGTCTTGGGCTTTTTGGTTTTTGTTGGACTCATCACCAACACGCAGGGTATCAGTATCAGCCAATGAGCTACCTGTAGAATGCCAGATGACTTGGCGGTAGCCGGAAATGTCAAGAATGCGTATTCAATGGCCACCAGAAGCACAAGACGTATCGGCAGGGGATAGGGCGTTTCCCTCCACAGCAAAAAGGGCAATGACGAAAAGTACCAGGAATAGAATTGGTAGTGCAAAGTTCTCGCACAGCAGATTCCAATAAAATTGGACACAAACAACGTCGACAAGATTGTTTCTGCATTGACAGGCCGCGAGGCTTTGACTAATTGGTAGACATAAGCAATCAACAATCCCACGTGTAAGAGTAACAGAGTGATTGCCACGGTTTTGGACAAAAATACATCCTCTGGAAGAAACTTGAGATTGACAGTCCAGATGTGAAAGAATTTTCGGTCTAATTCAAAGGCCTTGCGTAGATAGGAAACAGGGTGCCGTAGCAAAAATGGAGCTCCAATGAGAACTTGGGAGACACCGCAAATGGCGAGTCGAGGTATGGTCCATTTCGGAGAATCTTGAATCAATAGAAACAGCAATCCAGGGGCAAACAGCAGTACGTTCATTTTCAGTGATACGGCAAAGGAAAAGAAAAGACAACCAATATTCCACCGTTTTGTCAGGAAGCATAGAAAGGATAGGTAGGTCACGAGCATGGTGGGTCCGTCATTGAAGAGCCTCAACAGGAATATCGAATGAAATCTCTTGGATATACATAGACATCCCATGGCGAATCGAAACGACCAGACTTCAGTGGCAGTTCGCTTTCTGGATCCATTTCTCAGCGTTATTGTGTATAATGCAAATACTGAAGCTTGGGTGGCCAAATAGAAGAACAAGAACACAATTTGAGCCTTTAGAACTCCACCCTTTGTCAACCACTTCAATACGCCAAATAGGTAGAGAAACCCAGCTGGGTACACCAATGGCCCGGTTGCACCACGAATCTTCGTATAATCATATTCACCATCGAGCCACATTGACACTTCTTGCATGTAGGCAATCCAATCAATCTCTGTGTATTTAACCTTGACAATGATAAGGAATCCAAGTAACAACTCTCCAATCAAAGCGAGGAGGGCAAAGGGGAGATCAAATCCGGCATCAGCAAAGTACTCATAGTGCCTTCGGAAGCTTTCTCGCCAAGTTATCTTAGTTCCCGTCACTGCCATTGAGTAGGAGTTGGGAGATCCTTTGATGCTTCTTGAATTGTGTCGCGAAGAATGATGTTGTTTTGACTAGACTTTGGGTTTTGGGTCCTATGGATTAGCACGACTAAATAACAGACGACCCATCCGACTGACAATTTCCCAACATCATCACAAACCTATTGGACGATCCACATCTGCAGTTATTACGATCCAAGGACGACCACATATTGGCAACATTGACCAGCTCTATCATAGGCACTTAGATTTGAATCGCCTTGCACCATATTTGGACGGATCGGTTACTATAAACAGCAACATGGACGCCAAGACAGCAGAGTATTGCTACTTTGATGTCGATATCAATAACTTTCGCAAGAAGCTGGGTACAGCTGCTGCTTTTGTCGATGCAACCAATTCGAGGTACGGCTTGTCATCCAAGAATCTTTTGTCACTTGGAGGCTCGGAAATCGCTCGTCTCGAGGAGATGATTTCTGGTGACCATGGTACGTAGGAGATCTTAAAATCTTCAAGACTTCAATCAATTCGACCTGAAAACCAATGTGATTGCATTTGATTTTACTAGAATGGAGTTCGAAAAATACTGAAGTTGGAGGTATTGAAACGAGGCCACCAACATCGGGCCAAAGAATTGTTGTCAAGCTGCATTGGACAGTTGCACCGATCGCCTGCGAAAACTTTGCTACACTTTGCAACAATGGTTCCGACAAGCAAAAGATACCCATTGGAGACTGTGGGAAGCCGCTTACGTATCGTGGCTCACCTATTCATCGGGTGGAAAAGAATTTCATCTGTCAAGGAGGTGACTTCGTAAAAGGAAATGGAAGCGGTGGAGAGTGCATTTTTGGGAAGCGTTCTTTCAAAGATGAACGTCCAGGTCTACTCAAGAAGCATGACCGACGAGGGATTCTTGCGATGGGAAATAGTGGAAAGAACTCTGTAAGTTGAGCCCACGTCATCGTCACATGTTTGTTTCTGTAAAGCTTCTCAGCCCATTCTCTTCCTGTCCGATCAGAACACATCACAGTTCTACTTTACATTTGCAGCCGCGCCACAATGCGACGGGAAGCATGGTGAGAAAGTGAAATTTTTTTGCTTGGCGCTACAACACTTGAATCCCTCAAAATATTCTTTTAATCGAAGTGATATTCGGTGAGCTGGTTAGTGGAATGGAAGTATTGGATGCAATCGAAGAGCACGGTACTTCCAGTGGCGAACCAGACGTGCCGATGCAAGTAACCGACTGTGGAATCTATCGCCCATTTGAAGATCCTGGCGCTGGTTACTGGTACGACCAGCCTGATTTTGAAAAATACTCTGGTGTCTCACCTCAATTCATTGTCAGACCGCGAGTTGTCTGTCTTGCACCGAACAAGGGTGCATTGGAAAAGTTTAAGAGTGCTGTGGGGACGGCTTGCCAAGTTGTTGAAAGTGTGGAACTGAAGGAAGAAGATATGGCTGATCAGGTTTCACTGATACATGCTTTGATGGAAAGCTTCTCTGTTGATGTAATGTTAATCGCCCCAGCGTGCAAAAACATCAAAGAATCCATTCGACTGCCGACAATATGGCAGGCCCAAGGCATTGACGTTGCCCATGTCGCATTGATCGCGAAGCCAATTGATGCTCAAGATGCGATCCACCAACACTCATGGATATCAAAGCAATCAAAGTGGCAGCTTGATGGATCTCTATAGACTCCATAGCTAGAAGCCTTTGGTCATTCTATCGTAGTTGCTTCCTTCACTTGCTATACACTATTCTATCGCAAATACTAGAATAATAGCTTGGATGCAGTTCTTGGTCACAATTCAGTTGCAATTTGGTCATTTCATAACATATCGTTTTTTTTAAAAAGCTAATGGCGCGACAGTGTGCCTCAGATTGCAATGTTTAGCGTAAAAAAGTCAAAAGTCAAAATTCAAAAAGGAATTAAGTGTACCACCACTTGTTCCGCACTCTAGATACTTGTTTTTCGAACCATCACTCGCTTAGTCGTCGCCCCACCTGCAGCTGGTGAGCGATTTGGCGGAATGTACTTTCCGCTCCCAGTTGCACCGTGTCGGCCATTGCGATTTGGTGTTGAACGATTTTGTTTTGCTCTGACATTCGGGCTGGCTCTGATGCGACCTGGTGATGCAAGCAGATTTCCCTTTGGTGCCGCTTTACCCGTCACCCAAGGGTGCGCCAGAGCTTGTTCCGCTGAGTACCTTTCCCCTGGATTCACATTCAACAATTTCGACAGAAGATCTTTTGCTGATGCGGACAGATTCTTGGCCCATCTCGGGAATCGAAGCACAAATTTAGTACGAACCAAATCATCGCTTGGGACTGTTTGCGAATCATCATCAAATGGCAGGCAGCCGCAGAGAAGAACGAAGACGATAACACCCAAAGCCCAAGTATCAACGGCTTTTGTATAGTCCCTGCGCTGTAACATTTCCGGTGCCAGGTAACCTCGAGTTCCGAGAAAACTGCGCGCTACAGGTTCTTGCATGAGCTGTTCCGCAACAAATTATGAGATGACATACTTTCGAGCAACAGTAGCTTCCTCATCTCAGAACAAGCTTATTCTTACCTTGGAAAGTCCAAAATCAATGATTTTTACTTCAACCGAGTCACCGGCATTTCTTGGAATTCGTCGCAAGAGCAGATTCTCAGGCTTCAAATCTCTGTGAACGATATTCTTCTCATGCATGTACACCAGTGCCCCCGTTACTTTTCTAACAATACTCGACGCTTCATCTTCTGTTAAAGTTCCTTTCTGCACGACATAATCAAACAGTTCACCTCCTTCCATAAGTTCCATAATGATAAAGATCTTTTGTTGTGTAATGTAGACATCAAGCAATTGAATGATAGCCGGATGATCCAGTGACCGAAGCGCATCAATTTCAGTGTGAAACTGATCCATCATCCCTTGGAATCTGTCTTCGATCACCTTTTTGTCAATAATCTTGCAAGCATAATGAAGATTCGATCGCTTGTCCACACAACGATGGCAGGTGGACGTGGAACCTACACCCAAAACCTCCATCATCTGGTATTTCGCTTGCATTTGCTGCTCCGCATCCTACGAAATCACATAAAGCTATAAGGTTGCTTGAACCTCAACGGATATTGACAGAATCATTGCCAGACTCACCTGTCCCTCGTGAACTATCGCTCGTCCACTAGGATTATTCTTCGCGGAGTTCTTTGGGTTCTTTGGATCTACCTCTTTCTCAATCCCAAAATACTGTGAAGAAAAAACAGGGTCAGTCTTCTTTGATTCTTGAATCTTGGCAGCGGCAGCATCACGCTTCCTTCGATCGACTATGGGGGTTTCTGGCATCGGTGTTCCCATTGGATCACTTCTCTTGCTTCTGCTCATGGGTGCCTTGAACAGAAAGCATGGTTTGCACACTCCATTGTCGTCATCTTCCCAGTTGTCGTGACTTTGTCCCCCACCCATGTTGAATTAAGGAAAGCCTTTTATTGAGTGTTCTCCGTAGAAGGCAAGTTGATGATGCCGATGGAATGACTTTTGACAACGACGAAATTACTGCAGGCTACTGGATATGTTCTGGCTATCGAAGTGACTGGCAGACGTCAAGAACATTCGAATAGTTCGAATCATAGAAGATAGATGCGACGAGGCCGGATACCATTCACACTGGATTTGCCTTGTTGGCTACGACAAATGCATTTTATTGGCAGCATTCTAATGTTATGCTAACATGTATATCACGGAGACTACCAGAGCAATAACTTTATTCTTCATAACTGAAGGTCTGCAAAGAGTATACAGGATGACCAAAGATGCTGCTATCCGCCGAGGATGATGCGACAGAGGATGTGACCGACTGTCGCGAAGAATAGAGTGTAGTTTCTGGTTTCCAATTGGCTGAATTCCAACTGGCTACAGTCCAAGTACTTTCGCTACCAGGACTGCTGAGAATCGAAGGCCGCGGTGGGAATCCGTTTGTGTCGAGCATTCTTGATGAATCTCTGTGCTGACAAAGGCGTGCACCCTCAGCTATCCCCGTTTTGTATCCTTTAGATTGATTAAAGTTTGTGATCGAGACTTTGTCCGCATGGGGAGAATCACCCATCCATTTTGGTGGAATGGTTGGTGATCTAATTCTGATATATTCGCAATCATCAGTAGTAGTTTGTGCATAAGAATGGCAACAGACGAAGTTCACAACTGCTAGAGCATAAACTTCGAGCTCTTTGGAAATCGGAAAGTCTCGTTTTGGGATCATGTTGTCGATAGATGTTTGTCAAATGAATTGCTTTCTGAATTTTGAATGTTGTGAAAAAACCGTGATGAAAATGTGAGACAGCTCCGACTCAAAAAATAGCGTTAAGTAAAATCGGACACTCCTTTGTAAAATCGGACACTCCTTCGTCGGAGCCGAAGTTTCGACCCATCAAAAACCACTCCCACCACGGAGCCGCAAAAGTGTCATACTATATATTGATTGGAGTGTTGTGAAGTGCGATTTTCGATTGAAAGAAGGTGCCACTCATACATACAATGGAGAAATCGGAGAGTGCTGGTGGAGAGACTGACAAGGTCAAGGGTGGACCATGTGCCCAACAATTCGAGTGGCTCGAGGCGTGCGCACGACGAAAACGGTTGACGAATCAAAAGCAACAATTGCAAGGATGCCCAAGTGAAACCGACCGACTGATTAAATGCATAAACAAGAATCCCCTGTTCTTTCAGGCGAAATAAATAAATATGTTTGATATATCGCTGTTACATTACTTGCAAATATCTGCTGCAGCTTCCAGCATGTCTACTTCGTCATCATTCAAACTCCATCCCAGACACCCGAGAACCTCGTCTGCTTGACTGGGTCCGTTGACTTCAACTAGCGGCACTGCACCCTTGGCAACAATGTAGTTCAGGGCGATTTGAGTTGTCGTGATGTCTGTGTTGATTTTTGGCTAAGCGAAAGAACGAATTGTCAGTCACGAACCATCCATCCATATCATGAACACTCCAAACTTGACGAACTTACTGGCGGTCCGTAGCGACCACGTTTGTCCTTCATATCGCGCATCTCCTTCTTCACTCTTGTTTTCACTCTTTCGGCAACAGTTTCAAGAATACTGTGCAACGGTTGAAGCTTATCTAAGGTTTCGAACGAATACTTGGCAGCACCCGCAACACCTCCACTTGGATTGGATGCAGTGTATTGTCCCGATGCCAATCCACTTCCCAAAGGATTTTCAATCAAGGGTGTTACCCCACGAAGTTTGCAAGCATTGATCCACTTTTCCTTCTTTCGGTTAACCAGCGAAAACTCAAAGGAGTTTGTTGTCAGGGATATTCCTTCCGCATCAAGCTTGTGGATGATGCGGCGCATTCTAACTGGTGCCATATTCTTAACGCCGACATAATTGGTTGTTCCCATGTCGACCACAGATTCAGTGACTCCCTTAACCAATCCACCGGATGGAAGCCATCCAACATTCTTGATTTGGTAGACATCTACAGCCGAAACCTCGAGCTTTTCACACGACTTGGATAATGCGTCGGTCAATCCTTTGCTTCCACGTTGCCAAAGTTGGTTATTGTAGGTGCCAATAACCAATGGTGAAGATTCGGTTTCTTTGTATTCTTGTATGCATCGTGCCATGATATCTTCGCCTGAGAGCTTCTTACTCGCCATAGCCTTTCCATAATCAGGAGAAGTCTCAAACAGGAAAATGCCTTCGGTCAATAACTTGTTGTATGCCACTTGAATGTCACCTGGAACGAACTTTCCTTCTCGCACTTGTTGCTTCTTTAGCTTTCCACTGGAAACAAATCCCTCCTTTTCTTCTCCCCAGCACCTTGAGGTGACTCCCATTCGATTTGGAATATGGAAATCATTTTCGTCCTCCTGATGGTTATAAAAGATTTGACCATGTTTGAGAGGGCAGCCAAGTGAATAGGCCAAAACCACAGACATTACTTACGTAGTCCGCATAATAATCATTAAATTCAGCCTCTGCTGGTGCATCTTTCTTCGCTTCGTCGTCCTCGGACTTTTTTGGCACCCTTGCCACTCTCTTCACCTTAAACTCTGGCATTTTCTCAGGATCTAGAGTAGAAGGATCGGTTCCCAAGCTTTCTAAAAGCTCGTCTTCGCTGGGCACTAATTCTTCTCTCTTTTTCCTTTTAATCTGATTTCTCTTTCCAATGAGTCTTGAAAGTTCATCATCATCAGTCGATGACATTTGCATGGGTTGAAATTGATTCGCCAGTGACGATCGTGTTGATGGCACATGTGATAGCGATGGAGTGAACGCATTTGCCGCCGTCAGAGACAGCAACACAGTGGTGACAGCAATGATATCATTCATAGCAGAAGACTGAAGGATTGGCGAGTTCACCAATGTATTGCTTTGGTTTCGTTTGGTTTTGATGATGTGTGCGACACAAACACTTTTTGACACTGCTTGAAGTGCAGCTTCGATTGGAACGGCTTCGGATTCGCGCGAGCGCGCATGAATGACATCACAGTCCTCAAATCTTCGACCGAGATTTTGGTTGATCGGCATTCTTCACTGCTCTAACAAAAGTCAAATTGAGAACTAAGGACGCAGTAATCATCATCATCATCATCATCGTCATCATCATCACCATGCTTCAAAGATCGCTTATTGTATTTGCTCTGTGCTTGAGCTATAGTACTCCGTCAGTTTTGGCGTTCTCACCTGGTGCAAGGAATACAAAGAAAACAACTTTCTCGGGGAAAACAATCTTGCAAAGCAGTGAGGATAGCCCTGAAGAACCGGAAGTTCCACAACAGATTCCCCAGCAACCTCCTGCTCCGAGACAAAAGCGAATGGATCCATTGTTGGCATCGTAAGATACTTCCTGTTGAAAATAGTATTTCGGCAGATCTTGTTGCTAACGCTACCCATGCTACTTTCCGTTTTATTTTTTGAAGACTAACGAAACAAGATCCTTCGATCGCCAATGCGCCAACGACGACTGTTCCGTTGTTTGGTGAGATACCAGCTGATAGTGTGAAAGTCTTGGTGCCAATTGCTGTCGTTGGAATCATGGGCTTCCTTTACAGTATTGTTGTGACTGTAAGCTCTGGAGACGAATTGACTGCAATTCTGATGCAAGCAGGCAATGCTATTTCAGAAAAAGCTGCAACGCAACCCAACCAGGTATACGATCCTGATGTCTGCAGAGGTATCTGCACACCAGATCAGTCGGGACTGAAAGTTTTCATGGAATCTCTTCGCAAGTAAGCTTTTCAAAAGCGTATTAGTATTATGAATTGCACCACAGACAAACCTCTCATGGGCATTGCGGCAAAGGGACGGCTCAGTTCATAGTATAATGCACCGTCGCAAGGGATTTAACCAATGCTATCTCCAATACAAAAAAGTAGAGCATAGAGTAAGAGACAACAATAGAGTGTACGGTATCCTTTTGTTCCAACTGGTGCAGGTCGATCAGCGAAGCTCGGAGGGATTTTAGTAGAAATTTGTGTGACGTCAGCAGTTGTCAAATCTTTCAACACATGGAATGTTACAGTAGACCGCAGGCAATCATTTGAAAACGCGGCGTTCATTCTTCTTACAATGCGCCAAATATCGCTCGTTGCAAGTGCATTATGCTTGAGTTCAGATGCTCTATCAAGTGCAGCGCTCACACCAGAAGCAACTTTTGCGAAGCACACAAGGTGTTCCAGGAAGACCACGACTGTGCTCTTCACTTCAGATGACATGGATGAAGATCAGAAATCCAATGAATACAGTGGCGATGGCTCGGAAGAAATACGAAGCACCGGTAATCGAGAAGAGCAGCAACAAAGTCTGAGGAGGGTGTCAGATCCTTCCACTGTCGATGCATCTGCCGATAATCGTCCATTGCTCGGAGAAGTTGCCGTGGATGGAAGCTTGGTAGTCTTGGCTCCAGCCGTTGTAATTGGAGTCGTCGGTTTCATTTGCAGTGTTTTCATCGCTTTCAACTCGGGAGACGAATTTGTTCTAAGTACGACTCAAATTGATGACACAGTGGGCCAGACAGAAGCAACAATACAACCAAATTCAGATGATACCTGTAGGGGAATTTGCACACAAGATCAAGATGGACTGAGGAATTTCATGCAGTCTCTTCGCAAGTAGGGTTTCAATATCTCAATAAAGTTGGTTTGTAAGTGAGTACCACTGCATTGGTTCCACAATCATATTCTGTATAAAACAACAAATTTGCTATAATTATCTATTTACAGTTCGCCATCGTCGAAGTCGCCCATGTCTTCATCGGCTCCACCGGCACCTCCGGCGTAGACGTTTCGCATGATAGGGTTGGCGACTTGCTCAACCTCCTTGGTCTTCTCGTCGTAGTCTTCCTTGTCGGCTTCTGGGTTTTCGTCCATCCAGTCAAGGGCTTCGTCGATCATGTCTTGGAGGTCCTTCTTGTCCTCAGCGGAGATGTTGTCAGCAACACCCTTCTCATCATCATCAAGAGTGTTCTTGAGGTTGTAAAGGTAGGATTCCAATCCATTTCTGGCATCGATACGTTCCTTGACCTTCTTATCTTCCTCAGCGTATTGCTCGGCTTCTTGGACCATGCGTTCGATTTCATCCTCGGAAAGACGTCCCTTCTCAGCGGTAATGGTGATCTTCTCGGCCTTTCCGGTTCCCTTATCTTCGGCGGAAACTTGCAAGATACCGTTGGCATCAACTTCGAAAGTAACCTCGATTTGTGGGACTCCACGGGGGGCAGGTGGGATTCCGGTAAGTTCGAACTTTCCAAGGTTGTGGTTATCCTTGGTCATGGAACGTTCACCTTCGTAGACTTGGATCAAAACGACATTTTGGTTATCTTGGTGGGTGGAGAAAGTTTCTGTTGGGTGAAAAGGGGATGACAAATGTGAGTGCCGTCGTCAGGACACAAAAAATTGTGACAAAAAAAGAATCATCACTTACGGGACTTCTTGGTGGGAATGGTGGTACCACGGTTGATCAACTTGGTCATGACTCCACCAACGGTCTCAATACCTTGGGAAAGAGGAGTGACATCCAACAACAAGATCTCGCTGGTGGCATCACCTCCTTCTCCTGAAAGGATTCCTCCTTGGACGGCAGCTCCGTAGGCAACGGCTTCATCGGGGTTGATACCCTTGGATGGCTCCTTTCCTCCGAAGTATTCAGAGATAAGGGCTTGGACCTTGGGGATACGGGTGGATCCACCAACCAAGACAATTTCGTCAATCTCGGACTTGCTCAAGTCGGCATCTTCCATGACACGGGCAACGGGTCCCATGGTCTTCTTGAACAAATCGGTGTTGAGTTCCTCGAAACGGGCACGTGTCAAAGTCTCAGACAAGTCGAAACCATCGGCCAAGTCCTCAATTTCCAAACGAGCTTGTTGTTGGGAAGAAAGAGCACGCTTGACACGCTCGACTTCCTTACGAAGCTTTTGAAGTGCACGCTTGTCTCCAGAGATGTCGACATCGGACTTCTTCTTCATCATCTTGATGAAATATTGCATGACACGTTGATCGAAATCCTCTCCACCCAAGTGAGTATCTCCGTTGGTCGCCAAGACCTCAAAGACACCGTTGTCGATGGTCAAAAGAGTGACATCGAATGTACCACCTCCAAGATCGAAAACAAGGACGTTGGATTCTCCTCCAGTCTTGTCCATACCGTAAGCAATGGCCGCAGCGGTTGGCTCATTGATGATACGTTCGACTTTCATACCAGAAATTGTTCCGGCATCCTTGGTGGCTTGACGTTGGGCATCGTTGAAGTATGCTGGGACGGTAACGACGGCGTTCTTGATGTCCTTACCCAAGAAAACTTCGGCGGTGGCCTTCATCTTTTGAAGGATCATGGCGGAAACTTCTTCAGGGGCGAAGGTGCTGGCCTTTCCGGCGACAGTGACCTCAATGACGGGCTTGTCCTTGTCGGAAACAATGTTGTATGGAACAAGCTTTTTGTCGGATTGGACGGACTTGTCAGAGTACTTGCGTCCGATCAAACGCTTGACATCGAAGACAGTGTTGGCAGGGTTGATGGTGGCCTGATTCTTGGCAGCATCTCCAACGAGACGATCACCATTGTCCATAAAGGCGACGTAAGAAGGAGTGATACGGTTACCTTGGTCGTTGGCAATGATCTCAACACGCCCGTTCTTGAAGACACCGACGCAAGAGTAGGTGGTGCCCAAGTCAATTCCAATGACGGTTCCCATTTTCTCTTCACCCTCGTCAGCACGGGCAAAAGGCATGGCCAAAAGTGCCACTGAAACAAACAAAACAAGAGTGACCAAAAAGCATTCGTCAGAAATGATCAAACATATACTTGAACAAAGCACCAAAGGAACCTTCCAACGAGCCAACGTAGCAACTAAGCTGAATGTGCAGTGTCTGCCTTGTCCAAGTGCAGACCCTTCGACCCAGCGATGCTCTAGTGCAATGCGCAACAGGTAGATTCAGGCCCACTTTCTCAATGCGTCTGGGTATTGGTGGTCATTGGACATTCCTTTGGTGCTTGAATTGTAGCTTCTTCTCCTGACGAAACTTACATGCCGAGATAGCTAGCTTATTGAACATCATTTTGAATGTGTGTTGTGTTTATTTCAGAGTTGTTTGGTGACTATACCTAAGCTCAAACTCTTTGTTGACAATGATGGTTGGAATTTTGCGCGGATATCTCAAGTCATTTTTCGCACGAACACGTACTCGAAAGTACCAAAGCTACGTCTGCAAATGATGGGTCGAGAACCGTTCAAAAATGCACATCTTCGAAATTCCACGAAGCTTTGACCTGGCTTCCACGTGGCTCAAACGCACGACAAACTGGAATAGACGGGTGTTTGTCACATCTACGAGCGACCTGCCTGTACCCTGGTACCGGTACGAGCAAGATTGGATTTGCAATCGATCCTTTTATTGCATACAGTTTTCTCTAGTATTCTTAGTAGTACACGTACTAGGTACCTGCCTGGTAGGCATGGGTGCATCCTTTATGGTCTTGTAACTAGATTATCATATACATTTGAGGTACAGGTAGGAATCAATCGAAATTTTGCTGCTGTAGTGAACATTATTTGCCGTCGAACTGGACCCTGCCTTGTTGTGGTGTACGGTAATCACCATATCGTTTTTGTCAAGCCCATGGTTTCATCCGATCACTGGTCTGCTGATCAACTAGAAATTCAAGGTTCCTGTCGAAGCATTGTTCTCGACAATGCTTGACGCCGTATAGCTTTTTCCACACACATGCAAGGGCTTATTGTGTGACCTTTTGGGTGGGATGTCTTGTCATAACGGAACTTTCTCATCAACCACCATCTTTAATTCCTTGCAATGACTTTGTTCCGCCAATCAAAAATTCACCAGACTGCTCATTTCCTTGTAGTTTGTAGTAATAAAGAGGCCATTCTGCTCCAGGCTGATGATCAACGGTGACCAATGCTCTGTCTTCAGGTTTCTCTCCAGGTATCTTATTCATGAAAGTAATCACCTGAAGTTCAGGAAGTTGCGCGTCAGCTTTATGCTTCTTCAAGATTGGATGAATCAATTTCAACCCACGAGGAATCAGATATAGGAAAAATATATTGGCTTGTCGCAGTAGTCCAGGAGTGTTATCCAGCGCATTGGCGCACACAAAGTTCACCTGAATGGAATCAGCAATTGATCCTTCCGACCTGCACCTTTTGAGCTCGCTCTGGCATTGCTCAATTCGTCCAGGATCAACATCAATACCCAAGAAGGAAACATTTTTCGAAGCAGAAATCTCGCTTTTCGCGGATGATTCGTCGATCTTTGATGATTCAGAATACAATTCTGCCCAACGAAGAATTATTCTCCCATCTCCGCATCCAATATCACAGATACAGTCATTTGATTTCAAACCAGCCTGAGTCCATTCGATTGCATGATCAACGGCTCCAATAGGCGTGCTCCAAAGTTTCTTCCTTGGAGCCAACATATGAAATCTTCAGATTGGATTCCGTGTTTTGAGGTTGACGTTTCAAGTTTGGGTGTTTGGAAGGAAAAAACTACCGCCCGTCGTCCGTTCCTTCCAAAGTCTCTTCGTCAATTCCAATAATCGTAGCATCTAGTCCGATCAGGATAGTCTTCATCGCACTCCATAGTTCGTCTCTATCCACATAGGAGATATCCTCCAATGCTTGTGCCATAGGACCTTTCTTGGGGCCATCGTCATGATCGTGATGGTGATCGTGATGGTGATCATGTTCGTGTTCAGCCCCAGCATCCTCCACTTTTCTAGCACCACCGAGAGGGGTAGTAGCTTTCAATACTCCCAGCTCCTCGTCGCTTTGGGCATGAAAGAGACCCATTGCTTCGCTAACTCCGAGCTTCAGGGATGGAAGAACACTGGATCTTTCTTTGGACCGGACAAACATGTAGACGTCCACAAAGGAATCGTCTTCGGAATCCATCGTATTCCCGTCATCGTCCATGGCCGGTCGATTCAAGAACCCAATATTGAATGGCGCTTCTCCAAACGCAGCCGAGGCAAAGTCCAAAACTTTGGACAAAGTATCGAGATGTTCTTTGGAGGCGGAGAATTGGACACAAAATAAAGGATACTTGAGATAGGTCACCTCAATGTTTCCACCATCTAAATCGTAAAAGTCGATAATTGACTTGACCTTTGAGACTGCGTAACAGTTCCATCCCTCAACAGGAGAGGAGTCATCTTCTTGTTCATTCAAAAATGGCAATGGCGGAGATGGCCACGCGTGGCAGTGAATATGCTGTCGTTTCAGAAAAAAAATTGAGATTGGAATCAATGGGCACAACATATACATCCACATCTATTCGACCTACGTTTTGAGAAGCCCCGGCACCAACACTATTGAAGCCAAGAAAGAGGGATCCATGAGGTCGAACAGAGCTGGCTAGGTATAGCATATTCGTGAAATCGGTAGGCAAAAACTTTTGGCCCCTCCAATTGAGCTCTGGAAGCGAAAGTGTGGGCAACAAAAGAAAATGGCCTCTTGCGTCCGCTGGGCTGACATTGTGATAAATGTCGTATCTGGTGACCATACCAGGGACCTTCACAGTACCTACCACAGGTCGAAGTTCCAATCGCAAGGGGCCAGTGACAAAGGAATCCGTTTTCTCGTCATAAGGCGGTGGCTCGGACGAAGTCGAACCTGCAAATCCTGGAGACGGAGCTGGCCTCAGAGTGCGAACCAATTGCAGCTGCGCCACAAAATCACCGTCCATCTCGTACTGCACAGATATTTTAGAAGGATCAGACTGAAGTTGCGCCAGAGTTTCGTTGATGACTCTTATCTTTTCGTGAGGTTCTTCTGTTTCAACTTGTTCGACAAACTCTTGACACTTGTTTGCGTCTTCTTTGGATACTGCCACACCATATCTTACACGGAGCATCTCTTCGGGAGAATTTTTATCACCGCCATCACTATAACTCGCTGGAACTTCCACAGTGGCTTCGACCTGTCCATTTCGTACCAACTCCAACCATTTCTGCGACAAATCCAATGATGCTAGTTGATAGTCTGGTTGACCAGTGGAACTTTTCTTGGGCTTTGATCTTGCCGCAAATGCCATGGCCGATCCATGTAATGGTATTCGATGAGCCTTTCCAACTTTGAATGTGGCCACAAGCAAATGCAGAATGAAAAGGGCGACTCTGCAGTTGAACTTCATGGTGTGCGATCCATTTATTGTGTGACTTGATGTTCACAAGAAAAAAACAGGGGTGCACGTCCGTACGTCGACACATGGAGAAGGGGCGAGAAATCAATCCCCTCTCCCAATCCCCAAATATTTGATCGTCATACACTCAACGCCCGTCATCACCATAATTCGACAGCTTCTGACTTCTGACTTCAGAGGCAAAGAGACAGAAGGTTAACGGAATAGACGTAGATCTCTAAGAGTGTCGATTAGCACCGTGCACGAAAAACAGCCTATCCTTACCAGAAGAGCACTAGAAGAAAGTTTGTAGTATGTCTCTCACTCCAGCGGAGAAACAACTGAGAAAGTTGGTGAGGCTACCAGGAAATTGTGTTTGTGTCAACTGTGAGACGCCTAGCAAAGTTGGTTTCTCCACAATTTGTATTAAGTACCACACTTTCGTGTGTAGCAATTGCAAGAGTTCCCATCAGGCCATTAGTCACCGATGTAAGTCGGTGACGATGTCGACTTGGAACGACGCCGAGGTGGCAGAACTGGGACGAAAAGGAAATGACCATGCCAGACGAACTTGGCTGAAGAATGCACCACCTGTTGGGTCTGGCGGGCGGCCCAAGAATGGAGATGTTATTGATGTATTTAAGCGCTTTGTTGTCGATACCTACGAACGAAAACGATACTATGGAGAAGATGAAGGACCACGAGCTCAAGCTCCTGCTGCTGTGCCTCAGGCTCCACCAGCTGCTCGTCAAGCACCTCCTGTCCGTGCTCCAGTGGTAACACCACCTGCACCGGCTCCTGCGGTTGATCTGTTCGACGTTTCGACACCATCGCAAACATCCTCGAGCCAACCGGCTCCAGCATTTGAAGCCAATTTTGGCGCCTTTGGAAGTTCGGCACCTGCACCAGCTGAATCACAATCAGGTTTTGGATTCATCTCCTCTCCTCCAGCAGCGCCAGCACCACAACCCGCGGATCCTTTTGCAGCGCAACCCACCACCACATCGGCGTCAACGTCAGCTTTCGGATTCATCAAACCACCACCTGCCTCGGCGCCGCCGACGGCATCACCAACTCCAGTAGCTGCACCTTCCACATCATCAGGTTCTGCATTCGGATTCATTAGCAACAGTCCTGCACCAGCTGCATCTACCAATGATGGCGGCTTTGCCGATTTTTCAGGAATGTCGAACTCAATTCCGGCTTCCACTCCGGTACCAGCACCCGCCGTCAAGAAGCCCATCATGGGTAACCCCAGTGGAGGACAAAAAGCTTCCGTGATTTCTTCCATGGACTTGTCATCACAGTCGAAGTCACAGTCGACGGGCATGGGTTTTGGAATGGCACAGCCTGGCTTTGGCGGCGGCATGCAATCTCAGCAGCCTAACATGATGAAGGTGCCACCCAACATGATGGGGTACACTCCGCAACAACAACAGCAAATGATGATGCAGCAGCAGCAAATGATGATGCAGCAACAACGCGTGATGCAACAAAATATGATGGGCATGAACATGAACAATGGCATGGGTGGTGGTGGTATGAACATGAACATGATGAACAATGGTGGTATGGGGGGTATGAACGGAATGAACATGATGGGAAATCAGCGACAATCGGGGTTTGGAACTGCATATGTTGCGAACAGCAAGCAATCCATGAATTCGCTCGACATGAACATCTCTTCCATGAGTGCCTACACTTCTGGTAACAAGAAGTAAGGTCTTCCAAACTTTGATCAATATGAGACGAGCGAGGTACTATCATAATCTTTTATCTGGCACTCTTCTCGCACGACACACATACCACGGATCCTCCTTCAATGTTGTACGTTATATGATAGTACGAGTCTGAATAGTAATGGATGGTCAATCAGAAGCTCCGGTTTAAATTACGTTGCATTAGTTGTACAAATGCACCATAAATCAAGGCTTTTCCACTATTGTGTATCACAAGGGTTCTACTTTTTCTGGTTTTGCATCTTGTGTCGAAAGTACGGTATCTACCTTGCCATACTGATGGCGCAAAGGCATGTCAAAGTCTAAACATTGTCCTATCTATTCAGTCTTCTCTTTTCTTTTAAAAATGGAAACGGTAATTAAATATATGATGCTAAAACCTACATTCTACAATTCTACTAATAGCCTAAAATGGATGTATCGAAAGTCGTTGTCGTGATCCGAATTTAGTTGGCACGAAGGGCACGGTTGTGCTGGTTGTTGGCGACATACTTGCTGTCGACAAGTTCTCGGGATCCATGAGCGTAAAGGTCGTCGCTCATGTCATCACGTTGGGCCTTCATGTCGGCACACATCTTGTCGAAAGACGAGGCGGAGATCATGTGGCACTTGCGGTCAACTTGCCAAGTGATTGGGGAGTAGGCAGAGCAGATTTCGTTGTCACGGCTGGTTCCGGTGGTCGATCCAGTGTACTTGGTAATTTCTTGTCCCATTTCACCGTCGACGATCATTCCACGCATGAGATCAGGGTAGAAATAATCTTCGTCGTTGACAATGGTGAAGACTTGGCCTTGGACACCGACTTGTTGAGGAAGGCGGGAAAGGTCGCCAAGAACCTCAACTCGGCAGAGTACACCGTCGTAGAAAGGAGTTTGGTATTGGTTGATGGTTCCGCATGCACCGGCAGCAGAGTGGGGCCAGTGAACTTCGTAGCTCTCACCAACTTCCATGCCAACACAGTGCTTCCAGTCGTATTCCTTGGTGAACTTTTCGTCGTTCTCGTCGTAGTGGTGGCAGCGGAATCCACCACGGACGTCTTCATCTCCGGCAAGCTTGCGGCGCAAATCTCCTGGTTTGGTGTTTGGTCCGGCACCCATTTCATCGAATTCGCCGACGGAAAGATGCTCAGCTCCCAAGTGCCAATGGACATTGACGGGGCACATGTCGTTTTGGAAGTATGGGGTCTTGATTGGTTCGTGTCCGACCACCATTTCACCCTTGAATCCCATGGTGACGTTTCCTCCAGCTTGAGGAAGGACCTTCTCGAGGGCGTCGATCAAACAGTCAACGTTATCGATTTGAATCTTCTTTCCTTCGCACTCGTTGGGACCGGCACGGGGGGGTCTGGCAAAGAGATTTTCCATGGCAGCAGACGCGGCGGATCCAGTGGTGGCTCCTCCAGTGTTGATGACAATGTTTGGTTGGCTACCAGCAGCAGCAGAAGTTTTTGCGACGGCAGTGTCGGCAAGGCGGTTGCCCATCAAGATGGCAGAAACAAGCGATGCGACGGTGACAGCACCGCAGAATGCGATAATAGCGACGATGGTAGATTTGCTCATATCTTCTTCGTCCTTTACAACTTCTGTGAATGAAAGAATGAATCAATGGATCAAAAGTATGATATTAGCAATCCGAAAGATGCTTTGATGAAATTCATGAGAAGGAAGAGCGAGATACTTACCGCTGACAATACTGTTATCGGTACGGCGGCACATTTTTTTATGATTGTCGTTTGGTTCTGGCAGAAGGATGAAACAAAAAAAGTTGCCAAAAAGTCCCGCAACTTGAACATAAAACAGTATCGTACAGTAGCATGTACTTTATCTACCTGCATACGTGGTTGGTTTGTTGAAATCAGACATAGATACAAAGTATCCATCTGACCACGTCGCTTCTTGCCGCGATCACAAAGAAAGTAGGGAGAGCACAATACAAACTATGGGGTAGCCACAGACATATCATTGACCTTCCAACTTAGGGTTGGACGTGAAGAGTGGATGACGTATATCCTTTCCGCTCTGATTGGTAGAAATGTGGAATGCCGCCGGAAACAGTTTTAGAAATGACCTGACCGCGAAAATATTCTTGACTTATGGGATTTCGGTACGCGTGTCTCTCATTGGTGCTTACTTGCATTCGCCTTTATTATTATTTGATACTGTACAGTATGATTTTTTTATAAAATTGAAAATAACCATCATTGCAAAGGTGGCCTTGATTCTTCGGAAGACGTAGCGAAGGACGTACAGGTACCAATACTAACTTAGTGCCAGTTGAGGATGCTTTCTTGATCAGAAGCTTTTCGATTTGATGATGATTCAAAAAATCTACCAAGCGAGAGCCATCCGCTCATGACTCATCACCAGATGCATGATTATGCGAAACACAAAAATGACAAAGCAACAGCAACGCAGCATGGCATCGTCTCTTTGACCAGATGCAGCCTAGTCATCATCACCGGAAGCGTCGCCGTCGTCGAACCAAACAAACACTCCAAGCCCCAAGGCGCCTGGATCGAAACGCAGAACAAGAGTTAAAGAAATTGGTTTGGGTTACGGTTGGAAAAACGGAACATCAGGCGTGGTTGCTAGAGGATGTCAAAGGCAAGAATGTGGTCTCAATTCGATGGGAAACTACTGGAACCGAAGAGAGGGTACCTGTTCTCTCCATTCGACACGAAGCACCAGACGATGGACGTCGTTCCCGTCGACGGCGAACATCTGTGCAAGAGTCATTAACGGACTTGCCAGAGACTAGCATTCAATTTCCTCGGAAACGGAAACGACAGCAGACCAAGAGCAAGCCCGCAACAACCATAGCGAAGGAAGGGCCAATACAAAAAGAGCCATCGGAAGGGGGGAGAAGGGAGAATGGTGGAGAAAAAGTTGAGAGCGCGAGACTTGCGGAAGCGCTTTCAGTATTGTCAGATATACGAAGTGGCCCATCAGCGGAATTGTCGTCCAAGAGGCCGAAGAATCAAGGGAAAGCGGACCAGGGGAAAAAGTCAGCGTTGGCTAGTTCCATCAGCAAACCATCATTAACAGAGCTGGGGTCTGCAAGGAAAAGTGCAAGTTCCGACATACGGCAGAACCGAACACCAATTAGTGGTTCTCCCAAACCAGATCCACCAGCTTCGTCTGACATCGCTAGCGGCACAAAGAGTACAAAAGTTGTAGGGTCAGTAGCAGCTGTTATTGTATCCAAACACGAGGAGGAACTGAACGATGACGATAGTGGATATCTGATATAGACATTCTCCATGTTGGATGTTTCAGACACCAATCAGCTCAAGAAAGATGATGTTGCATTGGGCGGAGCCGATGGACTTGACCTTTTGGATATCTCAACGCTTGGGATATTTCAAAGCTAGTACTAAAGCCAATTTATAACTTCCTTCTTCGTTCCAATTGTTCATCACTTTATGCATGTCAAAGATACGTAACTTTTTCTCTACTTGGATCATAATCAGTTTCCTACCATCTTCGTTATTCCGAGTAATGATTCACTGCTCTGAGTAACGATCCAAGATTTTCGCTATCCTCAGGCAGTAAATGCTCTATGCAGGGTTCGGCTCCACCATTCCACACCTCTCTTTTTGCATTCTTGTCAAAGATCTGTCTGAAACGTAACGCGCGAAATCCCGTTGCGGTCACGTGCAAAGATCAAAAAATTGATCGTGGCATTACTCATCATGCAGGAACCATGATCAATCAATCATGTAATTGGCAACTCGTACCAGTGGTCTATAAATATAACACATAAAATACATTCATTGCAAAAGTGAAAAGGTACATCAAACAAGATGAACACCGAACAAACCTCTCCTGAGCATCTAGTTGTTTTTGACTATGACACGGAAGCTGCATCGCAGCCAACACTACCAGCAAGATCGCATGACAATAGGATTGTCAAGGACACGAAGGATTCCGCTCCCGAAAAATCAAATTTCCGTGGCACCTTGTCCTGTGCCATCCTTGTCCTCTTGGTCTTGGCAGCAACCGCGGTTGCTGTTTGGTTTGTCATGGATGATTCCAGATCCCAAAAGCAAGAGCAAATCCAACCAGCCCAATCCGATGGTTTTACTTCTGTAAAAAGTCTATCATCCGTTGGTCCAGCATTGGAAATCAGTGGCATCAAACCCCTTTCCATTTGCATGGGAGATTGCGACGAAGACAGCGATTGTGGCCCTGGTCTAATGTGCTTTCAAAGGAATGCATATGAATCCGTTCCAGGTTGTTTTGGTGGTGCAAATGATGAGAGCCGAACTGACTATTGTATTCCTGTCGAGCTGCCTCATTTGGTAATCTCCGAAACCTTTCCACTTGGACTGTGTGAAGGAGGTAAGTTATCACCAAATCGATTGGAGTGTATCATTATATCCTATCGTTGCTAATGGCATTCTCTGCTTTCTTGACTACAGATTGTGATTCAAACGATGACTGCGACCATGATTTAGTTTGCTATCAACGATCTGGATTTCAAGATGTGCCTGGGTGTTCCGGGGGTTCTCTTGATGGCAGTCGAACTGACTACTGCGTTCCCCGCTCCCTCGTTCCTGAAACCTACCTGATTTCTTTGGGAGAGAAGCTCGTTGGGAATCCAGATGACAACTTTGGATCTGCTGTGAGTTTGTCTCAAACGGAGCCCCTTCTCATGGCTGTGGGAGCCGTGGATCGTGGTTCTACTGGTTATGTCAGCATTTACAAGTTAGAAGCAGACGATGCCTGGGTCTTGGCTGCGACCATCCCAGGTGACGAAGTCGGTTCCGACTTTGGTCGTTCTGTTTCAATGTCTTGGGATGGAAAGTATGTTGCTGTTGGCATGCCCGAGAGCAAAGACAGCGGAAGAGTCAAGGTGTTCCAATTGTCGATGACCAATTCAAATGAGATTAGTTGGAACCAAGCCGGCAACGAGATTCCTCTAGGCCCTTCAGAGGAATATGGTGGATATGCCGTCTCACTTTCCAAAGATGGTAGTATTCTTGCCGTGACGGAACGATACAGTTTTTTCACCCTCCAGAGAACCGATTATGGAGATTGGGTGATGCTTGGGTCGAAAGTGACTGTTGGATCCTTTGGAGGAGACTCCATATCACTCTCTGGCGATGGCTCTCGAGTCGCAGTGAATGTCAAGCCAGATGATATGTACCCTCCCGATGGATACGGCCGCGTCTATGAATTCAGTGGAACTGAATGGACTCAGGTTGGAAAGAACTTGGGTGATTTGACCATCTATGACTCTTTTGGCTTGGACAACATCGACTTGACTTCTACTTCCTTGTCTGGTGATGGTACCACAGTAGTCATGTCGTGCATTGACCGACGCACTGAAAATAGTTATGTGCGAGTGTATCGAGACATGGGAGACTCGGAATGGGTACCGATGGGCGACCCCATCTTGGGCAAGCTGAACGAGTACGCCCCTGCGTCAAAGGTTGAGATCAGTAAGGATGGTGCAGTAGTAGCTATTGGAGACTACGAGTTGGGACGATTGCGATTGTATGAATATGACAGCCGAGTGAGTCATTGGATCCTTGTTGGTGAAGTACACGCTGAGAATGAAGACGATCAGTTGGGCATCTCGTTGTCCTTAGCTGGTGGGAGAGCAGAAGCGTATCTGGCAATTGGAGGCCCCAACAAAAAACACATCCTTGGCAATCCTGGATTTGTCGATACCTACAAGACCACTTTCTCAATTCGGCCGGATCCAACCACTGCTCCATCGAGTGCTCCAACCGAATGGATTGATGGAAGTTCAAGAGATTCATTTCTCTTTTCACATGGTCCAGAGTACGTTTGGTCAGGCCGAAAGAATGGTAACAGCAACGATGGCATTGCTGGAAATTCGGTGGCATTGTCTGGAGATGGAAAAGTCTTTGCTTACGGCTCCAGCAGTGAAGCTTGGCCCAATAGAGTTGTAATCCACGAAGACGATAGCGAAGGGGGTCGGGACCCACGCCCTCATGTTTCGGGATCGCAGCTTGGCGATGAGTTTGGATACTCCATCGCACTGTCTAGTGATGGCCTCGTCATGGCAGTCGGAATACCCAACAGCGACGTCGGAACAGTTGAAGGAGCTGGAAGTGTCAAAGTATACCTGTATGATCATATGACCAAGACTTGGACTCAGATGGGCGGTGACATTGTTGGGTCTCTTCTCAAAGAGTCGGGAAGATTTGGCCATTCCGTATCGTTGAATAGTAATGGTGAAATTCTTGCAATAGGCGCACCAAGTTTGACAGCAGTCTCGACCTTTCGTTTTGATAACAATGAATGGGTGAAAATGGGTGATGACATCACTGTTTCCGAAGACAAGTTCTCATGGCATGGATGGAGCATTTCGTTGTCAAGTGATGGTTTGGTGCTGGCCGCCGGTGGTCCAACGAACGAAGAGAATTGGGATGAAGCTGGAGCTTGTCGCATCTACGAATTTGTGAACAGCAACTGGCAACAACGGGGTCACCCAATACTCGGCGAGCAGCGCCATGGTCTGTTGGGTACATCTGTCTCTTTGTCTGGTGATGGCAACATTGTGGCCATTGGTGCAATCAACTATCAACTGCCTGAGGCGTACATCAACAAAGAAGAAGACGTGTATCACAATGGCCAAAAGGCAGGGGCAGTGCTTGTTTTTGAATATTCCCCAGAGGGAAATTGGAAACGTCTTGGCAAACCGATCTTTGGAAATGCCGCTTATGATCGTTCTGGCATGAGCGTTTCACTCACGAAGGACGGGAAGAAGTTAGCCGTTGGAGCTCCAGAGCATGGCGAAGGAGGTCAAGTCCGTCTTTTTGCTTTTGACAAGGACCATTTGTACTGGGATCAAATAGGGGATGCGAAGCGGTACGACTCTTTGGACGATGCTGGGAAGAATGGCGGCTTTGGGACATCTGTTGCCTTGGTGGATTGTTACGATGGCTTACGAATGATGGTCGGTGCTCCAAGAGCCAGAGCAAGGTATGGCGAGATGCTCGGTCTCACACCAAAGTATGTCGGAGAAGTCTCTATCTACGACGAGTAAAATGACGAGTAAAATGAATATTAATACCAGTAGATTTGCAATAAAGTTCAAAGTAGAGTTCAAAATTGAAAACCAAACCGAAGCTATCGAATCACGTCCGACCATCGTACGGTGAAGCAAGCGATTGATAAATTTCGATTGAAGTGTTAGGATACTGTGAAGACATCGGAATAGCACTTGACTTGTCAATATGAGAATATCTTCATCTTCTACACAACTGATATGTTCCCTCTTGATATTCACCTTGGCCTCGGTCCAAGGAAACTTTGCCTCTGGCACATTCATGAATAGGCAATTGCATCAGAAGACGAATATCTTGAGTCGGCAGCCATCATCATCAATCGCTATTGACGAGTCATCAACCCTGGAGAAAGTTCAAAGAGGCGGAGCTCGAGCAGAGCAAGGAAAAGCATCAATAACTTCTTCTGTCTTCAATCTGGTCAACAATGTTGCTGGAGCCGGCATCTTGACGTTATCAGCTGGCATGGCAGGGGGAACTGGCTGGATTCCTGCCATTTCCATTTGCACCATTCTTGGAGCTATCAGTGCACATTGTTTTTCCATTATTGGAGAATCCTGCGAAATGACTGGAGAAAAGACATTCAAGGTGAGCTACCGATAGAGAGAACATGTTCCAAGGCTCTCAATTGCTTCATAATTCTTGCTAATCTTTCGCCCCGATACTTTAGGATCTTTGGGGTAGGACCATTGGCGAGGACTCCAAAGTTTTGGTTGATTTCACAATCGCACTGATGTGCCTTTCCGCTTGTGTCATCTATTCTGGAATCTTAGGAGACGTTTTCACTCAACTTTTTTCCCAGGCTGGCTTTCCTGACAAGTGGAATGGACGCACATCAAACATCTTGGCAATCACATCGTTTATCTTGCTTCCATTATCGATGATCAAGGACCTCTCCGCCCTTGCATTTACATCATTACTTGGATTTGCTGCAATCATATACACGGTATTCTTCATTGTTTTTAGAGCATTGGATGGCAGTTACAAGGTCGGATCGGGAAAGTTTGTTACTGACGGTCTCCTCCTAGCACAGCCTGCTTTCGAGGAGTCGTCCCTGCTGAATTTTGGCTTCACCTCCCTAGTACTTTGCTCTAACCTCGGGTTGGCATACATCGCCCACTACAATGGTCCCGCGTTCTACCGAAGTCTAAAGGACACAAGTGCCAAACGGTTCCGAAAAATGGTGAACATTGCCTTTTCTGTCCTTGTAGCCTTATACGTTATTACAATGGTAGCAGGATATTCAACTTTTGGTGATGTGTGCCAAGGAAACCTTCTTCTGAATTATCACCCAGGAGATATCTTGTCAACTCTTGGGCGGCTTGCAACCGGGTTTAGCATCCTGTTTGGATTCCCCTTGGTGTCTTGTGCTGCACGCGAAGCTGTTGCTGGTGTAGGAGCAGGCCTTGGGTTTCCACAACTGGGTGCCCCCAAATACCATTTCTCACTAGTTTTTGGAATCCTCTCGGTAGTGACACTCATTTCCTGCACGGTCAAGGATGTCTCTCTCGTTGTCGGCCTGACTGGAGCTCTGTTGGGGTCAGCTATTGTGTATGTCTGCCCACCAATCATCTACACCAAGGCATTGGCGCTGACAAAGGGAGAAGGAAGCCCAGAGCACAATGCAGCGAAATTGAACTTGGCCCTTGTGCCATTTGGAATCGTCATTGCTGCATTGGGATGCTTCATGACTCTCAAGGGGGCTTAAAGTCTGCAGCTAAAATTTCAGTTGCTATATGTAAAACTCTAGTGCATTAATAGCGATACAAAGTCATTTACTCGACATAGCACTCGACCACGTCCTCTGGTTGAAAATCTTCAAAGTCAACAAGACCGATACCGCACTCATTTCCAGCCTCGATCATGTCAGTTTCTGCCTTGAAACTGCGCAGAGTCCTGATCTTTGTCTCGATCAAAATCTTGTCCCTACGCATAACACGAACATTTCCACCCTTTCGAAGAACACCATCGTTACAGCGACTTCCAGCTATATTACCGGTTCCACCAATATTGAAGACTTCTTGGACAACGGCAGATCCGGTGTATTCTCCTTCTGGAGTAGGAGACAACACTTCCTGCATTCTTGACTCGACAGATTCAATGGCGTCATAGACAATGTTGTAGTACTCAATTGGAATGTTTTGTACGCGAGCATCTTCCATGGCAGCAAACGAAGCTGGAACGTTAAACGCGATGACAGTTGTGTCCTCGGTCACAGAGGCGATCGCAATATCACTCTTGCTGACTTCTCCAGCTTCACTCACAAGCACCTTCACGGTGACAATTGCTTCCTCGTTCTCCAATACAAGATCTTGTAGAGAACGTGTCAATGCTTCAGCAGATCCTTGGACGTCGGCCTTCACAAGGACACACATCTCACGTCGTTCCTTCTGCGCTCCGAATGCATCGGCGACTGAACCCATCAAATTATCTTGGTACGAAGAGGATGACTTCTCACGCGCAATTCTGTGGAAAGAAATGCGTGAGCAACAACACGACAACTAACATAAAATCGAGGGAATATGATTCGTACCTATTCCGACTCTCGGCAAGAGTTCTGGCGGTTTGCTCATCTTCGACAACAACAAGTGGATCACCAGCTGATGGAACTCCTTCAAAGCCAACAATTCCAACTGGAGTACTTGGTCCTGCTTCTTCCAGCCTGGTCTTGCCATCGTTCGTATCAATCAAAGCTCGCACTCGCCCATATGTTCCACCGGCAGCAAAAATGTCACCAACTCGAAGAGTTCCCTTCTTGACAAGCGAGGTTGCGACAGTACCCAAACCACGCTCAACATAGGCCTCAATAACAATAGCCTCGGCGTTGCGGTCAGGGTTGGCCTGCAATCCCGTTACTTCAGCTTGAAGCATGACCTTATCAAGTAGATCGTCTAGGTTGGTTCCAACCTTGGCACTGATTTGTGACGAAAGAATTTCTCCTCCAAGCTCTTCTGTCAAAAGATCGTATTGTGTAAGTTCAGTCATAACTCGAGTTGGATCAGCAGTTTCAAGATCACATTTGTTGATCGCCACAAGGAGTGGGACCCCAGCCTGACGAGCGCAGGCAATAGAATCAGCAGTTTGTTCTTTGACACCATCGTCAGCGGCAACAACCAGAATGATCATGTCGGTAATATTGGCTCCTCTCTCACGCATATCAGTAAAGGCAGCATGACCGGGGGTATCAATGAAAGTAATCTTCTTTCCGCTGTGTTCCACCTGGTATGCAGCAATGTGTTGCGTGATACCTCCAGCTTCACCAGCCGTGACCTTCGTATTTCTAATGGCATCAAGGAGGGAGGTCTTTCCGTGATCGACGTGTCCCATGATAGTGACAACAGGAGGGCGCGATACAAGGAGAGCAGGATCATCTTCTAGCGATACGAAACCAACACTCATGGCACTGTCGTCCTCATCAATTTCACTGTTCGAAAAAGTTAGCAGAGAATGCTGATGAGAAGGTGCAAAATCATATACAATCGGATACAAAGATAGAGATAGATTCCACGTACTCTTCTTCGTCCTCGTCCCAATCATCGCCAATGATCTTTCCAAAACCCTCAACAACAGCGACACATGTTGGCATATCGATGGTTTGGGTCATGGCAGCCATCACTCCCAAATCCGTCATGAGGAATTTGATGACAGCGACAGGCTTCTCGTCAATAATTTCAGCCAATTGCATGACAGTGATTGGACCACTATCGGGCGACACAGGAAGACGTATGTTAGGAACAACAACAACAACAACAACCAACAACAACAACAACGAGATTGTTGTCCAAACAGTGAGCTCTGACGTACTCTGGGAGGGCTACAGTTCGTCGCTCCTCGGCTGCTTCTTGGCGAGCCTCTTTTTCTGCGGAACGATCACGCTTTCTCAAGCTACCACGGCGCTGGCCACCTCTGCTTCCTTTTCTTCCAGAACCAATTCGAAGAGAGTTTCGTCTGGCGTTTCTCTGGTCATCAGATCCTGCTCCACCATACGTCTTCTTGCCGACAGTTTTTTTCCTCCGATCGTTCTTCCCTAGTCCTCCAGGAGCACCGCCGCCGCCACCACCGGAATCTGTAAGGTACAAAATGATAATGTAAAGGGTGAGATACCAGTTACTTTGAGCACAGAACGAGATGATGAAAGACAATAGTTGGATCAAAAGAAAAAGGAGTGTTCAACCAAGAAATGCAAAAGGATCTCATCGACATTCAAGTCGGATGGAGAAAACGCGCTCGTGTGAAAGAGTTTGCTCAATAAATTGAAAGAATGACGGATCATTATCAAAGAATATCCTCCGAAATAACTTCAGCGTCACACCTACCTCTCCCTCTTCCTCCACCATTCCCGCGAAACTCACTGGGAGATGATCTAGTTCCAGGTTTTCCATCACTACCACCACCGGCCGAAGAAGCTGGTCTTGGCCTTCTCTCGTTTTGGCTGTTGTTGTCTCGCTGTTGCCTTGGTTGCCGAGGAGGAGGTGCTGCTGCAACAATTCGTTGAACCTTGAACGGATTTTCAAGTTTCAATGCAGGCTGACCACCACTGCGATTTTGGCCGTTGTTGTTGAATCTTGGACCGTTAGGGTTGTTGCTGTTTCCGCGGCCATTAGGGTTAAATCTGCGATTGTTGTTACTGTTTCCCCGACCGCCGTTGTTTCCCGGACGTGGGTTTCTGTTGTTGCTATTGGACGTTGATTGACCTTCTGATGGCGGTGCCGAATTTCTATAGAACAAGACGACCAATGTACATGAAATTAGCCAAGGACTCGGAGCAAGACATACGTATACCTTAAAATGAAGCGAACAAAAAGAGAGACTTACAGATAGGGCATTCCCATTCTGCGCCCCATCGGATTCCTTTGAACCAACTGTCCAACTGACGAAAACGATGTCGAAGGTGTGAAGGCATTCGATGTGAGTGCTAACAACACCAACGAAGCAGCGAAATTAATGACCGCTTTCATGGTTGTCGTGTTGTATTCCCAAATTTCTAAGTGATTTCTAAAGTCTTGATTCCAAGAGATGATATCCAAATGCTTCAAATCAATCACAATATAAACGAATATGGAACACAGATACTTCCCCTCTTCCACTGACTTATATTTTTGATGGCTGAACTGGAGCCCGTACGTGGAGGTCCGTACGAGTAGTTTGACACGTCAACGAAAGAATGCCAGACGGTGATGTGTCAGTCCCCCAATTTTTACTTTGGGATAACTTTGGGGGTGGGAGATGGATCCATGAAAACAGAATTCAGGTCGATACAAACGAACATGTCGCGAATATACCTATAGATGAAGGACCTTTCTCCTGACGCAACTGAAACAACCCCTTTCGTAAAACAGACGAAAAAGTATCCTGCTCCTAGAAGGCCAAATCCAAGTTGGGTTGGATGTGGCTTTCTCGTCTATCTTCTTGGAGTTGGTACGGTGTTGCTCCTTTTCAGAGTACACGTACCACAGTTGTCAGGGCAAGATGAATACCACCTCGATCCAATCAAAAGTCTACAAGAAGATTCTTCCATCGAAAATATCTCACATGGCGTTGTCGCATCCGACCATGAGGTCTGTTCGAAGATTGGAGTGTCGATTCTCAGTGATGGTGGGAATGCAATTGATGCTGCAGTTTCAACTATGCTTTGCCTTGGAGTCGCCAACCCTGCTTCTTCTGGACTCGGTGGCGGAGCTTTCATTCTGATTCAGGGCGACAAGAGTCATTTTGAAAATAGGACAGCAGCGCAGCAAACGGCGAATATGCCTCCATTTCATGATGCCCGTGACAAACCTCCACTAGAGTCACGAGGCAAGATACTCGAAGTCATTGATTGTCGAGAGACTGCACCATCAGCTTCGACAGAAGACATGTTTGGCGACATGCCAGCGTCCGCGTCATCCTTTGGAGGCCTGGCCATAGCTGTCCCAGGAGAACTACGAGGATTGGAATTGGCTCATGCTCGCCACGTAAGTTCATTGCTTGTGCTAATAATTCTGAGGTCATGCTGTATTCTATGGTGCTCAAGCTTCTATTCTTTTTTTATAAATAGGGCAAGTTGCCATGGAAGACCGTCGTAAGCCCAGCCATTTCACTGGCAGAGAATGGGGTTCCAATTTCTACCCATCTTGCTACAGATATTAGCGAAATCTTGAACAAAGATGAGTTAAAGATTGGGAAGTTTGCAAACTTGAGAGCATTCCTAACTAAAACCGATAGTGGTTGGGGGAACTACCGGAAGACAGGAGAATTGCTGAAGAATCCAGCATTGGCAGAGACTCTTCGAATTGTTGCTCAAAAGGGTGGTGATGGGTTCTATATGGGGGAGATCGCACAACAGCTTGTAGACGATGTTGGAGCCGAAAATGGAATACTAACCATAGAGGATATGAAAAACTACAAAGCTACCCTGAGGTCTCCTCTTCTCAGTAGTGTCAACGGATTCAGTATTGTTGGGGTACCTCCGCCAAGTTCTGGCGGAGCGACACTAATTGGAGCTGCTCGTTTCCTTTCCGGGTACAAGAGTCCTTTGGCCAGCGAATCCGATACTCTTTCCGTCCACAGGACTGTTGAAGCATTGCGACACGCGTTTGCTCTTCGGATGTCTCTTTGCGACCCTGCATTCAATACCAATAAAACCAGAGAAGCCGTAAAGGATCTGGTCGAAGGAGAGTACATGGAGAACTTGCGGAGGATTTCAAAAGACCGTGACACATTGCCTCTTTCCATGTATGGTGGGAAGAAGTGGGCACAGTTGCAGGATTCAGATGGACGCATCAAGAGTATTGAAGATGCGCATGAAGGAGATCGGCGGCTGAAACGAAGACGTCTTGGTCGCCCGTTTGGATATCTCGAAGATTCCGGCACTAGTCACTTGTCAGTAGTTGACATTGAAGGAAATGCAGTGTCGGTAACTTCCTCCATCAACCAAGTCTTTGGCTCCTATGTTTTTAGTGAGTCCACAGGGGTTCTAATGGGAAACACTATGGATGACTTTGGAAACCCAGGACGATCAAATTACTACGGCTTGAAGCCCTCACCTGAGAATTTCGTAGCTCCAGGGAAGAGACCACTGTCGTCAATGTCGCCAACGTTCGTATTCCGAGAGGACGAAAATTGTGGACATGGCGATATTGGTGCCTTGAAGCTTGTCATTGGAGGCTCTGGAGGCCCGAAAATCATATCGAGTGTACTCCAAGTTTTCATCAACTACTGTCTTCTAGGCATGCCCCTCTTTGAAGCCCTCGTTCGCCCCCGCATTCACGAGCAGTTGGTGTACCACAACGCGGCTGTCACAACAACAGAAAACGATCATTTGGACCAAGGACCTCTACTTCAAGTTCCACAAAGGACCAAAGACGCTCTTTTGAGTAGGGGTCACAAGGCACTTCTAGATATTGATTATGCTGGAACAGTCCAGGCAGTGGGTGTTGATTTGGAGACCGATCTTATGACGGGAGTTTCGGACCCCAGAAAAGGTGGGACACCTGCAGGATACTAAAATCTTCATTACGCTACAGTATCTCTCTACTCCTTTACCAAGACGAAAGTGGTTCCCTTGTTGCCTCTTGAGATTCTTACTCGTTCACTCAAATAGGTGACGTCGATCCATCCTTTCACAGCATCTCGAAGGAATGGCAACCGGAAAGGAACAGGGTATGGAATCGAAAAGCCATTTTCAAAATCAAATTTTCCTTCATCAAAGACAAAATTTATACGAGAATCAGGGCGTTCAGAATCTTCCTCGGCGTCGCTCCCTACCTTGGAAACACCAAGAAGATTCAATCCCAGAATTTTCCCGTCGCCTTTTCGTTCTGTCAGCTCTTGCAATGGATAAGCCGATGTCGAAGCCAGAGCATCTACTTTTAGCTCCGAGTTATTATTGAACTTTACAACCTGACTGACCAGTAGCTGACCTTTATTGTTGAAAATGATATCTTGATAGATTGGGAATGCACTCGAATCGACAGCCTTTCGTTGAATCGGACTTGCCGTATTAGCATTGTCAGTATGAAGGAGCCTCCATCTCCCGTAAACAGAGTCGCTGATTGCAGGTCGTTGGATACCTAGACAACTATTTTCAAGTTCTAATATTCGCTGTTGTACTGTTGCAGAATTCGCTAATCTCGAGTCTCCAAGTGCCTTGATCTCTTGAAGGAGAGCTTCCTCTAGATCGACTGCACTAGATTTCGGTGCAGCTGCAGCTCTGACCCCCTGGACGAGATTTTGAAAGGAAACCGCAGGAGAAAGAAGAAGGGCAACGCTAAGCAATACAAGTGACTTCATCACAACCAGTTGTTCTATTGTTGTTTTTGCTTTGGGTTTGAGAAATGATGTTGTGTGTGCTGACGTCACAATAAAAATAAGCGGGAATTATAATACTTTCATTGCCCATTAGTATTTAGTCAGAATCAGAGTCAGAATCGGAATCATCCCCGTTGTCACCATCATCGACTCCATCATCGTCGCTATCTTCTGCCTCCGCTTCTGCCTCCGCTTCTGCCTTTTGCTTTTTCTTATAAGCATCCATCTCGCCTTTGTACCGAATCTTGTCTTCGGCGGCCATGTCCTCGTACTTCTTCTTCTCTTCAGGGGACAATGCCCTGAATCTTGCTCCAAGCTCCTTACCCTGTATTGAATCGATTGGTGAGACCATGAACAGCCTATCTGTCCTGATGTCTTGTAATTAGAGCTTACCGTATCACCAAACGAGATATCAGGATTTTCTTCTTTGATCTTGGGCCGCATTTCACTTGAGAAGTACATGAAGCTTGTGGTACCCCTCTTTGGTGCATTGGGATCTTTCTTTTTCTTAGCAGGAGCTTTCTTTCCCTTTCCACCCTTTTCGGCTTTCGACGAACTACCTGCTGGAGGAGTGTAATCTGCCATTTCGCTTTTGTACCGTGCTTTGTCCGCATTTGCCTGGGCGCAAAAAGTGAGCAACCATGATATTTGAAACTAGGAGATTTCAGATCGTGACTGATTTCAGTACCACTCACCTTTTCGTCGTATGGCGCTTTTTCTTCAGGCGTAAGCTCCTTGTAGACACGAGAACATTCTCTTGCCTATTGCAACACGAAAATAATAGTATTGGTATCAATCACCTCTAGAACAAGTACAATAACTCAAAACAAACACCACCACAAACACGTACCAAGTCTCCAAAAGACATGTCTGGATTTTTGTCCTTGATCGATGCTCGATTTTCCCCCATCCACAAAAAGTAAGCTGATGTAGGTCTCTTCGGAGCATTGGGGTCCTTCTTTGGTTTCTTCGATTTTGGTTCATCGTCGTCCGAACCGGCAGGCGCCGCCTGCTTCTTCTTGCCCTTTTTGCGCTTCTTGGGAGATTCTTCTACTACATCCTCCTCTTCTTCTTCGCTATCACTCTCCGCTGGTTTTGGTTTCTTTTTTCCACGAGCTTCCTCGAGATCAGAATCCAAGGCTTCGTCCACCTCGGATCCCAAATCCTCATCATCTTCGGACATTTCGGATTCACTGCTGCCAGCTCCTCCTGGTTCGTCGGCCGCTGCAGCGGCAGCATCGTAGTCTTCATCTTCGGATTCTTCGGCCATGTCTTCGTCGGGACCTCCGTAGATCTCATCTTCATTGTAGACAGGAGCACTTGGTGCCACTTCCATGACGGAATCTTGCAAGTTCTTGATGCGAATATTCTTGCCCGACAAGAAATTGTAAAGACTCGAGTAGTCGGATCGATCAATACCCGAAAAGGTGTACTCTTGTTGGGTGGTCCCCATGGAGGAACTGGCCTTGAGTGTGACGCACAAATCAAAGTTGCGTGTGGACCCTTGGCCACCAGCATATCGCTGAAATTCTACACTTTCTACTTCATTGAAACGGACCAAAACGGGAGGCTTGTGAATGAAGACAAATTGCTTTTCCAAGGGATACAGAAGCCCTTCATTGGCACGAAGGGCACATTTGACACAATGCTGTTGATTGGCATTGGCGTACTTTCCTGGAATGAAAACCTTTTTCTTGGCAATCACCTTGAAAGTCTTGGCAATCAAGTTGGAAAGAGAACCTCGCATGACGGGTTGCAAGTCACTGCCATATTCCTTCTTGAGCGTTTCTTCGTCCAGATTGACAGTAATTTCATCGGGATCCTTGTTGGTTTGAAAGACTAAATGTTGGTATCGCTGTTGTCCCTGCCGAATAGGTTTGTCCAAGGCAATGACAAAGGCCATGTGGACTTCATCGGGCTTTGGCAGTAGAAAAAGTCTAGAAATAGCGTCGTACTTGATCTTGTAATCGTACTTGAGACCCCGCATGCGAAAGAATCGTTCGTACAACTCAATGGAGTAGCGTCCTCTGGGTGTAAGAAAGACACCCTTGTCGGGATCAAATTCGACAATGACATCTCCAGTAGTCTTGCGAATATTGGCTGTACCCATAATTTTCTGTTGAAGCAATTCGGCAGGTGTCTTGATGGTTCGGTCACTGGGATCGCCTTCTGGGTCGGGCGGAATGTAAAATCGGATGCTGACCAATTGATCATTGTTGGCTTCGACAGCGTCCGTTTCGGGGAATTGCAATTCAATTTCATTTCTGTTGTTTCCAGGCAAGACGCATTGAGAGACTTCAGCGAGATCCAAGGACATCATTTCGTCTCCTTGACGCACTTCGAATTCCTACAGTAGTCCGGTATTGAAAACTGTGAGACAATGGTTTCCATTTCAATGATGATTACCCTTTTCAACCCTTTGTTGCCATGAAATGAACCAAATGATATCCATGCATTCCAACAATATGATTGATTTGACTCACCTCTCCTTCTTCATCGGCGTCTTCCAAGACGCAATGACGAAATGTCAATTTCTTGCCCGACATTTTGGAAATCCCGTATTGGGTTCCAGCCGCGCTCATGTTGTACTTGACCAAGTCTATTTCGAATTTTTCATTGAGTTCATTCTTTAGAGCATCGTAGTCTCCTACGGGAAAGCCATCGAATCGATATTCGTGGTGCAACTTTTCATTAGTGGAGAGCGTTTTGATGCGAATGTGTCCGCTCTTTCCAAAGACGGACCAAAATGCAGTCTTGATGGCATCCTTGGGGATCTTGCGGATGGCAGCTGTTGCTTCTTCTTGCCCGTACATGGCAGACCTCCACTGAATGCCTTCTTCGCTCATGGAAAAGCTACCCACCGAGTGTCCATGGAGGCCAATGTGCTTCCAGACGCCATCTCCGGACATTTTTTATGTTGCTGTAGCTAGCGTTTGAAATTGGAGCGAGGAAAATGCTAGAAGCAGTACTGTAGAATCGGGGATGAATGACGACAACTACAAGGACAATAAGTAATCACTAGTAGAGGTACTGTGATATGAAGTGGAAATGATTGTCTTTGGTCGTCTTTGATGATCGGTTTGAGGTTGATGAATGATGAAATCTGATCGATGTGCTTGCGACGTCTGGCATGCGTTTCACCAACATGATAAGCGCGCCAAAATAGATTTTGTGGGGCCTACAGTATTCTGTGACAACTGCCAAATCCCCTTCCCCCAAAATGGGTTCCCATCATGCAAGATTCAACTGACACTCACGCCTCCTACATGTACTGTACTTTTTCATTCCACACACATTTCTTCTGTTTGCATTAGTCAGACGTCGTCGAAACCATTCATTATGAGCGCCCTCGACATTCCAGAAATTCAAAAGACCCATGGCGCGGCCATGGCCAGCAAATTGGAGAAGGCATCCAATTTATTTCAACAACACTTTTCTTCTTCTGCTTCTGGCGGCGGCGACGACGACGATGTGACCATTGCTGTAGCTCCTGGCCGTGTCAATTTGATTGGAGAACATACGGATTATACGGGAGGATTTGTGTTACCATTTGCCATTGAATACTCTTGCGTTGTTTACGGCCAAGGGAAATTGACGACATCCTCCTCCTCATCCTTATCATCACCCACCCAAGCGAGCCTTTCGTTTGTCAGTGCGCAGGGGTCCCAAGAATTGGTGCAACTGCAAATCACTTCCGAGAGTACACCACCCGAGAAATCGTCATGGACTTCCTATGTCTGTGGTACAGTCTTTCAATACTTGGTCGATTTGCCACAATCTTCTCATCTCGAATTAAAATTTGCCATGGCGAGCGATGTACCATTGGGATCCGGACTCTCCTCGAGTGCCTCGTTGGAAGTCTCCATCGCCCGCTTTGTCGAAGCCATTATTGGGACGACATTTGCCTTTTCTTCTTGTGAGGATGACACCAATCATGCCAAGATTCGAGCCATGCGCTGTCAAAAAGCCGAAAATACGTGGTGCAATTCTCCCTGTGGCATTATGGATCAATACATTTCCAGTGCCGCTACCAAAGGTGGTCTATTGATGATTGATTGCACGTCTCTCGAGGCACACCAGACTCTAATGGCTTCTACCGAAAGACCTTTGCTAGTGGTGGCCAATTCCAATGTCCAACATGACATTGGTGGAGGCGAATATCCAATTCGCGTGAAGCAATGTCAAACGGCGACTACTGCCCTCCAAAAGGTCAATCCTCAAATTCAAAACTTGCGAGACGCTACTTTGGAAGATGTGGAACAAGCCAAGGAACACATGAAGGATGACGTGAGCTATAGACGAGCCAAACATGTGGTGACGGAAAATGCTCGGGTGGAACAGACAAAGGCGGCACTGGAACAAGGGGATTGGAAACAAGTGGGAGAGCTGATGAATCAAAGTCATGCGAGTATGCGAGACGACTACGAAGTGAGTTGCAGAGAAATTGATATGTTGGTAGAGATTGCGCAAAAGCAACCAGGAGTCTATGGCAGTCGATTGACGGGAGGTGGTTTTGGGGGTTGTACCGTCACATTGGTGGACAAAAGTCAAGCACAGAATCTGGTCGAGACGCTGCAAAAGGAATACAAGGCCAAGACTGGCAAAGATTGTGATCCCTTTCAAACGCAACCAGCACAAGGGGCTCATATATTAACACTCTAAAATGAAAATGAAGTGAAACCCATGGACGTTGACGTACCTACTGTTGTCGCTTATCTGTCGCTTACTGTAGCTTCCGTCCAGAGGACTTGGTGCCTTTTCGGGGGTGAGAAGTGACTATTTGGGGTGACTATTTTGGTTCCTTTCGATGTCCGTCGTGCGTACGTCATTGATGTTCCGCCTGTTCTCCCTTCCAGCCGCCAAACAGGAAGAAACATCACAACGGTTTTCTTCCTTCTATTTTGCACACATCAACTTCAACTACACCACTAGACTTCCACACCACTAGTGACTACGACACACGCTACATCTAAATGGTTCAATAGAAATTCGACGCAAAAGATGAATTTACTTTTAGAAGGAGTCTTGGCGTTCTGTCTACTTCCGACACTTGCCTTTGTTCCATCCTCATTGACAACGACTACCGGTAGATCCAATCATCCTTCTTGTCATCCTTTGAACGATAAGTGCTGGCAGCATTTGCAAAAGCTAGATTCCAATACTGTTCCAGGATTCCGAATAAACAACAGCAACAGCAACAACAACAACAACATGAGAGAAACTTCCATATGCTACATGGCCCGAAATACCGATACAACGAAACGAAAACGACCCGCTACCAAGACAAAGAAACGAGGCCGAAAAGGACTCACCAAGTGGGATATCATGATACCTCGTTTGGAAGCATTCAACAAAGCAAATGGGCACTCTTTGGTTACCGACAAGGACGACGACATAGAGCTATACAAGTGGACTCGTCAGCTACGCTACAATTTCATTCACCAGATTCGCAATACCACAACACCTGTTGGCCGAAGGTACAGACGGTTTCTTTCCAACGAACAACTGGAACGATTGGAGAGCCTCGATTTTGTTTGGGAAACTCAACCCAAAAAGAAGGCTAGTCAACATGCCAGCTGGGACCATATGATTGGACGGTTGGAACGATTTCAACAGAAACACGGGCATACCAAAGTCACCAATGAGGACGACTCGAAACTATTCAACTGGTGCAAATACATTCGCTATTCGTATGGCCACCAAATAGAAAGCAGCTTGACGAACAGCACTCGCACCACCCTTCCCCGACTAGCCAAAGGAAAATTGAAGCAGTTGCAAGAAATAGGCTTTGATTGGGGGACTAGACGGAAAGTTCGCCAATGGGATGTCATGTTTCCCAGATTGACATCATTTCATGTAGCCCACGGTCATGTCAACGTCACGCCAACAGATGATTTGGAATTGTATCAATGGGTGAATCGAATGCGCTACAATTATCAGCACCAAGCATTAAATATTACGACTACAGCACGGCGTCCACGTTTGGCGAAAGCGAAGCTAGCTACTTTGAATGAAATGGGATTCATCTGGCAGTCAAACTCTACATCGCCTGAAAAACCTAAGGCGACTTGGGAGGATCGCTATCAAGAACTATGCGATTTTAAAAAGAAGCACGGTCACTGTTATGTCTCGAGTACGGAAAACAAACCGCTGTATGTATTTTGCAACAAGCAACGAGAAGAATTTCGAAAGTATAAGGTTGGCAACTTCACCAGTATGACAGAGAAGCGCATCAGACTCTTGTCCAAGATTCAGTTTGAATGGATCAAGCCTCACGATCGCACATGGGAAGAACGTCGTGCCGAGTTGGAAGATTATTGGCAGCGAACGGGAGATCCCCATGTTCCTCAAGATTACAATTCGAACTTTCAGCTTGGTCAATGGTGCATGAACCAACGATCCTTCCATCGAATGAACAAGAACGGAGACCAGACTGGACTGACATCCGAGCGAGTTCGCAAATTGGAAAAATTAGAGTTCCCATGGAGTTATCGCCGTCTACGTTGGTATTCCATGTTTCAACGTCTGAAGAAGTATGCTGAAGAACATGGAGATTTGGAAATCTCCACCAAGGATGTTGACAATAGAGACCTGCGACAATGGATCAACGAGCAACGCTTCTTTTATCGAACCGGGCAAACTAACCGGATGACAGAGGAACGGAAAGAATTGTTGGACAGTATTCCCAGCTTTTCTTGGGAACGCAAACGTGCGACGGGTCCATCCAAACACGAGTGGAACAAATTGTTTGTGGCCATTAAAGAAAAGGGTATTTCACCAGAGGGCAAGGCCAAGCAGCATTGGTTTGATGGTCAAAATCGATTCGAGCAAGAAGTCAAGACTCAATACAACGAGGACGAACTGATGGCATTGTGGAATGAGGAGACGGAGGATGATGAAGCGGAAGACGAGGACGGGGACGAATTTTATGAAGACGAAGACAGCACATTGTTTTTGCGTGCCTAATAATAAAATAGATCGCTCACAAAAAATTCATGAATTCCATTGTTTATTCTAAATACGATACATGCCGAGATGGCTTCCCTTGGTACCAGGTATCCTTGCCTTTGTTGGTATGCACCAGGTACACGTGTGCTTGGTATAATACCGCTGGCGAGAGTACTTGTAACGACCTTTTCAATCACGCAAGATTGGATGCCAGTTTTGAACTAAATGAAAACCCGGCTGGCTCGCGCCAGCCATGGATATCTATTTTGAATGTGAGTCCTCGACTTCCGAGCCCTCGTTTTGACTACGGCGATTTCTCGTAAACACGACCCTCATGCTTTTTATTCTGTCAATAATAGCAACTGTCAAAGTAGACTGTTTGCTTCAATATTCCTACTGCGTCTCGTCTATTATTGTCTGTCAATTAGGAGAAAGACTGATCTAAAATGGGACTTGTAGCTACTTGGTTAACAGGAATTGGCTTGAGCAGCGCAGTGCCTACCTTTCATGTATGTCGTTTTGTTCCATTGTTGATGGCAACTGTTTCGTGCCTCTTTGTCGCTTGTGTCGTTTTACACAACACCATCAAGGAAATGCACTCACCATGACCCTTTCTTATCCAATGTAATATTGTAGGCTGCTGGAATTACCACACCATCCGCGCTTGCCGAGCTGGATGTCAATCATTTTGAAGCCCTGGGAATCTCAGATCCAAATGACCGTCGAAAACTGTTTTACTTGGTGCAACGAATCAAAATGGCAGTCACAAAGGAAAAAGCAGATGCTAAGGGAGAAACTATGGAAGAAAAAGTGGAAGCCTTGATTAACGGTACAATCGACATGGTGGAACATGAGGATGAGGGTGCTACAGATTCAGAGAAAGTACGTCGCAGTAAACGATTGGCAAAGAAGACTGATTCGCCCAAAAAGGAGAAAAAGGATAAGGATTCATCCAAAAAGGAAAAGTCCAAGAAAGAGGGCAAGAAAAAGAGCAAAGACAAGGGCTCGGATGCGGAACTTTCTCCCACAAAAAAGAAGAAAAAGAAGAAAGCAAAATCCACAACAGAATCAGAAGTTGACGATGAGCATGCCAACGAGGAAAAAAAAGAAGAATCCAATGCCATCAACACTCCTCGAAAAGCAACTGTGAGCGCAGCTAAAGCCAATGCGGTCTTTAATTTGGATGATTTTGATGATGATACACGGGAACCACAACACAGTTTCGTGTCAACTCCCACCCGTTCACGACGGGCAGCCGCCACACCACCGCGGCCTCCAACGGCTGTTAACACGGCCCAAGACACATCATCGTCGGTTCCCTCTAATCCTGCCAATCCATCTACACCTACCACCTCCAGAGCGAACAGTCCAACCACCGCCGATAGATTCATGTCACCGCGAAGCACGTCAAGTAGCCCTCCGCGAGAATCGGGAATCTCACCTCCAAGAGCAAGAGCAATGTCTCCTCCAAAAGCGAGAGCACCCACAATCACGAGTCTCCCAAAAAAAGCACTACAAAGCAACTTACAGCCTCCTTCTGCCGCAAAGATCACGAGTACAAAGAGTGCTATTCCGACTCCTACCACAAGTCGACTACAGGCCCCAAAATCACGGAGGCCCGAATCCAAACTTTTGAATCCAGGAACGTCTGCTCGCACTGGAAAGCCTCTGGGAGCCATTCCGTCGGCAACCGAGGCCAACATGTCACCGTTGAAGCCATTGGTGACTGACAATTTGCCAGAAAACAGTCCAAAGCTGGCTTCTCGAGGAGGTCTACTCTCGAGACGAAATTCCAGGCAAATGAGCCGCAAAAATTCGGAAGTGTCGGTGGGATCCAGAAACAAGAATGAAGGACCCTTTGTGATTGGAGGTTCAGAAGCGCGATCTTGGGAGTCCCAAGTGACATATCTTCGGGAAGATAACAACGCGGAACATGAACTATTCTGTGATCAATATGAAGATGAGATATATGAATATGACATGAAAATTCGAGTCATTGTTCGAAAACGACCGCTCAGCAACAATGAAGCTGAAAAATCTGGTGGCATTGACGTCATTCATCCCCTCGACTATGGAGACTTTGGTAAAGTCTTGGTCTATCAACCAAAGACCCGAGTCGATCTGACGAAAGAAATTGAAACGGTTCCATTTTCATATGACAATGTCTTTGGCGAATCGTCTACCAATGTCGATATCTACCAGCGATCCTTGAGAAACTTGATTGTTCCATTTTTCAAGGGACAATGGTCCACTGTTTTTGCCTATGGTCAAACTGGTAGTGGAAAGACTTACACCATGATGGGATCCAATATGACTGGTATCAATGCGGGTACAGCGACGGACGATGCTTCCAATCTCGGACTATACTATTTGGCCGCTCTAGATATTTTTGACATGGTTCAACGACCAGAGTACCAACACTTGAAAGTTCAAGTCTCCTTGTTTGAAATCTACGGAGGAAAACTTTTTGACTTGTTGAATAGTCGTGGACCCGTCAAGTGTCTGGAGGATAGTCGGGGAAAGGTTTGCTTTCCAGGATTGACTGAGCATCCAATTGACGGACCGGATCGATTGATGGAATTGATCGAGTTGGGAGCCCAGAATCGTTCCACTGGTACAACGAGCAGAAATGCTGACAGTAGTAGAAGTCATGCTGTACTTCAACTGAAGCTACGAAAGGACATTGGTCGCAAAAAGAATGTGGAACATGGTAAGCGTTTTTTGGTTTCGATTATTGAAATTTTGTCGGAAGTTATCTCATCACTGACGATGCAATTTTTTTAGGACGCTTGAACTTTATCGATTTGGCTGGAAGTGAAAGGGGCGTGGATACGAATAACTGCAGTAGAGCAACTCGGCTAGAAGGAGCGGAAATCAATACTTCCTTGTTGGCGTTGAAGGAGGTCATTCGTGCTCTTGCTACTGGAGGATCGATGCAAAGGATCCCATTCAGAGGCTCAAAGCTGACACAGGTGCTGAAAGATAGTTTTATTGGCGAGAATTCTCGTTGCTGCATGGTGGCATGCATTTCACCAGCGATTGAAAACTGCGAACAAACACTCAATACCTTGAGATATGCGGATCGAGTGAAGGAACGAGACTCTGAGAGCGGAGCGCTGCCAGCATCGTGTGACGAACCAGTTCGATTGAATATTATCCCCAAACAACCCGCACCACTTAGCTCGGAAGAGGAGGAAAAGGATACCTGCGATTTTGGCAACACTTCGTTCGAAGAAGACGAGGAGCTGTTGACAGAGCCACCAATGGCCGTCAACTACAGTATGATGTCAACCGATACTCGTGCACTTGATGACTTGCTTGCTACACCAAGACAACCAAGTGCAAAGCCTGATTCGGCTGACCCAGATTCCAATAAAATGCAAGTTGGACAAACCCTCATTGCGGCACATCGATCGGTCATGTCATCGATGTTGGGTATGGTGAAGACTGAAATGACTTTGGTCAACAAAGTAGATGGCGATCGCGATGGTTTGGATGAGTATCTATCGGAGCTTCAGGCACTGCAATCGACTCAGCTGGACCTCATTTCCAACCTACGAGAAGCACTCGACAACTACTGCAATGCCGCTGAGGGATCGTCTCCTCGAGAGCATTTCAATGACGACGAAAGCTTTGAAGACCTCCGAGACTAGACTTGGAGTAGATTTGTACACATAGAAGCAATATTTTGCAATCTTTAGAGCCATCATCTAGAGTCTACGCAACGCTGCCACCGTGACCCGTGACTCTATCACAATGCAGAGAATTCGACGTCATCCATTTCGTTTCCACGTCATCTCGGGAATTACCGCTTTATGCCACCACAAACATAACAAATTTACAAAAGCTTTTGCTCATTTTTTCAAGGAATAACGCGATAAAAATGACTTCGCATCCACGCCGAGCACACATCATCTATCGACTTCGTTTTCGAAACGAATGTGGTTACTCCGTCATCACCAATGGTAGCATTCTCTTAATCAGCATAAACACTGATTGCGAAAATGAAAACCCTAATTTATCTTTTGGCAGCATCTTCGGATTCAATCTTTCATGATTGGTGCAGCAGTGTTGGAATCGAGACGCCTGCAGCTAGGCTTGTCACAACCCCTGAGTCGGTTGCTGGAAGAGGTGTTTTTGCTACCGAAGACGTGGAGGAAGGTGACACTGTCATTCGGATACCACATGATACTCTGTTGCATGAATACAATGCTGCTGTGATTCTACCCGAAGTGACGAAGAAGCACAAAAAAACGAGAAGGAGATATTCCCGTCGGCAGAGTAGATTGCTTCGACCTTTCGGAAAGAAATACGAGTTTGCAGAGCCGTCCGATCTATGGCAAGCTGAGTTCACACAGTATTGTCTTTCATCCTTGGAGTCCAACAACTTTTGGGCGCCTTGGATTCAGCAGTGGCAACGGGATGACCCTATGCAGGTTAGTTTTAGTGATCATTTCGGGTTTGAATGAATTAATGAAGCACTCGTGGACATTTCGATGGGATGCTAACTTGATTCATTCATGCAGCGACTTTTTGAAAGAAACGTTTCGCCTGATGATGAAAACAGTATCATTAAATGCATTGCCGAAATAAAGAAAGATCTCCTGCCAAACGAGGATCCACTGAAGATTCGAGCTGCTGTGGATATTCGACTGAGACGGCTTGCAGAATTGAAGGAGCTCTATGGTCTTGCTGATTCTGATTCATCCATGTACGGGACAGTCATTTCGCGTGCAATCGATCTAGGAGATGGTACTTTAGCTGTTATTCCAATGTTTGATATGGTAAACCACTCGATGAATCCGAATCTTAACCTTTCGATCGATTTTGAGCATGAAATGCTCGATATGAAGGCAACAAGACCAATAAAGAAAGGAGAAGAAATGTTTGTTTCTTACCATGACGAAGAAAATCAAGATAACGAGTTCGGGAGTTTATGGGTAAGTTAGCTATTGCCTCTGTTGCACCTCCCTCTTGGTTTTGGCCGTTTATTCACAATCAGCTTCATAGTCCGCAGTTCAATGGGGAATTCCAGAAGCTGCATTACAAATTCCAGAACCGCAGATAGCTTCAGCACAAATTCGAGAACCACAGACAGCTTGATTGAAAAGTGTAATTGTAATGGAAAATGTATATAATCTTTGCTTATCATTTATCAGTTTATGCCCAATAGATATGCGTCAATGCAAAAGTACAAACGCGCTCGCAGCCTTTCATTCGAATGGCAACTTCGACATCCTTGGGTTCTGATGTGAATTCCTTGTCATCCAGCAAGGTCAAGATTTCTACTACTCGTTGGATGTGATGATTCTTTTCGAGGAAGTCAGCCTTGGACAAGCTGGTAACCTTTCCATCGATTGCGTATTCGAACACAAATGTATCTGGTAGCTCGACAGTGTCGGTGGACCTCACTCCGAGAGATCTTTGGTCATTCAGAACAGTCTCAGTTGAAAGATTTCTTTCTCGAAGTCTGCGACCAGTAGGCTCATTATTCACGGAGGTCCAATCCTTGGTCATTGTACTCTCATCCGGACTATGCCATGTATGTAGCTTGATCATGATAAGACCTTCCTTCAAGTCTTCCAGCGTCAAAACCAACCAGCCTGAGAATTCGTTTCCAATAATACCTCCACGGGCATCATGGTGGCCATAGAGTGCACATTCGTTGTCACTTTCCAGTGAACACACAGCATTGTACGTTCCGTCACAGTAACCTTGTGGTTCGCCCCAGATCTCCCATCCCTTTCCAGGTACAACCTCGTCATCACCAAGCATTCGAGTTGATACTTGTCGATCTGTGTGAATATTGAAGGGTTCCGCCTCTGTCTTCGCCACCGCACCTTCCGTAGGAACATCTCCTGTGGGTACAGCATCCAATCTTCTTCTCGTGACCATCACGTCAAAAATATCAATGGCTCCCTCTGGTAGATCATAGCATTCGTTGTGAGCATCAGGTCCTTCGTACAAAGCCTTCTTTTCATTCTTTGGGACGTATCCATCAGCAGTTGGTTTGATGATGCTGGTCAGACTGGTCTCTTCAGGATTTGCTCTGGGTGTGTACTGTGTACGAGCCTAATGATGGAAGCAAAGTGTCAGTAACGAAAGACAAGGAGCAAACAGTCATCCGCTAGCATTCAGTATACGAACCTTCATCGGCGTGTTGCAGACACGATCAGGCAAATTTTCGTCCTTGTAGCATTCACCAAGTGCCTTGTCAAGATTTTTGACCTTTTCCCGAATATTATCATAGTAGTCGGTTACATGCCAGTATTCATCGGCAAGAGGAGGGCCACCCATGACATTCTCGTTCCACTTGTTGACGGCTGCTTGCAATGCACTGAGAACTCCCATGGCCATAGTTCTTCCAATAAGTTGATGCATTCTCCATCCAGGATGCCAATTGACTTGTCCCTTTGGCTTGGGAATCTGGTTCTTTTCTGGTTTGATTCCGTCTTCACGATCGATCCAGCATTTGGCACAGAATCGAGGTTCGGCATCGCACAAACTCTTGACGGTGTCCTCACATTTCATTCCTTTTTGCGAATAGGGAAGGGCATCAAATTCTTCTTGGCTAGTTGCTTCAAGGAGTGCATCTGTGCCCCAACCGAATTCTCCAACATCCGCATCGGCTTCTTCGTGGAGCATTTTCAACAAATCAAAGTTACCGCCCCAAACCACTGGGACACGATTACCGCCAATCAAACCTTGTCGCAAAAAGATATCCACATGTGCCCCACTTTGTCCCTCGGTCATGCCTGAAGCGAAACGAAAACCATCAATATCACTAAAATATTGCCATTTACAGGTGGAATAAAATTATCATACAACTTACCAGAATCCCAAATCAAAAGGTCAACTTCGTCACCGTAGATTGAACCTGAACCAAGCCCGTTATGAACGGTACCAAGTCCTCCCATTCCGACATTTCTAGTAATCAATTTGACACCAAGGCGAGCAAAGATAGGTTCCAAGACCTTGTGAAATTGCATCATGTAACTTTGTCGAAAGTGATTTCCTTGTCCAGCCGCAGCCGAGTGTCCGCCCATCACAACGGTAAAGGTATCCGAGGTCATCATGGCATGCAAAAGACGAAGAACCAGACCATCAAAACTTCGTTCCGTAGTCCAACCTCCATCACCCCGGTCTCCTTTCTTGGCATACTTTGGTGGTGGCCCAGATACTCCGGAAAGATCAACTTTGGACCAATGCAACATTTTCTTGCGAGCAATTTGGCCATCTGTATCAGGAGGCTTGGGATGACCAAGTTCTTCATAAATGGCTTCGACGGCTTTGGAAAGCATATTGTTGGCTGCATCCAAGTAGTGATTGACAAAGACGGCATCCACTTGCCAGGCATCTTCGGGCATCTCGTCACCAGGCATGTCACGATTTGGAAAGGGGGCCAAATAGTCATTGGTTGGTCGATTGTCTTCGTCGCCATCAAAGAAACCCCATTTACCATATTGTTCTTCGATCTTTTCTCTAGTCTCATCATCTGGCAGTGGATGATCGATCAGAGGCTTGACTTCGGCAAAATTGCGGTACATGTATTCCCCATCTGCAAACAATTTCTTCCCAGCCTTGGCAGTGGCAGCTGGAGCAGGCTTTTCGTCTTCTACGGGAGCAGCTGTTGGTGAGTCGGTTGCCTTGTCTTCTGCGGGAGTTTCCACGGGTGCTTCCATAGGACTTTCGACGGGAGCATCAGTAATAGCCGCCACTGGAGCATCAGTCGTAGCTGCCACTGGAGTTTCAGTTGGTGGTGGAAGGGGTACTGGTGGTGCAACTGGGGTTTCGGCAGGTGTCCCGACGACTGCCGGATTTTCGTCAATGCCATCACCCCCCACTTTACTCACATCCTGAATTGGTTTGGGAGCGTCGTCAGCGGACGCTACGTAGAATAGAGCCAGAATGGCCAAGACGGCAACGACCATGACTTTGGTCATGAAGTTTTTCCGCATTGCTGCAGCCAGAATTACGTCATCGCCAGTGGAACCTTGCTTTCCTAGCTTCTTTTGATTTCGCGAGTTGATGAGGCTGACGCTTTCCATCTCCAAAGCCTGCATGGTTATTGTCTGTGTTGTTCCTCCCAAGTTGTGACGAAAGTGACTTGTAAGGTGGTCTTTTTCTCGGTCTTTTGTTTTGTCCCAAATTTCAATTTTTGAATCGAAGAATGAATGAATCGTACCGCGATGAGTAAAGCAATAGGCGCAAAAGAAACTAACCTAGAGCTATTTTGCATTTTAGAGTTTTCTCGAGTCTTTAGATACGGTACCGGTAGAAAGTTGCGACTCTAATCATAAAATAACCTCAGCTATAACCAACCTGCATTATTGAATAGCTTCATCCCCATTTCGAGAAAACCCTCACTTGCTTCCTCACCCTCGGTAGATGCAGACGTTGACCTTTGAACCTCTGGTGAGTATTCAAATCGATCTTCCAGAGCAGTGTCACGAAAAGACACCCGTTTCCCATCCTTAGGTGTATCATCCGCCTTGGTAACATTATCGCTCGTATTCTCCTTGACAGCAACCCCATTGTCCCCGTCACTATTTTGGTCTTTGTCGGATACCCCTTCTTTCTCCCCGAGACTACCGAGATCAATGTCAACCAGAGACGTCCCATCTTCGTCAACATCAACTACTAAGCTGCCATTAGGCTCCATGACCAAGCTACCAAGGTTTCTCTTGGCTGATCCTTCACTCTCGGTAATGTTGTTCTCGGAATCGCCTTCGCCCCCTTCCGAGGCGGCTTGTTCTTTGGTTGTTTCCACCTTCTTGTCTTCTACAACAATGGTGGGAGGACCAGAGGCTGCGTCTTGTGTCTCTACGCTAACAATAAATTCACCACCGTCACCAAAGCTGATATCCGTCTCGACAACTTCTCCTTCTACCATTTCTTCATCATCCATCAAACTTCCAGTTTGGACAAGTGACTTCAATGATGATGGAGGAGGGTTGGACGTCGACTTGGCAGTGGGACGAGGAGGCTTACCGAACGACAAATTGGTAGTGGGAGGAGTTGGCGGAGTCGGAGGCGTCGATGTCGAATGGACCGATTTAGGCGTCGCCGTCGAGTGATCATCCCCCGAACTCCCCGAGCTTGCTGCTTTCAAACTTTCCTTGTTGTTGGCAATTTCCCGAAATTCTTTTAGAGCTTCAATGGACTGCTTGAGTACCATGGATTCCTTCAAGACTGGATTCCGCGAGATTGGGGGACGATCCGGTGTCAGAGGTCGAGGCAAATGGGGTACTCCTAGTTCCATCTCTTGTGATTCCACTATGACCTTCTTTTCTTTTTCTTGTTGATCACCATTGTTATTTTCATCGACCGACTCGTAGTCATCCGCAGCTTCCAAGGACCGAATGGCAAAAATATCATGTTCAAAGTCTCGAATTCCCGTCAAGATAATTTCTTTGGTTCTTTCTGCATCGGATGATGATTCCTCCTCCTCCTCCTCCGCAGCAGCAGCCAGCTTGGTACTATTGCCGTTTTCATCATCATTATTCTTCCCTTGTTGTATACTTTTTTGTTTTATTTCGGATACATCCCCCTTGAGTGAATCCAAATCGTCTTGGAGCGCCTTTTGTTGGCTATTCTTTTCTTGGGCCGTTTGTTCCACGGATTCCCGTAAGGTTGCCACATCTTTTTCCAGAGCATCCACCGAAGCGGATAGTGCCTGATGTTGTTGTTCCTGATGTTGTTGTTGCTGCTGCTGCTGTTGTTGTTCTTCTTGACGAGAGCCTTCCATGTCAGATTCGTTGGGCCGACGCTCCATCTGTTCCAATTTGGTCAAACTGGATTGGACGTTTTCAAGTGCAGATGACATTTGATCTCGTTTGCCACTGTCATTTTCAATGCTTTGACGTAATAATGACATTTCCGATTTGATGGAGTCCAAGGTGGAAGATAATTTTTCCTCTTGTTGTAGTTGCTGTTGCTGCAAAATGTTCCCATCATCCTTACTGCTCGATAATGATACTTCGATGACTTGTTTCAGTGCCTTGACATCAGTTTCAATATTCTCAATCGCTGCCGAGAGTGACTCTTGAGTAGTTTTATTATCTCCACCCTTGATGTATTCACTCAATGATTCCATATTGGTTTGAATGGATTCAATGGAAGGTGAAATGGCTGCAGTTTGTTCGGCAATGGCAGTCTTGGCAACCGCTTGCAAGACATCGTGGGATGGAGGTGCTGAAACATTTGCTTCTCGTCGTGTCTCGACATCTGCAGCAGTAGCAGCAGTAGTTTCAAGTGATTGTGATTTATCGACTTGTTGTCGCAAGTCCTTTATATCCGATTGCAAGGACTGTACGGTCGACTGCAATTCACTTTGTTGCTGTACCAATGTGGCAATTTGAAGAGACTGTTGCGCGACCATTTCATGTTGTTGTTGCATGATTTTGTTCTTTTCTTCCAAGACAGTCTTTTGGGAAACTACTACTTGCGTCAATGAACTGATGTATCCCTGAACTTGTCCCCACTGAGCATCCATGTGCGCTTGCATTTCTTTGGCATGTGTCTTGAATGACTTTTCCATGCTTTCTTGGGTCGATCGTGCCATCATGGATATTCCCGCCATGGCGGCTCCCAAATCATCTTGGGTCAATGGTGGTGCTGTTTGCTGCATTTGTGGTGGTGGTGCTTGAAAGGCGGACGCATGACCTCCAAAGGCCTGTATCATGGATGGTGGCATGCTGCTGCCACCGCCGCCAAGGTCGGTTGATGGATTCGTGGTGGACACAAAGGCAGAACCATGTTGTCCCTGAAACATGGCAGACAAAGATGGTGGCGCTGTTGCAAAGGCTGCGTCAGCACCCGGTTGCATTTTTGGCATTGGGGCTGCACCCAGTTGCCCGGCGCGTTTTGGAGGAGAAGCTGCTGGTGCTGGTGCTGCTATTGTTGAATGAGTCGCCGTCGTTGCCTTGTCAGGTATTCGTGCCGTCAGCTTGAGATATCGAATCTTGGTCAATGTCAAGTCAGTTTCCCCTTTTTCTTTGTGTGCTTGTACATTCAAAATTTCCAGTCTTAATCGAGTAATAAGACGAGGACCACCGGGTATGACGCAAACGGCCTTGTACCATTGCTTTCCACTGTCCTTGTCGAATGGAATACCTCTGGACGTTGTCAGATAAGTTTCTTTGCCATCTCTCCCCGTAAGATATACCTTTGACTGTTTTGCATTGCTGACAATCTGAAAGCCTCCTAAAAAGAAGTGATTCTGCTGTTCTGGATTATTTTCCACAATGATTTGTGTTTGATCGGGCCGTTCGACAAGAGAACTATCATCTCCATCGTCCAAATTCAAAAGAAAGGAAGACTTCTTTCCCTTCTCTTGGTGCAGTATTTGACCTTCTGTATTCTCCGCATCCTTCAAAGCAGTAACTTTTTCATCTCCCGTGACTGTCCAGAACGTTAATATTGGTGGGTTGGCCATGTCCACCGTTCTATGGAAAGCTGAGAGAAGTTATCGAGCGAGTCTCCTGTTCGCTTTCTCCGTGCTTCCCGTTTTGCTGTATCGTGTCGCCAATATTCCAACTAACTCAAAATTGACTTTCTCCCCCCGATTAAAATATAGAGATATAGTGACAGCTTTACTGAGCTAAAGCATGGGAGTACGCGTCCTTGACGTGAACTTTCAAGGTTCAAATGCGAGTGTTGAATGCCTCTGTTTCGTTTGAATTTTGTCGGGCTCTCATCCACCCGGAAGCATTTTGATATTTCGCGACCAATGACAAGTCGGAGGAATCAATCAACAATCCTTCATCCGAATAGAATTGGGGTCCTTGTGTCCTTGTACGGTAGAGCATAATGTACTGTATTGGTATTATATACCTATTAGTTTACGATACCTTGTGTACTTTTCAATCTTTCAACTCCATCAGAATAGCTTCAATGGTAGATGTGATTATCAGCAATGGTGAAAAGGATGTACAATGCAGTACAGAACTATCTTTCAAAGTGGGCACGTGTGTTCCAAGTTTTCAGTTTTGGCAAGATCGAAAATATCAGACCCGTCCGTCTATCGCACGTCAGATCGATTTTTGACACCAACACCCAACACACGCACACATCATCAAGATCCTACGATCAACATCTCAGACGACACACATCATCATCCCCAACACAGCAAATCCAATAGGTACTGTAGAATACAATAGAATGGAAACCAAAGAGCTTGAAAAATCCTTCCAGGCATTGAATATTCCCAAGACACATGCTACAGTGGGAATTTCCAATTTAATTGCCTCCAACAAACAGTTTCGGTCGCTCTTTGTCAATCGACGATTGCCCAATGCAGGATTTTCGGACGTCCAAATTCAAAATCTCTTGTTTTTGTTTTCCATTTTGGATACCAACAACAAAACCATGGCGACTGGGGGCGACGGTGATGGCGAGGAGAGTCGATGGTGCGGAGTGGGCGAACGCGAAGGTCGGGTCTATTCCTCCTTGGTGGCCCAACGGCATTTTGGATTGAGTCATGGAATGGGACGAAGTGGAGACATTACCGAACCACAACCCAAGGCGGCTGGATCCAGTGCGTTGGTCAAGCTCACGCTACTGTTGGCCTTGGATGCGATTCGACGAGGCAGCGGTTTGAATGCCAAGGGGCCTGCGGCGAGCGGAATATTGCTGCCCTTGTGCACTGGAATGAGCATGTCCCTATTGTTGAGTAGCTTGAAAAGTTCCGAAGGCAGCGATTCCAACAAAACTATTGTCTTGTGGAGCAGGATCGATCAAAAGAGTTGTTTCAAGGCCATTTCAAGTGCTGGCTTGGAATGTGTCGTGGTGCCCACGACCATTCAGGGCGACGAGGTGGTGACCGATGTCCAAGCCATGGAACAGGCTCTTGCTCAGTACGGTGACAAGGTGTTAGCAGTCATCACCACCACTTCTTGTTTTGCACCGCGTGTCCCAGACTCTGTGGATGAAATTGCCAAGCTATGTGCGAAAACCAATGTCCACCATGTCATTAACAACGCCTATGGCTTGCAGTGTCCCAAGACGTGCAAACTCATCAATCGGGCCTGTGTGGTTGGACGGGTGGATGCGATTGTATGTTCGACCGATAAGAATTTCCTGGTTCCAGTGGGTGCGTTTTTCTTTTAAAATTGGAGCTTGCTGAAGTATTGAGTTGTATCATTATGATTTTTTACCTAACACCACGGCTGCCTTTGAGTTGATTCTTGCAGGAGGAGCCATCATTTTGTCACCCCACAAAAAAGTCACTGCTCTGGTTGGAAAGGTGTAGTAAGTACTACTACAAAACAAGTATACATGGCGGTAAATGATGCTAGTTGAACCATACACAAGGATCTAACAGGTGCTTTGATATACTCTATGTACCAATTCAGTGCTGGAAGGGCTTCGTCATCGCCCATTGTGGACCTTTTCATTACTCTTTTATCAATGGGCCTCAATGGTTACACAAGACTCTTGAAGGAACGCCAAACAATGTTGGAAACCTTTCCCAATCGATTGCAAGCAGTGGCGGATAAACATGGAGAACGAATCCTATCCTGTCCCGCAAATACCATATCCTTTGGAATGACGTTGGATGGGCTTGCCCGATCCAAACGAGACGACGAGTCGGAAGCCGATTACCTCGCATCGGTCGCCAAGGAGATTTCAAGTTTTGGTGCCATGCTCTTCAGTCGGTGTGTGAGTGGAACACGGGTAGTTCCACGAGGTGAAGTGAAAATCATGGGTGGCCACGATTTTGTAGGATTTGGAAGTTCGACGGCCAACTTTGGGCATGCCTACATGACTGCCGCCTGTGCGATTGGTGTTAGTACACAGGAACTGGATGAGTTCTTTGTTCGATTGGACAAGACGCTTACAGAATTCCATACAAAGAAGAACAAGGCATCCGCCAAATAATAAGATAGACGTCGAGTATTTTGGGCTTCTTCTAGTATGGAGCGGTTAACGAAATACTCTCATTGGACTATGTAGTGTTTGTTCAGTAGAACTCCACTTTCCAGCTGGTCGACCAATGGTGAAGCTTCTCGCGAGTTTACAGAGGAAAGTGGTCCGACAACTACTTTTGCATTGAGCGAAAGCTCATGACACTATAGCGCTACGCTTCATATCGTGATGACGTCGACATCATCAGTAGCATGTAATGGGCAATCACTTCCCCGAAACAAGAAAACAGAAATATTTGATTATCAGAGCTTGTGTCTTGTCCTGCTGAAATCATTCCTTGTTAGATTCCCCCTCAGCCCGATTGGTTTCGTCACTAGTGAATGCAACACCAACTCTACCACGATTGTCCCCACCTGCTCTATATTGAATGTATTCTTTGACAGTCATGCCTGCCCTCTCAGAAGAGTTGTTGCCTAAGGACGCACTGATATCACCGTCTGGATCTGCAAAGAAGGCTATTGAGGTTCGAGGTTCGGACGATTTGTCATTGGAAACCACTCGATGAAGGGTCGAAAGCAGTTTGCCCTTTGTCCAATCACTCAATAAGGAACCAATATTCACCACTATCGTTCCCTCCACATAGGGTACATCTGTCCAAACACCATCGATCATGGCCTGCAAGCCACCGACTCCATCACTTGTCAAGAGTGTAACGCTCCCGTAATCCGAATGGGCCTTGCATCGAATCTTTGGAGACGATATGTTCTCATCTAACAACGACGACGACGACTCTTCAGGGACGGGAGGATAATGTAACAACCGCAAACAGCTGTTACTCTTGCTATGACACTCTGAAAAGTAACCTGGTGGTAGTCCCAATCCTAGAGATATGCAATGCAAAACTTGATGTTTCACCTTCTCCATGACATCCCAGTATTCCTTCAGAATCTTTTGTTGGTCATCCTTTGCCTTGAGGGTTTCAATCGAGTCAGCACTCTGTATCATGATGTATTTCTTGGGATCGACTGGATGGAGAATGGTTTCCGAATTGTCCTTGTCATTCAAAATTTCTTTTGTCGCTACAAGAGCGTCTTGCTGCAAATCCTTGCTCAAATAATGACTTTGCACCAATAGAAATCCACTGGTTTCCAGTGCCTCAGAGACCTGGCGAGCTGCTTGCCTCATCATTTCAGAGGACGAGTCATTGTCAGAGGGAAGATTCACTAGTGGGATTCTGTTCTTTACCATATTGAGAGACAAAACAATGGCACTTGCAAGAGGATGGTACCACAACATTTCATTTGGTAAAAGAATGGATTTCGAACATTGAGCTCTTACTCCCCTTCTCTTCTTCTCCAAGGTTTCATCTGTCGAATGAATCAATCAATCGTTCGATTCATTCGAAGGATCCCAAGGCTTGACAGCTGCCTCCGAAAAGGAAGCAAAGAAGAACAACAAAGATCAAAGCGGATTGATGGTCGAAGCATGACCATGGAAGACGATTCATCAGAACACAGTGACCCCGATTGCGGTGACACCATCAAAAGCAAATCATCAATGTGGTCTGAAGTCAGCGATAATGACGAGATAGAAGACGACGAAAGTCAGGTCACTGAATACCATGAAGCCGATGATTTTGTGGATGTAACTACCGATGTTCTTGACGAAGGAGCATTATACCGGCTCAAGCATTATGGTAGTGCTGAGAAAGATGAAGCTGGAAGGATACGAAGATTTTCGAAGCGCATATCAGATCAAGTAGTGAGACGATCCTCCTCCATAGTAGAGGAAGCTCAGGAAGCGCTTCCAACGACACCATCAGGTTGGGCAATATTCTCATCCGTTGTGGCAACTTGCACTCTTGGATACGAAATGAATGTGCAACGTAAGCTCACCAAACCACCAGTTACAATGGGTCAGATCGCTCCTGGATCTGCAGTGGGTGACATTTACTCCAAAATGTCCAAGACTGCTTCCAGTATTTTGACTAGACCCATTCAACCCAGTTTGTTTGTCGGAACGAGAGGGAAAGTCTCAAGTACTGCAGCGTATTTGCATGGAGGACCTTCTTTGACAGACAAACATCTCCGATTCCGCGAAATTGTTAAATTGACGCAAGGCGGTGCCAAACTTGCATTGGATTGGGAGATTCCAGTAGACGCTGGACAACGACGGTCCACAAAATCAAACGACGAGCTTAGAAATGAAATCCTGAAAGGCCCTATATTGGATCCGGTGGTGATTGTGATTCATGGTATCAACAATGATGCTTCTTTCGGTTACATGCAATCGCTTGCAAGGTCTTTTACCAATCGGGGTTGGAATGCTGCATCTATGAACATGAGGGGTTGTGGTGGAGTGGAAATGGAAACTCCACGGGCATATAACGCCGCATACACAGGGGACTTACGAAATTTAGTACATCGTATAGCTGCAAGGCTCAGTAAGGATGTCCCGCTCTTTTTGGTGGGGAATTCTCTTGGCGCAGCCCTTCTGACCAAGTATCTAGGTGAAGAAGGATTGAGTGGAACACTTCCAGCATGCGTCTCCGGTGCAGCGAGTCTTGGCAATCCTCTCTCGATTAATTCAAATTTGGTGGCCTTCCCCTTCAACGTAGTTATGGGGTTGGGTGTCAAGAAAATGGTGCTCGCTCATTGGAAAAGCTTCAGGCAAATGACGGACTCTGCATTTCAGTCAGCCTTTCGAACTGCTCTCTTGAGCTCCACCATTGCCAAATTTGATGCCGCTGTTGCGCCGTACCTACAGCGAAATCAAGCCTTCTATCCTTATGCAGATCGAATAGGATACAAAAGCGGTGAATCCTATTGGACGGACTCGTCATCGTATCGACTCGTTCGTCATGTCTCAGTGCCATATCTGTTCCTTACAGCGAGAGACGATTTCTTGGTATCAGAACCAACCAGAAACAAGCTTGGATACTTGGTTTCGAATCCTAACGTGCTCGTTGTGGAGACAAGATGTGGTGGCCACCTTGGCTGGCAGGAAAGTCCTCCAGAGACCGACTCCCCTTTTGGTTCCACCTCTTGGGCGGATGCTGCAGCTTCTGATTTCTTCGATTCAATCATGCAGGTGAACATGGAACGCAGTGGATCACGGGTAGATACGCATGCGCCCAGTGATGGGGTCGGCATATGGACTCCCTTTGAAACAGACGCTCACGCGGCAAAGATGCTGAAGGAGGACGCAATCGCAGAATCCAAAATGTTAAGAGCCAAGCTTTGAGTTTAAAATTTAACAATTGTGACAGCTGCAATAGATCACCTAGACAAAGGTTATTGTTATCCTGTGAGAAGCTTTATGAAGTTGAATATCGTGGTCTTTGTGGGGTTGCAGAACGAGGCGGAGAGGTGGATGATGGATATGATACCATTTTGAATTACACATGTCAAGAGAACCCGGATGTTAATGACGTGTGTGGATTGGCGTGGTTCTGGACCTTGAACTTCATTTTGATAAATTGCAAAATAGAAAGAACACTACCAACAGTACCTACCTGCTACAAGAGCATAATCTTTGTACCATGCAACTTCTTCCATACTCCATTGTCCGCACATTGCCCTTGCTGGGTGTAGTCTGCACAGCCTTTCACAATCCGCAGCACCATGGAATATATCACGTGCAGGAGATCAGTCGACTGACATCACCAACAACGTCACTCAACCTAGCGACACAAGATAGTTCGGACTCCGACAACCCCGAGAACGACAAGAACTCTGAGGGAATGGGGGTGAAGAATAAAGGTCTATTGAGGTTGGCAAAACTGAGCCTAGAAGACTATCAATGGAGACAAGCACTCTTCAAAAGCTCTGAAGCAGAGCGGAAAGTGGAGGAGAGCCTTGCTAGGATGATGGGAGACGAACCAAGTTATGTTAGACCAATGGATGCCAGTTCCGAAAAAATCGGCCCTTTGGTAAGTGTATTGAATCAGCATTCCTGCTGTTGCGAGTGATGGGATTCATTCTAATGCTTGAGATGTTTATAATGTGTAGGGCTTGCTAGAAAAATCATCAGTAGACTGGCTCTTGAATGTCATAGATGAAGAAGCAAGAAGGGCAGAGAAAATTGTCGGACAAGGAGGAGCTCTGGTTCGGCCTTATGAAGCTACAACTCCGGAAGGAGAATTGGGACCATTGGGAATGGTGGAGAAGAATTTTGTTGATTTTCTGGAAAGCATTAGACAGTCCGAGAGAATCAGGTCGCAAGCAAAGGTTCTGAGGCCAAAAGATCTCGATGAATCTCAAAGAGGACCTTTAGGCAAGGCAGAGCTGGAAGCAGTTGAAAAAATCAATGACATTTTTTACTCCGAAAAAGTTCGAGCGCAACAATCATGGAGACGGGGGCGTCGTGTACGACCAATTGATGTTCCTGGTCCCCTAGGAGATTTCGAGATGGCTGTGCTGGACGTCGTGAAAGCTGAACAACTGAGAAAGCGAGAGAAAGAAGAAAATGCTAGAGGTTTCGCCCTAAGACCAAAAGACTCGAAAGTGAAAGGACCCCTGGGCGAGCTTGAACAACAAGCTGTTGAAGCAGTTCGGAAACTCACCGATGAAGAGAGGTATCGTCTACGCAGCGTGAAGCGATTTCTGGACGAGAAACGACCAATGGAGCAAGATCGAATGGGCGTGCTTGGATTTGTAGAAACAGTCATGGTCGGTATCATACGAGCACCAATTTTGATGTTTCAAATTATTGCCCGAGTCAAGGAGCTGCTTGACAGTGAACCATTGAATGAAGAAGACGAGAAAATCCTGCAGAACCAAAAACGAAAAGAAGACAAACAATGAAAAAAGGATGCTTGAAGGTAGATTGGATCCAATCTTTAGCTTCCGTTAATGCGCGCCTGTAGTTGCTCCACGTCACTTGTGATGGTGATTATGAGGCTTTCCGCGGGCAGTGTTCAGCGCATGCTTCAGGAGCCCACGGATGTTTGAAAGTCCACCGTCAACCCCCTCCTCCGGAAGGCATGACATCATTGCACCTTGTTTTTCGGGTGCATATCCTACCACTGCCTCGAAAATGGCGGACTGCGAATTCGAAGATGCAACTCCTTGTCGTGCCTGCAGCGCGAGAGCACCAGCAACCTTCCGAAGCCGCTTTGATAGCATAGACGAGACGTCTAAATTGAATAGATAAGAACCTGGAGATGTCACACAAACAACCACGATCAAGTCGGCGTCGTTAGAGTCAATACATAATGAGTAGAGATCCTTCAAATCACCATCGAACACCCTCTTAGAGACAATAACAGCATGACCACTCTTCGAACCACTTAGTGAGTTCTTGATCCGATCGCACACCGAGTCTAGCTTTTGTGCAAAACTTGAGTCCTTGCACACTAAGACGACAGCAACCTTCATTTGCTTTTTCGCAAACAAGTGCAACGAATTCTTCACTTGTGGTTGTGCGAAGAGGGAAGAATTATTCATGATCAGTACGGGATACCGATCACCTTTCAATGCTTTCGGCTTAGTAGTGTTGCCGACTGGCAACACTAGTAGTCCCGTTGCATCCCGCAAACTCATCAATCGCGAAGATCGTTGAACACCAGTGGATCTGACGTTGATTGATCCATTTTCGAGTCCATCAATAGTTACTCGATGATATTCTGGCCGAACTGAGTCTAACTTAATATCATGAGACAAGATCCCCAAGAGTTCTGGATGTACTTGAGCATCCCTCACAACGGAATCTAGTTCACTATCCAAGCTGTCCTTGGAACCAGACAGTCCATCTGCAATGCCGTCATACAACAGGTCAAGGCAAGGCTTGACAAGAAGCTCAGTACAAACGGTACCGCTGACTGGATTTCCAGGCAAGGCAAAAACGAGGCAAGTCTTGCCCGATTTGGGAATGGTCACGAATGTCGAAGGTTTTCCTGGAAGTGCAGTGGTAGTGAGAACCCTGCAAGAAATCAGAACAGCTGCCAATTTTATACATCTTACCTGGCTTCATATGTATCCGTCCAAAATGCAAATTTCCACCAAAATGATCAATCAGTACATTCTCAACAATATCAGTGTCCCCCATTGAAATGCCACCTGTCGTAATAATAACATCGCAAATCTCTGTCGCCGAATCGATCCGTTTAGCCATGGCAGCGACATCATCATCACGTTCCATCCCCAGATCGACACATTCAACGTTTCCAAAGGACTCTAATAGTGATAGTAAAATTGGACGATTTACATCTGGAATTTTTCCCGTGTGGCTTGGATCAGCATTGAATCCAAGAATCAGCTCATTTCCAGTTGATAGGACTCCAACTTTCACACGTTTCTTGACTTCTATGGACTCTGCCCCAGACTGCTTCAGAAGTCCCAAAGCCACCGGATCCATACAATGTCCTTGGGGTAAGACGACGGAGTTGGCTGAAATATCGCATCCGATTGGTCGGATCCACTTTCCACCTTGAATTGTCGCAGAGTTCAAGACCTGGACAAATTGTTTGTCATCTGACACTCGGCATTCCTCAATTGGAACCACACAATCAAAAGTGTCCGGAACAACAGCCCCTGTTGTAATATAATATGCAGCTGGTAGAGTAGGTGATTCAGAAGGACTTCCTTCGGCTGCAGTCGGATGATCACCAGCATAGACATTGTCAGCCACATGATGGGTGAAGCCATTACCGTCTACTTGATCTGTGATCTTGAACTCCGAGCTTCGAACACAATAACCGTCCATAATAGATGCATTATATGGTGGATATCCCGGTTCAGTCATTAGTACGTCCTTGTCCAGGACAGTGTTCAATATCTTAGACCAGGGGGCTGTGGATGAAATTGATTCGCTTTGGTGGATTCCACGAGATCTTTGGTCCAACATAACGCGGCCCGTTTCTCGAAGCACAATTTTTATAGCCTCGGGCACTGGTATCATTGGATGTGGCTTCTTTTCCTCGCTCATCTTGATCTGTGGTGTGTGGCCTTGTCGTTAGTGATGGGTTATAATAAATAGAAATCTTGTGGATTGTGTTCGTGATATCTACTGTACTCCAATTCTCCATGTGTTTCCGACTGGATCGACGAATGAATGCCATGATTGTCAAACTGAAACGTAGACCGTAGCAAAAGTTCGATCACATTGACTACAGTTGGCATACGGTTGAAGGCCGTACGGCCTTCGCCAATAGTCATTGTCCTCCTCCTGTACGATAGAGAGGCAAGGACAGCTCAGTTTATTGCAGTGGTTTGATTTTGATACGTCTATTATCAATATCAATCCTGTTGACGGGATTCCTGGGATTGGTTTTCCGGGTCCCCCTATTGACCCGGAAGACCAGCTTCACACCACAACCCACCGGTCAGAATCCATGCAGACAGATCTAAGACGAACACCAAGCGGAAGCCAGTACTGTAGTGAAATCGTAGTGCTCGAAGGAGTCAATAATCCAACCAGAAATCGACCAAAATTCACCTGACATTTTGCCCTTTACGTCAGCGAACAAAGAGTCATCAACACAAGAGTTGCAGTCAGCAATAAAACATCAACACCCTCTTCTTATCAAAAGAAACATTTTATACAACAAACTGAATCAAGATGGTCTCCCGTAATCTCATCCTCGCTACCATTGTCGTTATTGCCTCTACAATGCTTCCAACGGCCACAGCTTTTGCTCCTCAAGCGTCAGTTGCCACCCACCATGCATCATCTCCCTTGTACATCTTTGGAAAGAAGGCGGAGGAAACTGACTTTTCAGATATCGAGGTCCGCGACTTGACGCGTGAAGAGATGTTGGAAATTAATAAGCAGAACGAAGACGTGATGAATATGGAATTGGGAATGATGGTGAGTTTCTGAAATTCAGTCAAGATTATGTATCAAAACTGCCTACGAAGCACCAACTAACAGGTTCCTTTCGACATGACCTCTTGAATTTTTTGAATCATAGACTGCATTTGGTTTGTTTACCAGTATTCCTATGCTGTACCTTTGCTGGGTTGCTTTCTTCTCCGACTAAGCAAGCTTTCTGTCATTTTGAATAATGCTACACTCAAATCAATTTTCCGGTTTCCGCCACCGGATATGCCTCTCTGCCGCCTTGCCCATGAAAATATATAAGGTAATATATAAAATACAAAGTGAAGAAATTCGCTACTTGAACGACGAAGTATTGGTGATCGTGTGGAACAAATGGTCATTTTTTTCTCAGACTGTGGTCATTTGTTTGTTACAAACCGTCAAATGCACTTCAGTTTCCTTTAGCAACAAATCATATTGATACATTGCAATCCATTTGTTAGACATGTTACTATATAGTGCGTATGTTTCTTTCTCCAGACTGCTTAGTTGCATCGTTTTTGAGGTTCGTTCTTTTTTCAGTTTTCATGAACTTCAAATTGCCATGCTTTTTTCGCGCGCCAATGAAAAGTCGCATCCTCGTGGCCGCATTTCCATCAGACGGTTTGCTGTTAGCATTGGACCTAGCAACTTTGGTTTTAAAGATTGGGACCACAATTACACAACTTCCATTCAAAATAATACTACAGCCTATCTACTTTACACCTGTATGACTGCACGAATAATAGAAGCGTGGATTTTGTAGACACTAAGTTGATCCACAATTGCGATAATGGCTCAGTCAGCATTTCAGGCCGGAAATGGTGCAGCAACTACAAGTGCTCAGAACAATGTAAATGAGAAACCTAGTACCATCAAGGGATCTATATACAGTGATTCACAATCAGAGAGAATCTTGAGGAAGGGCGACCTCGTTCGAATATTGGATTCGTAAGTAGAACGATTACTATCATTTTCAGGAAAGTATCATTGCCTCATTTCTCACACACATATGTTGCCTGTTTCCTCTTCTCAATACAGAACACCAACAAAACCGAAACTGAAGAATCATATTGGAAATTTGGGGCGAATAGCACGCTCTAATCCGGTGGAAGACCCCGACGCATTACATCCATTCTTGTACGACATTGATTTCATCCTTGGGGGAAAGGTCGCTGGAGTTGAAAGAGTTGATTTGCAGTACACCACAGCCGAAGCTGAGGGCATGATTGGCAATACGAAGCGTAAACGAAAACCGAATACTTCATTTGTCGGTATTCCAAAGAAAAAGGAACCCAAAAAGCCAACGCCACCGAAAAAGAAAACCCAAACAACAAAAGCAGGTGGAAAGAAAAGAGGAGCCACTGGGAGCGCGGGTAAAGGGAAAGGAAAGAAGGGCAAGATATCAAAAGCTGATGTGAAAGTAGAATATCCGGGGTCTTCGACGACCAATCTCAATATGTACGAACGACATCGCCGGGAATTTGAAAGGTGCGTTGGGCGGATAGAGAAGGCCGATACCTTTCAATGGTTCATGGGGGAAGTTCCTCCTGAATATGACGAACCTGATACGACCGAATCCGACTCTGTGGAAAAATCTGGAAATGTCCCCATAGGAGAAAACGAGATTCCAGCTTCCAATGTCAATGTGGAGGTAAAGCAGGAATTCCAGACTGGAAATGGCGAAAGTCTGACGGCAACAACACCAGCTGAAGCAATCTCGACGCCAGTTCCAGTCCCATCAACACCATCTGCAATTACAGAAGCTATGCAAAAGAATAAATTCAAGATCCGATCCCCGAGTAATCCCCCATACAATTTTGAGATCCTTCGAAAACGGATTGCAAGAGGACGATATGTATTGGATGAAGAGGCAATAGAAAATAAGCATCACCGTGCCATGGTCAAACGGTATTTGAACTCCCTTGGAAATACAACTGGGGATGAGCGAGCGAAAATACTCAAGGCAAAAGCAAAGTTGGATGTTCTTCATCCCAAAGCGGTCGACTGGGATCTCTTTCGAACCGATATCATTGGAATGTGTGACACTTCAGAAAAGCGGGACATGGAATGCGACGATGGATCTTCAGGGACGATATCTTATGCTTGTAAGAAGATCAAGGAAATGATGGAAAAGGTCTATGAAAACACAGGAAAAAAACAGCTGAATGAAATCAGAGCTGCAAACACTCGGCATAGATTTGCATCAGCCATTCAATCGTGCAGCAACAACGAAGCTGCAGTTCAAGGTAGATGGCGCAAAGAAGGTGAGTACAAAATAAACAAACAGAATCATAATTGTGCAGCGTCTCTTACCATTGCTATGAACAGCTTTTCCTTATCGGAGTTACGAAAGATTGAAGACTGATGTTGTATGCGCGGGTCTGTCGGATTTAGATGAGCGCATTGCGATCTATGAACTGAAAACCAGTCTGAAAGATAGTTTTGTAGGACTCTCATACATGTTTGATGATACAGAGAAAAGCGAAGCTTGGATGAAATCGATTTTGAACGAGTCCGGTGATCGGAAGCAACAACGAATGATTGCTAGTGCACTGAAATCGGACAATGGGGTAATAAAGGCGCAGGTGGAAGCAACGATACAGTCATTATTGATTGCGGTACAAGACCGTGTGATGACTGATCTGAAGGTTTTGGAACAACCAGAGCTCCGAAACGCGAGTTGGATGACAAATGCGGAAGAAGTGCCCAACGAAATTCTGTCACATGGCATTGGGAACTTTGGCAAGGCTCCTCAGATTGTGGAGCAGCCAGTATGGGGAATAGACTGCTACACTCGACGCAATGTCTCCATTTGTCTCGAAACTGCGATTGATGCAGATACTGCTCTCGTTTTTGTTGAAAAATGGCTGCTGCCTGCGATCAATGCTTGTCCTGTTGAAATTGCACACAATATAACAAATGCTGCTAGAATCTTGGAAGGCTTACCTTTCGAATCCGACCCATCGGTTGAAGGTAGCTCGATATCAATGGAAGAATGGCGCGAATCACTTCTTGGAAAAGCGTTACTGAACAAAATCGCTGAATCGGGGCCACCTTGGTTGAAATATGCTGCTCAAGTCCTTCGGAAAGCATGCGACACTGTGGGGTCGGACTTCTTCCGCGTACATCCGAAAGGTCATGGCTCAATTGTATTGTGCCCGAAGTTGGAAGCAAACAAGCTGGTTACCTTCTACCGAGGAGAAGTTTACCCTTCTTGGAGATGGGGAGAAAAAATGGATGCAATTGCGACGATACAGGAAAGGAAAGGATTGAAACCAGTACTCCCTGATTTCTTTAATATGGCCCTAGAGCGACCCATGAAGGACCCAAGAGGATACGGACTTTTGTTTTGCGATGCGTCTAGGAAATCTGGATATGGTTCGATGCTCTCTCACAGTTGCCAGCCATCATGTGAAGTTAGAGTTGCTGCAGTCAATGGGGAATTGACGCTTGCAATGACTACTCTGCGAGAAATGAGTATTGGAGATGAATTGACGTTCGACTACAATGCGGTCACTGAATCGTTGAACGAATATCGCTCAGCTGTGTGTCTCTGTGGTCATGGCCGGTGTAGAGGATCATTCTTGCACTTCGCAACTGCAGACTGTTACCAACAAGTACTGAACCGAAACTCTCCGATTGCTGTCAGACTGGCAAACCTAATCAAGGGATGTATGAAGCAGGTTATGTCAGACGACGATCAAGAAGTTTTGAAGCGGCATGGCTTTCAAACTGCAGCCTTTGGGGCTGTTAGTGTGAACCGCCGAAGCGCAAGAAGAAGTATGGCAGAAGATTTGCAGCTCGATTCAATGGATTTTGTGCCAATTTGGCTGCAGACGTACGTTGCTGATACTCTTCGATACATTGAATACGAGAGGAGAGCCCTTCCTATCGCATTGATTTGTAACCAACTCTATCCTGAAGACGAGGCAAAAAACGGGGATTCTGCACGATCCACAGAAGTTGTCCAAGCAAATAGCGACGACGACGATGATAAGCCTATCAAAGGAGCCAGACCCGAACCGGCGTTCTTCTTTTACTCCCGCACTCAAAAGTCGCACTTTGTGTCACTGTTGATGAAGGACACCAAACACGAAAACTTGGCTGGGATTGAGCTGAAGCGGGAAGTTCAGAGGCTCGCATCAAGCCATTGGAAAGAACTCAGTGCGGACGAGAAGGGCAGTTGGAAGAAGAAAGCGAGACAGCAGTGGGTGAAGAATGGAGGGATGGAAAAGGCAAAATTAGAACAGGCACGCCTCGCAAGATTGTCAAAAGGAAAGCCCAAGACAAAGGACAAAAAAGGCGGAATCAAAGAGAAACCAAAAGCAGAAAAGGCAAAAGTTGACGGAAAGAAAGCACCGAAGAATGATGAACAAAAACCACCGCCAGCCAAGATCACTTTTCAAGCAGCTGACGCAGAAGGAATCAGTGCAATGGAGCAAAGAATACAACAACTGACACAAACACTAAGTCGAGTTGGCCGTGTCCTAGATCGGCACCGAGAATCTATCATTCGTCAAAAAAATGACCAGCTATTATTTTCTGCAGACAACGATTCTACGGCTATAGCAATTCGGCAGCTTGCCCATTCTCCACTTTCCATCATGCCCGATGAACACATTGTTGCATGGGTATGGAATCACGACGATGGCGTTGTCAAGATGCTGCTGAAGTGTATCGCAGACGAGACCTGCGTGAGCCCGAAATTGAGAAAGACTGTAATGGATACGGCGTCAAAGCACTCTTCGCTTGAGAAGTTTGGGTGTCCTTGGGTTCAAGATTTCAAGCCTTCAGAAGAAGCGATGAGTCCTCCAGAAGGAAGAAAGCGCCTCAATTCAGCCCTGATGGAACTCCGCTCGAATATACTTGATGGCATCGACGAAATGGCAGCAGAGATTAAGCGACACAAGGTATCCAGTAAAAAGGAAGCTGCTCGGAAAAAGAAAGTTGATGCTGAAAGAAAAGAAATCAAGGCGGTGATGAATGACCTTATCAATGAAGTAGAGATTCGTGTGGCGGGGATGCCTGAATCAAGTAGCCAGATTCTCGACGATGATGTTGAAATGAACGAATCAGAAGATACTTCAACAGAAGAATGGATGCTAAATTTCAATAAGCGCTTCAAGCTTGAAAAAGCTGCAGATATCCTTCTGATGTATTCACGGACGAGTACATTTTTTGCATTGAACGCTTATCAACCGTTGCAATCAAGCCCAGTTGAAGTCTACGCTCGTGAACTTGGAAACGCTGTTCCTACGTCCGCGATTGATATTCCAAACCGACATGGATCTGACAAACAGGATGTTGGTGCCACTGGAGTCTCAAAGAATACAAAATGCGGCTTGTGCGAACCAGATGACATCATAGCCGAAGTTGCAGTAGAGTACCAAGGTGATTATGTCTTGTCGCAACTCCTCCAATGGTACAATGCTGGCATTGACCAAAAGCCAGGGTTGCCCGACCTTCTTGGCTGCGTCATGCTGCCAAGTTTGAAGGACATTTGGAGCATTGATGGAACACAGGGGAGCAGTTCTCGCACAGATCGAGCTACAGGCTACAAATCAATCATTCGCCCTCGACTTGTCGATTGGTTCAAGGATCCGTTGAAACGCGGAAGTCCCTGGCCGGATGACTTGCGTAGGGCTTTTGTTGAAAAGCCTCATGACAATCCAATATCGAATGCGTCGAATCTTTGGAAACCGATCGGATCACCAGTCCTTGACTTTCTGGTCACTGGCGACGATGTCAATATCAACTCAATTCTACAGAATATGGGTGGTCACAATGCAAATGAAGCTGTCATGGATTCAAGTGGTATGTTATCCAGTGTTGATCACGGAAGGCCAGCCCTTGCTGTTTCGAATTGGGTTCAGTGTGAAAACCCAGATTGTTTGAAGTGGAGGAAACTGCCGTGGCATGTTGATATCGATACGCTTGCGGACAAATTTTATTGCAAAGACAACATCTGGAATCCCCAGTCTGCATCTTGCGAAGCACCCGTAGACGTGTGGGACGAGCGCACTGATGGATTGGTTGATGCTGACGGAAGTGCCCCTATTGCAGTGCCTATTGCAGCCCCAGATGAGGAAGTTTCGGAAGATTCTGCATCGGATGAAGATAGCACCCATGGTCTTGAAGCTGCTGATTTTAAGGTCGGAGGTGAGTGCGGTTGTCTCTTTTTGCAATTCGAGTCACTCTTGTTGGATTGAACACTCACGATTGTTTTTTGCAGCTCGATTCGATGTGATGAACACAGCCAAATCAAAGTGGATTGTGGGCGTGGTTGTCAAGATCCAAGATTATAAGGGGCGAATAGAAGTCAAATTTCATTTCTTGAACCACAGTGTTAAATATGACGAGTGGATGCGAGTTCCTTCTTCAAAAGTTGCCCCTTTGTACTCCAAGACTCCAGAACCGCCGAAACGCAAGGAAAAGAAGAAGCAACACAACACCTCATTTAACCAGACCGACAATTTTGATCTTGATTCGTCTTTAGCTGATGAAACAAACGAGTCAGTGGAGCACGATGGTGGCACAGAAACGATTGAAACCAACACTACGAGGTTTCGCCCAGCAACAGTTTCTGATGAGAGCTCACCGATTCATTCACCATCGAAGGAGAATGATGATCATGCTAAGCCAAAACAAGCGGAATATAATGAAATGGGAGATTTTTCGATATATTCATCGGAAGATGACGAAAATGAGCCTGAAGCATCCGAGGCAAAAAGAAGTGGCCCTAAGAAGCTACTCCCAAGAAAGATGAAGGCACCAGCGGAGCCAGAAGAGAAACCTTCCTCATCACCCAAGAAAGGATTTAAAAAGCTAATCCCAAAAAAGAAGACTCACCGAGACGATTCCTTAGGTTCTCCACTGCAGTCAATTGATGAGGATATGAAGAGTAAAAAGAGGAAGAAAGAGAAGAAGAGTGCCAGTACTTTCAAACCGCTGATTCCAAGGAAAAAATCACAGGACAAAGATAGCGTGCCAAATCGAGGTTCACTTATCCCGCGCAAATCACCAGCAAAAAAGGAGCAAGGGCTCACTTCTCTCATGAAAAGCGAAAACACAGGTTTGCATCATGCAACAGATGGTCAGACGAAGAGTCCAAGCAAACCACAGCGAGTCAATGAGAAAAGACAAGATCCGAAGACGATGGCTGAAACAAGCAGAAACGATTGGAACCCGACCGTCCCCTCTAAAAAGAACCATTCCGAGGTAGCTGGCGAACTGCAGTCAAGGGTACTGTCATATCATGCCAACGATGGTCGAGTAAAGAGTCCGAGCAAATCACACCGAGCCCAAGAAAAAAGACAAGATCAGAAGACGATGGCTGAAACAAGCAGAAAGGATTGGAGCCCGACCGTCCCCTCTAAAAAGCACCATCCCGGGTTAGCTGGCGAATTGCAGTCAAGGGTATTGTCATATCATGCCAACGATAGTCGAGCAAAGAGTCCCAACAAATCACAGCGAGCCCACGAAAAAAGACAAGACCCGAAAACCATACCTGGTACAAGCAGAAAGGTCTGGGACCGGACCGTCGCCTCTGAACATCATTATCCCGAGGAAGCTAGCGAGTTGCAGTCATGGGCATTCGAGCAGCCGCGACATAATAGTGCGCCAATCTCCCACAGTCGCCGATCTATGGTAGACGATGAAGCAGGAGTAATCCACGAGGATTCGTATGGTTATACTGATGGCGGCCGGTCACATCTCATGCCCCCTAGTGAGGATAATCGTGGTTATTTGGCCAATGGACGAAGCTCCGTTAGTAGTCCTGATGCTCGTCCTTCACGGGATATCCGCAGAAACAGTTCCTTCCGTGACGATGGCAGAAGTGTCAGATCAAGATCAAGATCGAGGAACAGCCGAGACCGTGAGTATCTTCGGGATTACGATCGACAGGCGCCAAGGGAACGTAGCCGACGATATGACGACTACCAGCGTGCACCTGACACTGTCAGTTACAGTAGAGATGTTGACCGAGTGCGGTCTGGAGACTACGACAGAGACAGAGATAGAGACTACGGTAGGAGCCCTAGTCGGAGGTATGATCGAGACCCAAGTCGACCATATGATGAAAGCTACAGTAGGGACCATGATAGTGAATGCAAGTACTCGAGAGACCGAGATTACTATCGCACTGATAGAGACTACAGGGGGCGTGCTGATCAAGACTATGTTCGTGACGAAGGGAGAGACTATGCTGGACGTCGATACGAGCGTGACTACGATCGATATGACGACAGAGGCCATAGGCCGCGATATGATCAAGAGTTTGTTCGTGATGATGACAGGGAGTATAGGCGGCAGTACGACCGACCCCGAGACAGTGAAGTGCGGAAATCTAGCGAGCGCCAGAGTGATAGAGAGTACGATCGTCGCTACAGTAGATCCCGTGATAGAGAGTATGGCCGTGGCTCCAGCAAATCCCGTGATAGAGAGCACGGTCGTGGCTCCAGCAAATCTCGTGATAGAGAGCACTCACGTTCATATCGAGAAGCAGGCTACATTGACGACTATGAAAGGCAGCGGTCGTCGAGGAGCACAGCTGCGCGAATTGATTCCCCTAGCAAACGACGTTAGAAATCTAGTCACAACAAGATTCGATAATAGCAATTCCAATTTTGATATAGATTAATTTAACATGCAAGCTAGCTATTGCTTTGGTGCTTCAGACTTGGATTTAGAAAACACTTTCGTTAGTTTTCGAATCAGCTGAATGGGGTATACGAGTAATAGCTTCAGGGTGAAAGTAAAAGATTGAAGCAATATTTCCGTCGCCAGACTTGTCATCGTGTGAATTATCGCTGATGGCCACCCAGTCGCTCGAGCTCGAACTTTCACTCCAAATTTCATGGCTCCAAGCGTCGAGTAGCCGCGTTTCTTTAGGATTCTCATTGCTGAGGCACTGCGTCTCCTCTTTTCGCTGAAGAAAACCTTGGCAACAGGTCCCAAAACCTTCAGAGGTAGCGGCTTCTTCTTTTCTGCTTCCTCTTTTTCAAGAGTACCTGGGAATTCAAGTGTCAACGGATTTTTGCCCTCTCGGAATGCCCCGATTTCTTTCACTTGAAGCTCGAAATATCCAGGTCGAAAGTTCTCAATCTGTTCCCCGGTCGATGAGATCTTGAATTTACTCAATGCCATTCCAATTTGAAAGATGGCTGACGAATTCAATTTTGGTCCACCTTCGACGACTCTAGGTCCGCGAACCTGGACGAAATCCGAGAATTTAACCTTGACAAGGTTCCAGTCATTTTCTTCCCCTGTGGAAGCTGGTAGGTCAAACATTACTTGGTACAGTTGCTCGCTTCTAGAGGCTTCCGATCGAGTTGTCAATTTCCATACACGACGATCAGGCTCATCGTCACTTGTCAAACGACATAGCACGTAGAATCCGTCTGCATCCCCAACCTGAAAAGCAGATTTGAAAGGTAATGTTCTAGTACCACAAAAGCCTCCACCGTCTAGCCGACAAATTCCGGACCATCTTGCAAACTCTTCGTCAGGGTTCTGTCGGATACTTGATAACGAAATTCCACCCATGATGGCGCTATAATGATGATGATGATGATGATACAAAAGAGTCAGTGAAATATGAGAAGTTCTTGGAATAGTATTTCGCCGATGAGTGCCAACTTACTCATCAATTCGTTCAAAGTTTGAGGTCGCATTCGATCCAACGTCGGCAAAGTCAAAGATGGGGGTGAAAGTACAATCGGTGTCGATCGTGCTGGCAGTGGAACTGTAGATTGGTGATCCACTCCTTTGGATTCCAGTTGGACGAACCAAACTGCGAGTTGAGAAGGCTGTCGCTGATGGTAACAGCAAGCTCAAATGGAGGAGGATGCCATGGAGGTTCATCGTCAATATGTGTTTTTCACTCTCTTCCAGAAATGGGAATGGAAAGTTCCAATCTCTTCCAAAGCGGTTTCCAATTTTAATCGAATGGTTCGACGTACGGTCGCTGACTCAGTCAAAATTTCTCATCACTGTTCATGTCATGTTGTAACGATGATGTTTCAAAGGAGTCGTAAAACGTCGTGGTGGTGCTCGGTCGATGGAAACTGATGCTTCTTCGACCAGTTCCCCAACAACGGACTTGAAATTTAATATCTTGCTAACACTGATCCCTTCGAGTTGACAAAAGTACAAGTTGCACAATCGTTTCACTTTGTCGATGCAATCTTGGAAAGGTTTCAGCACATTCCTCATTGCAAGTCAAATATTGAAGAGCCGACCGTCGACTGCGTTCTTTCTTCAAACGAAAAGAAGATACTCTTTCCAAAGTAGTGTCATTCAAAGTGGCCAGTCTGACGCGGAGGGCTTACCCGGTGGAACGAAACCAATCAAGAGATCCTACACAGCTACACCGCCCATCAACATGCCACGAGGTGTCAAGAAAGAAAACTTGCCCTCCAAAGTTTGTGTTGTTTGTAACAGACCATTTACATGGAGAAAAAAATGGGAACGTGTGTGGGATGAAGTTACGACCTGCAGCAAGAGTTGCAATCATAAGCGGCGGGCAGCCAATCGTGGTGGTCAAAAACCAGGAAATAACATTGTTGGGGGCGATGCCTCGGGCGTGAATGGAAGAGTGTCACCGTCGTCCATGGGTACCCAGGAAGTATCAAGACGGTCAATGTCAACCGATGCTGCCGCTGGGTCCGTAAGTGCAGCCGTAGAGTGCACCGTCGTGCCAACCGAGCAATCAATCGACAGGGTGACGAGTGATGACGAGATGGATTCACCTGAACAACTGCATTTCTCACGTGAGATTGCCGACCAATTGAGTGACACCGACGAACCCTTCGCAAGTCTTATGGTGGAGGATGATTTCATGAAGAATGTAGATGATCCAGTGGCCTACACCAAACAACAGAGAAAGGCTTTGAAGAAGGCAAAGAAAGCCGAACGTCGGGCTCAGCGACAAGGCCGTGGAGACCCAACGGCTGGGCAGAAGACCTGTGACATGTGTGGCAAGTCTGTGAATCTTCTAATACGCTGTATGTACGAGCCAGGGCAAGCAGACTGGAAAATGGTCTGCGGCAAGTGTTGGAAGATAGCCAGTGGTGGAGTAGTCGACGGTGATAAGGCCCATCCTCACTATCGATACGGTGGATTGTGGAAGAACCGACGAGCACAATCATGAATTTTCATGTCTGAAAAACTAGACTAGATGGAAAAGATTGCTCATCATGCATTCGTCCGCACCACATCGGGGTGTATTGGTTGGGATCCTGTTGTTCATGATGAATAATGAATGAATATTGGTCTAGTAATACCTGGTACTTTCAACACTACTTCAGTATGTTTTACCTCCTCCTGACCATCAACCTGGGTTACATTGAAGTCATTTTGATGGCACAGTGGAACGGCGAAACGGACGGCGAAACGTTACCGAAGAGGAGTACCTGGTACCACTCTGGCTCTCATGTTTTTCTTAAATATATATATATAGCTAACAAATATCGGACGCTTCAGGATCGTATTCGATGGATTCTTCACCAAATTGAGAAGGGACTTCTAGTCCCATATTTTATATCTTATATATTAAAATAATTTACGTTTCCAACTTTTGTTGCATGCAATCTCCTTTGGGAACGCAAAGGAGACAAAGGAGCGTGTTTGCGAAAAGAATCAGTTCGCCAGATCGCGTCTTTTCGATATTTTCGACTTTTGACGACTAGGATTGCTTGCCGGCATCGACAATGGCATTAGTTCTATTACTGTGGGTTTTTAAAAGACAAGCACCACCATACTGCAATAGCTACCATGTCGTCCATCGGCAGCGCAATGTCATCGCTTGACAGCATAAGTGAAGACTCCACCTTCGGCGTAGACCGCGAGGATCTTCCTCCATCAGTTCCCAGAAGAAGGGGTAGCTCTGGAAATCAATCTCGTGTCATCGCAACGGCATCCCAAGCTGTTGAATCTCTAGATAGTATTAGCGAGGAATCATCACCACCATCATTGCGTGATGAAAACGGCCAAATGGAAAACACTCCGTCTCGGCCGAAACGAAGCCATGGCAGCCAAAGTCGGAGCAGCAGTTCCAAAAGTGGAAGTAAGCGAAGTTCCAAAAGTACGAGACGAAGTAATGGAAGTGGACCACAGGAGATAAACGAAGCAGATGGTAATGAAGCCCAAGAGAATGAAATCCAGAGAGAAGCAACTGCACGAAGTAGTAGTGGTAGAAGTACAAAGTCGTCATCGTCACATCGGCATTCAGGTACCAAAAGTAGCTCTGGCAACAATGAAAGTGGGGTGATGGAAGTGTCAAGAAGGAGTAGTAGAAGCTCAATCTCTTCCTCACCTCGGCGATCGATAAGCAACAACTCCAACGAAAATAACTTGGCGAATGAAGGTGCCTCCTCAACTCAAGAGAACGAACACACTCTGGAAACGTCTCAAAGGAGTCGAGGAAGCTCGCACTCTTCCTCGTATCGGCGATCGCGTAGTGACGACTCTGATGACTATGAAGAAAGTCTAGCCAGAGAAGAAAGATCACCAAGAAGGAGTAGCAGGTGCTCCTCTTCTCACCGAGGTTCTCAGCGAAGATTGTCCAGTAGAAGCAAGTCGAGAGGCAGTGATGGTGCTCTATCTCAAGAGGAGGAAAAATCACTAGAAAGTTCGAGAAGGAGAAGTAGTACGAGCTCGAGAGCAGAATCTGAAGGTCAAACGGTTGCAGGAGAGAGAAGGCGTTGTTCTTCTAGACATCGACGAGGCTCTTCATCATCCGCACCTTCCGATTCCCCCGCCACCTCCAGAAACTCTCGATCCATTGCTTCCGTTTCATCTCGGAATAGTTATTCAGATTCAACAAATCATTTATCAAGAAGCATGATTGATCGAATGGGGCGGGAGCACGAATCCCGCGATAGCGAAGCCAACGGTCCTTTGGAACCTGTTCTTTCGGAAGATGAGGGATCTGATGAAGAGCAACCGGGAGCTTACAGAATCAGCATCCACTCGAGAAGTCGCATCTCCTCGTTGGCTTCTTCAGTAGTATCCCTTATTTCTGGGTCAACAATTGTTAGTGGACAATCATTTGTCACTAACGGAAACGAAACGATGACCGAATCGACTCGCTCATCGTCCAGTCGGTTCTCATACACCAGACCCGCATCGACCAGTGCCATGGTCCGAGCAGAAGTTGCACCAAATCGTGCCGACGAGATTGAAGCTGCCAGAAATCGAGGACGCGTCGAGGCTCTGACAGAGGTTAGAAATCGCGACACTTCCATCGTTGTTGCCGTTGCACAGCCAAGCCGATCTTCCAAGGAGGATCGAAAGCCATCAAGAAGAAGAAGAGTGTGCATGATCTTCGCCGTCCTGCTTCTCGTTATCGGTTGTCCCGTAGCCTATTTTGCCCTACCTTCTACAAATGAGCCACAACAGGACAACAGTCCAGCAGTCAAGGACGGAGGTTCGGGACTGATAGCTAACGTCACCTTTAGTCCTCCTTCTTCGGAGGATTGTGAATCGATCGCAAATGGCACAGCTGTATTGAATCAGGCAGAAATGTTCACACATTATGTTGATATGCAGATCGATTTGGTTTCTGCCGGTAAGGAAGACGCTACCATGCTGGTAGCTGAGTTGATGAAGCAAATTCAACTGGTTATTTTGCCGTTGCTGGTGGGGTGCGACAGCTATGCCAAGACTGGAAGTATCATTGGGAACGGAATAGTTGATTCAAACTCGACGACTACCTGCATTTCACAGCAAAACCCAAATTGTGTCGGCGTTTTCGTAACTCTGAAGCTGTCCTTGCGACAAGAAGACGATGGTACCGTTGTAGTGGAAACTATGAGCGAGATTCTGATGGAACAAGACTTGTCAAAGACCCTCGGACTGCCGTCTACTGTCCAGACTGCAAGTGTTTCCTTGATAATGCCGAAGAATGTCACTGATGTTCCAATATACCAACCATCTTCGTTTCCAAGCTTGGTCATAATTGACGATCCCTTTACAATTCCTGCACCATCAGATGGACTGGCACCAGTGCCAACAGGTCAACCTTTGATTTCGTATACTCCTCAGCCCACAGTTTCTCCAACATGGAAACCAGTTGCTGGTTCATCACCGGAACCGACACCGGAACCGACATCGCAACCCACGCCTCGTCCATCTCCTGAGCCGACTCCTGGACCGACCCCTCGACCGACATCAAGTCCTGTAGTGGGGCCCACGCCAGGACCAACCCCTGTACCTTCACTGGCAGCAACACCTGTACCTTCAAATTCTCCATCATTGGGTCCAACACCAGCTCCAACACCTCCGCCATCACCTGGCCCGACACGCTCTCCCACACTCGAGCCAACGGCGGAACCATCAACATCACCGTCACGTTCACCAACCTCTGAACCAACGAAGGCGCCTTCAACATCGCCAACACATGAGCCAAGCGAACAACCGTCTTTGTCACCATCTGCTACCCCAACAGACTTGCCATCTTCGAATCCAACTGCAATGGCTTCCCAGTATTATGCTGTCTGTGGGCGTAATAACTTTTGCAATGACATCAATGGCACTTCGATTGTCTTGGCGCGTGAGGCAACTATGGATTTAATAGACCGAGAACTAGTGGTTCGATGCTGTTCTGATGTACCTTATGCCAACATGGTAGAAAGACCTGAAGGTGTGGGATGCCCTTATATCACGACTAATGTAGGTGGAAGCTGTAAGCGCGGGAAAACTTGGGAAGATGCAAACCAAATCTGCCGTGAGAACAACGCCCGATTATGTACACGAGAAGAGATGGAATTTGGATGCGGCTACAATACTGGATGTAATGCCGGTGATCGGTACTTGTGGTCCAGCACCCGTGCCTAGACTTGTATAATATATAGAGTATATTCATACAAACACTGAATAATTAATGTAGATAGAGTAGTAGAGATGATAGTAAAAAGCCTAAAGTAGTACGTCTAAAGTCCGTCCGTCTGGTCGTTTCCTTTTCTTTCGAAAATCAAATTCTATCAAAACACAAACCAATCAAATTCCAATCGAAAGTTGTTGCCATGGCTCATACGGATTCAGAAAACTCAAGCGGCGATGAGCATGCTTCGGTGGACGGAATCGAAGACCACAATGATTTTGTTGAAGAGGAAGATGAAAGTGATAATGAAGACCCGTCGGAAATCGTAGACAAGAAGAAGGAGAAAAAGAAGAAAGTGTATCGGTTGGAGTTGACCGAAACTGAGAACTTTAATGAAAAGTTGGCCAAACGGGGTGTAATTTACATTGCAAGAATCCCTCCTCGTATGACACCAACCAAAGTCAAAGCTCTCTTATCTGAGTTTGCGGAAGTAACGAGGGTCTATTTGGTGGAAGAGGATCCAACTGTTCGGAAACGACGCAAGAAAAACCTTGGCAGTTCTGGAGGAAAGAGATATACTGAAGGATGGGTCGAATTCGCAAGCAAAAAGAAGGCAAAGCACATCGCCAAAGCTCTGAACAATTCACCAATTTCGAATCACAAACGCAATCCTCATTATGGTAGGTAGATCGAGCTGCATGGTTGTTTTCATCATGTTGCAGCATGATACCGAAACGAATTCCGACTCTTGTGTGTGTGTTTGTTTGTGTGATTCCACTTTCATTACATCTAACTTGAAAGTGCACAATACTGTCCCTCCCTCTTTTATGCAGGTGATCTATGGAATGTAAAATACCTACACAAGTTCAAGTGGAGTCATTTGACGGAAAAAGTAGCCTACGAACGTCGAGTCCGAGAACAGAAACTGCGAATTGAAATGATGCATGCCCGTCGTGAGAATGCAGCATACGTCCAAATGGTGGAGACTGGAAAGAAGTTGGACAAGATCGAAGAGAGAAAGCGAAAACGAGGAGAAAAGGATGGTGTGGAGGTTATGAAGAAGCGAAAGCATCGGCAATCCAAGCCAATCGACGGATCCAGCAAATCGGCCAAGAGTGCAGTCCTCCAGAGCGTATTGTAGAGGAGCGCCGTACTGTAAAATATCATCGCCTATTGTTACTGATAAATCTCCTCCTCCTTCTCCTATGGCTTAGTTTGCTTCTTCCGTACAAGTTTCTGAACACTCAGGTACTCATTGTAGGCCCGCCTTCGTACCAGGGGGAACATTTTTATTCCAAGGGCATCGAACATTTTGGATATTTCTTCTGGCTCATTGTCATCTACTGTAATCATGTAGCATACCCCATTTTCCGATAGTAAATGAGCAATCTGAGGTATTGCACGATCGACAACTAGCCTTCCTCGCTCACCTCCTGCCCAACTGACTTCAATTCCGTTTCCAGAAACCTCTTCATCGGGTGTTGGGACATAAGGCGGATTGAATATTATAATGTCAATTCGCTGTTTGCAGGATTCAAGTAGCGGTGTTGCCAGATCGCATTGTATCGTTTCCAATTTGGTCACATTGTTCTCCATGGCAGTTTTCTTTGTGAATGCAAGTGCATTGGGATTAATGTCGGTTGCAATGGCCAAAGCCGATGGCACAAGCTTGCTGCAAAAGGTAATGGGAACCCCGTTTCCTGATCCCAATTCTAGTATTGTTCTCGCAGATTTTGCAATAGACTGATTCTCCGTGAGATCAGACTGAATCCCATCAATCAACAGGTAGGTGTCGTCGCTTGGTTCGTAGACTTGGCCATAGTCACTCATTGTGGCATGATCCAAGGAGGGCATTGTTGCGGGAGAGGCTTCTTTTGCTCGCTTTTCCGCGATTTTGTTGAGTTGCTCCCAGTTCTTTGAGCCTCTATCATTTGCAGATCGTAATGGGTGAAAGTCCGTCATGATGCTTTCTCAGATCTACTTGGTGATGATGTAAAGTATGACGAGTTTGAAGATGCTTTGGTTCATCATTCGTTATTCAGGCAAGACTGGATGAAAGCGTGACTAAAAACTGACGTCGGTCAGGGATTTTCGGAGTTGCATCTCCAGCGGATCTTGCAATTTCATGCCAGACACTAAAGTCCAGCAGAATTTCTAAATTGAAACTGCCGTCTCATAAAAACAAGTGATCTTCACTTACCTACACTTTCAAAAAGTACTTTTAACAAATCAATAATACAGAATGTCTGGTGGTGAGTGTTGCATCTGTGTTGGAATCAACCGTAATGGTGTCCTCGATGGAACTGATCTCACATCACTTGTCTCGGTCATCCGTCATCCATCAACCGTCACTCGATTTTCGACGGCACTTTTTTTGTTTTTGCGACAATACAGCAAGAGGAGGCCTTTTCGGAGCTGGTGGACGATTCAAGGGAGGAACCGATCCTATCATGGAGAAGTTCAACGAGAGTCTTTCTTTCGACAAGAGGTAAGAATCTGTAAAATTTTCGACGGTTTGTGTAGTTTCACGACGGATTGAATCTTACAAAAATATTTTTGTCGTTTCCCAACTTGTTTTGGTTGCAATGCAAATGAAAATGAAACAGAATGTGGGCCCAAGATATCAAGGGATCCGTGGCATACGCAAAAGCTATTGGAAAGGTCGGCATCATTTCACAAGAAGAAGCAAACCAACTAGTCGAGGGTTTGGAAAAGGTTCGTCAGGAATGGGCAAATGGAACTTTTGAAATCAAAGCAGGTGACGAAGATATCCACACCGCAAACGAACGTCGCCTCACTGAAATTGTTGGCCCCGTCGGTGGTAAACTACACACTGGTCGCTCTCGTAACGACCAAGTTGCCACTGATACCCGCCTATGGACAGTCGACGCCGAACGGGATATTCTAAAGGACATGGCCACTTTGTTGGAGGCCGGTGCCACAGTCGCAAAGGAAAATATCGATATTCTAATGGCAGGATACACGCACTTGCAGCCTGCTCAACCCATCCGTTTCTCTCACTGGTTGATGAGCCACATGGCCCCATTGATGCGTGATGCCCAAAGACTAAAGGAAATGATCCCTCGCGCCAACCAGTGTCCTCTTGGATCTGGAGCTCTTGCTGGCAACGCATTCGGCGTTGATCGTGAGTTCTTGGCCAACGAACTTGGATTTGATGGCGTTACATCAAACTCTCTCGACTCTGTTTGTGACCGTGATTTCGTCGTGGAATTCCTCATGTGGCATGCTCTCATGCTCACTCACATCAGTCAGTTCGCAGAGGATGTCATCATCAACAACTTGCTAAAGGGTATTTACATCGACGATGCCTATGCCACTGGATCTTCTCTGATGCCTCAAAAGAAGAACCCTGATGCCTTGGAACTTCTTCGAGGAAAGGCCGGTATCGCCCTTGGAAGAGCCGTTGGTATGACCGCCACCTTGAAGGGTCTTCCCCGAGCATACAACAAGGATTTGCAAGAAGATAAGGTCCCATTGTTCGATTCTGTTGATACTGTCAAGGATTGCCTTGCCATTTGCACTGGTGTCATTTGCACCATGAAGCCCAAGCCAGAATACTTGATGAAGGCCCTCAGTCCAGAAATGCTTGCCACTGACTTGGCAGACTACCTGGTGCGAAAGGGAGTTCCATTCCGTGAGACACACCACATCAGTGGAGCATGTGTCCGATTAGCGGAAGATACTGAAGTTGGCATCGATACACTTACTTTGGAACAATTGCAAGCAATTGACAAGCGTTTCGAAGCAGACGTGAAGGATGTCTGGGATTACGAAGTCAGTGTAGAAAGAAAATGCTCCATTGGAGGCACAGGAAAGGCGTCCGTGTTGAAGCAAATCGACGACATTATTGCATTCGCCAAGACACTTTAAAAACTAATGCAATGGTAAATGTAATAGCTACTCCTTGAATATTATGGCAGTGCAACGGTAGCATAGTTACCTTAAGCATTTCCAATCCCATTTTAATATTTCAGTCTAGTCATCATCATCGGACAGTTCAATAATTTCGTCTGACCCTTGATTTTGCATTGAATTTGCGACCCTATGTTGCGGAGACCTTTGTGGAGCCTGGGGTTGTAAAAGATGCGATGTCCATCCAGCAGAATCCATAAAGGTCAATTCCACAGGTCCTTTCGCAATCAATTTCTTGAGAGCCTGAGTAATCTGGTTCATGTCAAGCAGAACAGGGAGTGTGGTACCGTTGACTGCGACGAGAATATCAGCAATGGCTGGCCTCGATGGTGTCCTGGTGTTTCTCTGGGATACGATGGGACGCCCGTTATACAACGCGAGCAGCATTTCAAATTTTGGTCCATCGAAGATTTGGTTGTAGCAACGATTTCTTGTGGGCTTTGCAGGTTCAGAGCCATTTGCTGAAGATACTACCTTCTCAGTCTTGAATGCCGCCGATTGAGTGTTCCCGTTGGCTGTGGTAGAAGGCTGTTCGTCTTCGTCATCAGAAAGCAAAGCGATTGCATCATCTTCCGACGACCCTAAAATAGGTTTCTTCGCTGGTTTCGACTGAGCGCCAGTGCCACTAGCCATCTTTGATTCGGGGTCTTGTCCATCATCGTCACCTCCTGGGACAAAAGTTCTTGTTATCTCTTCGTTTCCAAGCATCGTGATATCCCCCTCTATATCTTCATCCAAGTCGAAAAGACTTTCGCCGGTGTCTTCGCCATCGATATCGCCGAAGTCCATGGCGTCGTCTGGAATATCATCATCCTCTGGTTTGCTGAATATGCTTCGAAACTCCTTTTCCCCGTGGTAAGTCTTATCCACCACAATTTTCATCTTTTCTTGCCCCTCCACGAATTCTCCGAGATCACGAAACTTTCTTTCTAGAAGCTTCCACAATAGCTCGTCTAGTGTACCTTTTGCAACAAAGTACAAACACTTCACTCGGGCGTTCTGTCCAATTCGATGGCAACGATCTGACGATGGAATGAACTCAACTTTTAGAAGCTTTCTTTAAAAACGAACGAGTTGACAAACATTTTGACCTACCTTCAGCTTGAATCATAAGTGCAGGGGTCCAGAACAGCTCTGTGAACCAAACAGTGGATGAGGCAGTAAGAGTTACAGCGACACCAGCAGCCGTGATTCCCAAAATCGCAATCTTTACGTCAGGATCAGTTTGAAAGGCATTGATTTGCGCTTGACGCAGCTTTGGCGACGTTGATCCGTCGATACGAATATACCGCGTTGTACTTCCGCTCTCGTTTGATAGGCCGGTCAAATTGATCAAATCATTCAAGACGAATTTATGATGAGCGAACACACATAGCTTTCCTTTTGTTGGATCAGCAAGCCATCGCTTTATCATTTCGGTAATAAACGGAATCTTGGCGGTCGCCGTCAATGTGTACATTCGATTCAGTACCGTTTTCCGGGAGTCTTCAGCTTCTTCAATCGTGGCTTCCTGCTGTTGCAGTTGCTCCTTGTACCATGCATCCAGTTCGCGCCTTATCTTGTACTGCTGCTGTTGAATAAATTCCTGCTGCTGTGTTGGATCGAGCTGGTGCCGCACTGTGTCTAGCGAGTGCACAAGCTGTTGCGTTCTCTGTTGAAATTGCTCCTGATATTGTTGGGCCAGAGCTGCCCGTGCGTGATCCGAGACCTGACTTGGATTTGATTTCTCATTTGAGAGCGACACAGCATGCGAGTCATGATCATCCACAGTATCTAAAGCAGAATGCTGCCGTGCCAACTGTCCAAGGACGCCCTTTCCCTCTCGCAACATCATCATGCACTGATGAAATTCCTTACGCTGCTCAGGAGATACGACATTTGTCAGAACTTTCTCGCGAAGCTTCTTTGGCATCGACTTCAGCATATCAGTTTTGAGTCTCCGAATCATTATCGTCCCTGTCAGCAATGCAAACAACTCAGCCCGACGAGCTGGAGAAGTTCTTTTGACATACTTTTGCACGAAAAGTCGCTCGTCGCCCCACCAAGTAGCTTTCTCTGTACTGAGAATCTTCAGTTGCGGTAACAGTTCGGAAGGACGAGCAAAAGCCGGAGTTCCGGAAAGTAAAATGCATCGGTTTGTTGCGTGAAGAATGGGGACGAGTCTTAAGGTCCTTTGGCTTTTTATATTCTTCAACATGTGGCTCTCGTCAACAATAGCGCATCTAAAGAGACCTGGTACTATCATCTGTTTTTCTACCAGGGTTGGAGCGAGTCCGTAGGAGCAAATGACAACTCTTGTATCCGAATTAGGGAACAGTGGGTCCTTCGATGATGTCAGAACATTGATTTGGGAGTTGTGTAGCAACGGCATGGGTCTTGCTTGCGGCAATCTGGGGTCAAAATCATTTTGCTGTTCAGCAGATTCATCTTCTCCCCCAAAATCGAGGCCATTGCTATTGCCCATGTCATTGTTCACTGGGCTGTCGGCACCAAGCCAGTGCCGGAACTCGTTTTCCCAATGATAACGCGCCGAACTAGGAGTCAGTATAAGGAGTGGCCATTCCTCCCAGTACATGGAGAGACTAGCAATACTCTGTATCGTCTGTGAACGAGAAAGCGAAATAGGTCAATGGCATTCTTTACTCTGTACAGATTCAAGAGGATTCATAGAAACATACCTTTCCAAGTCCCATTTCTAAAACCAAAATGCAAGAACATAAATGTGAGAAGACCATAAGCATAAGCTACAAATGTTCAATTCAAACAGCATCTCACCGTCAGCAATTAGTGCACGGCCATTCCTTTCAGCAACAAAATCAACTCCGCCACGTTGAAACGGTGCCAGTGTTGTCGCAAGCCCTTTTGGTACCCCTTTCGACAGGATCTTTCCCACACTTGGAAACCCACGTTCTAGTCGGGCTTTTCCAAGTGAGGCAATCTTTAGTTGGCTTTCAGGAATTCCTATTACTTTCGTCATCACGTCGCTATTCAGCCAAGAGTAAAAGGTGCGGTAGGCTCCCTGAAATAAAAATAAAAATGAGGAGTATACTTGGTAAATATCCAGGTTGGACAATGATGTCCTTCTTCACGAGTGTTCAAGTCTTACGAGAGGTATTCTCCATTTGCCTCCAACTCCTTCCTTGTCCTTTTCAAATGTGGATTTGCCGTGAGGCTTACATATTTCTTTAATTTTTGACCGGAAACCGGTGACAGGAGTCGGTTCCATGCCCTCCACCAAAGGTAGCCCAGTAATTGTAAACTCTTGGACATTTAGTAGCGAGAGCTCAAATAACCTTCGCTCTGTCTTTTGCGGCCGTCTCTGTATCGGAAAAAGTTGATCCCATTTGGGTACAAAACCATCTGGCAACTCAATGTACGAGGGTTCGTGAATCACACTGGTTTGCCGTTGTTCTTCAACCGGTGGCATTGACCATGATGGAACTGCTGCAGGTCTAGGTGCCATCGCGGTCGGCCTTTGTATTGGCACAGCCTTTCGTTGCATTGGTTGCTGCGATGATCTATTTGACATCCAATCTGGCATGGATGCCCGTCGGGCTGCAGCTGCTGCAGTGGCTGCGTCTACGGATGCGTCTCCGTTCGTAAGTTTCCTTCTCTTGTTGTTGTGATCTTCAGCAGAGTTCATTTCTTGGGTGTAGTCATCGTCGTCCAAAAGCTCAATAACGGCTTCGCCCCCACCATTATTGGTTGATGAGTTGGAAGGGTGGCCCTGTCCGTCCATATTGTACATACTGGCAACTGCCTCTAGATCCCTTTGGATGTGTGATGCTTCCTGCTCATTTTTAACTGTTTCGTGAGCAGCAGCGGGTGTGGCAGCCTGTGATTGTGGGAATCCTGAGTATGCGTTTTGGTTATACCGTGATGGATCAACACTATTCATGGACTCGTGAGCAGCAGCAAGAGCATCGGGTGCAGCAGCCTGTGACTGCAGGAATCCAGTGTATGCGCTTTGGTTATACCGTGACTGGTCGACACTATTATGGGTCTCGTGAGCAGCAGCAGGCGTAGCGGGTACTGCAATCTGTGACTGCGGAAATCCCGAGTATGTGGTTTGGTTGTACCGTGACGGATCAACACTGTGCGTTGTGGCATTTTCGTGGTGAATGGCCATGTTTGACTCTGCTGTTCCATTTTGTGCACTTTGTGGGGCTTGTTTCATGATATACTGTGAAGAAGTGTGATCCATACCGGTATGTTGGCCTCCACCGTTCATTTCATGCGGCGTAACGATAACCCCGTTGGCAGTGTAATGATTTCCATTTTGCATTGGTCCCAACCCATTTGACATGTGCCCCATGGTGTCTGTTTCGCTAGTCTCATGAAATGTAGACCCCATTTGATGACCATTTTCTACAGCCATTGTATTGTTGTTTGATAAAACACTCCCCCCTGTACCTTTCATCGCACTGGCGGGCTCCTCTTCGTGCTCTAGGATGCTGGGATTGCCATGATTATTGGGCCGATTAGCCGCTGAATTATTACCGCCTGGTTCCCCCAAAGGCTCCTCGTTGAACATGTTGCTAAACATTGCTGGATCAACAGATCCATCGCTCAAGGAATCTCTTCTGTCTTGCCAACTAGTCTCTTCCGCAACTGGTACGTTGTGCTCGCTTGCAAATGAATTACCATCGTCCCAATTGTTGAAGGATGACATTCTAACTATTCGTCTAGCACATGGGCTGTAATTCCCGCGTAAATAAAAACTTTAAATCCAAAGATCTTTTAAGAACGATAGGCATGGGGATTTGAATCGAAATCGGATTGGCTGCACGCTGTTGTCGATGCCGATTGCTACAGCAGCACAAGGTTTTTAAAATATGATGTTCTTTCACAAATGCCGCTAGGTTCCTTTCCTTTTGGCAGGTTTCCGCGTCTATTAAAATACGTCTGTGGTTCGTCCACCTCTGAACTTCAATTTATTGGAGTAGGAAAATAGTCATGTATTTTTGTATTGTTCCATCCATGTAGCTTGAAGACGGCTAATGGTATTCCCGTGTTTACCAGAGAGCTGTCTAACGATTGTCTATGTTACAGTATCAGAATATATTATCGATAGTAGCCCAGCACCGATCAAGTAGATGTCCTTGAGCAGTACATATTCTTGGTATATGATAGTATGTGAAAGAATGTTCCAGCAGCATTCCTTCTCAGCACTATCATTGCCGGTCACAATCAATTCCCACCATAAGATTTCAGTGATTACGGGTAAAAAGAATTGAATGCAAGAATTCAGCTGACCATTAGGATGGAGCGGCTGGTGTGTCTTTCTCCGTTCGAGCCTTCTTGGTGGAAGGTTCTGACGTATCCTCCTCTTCTTTAATTTCAGGATCTTCCAGTTTTCGTTTGTTTGTTGTGTCTTCCTTTCCAGATGATTCTGCACCCAAACCAGAATTGACAGCTTCTCCTAACATCTTGAGAGCTAGTTTTCTTCGTCGCAAGCCTTTTAGCTGACCAAGAGACTCCCGTAAAAGTCCACGAGAAAAACAATCTGGGTTCAAACCACCTCCATGATCCAGCAGGTCCAGCAGATTGATAGAGACGGGACACGCTTGCAAGGCCTTTCGGAGATCACTATCTGCTTTCACGACACCTTCTACACCTTTCAGACCACTAATGACCTCGAGTAATGACGAAATAAGCTTGGTGGTTGTGGCCAAGTGGATGGAGGCATCGTCTCCTTCACTCTCTGGCCACGTTTTTACTATTTCAATGGTACTTGACAACTTGGAGAGAAGAAGATGTATTTTCTCTTGTAGCGTCGTTGCCCCTGGTGGCATTTGCTGCCCAGCTGGAGGTGTTGGTGAGGGCGTCAACATGGTGATGTTCAATGGATGCGTGTTGCAGATTTCAGACACGATGTGGAATTATTTTGTTTTGGGAACATTTATCCCCTTTCTATTTATCCCTAGAGTTCGTTCGTCCCCTAACTTGTTCCTAAATTCGCATTGGTGCTGTGTGGCGGGTACCTGGTACAGTGTACCTGGTACGGAGTATCGGTGTGACAATAGCAAGACACTAGGTAGTAGTACGTAGGTAAAAATCGTTTTGACGTCAGCGTCGTGTAGATTGATTCATAGATTCAAACGAGAATCTTCGCGAATTTCTCAACCAAAATTTCCATGACTTTCCTCCCACAAACATCAACCTTCAAAAAGTAGCCTAACAGCGAGAGCAAAAGATGGAAGTTACCAAGCACTCGCACGAGGCTACAACATCTTGGGAAGCCCACGCTAGCCAAGATCACTCGGTCGAAAATGACACCCCGTCACTTCGTCATGGCCGTGAGTTGAAGTCTAGATACAAGTTGTCGGAGTCATTGGACCATTTAAAATGGAGAAAAGAAGCAGATTTCATTGAAAACGAGGAGTCAAAGAGTGAAGCCTTACAAGAAAAGTATGAGAAACGCCACCGAAAGAATATGAAGATAGTCAGGAAGGATCCAGGGACTCATCATAGCAAAGAACATGGAATCATGATTGATGCTGGAAGCAGTGGCTCACGGTTGCACGTGTATGAGTTTGATCCACGTATCTTGTCCAACAATCAGGATGTCCATGATGCCGTGTCGGGCAGAAAGATTACTTTTCCATATGCGAGATCACGATGGACAGATCGTCTACGTCCAGGAGTGGATTCCTTTGCTCGGCTACCAGATGATAAGTTGGAAGCAGCCCTCAAGGAGTACCTCGCTCCTCTTCTCGACTTTGCCAAGACTGTGCTGCAAGACAAAAACAGGAAACTTCACAAGTATCCTATTTACTTTCGAGCAACTGCTGGAATGCGTATTCTTGAAAAAAACGATCGAGCTCGTGTGCTTGACACGGTTCGGTCACTATTCAACAACAAGGAATTCTGCCCGTTTATGTTCGAAGACGAGTATGCTCGTGTTCTCAGCGGTGAAGAAGAAGCAATCTTTGGTTGGGCTGGCATTAACTTTGCCATGGGTACCCTCGTCGAGGCAAGTGAGGGTACTGGAACTGTCGTCAATCCAAAATTGACATATGGTGCATTGGATCTTGGAGGGGCATCCACTCAAATCGCTTTCTACGAGCCCCACGAAGACATTATGGCTAACCTTTTCAAGCTCCAAATTGGTCAGTCAAAGCACTGGAATGTGTATGCGCACAGTTTCCTATACTTTGGAATGAATCAAGCTCGTAGACGATTTCAAGCCAGGCTGGCTTCTAACGCTACTGAAAGTACTCGGCTCATTAAAGGGGTGCAGAACCCTTGCTTACCTGGAGGAAGCAAGCAAGAAGTGCGCCTAAAGATACATTTTGATGAACATGGCCTCGAAACTTTCAAATATGACCCTTCAGAAACGTCAGATGGATATTATCAGGCAGTGTTGAAAAATGACCACAAAACTTCCAATTTCGAAGAGTGCATGCGTTACACAAAGGATCTTCTCTACTTGGACGCCAACACATGGTGCCAATTTGCTCACAAAGGGGAATGTGCCTTCAATGGCGTCGCAATGCCAGACTTGCCAGCGCAATCGGAAAACTTTGGCGAATTCCTGGGTTTCTCGAACATTTACCATGTTTGGGAAGAATTGGATCTTCCAAAGAGAGCATCGATTCAAGAACTCTATGAGGGCACCAAGTCTATCTGCAATATGTCCAGAGAGGACGCCGTGGCGTACAGTAAAAAGATTGGTGCAGCAACCGAAACCGTCGAAGATCTCTGCTTTCGATCTGCCTACGCCTACAATTTGTTGTCCGAAGGCTACGGTTTCAAAGGTGATGAATACATCACGGCAACAGATGTTATTGGTGGGCTTAAGGTTGGCTGGTCTCTAGGAGCCATGCTGTATGAAATCAATACACTTCCATGGAAAATTGATGACTCAAATCCAAATTTCTTTGTTACCAGCACAACTGCTGGCGAAAAGCACTCTATTTCTGGAATTGCACTGTTGTTCGTCATGTTGGCGGCAGTTGTTGGATTGGTCATAGTTGGTGTTCGCAAGTGTAAGAATGAAAGAAAGCTTTATGAGCCGCTCAAGACAAACGCAGAAAGCTTCCCAACATATACATAGAAGTTGGCTTTTTGATGACGACTGCGCACATGGCGAAAGAATCGAAAGCTGATATCATCGCAGTCCGTGATCCAACCGCTTCTATAAAGGAGCTGCATCTTCATGCCCTTGTTCTCGCAACGCATCTTCGGCCTGAGACATCCATCGACTTGCGGTGCAAATTTGCTTGTCCAGAATTGTCCCCATACCTCTAAGGATGAAGCTTGCCCTTGCTACAAAAACTTTCAGATGTACAAGTGGCAAGAAGGATAACGTCAGAAAGGCTCTCACTTTTGCTAGCGACACAGTAGTAAGAAATAAACTGATCCCATGGAAGACTTACTTGCAACATCTGGTACATGTACCAGCGGATCTTCAGCAGTTAGCTTTGCAAAATATAGCTGAGGTGTCGAGCATCCTTCATCTTTTGCTGCCACATCAGAGTCAAAGAAAAGTGATGCATATTTGGCAAGCGTCTTCTCGTTGCCGAATTTTGTCTCGAAACCAAGCGCTCGCATCTCTTTGGCAATTTCTGCACGACCTGATTTGCGACCTAATGCTAGTACAATTCTCGCTACACCAAGCCGTTGCTCGTGTGACAGCGTCTTGGTTTGACCATAATCAATCAGTCCAAGAGATCCATTGGGCATGAGAAGGATGTTACCTGAACGAGAAAAGTTGAGTGCTAGGACAACTACATGGCGAACTGCACGTGTCGGCTTACCATTATGGGGATCTCCTTGAAAAACTCCATTTGTCAGGATTTGGTGACCTTGGACATCCACCATTAGGTCAACGTACGATTTGGTTCGTTTGTACAGAGAATAAAGTCGTAGTTTCTTCTTGAGATCAAGACCTTTCATCCAGTCGAACGAAGAACTCTTTCCTCCCACTGAAGCATCTGTGGCACCCTCTCGTAATGCCTGCCTCTTTTCCTTGCCAAGGATCAAATCTTCGAGCATCGATTAGCAAAGAAGCTGTTGGCCTACACATAACGGTCTGTCGACTTACCCAGCCGCTTCGCCTTGATCAGTGCACTGGCTTCCTCTTTTCCACCAAGGGCAAGTGCTAGATCATCCTCGATGGCCTCACTCCACTTCTTACCTTCCAACATCTGCATTATCAGTAGCTCCTTGGAAGACAACTTCGAAACTGGCTCAGGTACCACGATGCGTCCTTGAAATGGGCTTATCATCATATTCCGCCGCACTCTAGACAAAGATCTTGCCTCATTACGGTAGTCAAACTCAGACATGATCTGACTATAGCATTCGTCAAGAATAGGCCCCCAGCCTTTTAGTGCAACTTTACATAGCCAGCGAAAGACTTGGAAATCGTGATGAAATCTTCCCTCTGCTCCTCGATGCATTACCTTAACTGCGACAATGTCGCCGCCCTTGTACCCACCAGCAGAAGCGTACTCTGGCTTGAGCTTTGCTTTGTGAACCTGTCCTATGCTAGCAGAACCTAGTGCAATCGACTCGATGCCCTCAAAGACGTCGTCAAAAGAAAGTCCAAATTCGGAATGCAAAGTTCCGTTGATCTCGTTGACAACTTCGTCTATTGACCATTGTGGCAACGAGTCTTCTGCAGTTATGAATATATCAACGTACTGGGGTGGCACGAAATCCTTATGACATATTATAGCCAATGTGAGATAGTTCAGGAAACGCCTGGAGCGAGGTCAATAGGTTGCTACGTACTGGCCGGCTGGAAATAATTTGTGCCATCTGAGTTTGTTTGAAATGGTTTGAGCTTTAAATTTTTGCAGGAATGGCACACTCGGATCCAAGGACTCACCTTGACATAAAGACCTATATCCGATGATCAGATTGTCAGACATCCGATTATCCCTTTCTCACTTGGTGCAGCACCATTCTTACCCCTCAGATGCAAAGCGATATCGAAGGACCGCTTGCTATACTTGTTATGTAAAGAGTCGTAGACCTCGTTGCGCTCTGATAAAAGAGAGAGAGCGTTGAACATGAGAAAGACCAAGTTTAGAGTACTCATCAAAAGCAGCAAAAACAGCAAAGGCTCACTTTCTAAAGGTGCTTTTGTTTTCTTCAAGAACCATCTCGTGAACTTGTAGTGAACAACAATCGGGCCAGCCTGAACCCAGAAGTAAAGCGCTCTCGAAAACACTTCTGATGTCAAAAACTTCGCCAATTGAATTGTAGTGGCCCCAAGCAAGACAATACCTCCACTTTTTACTTTTCCAAAATTGCCGATCATCCCCATACCAGTGGTTCCGACGTTATTCGATTGATGACACATGAGCTTGAAGTGATTTTGAAGTCTTGCACTTTTCTTCACCGTTTCATGATCCTTGAACCTAATTCGGTGACTCCTAGTCCTGGTCTGATCATATGGGAATATGACAGAAGCGGTCGCACTCTCAACAAACCCCAGGAGCAGGAGAAATCGAACGACATTCATTTCTGTTTCAATGACACAAAATCTACCGGTAGATCAGACAAAAGTTGATTTCCGGTCTGGACTCATTCGACCACAATATCAGTCAGATTTTCAGCACATCAATTGATTCACATTCACTTTATCTCATTCCTCTTTCTCAACATAAAATATATCGTGGCCAACATAATGCGCAAACAGAAGATCTGCTTCATTCGTCATGGCGTTGCAAAACACAATCTAAGGGATCCAAGAACCAATCAGTCTCCAAACTTGGAGGATCCTTCACTCTTTGATCCCCCTCTTGTGTACGACGGCAAGCAACAAGCCCTGGTGAGTAGGATACAATCATCGTTACCATGCGTTGAATCATTATGGCCTCCTCTGATTCTACCTTGGTGCCTAGCAAGCAGGTGAGAGATTCAAGATGTGGTGGAAGACGACCCAACTCGGTGAACAAATCGAGTTGATCATTGCATCTCCCCTTACGCGATGCATTCAAACATCAATGATTGCATTTCCACCAGGCGACTGCTATGCTTCCAACGATGGCGCATCCAAGGAACCTAGGAGGATATGTACAGAGCTAGTTCGAGAAGCCTATGGTATGCATTATCCTGACAAAAGGAGAGTCAAATCGATATTGCAAAAATACTGGCCAGGACTGGAATTAGATCCAGGAATGACAGAAGCGGATGAAGCTTGGAGCCCAACATCTCGCGAATCCATCGCTGATCTCCAAGGGCGTATTTCTCTATTCCTTGACTACGTAGCAAAGCTGCCGCAAACCAATATTGTTGTCGTCAGCCACGGAGTCTTCGTTGAGGCATTACTGCATGCACACTGTCCCGAGGCCTTGCCGAACGGGCGGCGAGTGTACAATTGTGACACGATCATTGGTGATTGCCTTTCCGAGAATGGAGTTTACAAAGGACTCCAGGGGATGCGACTTTTGACCTAAATTGAAAACTGTCATTTTATAGCAGGCATCCGTAGAACACTCATCTGCTGGCCGATGTGTCTACGTCAGATTGGAATCGATCTTTCCACTTGTCACTCTTCTGTATCAAACCTTTGTATACCGGTAGGAAAAGACATGAGAGATGATCCAATCAATCACAGATTCATCGGTACATCATCGTCTTACCTCTCTGATACGCGGCAAACCCAGTCTTGGACATTAAGCTTCTAATCTCATTTGTCATTGCGGTTCCCCCCACCCTGTGCCAGCTTGCCTTGAGCTCGTCAAGATCTTTTTCCCGCTTCGTTTTTGGATGTGATGTACCTTTATCTGGAATATCGCCACACTCGAATAATGTGTCTTTTTTGTGAAGATATGGTTGTGGTTGGAGCTTGTTGGGGCCATCCTTCAGTCCCATTATTTCGGCAAACGTGTTGACGCATTCGTCACGCAGGGATTTGTGGCTCTTGCCACCACTAATCTTTTCTTCCACATACAGCTTGACCATACTTTTAATGGCCCACAAATCTGCTAAAAGCGATGGTCTACCCTTTGTGAGAGAGGATATCATGAAACTCATGGCAATGTCTTCGCAATTGAAGTGTTCGGCAATGTTGTTTAGAATTGAAGCGGGGAGCGCATTCATGTACATGTCCATATAACCCTTGTGGATGAAACAGTAACGCGTCAGAGATAAACTGTACGAGTTGCTCTTTTCCATTGTACTGCGATCATGGTCGAGTATAGTGTGTTAGTAGATTGGTCAAGTAAAAGCGCTGACAAACAAATGGTCTCGTCATCTTACCTCATGTATCCATACTATGCCAAGCGAATATCATCAGTACAAACATTGACAACGATTGAGTCAGTCTATTCTTTGAAAATCAATCGAGAGCATCTAATGGCACGTATACCTCATACTCACCTTCCATGACCCATCCTCATTTTCTACATGAACTCGCGCGTCGAACCCAATCATTCGATCCGGATGTCGAGTCCACTTGAAGAATCCATCATCCAGGGCCTCACAGGGCCGCAAAGCGTCGTCATCAATACTCAAGATTCCAAGGGTTGGTGCAGGTGATAGTATCCGAAACCTCTCATTCAAGGAATTTTGATCGTGTCTCTCAACGACGACCTTGGAGTAGTTGAACAGTTCTGGTGGTGGTTCGTTTTCCTTGTCACACCATATAACTTGAATTTGAGCCACGCCATTACAAGAGGCATGATGGTCAACTGAGACCAAAAGCTGTTCCGGCCTTCGCCACGTATTCATTCGTATCGTGTATTGTTCCAAGTCCTTTGCTTCCAATGGTGCTAGCGACTGAAGGTCTTTGGGTGGCCATTGCTCCTGTGTGACGGATTTCCGTAACATGGCTCCACCATTTTCTAGGATTCGATGATTGTCGTTCGGTGTGGTACCGGTAGTTGTAGAGGAGACAAATAGACTTCGGAACAAGTAAACGTGCACTCCAACCAAAAATGTGACGGCGAATGCAATGAGACCCCGGGCCAAGATCGGTCCTTTTACTTGGGACGGCAACAATCTCATTTTCTTGGGAGATTCAAAGAGGCGACGCCGTATCATCTCCTTGGAAGGAGAAGCATGATGTCGTCTCATTGTTGGGACTGAAGATTCAATGGTATTGTCAGCCTGTCATTTTTTGTGAGATTTTTAATGTAATGTGTGAAAGAATCGACGACTCGACTCGTTCGATCCAAGAAAAGATTCTGACAAATCAAATCATCCGCAATCCGTTTCATAGTTGACGCATTCATTGCAATCTTTGGGAATGATAACACTGCGGCTACTAAGACGCCGTCCGACAGGTCAGGTACAATGGATAGATGGCACAAAGACTAGCGTTAGGTTTTTTGCGGGCACAGAGGAGAATGGAGACTATAGTATTCAAGGGACAATCCCAATAATGGGAAAAGGTGTTGATGTGAGACCTTAGATTCAGTTTGTCGCTGTCACAAATATTGATATGTTTTGACCAACACCTTTTCCCCTTTCTTACTGCAACCGGTAGATTGGCCAGTATGCCGAGGTATGTTGTAATCTATACCCATTGCCATTACTTGTGGTGAAATCCATGAATTGACGACTCTAACAACTCTTTCGTTCCTCCACCCGTCGCATACAGGTGGAAAGAAGTTTCAGTCCAGAAGAAGTAAAGCTATTTGGCTCGTTGGTGAAGGACCAAAACTTTTTACACGAATCAGTACCCTGGAGTGACGATATTGAGACCATGCAAGCCTCCTTTCCCATCACGAAAGCTCACATTAGTGAAGGGCTAGTGATACGAGATCAGAAATCAGACACAGAGATGACACGTCCACTGGTGCAGGGAATCTTGCTGTCCAGCATGTTTTCTTCCATTTTCGCCGGTCTCGTCCCAGGTTGTGTCTACATAAACCAGACACTCTCCTTTGCATCTCCAGTGTTTGCCAATGAACTAGTCAAGAGTCGTGTGACAATCGAGAAACTTCGACGGTGGCCAAAGGGAGGGATCGTGGTCCAATGCGAGACACAAATCCAAAAAGCTGAGGATGAGACGATAGCAATCAAGGGAACAGCAAATGTCTGGCTTCCACAAGGACACCGCAAAGCAAATTAGAGGCATCATGAGATTGTATTCCGTGATTCTTTGGCTCTTTTTTTAAAAAATAACTTGATTATAGCATGTACTACAATTGCTACTTGCATAGAAAGCAAAATAAATCTAGTAAAGATGACACTAGTGGTATTCAATTCACCCCCCAATATGGCCCTATGATCCACATGTTGAATGTTACAATTCGGCACGCATGACACTTCGCATCAGCCCGAATACTATCGACCAGACCACAACACACAGCACCGACAGAACGTTTGTTGTTTCTTTGGCTTCCAAGCCATCGCGGCGAATAATATATATGATTTGCTCTATTCTGTTTTCCGGCATGGTGCTGGTTTTGCGCTTTTCCTCGCCTAGGATCTTGTTGATGATTCTCTTGTCGGCGGATTGCAAAAGCACGGACTTGCAATTGTTCGGTAGGGGAGAGTCCTTGATCTTTTGTACGGCAACGTCCATGCTATCTGTATTCTCGTCTCTCAAAGCCTCTTCAATTTGCTTTGCCACGTCCTTCAAGGCACTCATTTCTTCGAGGAAGGAAGCGTCGTCATCATCGTCGGAGTCGTCTCCAGTTGGTGGTTTCTCCGAGACTGTGTTTGTATCAAATTGAAACTTGACGCCACTTTTATTTGACCGCGTTGAATCTAGTCTATAGGATTGGCTTTTATCATCTGTATGGAGAGATGACATCGGTGAGAGGGACCTGGGAGATTTCCGTGATGATATTTCTGCGACTTCGTCAATTTCTGCATTAAGCATCTTTTCGAATTCTGCATTCATAGCAATGAGTGTTTTGTCAATTGCATCGTCATCTTCAGACATCAGATCTGGAGCAGGAGAGGAAGAGCTCATGGTTGCGTCTATCTTGGAAGGTGTCAATGACTGTTACAAGGCAAAGAAAGAAGTAGTACCGGTATTATAGTTATAGGTGCGACCGACATGTTTTTCAAAACCGCGCGCACGACAAACATTTTTCATGCGTTCAACGGATTCGATAGACTCCATTTTTCCGAGTACGACAACAACTTGGCAGCTAACTATCACCCCTACCTAACATATATTTTCCTATGTTTTCGCCATGTGACCACCAACAGTCTTTTCTATCTTTCGCTTTGTGCTCCATCATACGTTTACAGATAAGATAGAGGAAAACATAACTAGTGTACAATTCAAATCGATTTTAGATATTGATAACAGAGTGAAGAGTGTATTTTCTGACAACTCGTTGTGGAACCTCCAATTTACATCAGCGTTGATGCACCTTGGGATAAATGAACTTGCAACCAAGAGTTGACGCATTCACTACCTTCCTCTTCAACTACACCACTCGAAAGCATACGTGGGTTTGACTTGATCACTTGTGGTGCCTTCCCTGAAATTGCAGACACTTGCAAGGAAAGCAAAAGTTGGCAGGAAGAGGACCTGTAATCATATGTTGGTATCGAATCAATGTACAGCGTGTTGGCAAAAACTGCTTTGTCCGATACCACCGAGTATGCGCCACTTCCTGTTTGGACGGCTGAATACAATCGATCTGAAATTGTGGATCGAAGGAATGTATCAGAAGATGGTGTTTGCTGATATCCAAAAAAACCTACAAGTCGGCTAGTGTCACTCTTCCAAGCATCAAAAGCTGTGATGCAAAAGACAAAAGGTGTTAGATATGGTCATGTTGCCATGATTATTTGTACTTTTGTGTGATGCGAACTCTTACCTTTGTCCAATTCTTCGCAAGAGAGCAAGACATCTTGTGACAGGAGCAACACGGCATTCGTGTGGACGATACGAGAAGTTGTAACCTTATCATCCCGAGCCAAAGTCCTGTCTGGAATAGTGCTGGATCCAAAGTCCAATTGAATTTCCTTCACCGAGCTGCAGGCACTGTGTGCATCTATTGACTGATGGATGAAATCTATTCGATCACCTTTCAGCAGTATTGTGAATTGCTTTTCCTGAGTGGTGTGAGCGATTTTGTGCTTGAGAAAGCCAGCTTCGTTGTTCATGAAATGCATCCAGGTGTTGTAACGTTCACCACCTTCACCAGAGCCAGGGTCGTTGACTATAGATCGGATGAATGCAATTGTACCTGCAGCAAGGAGGAAGATTGATATCAATCGACCTTTACCAGCTCGTTGCTTGGCTTTGCCTTTGTCGTAGCACCCATTAGGCATTTCCGAACCATGGGCTGTAGTTAGTTCTTCTTTTGTTCGCGTGGAACTCGAACTCGAACTCCGACTGGAGCCACTCGAGCTTGGACTACAAGAGCCAAACGAAGGCCGTGATCGGCAGAGTGGAATCGGCTCCACCAAATAAAGATCATTTTCTGAGTATGAGTAGGAAGAATCCAAAACCGTACTGGTAGTAGTACTGGCTGTATCAAACGAGGAATTCAGATCATCTTTGCATGCTGATGGATCCGAATCCTTTCTCAAGCTCCCATCCACGATGGTTTTGGAGATTTCGTGTTGACTGGGCATGATCCGTTCTGGTTTGAGATATTGTGATTTGATGAGAAATGAAATTATAAAACTGTGAACCCTCTCGTAAATTTCCAAATCGATCCCGTTTGCGGTATTGGAATACGTTCTGAGAGTTGGGATTCGACCTTGATCAGGAAAGAAATTTGAAACAAAAAGTGAGCCGTTTGATGAGTTCTTGTCTGTTTCCTTCGTCGAAATCAAAATTTCGGTCAATGTCAAATCTGGCATCCTCGTCACACGCACATGCTCCTCCGAGTTACCATTTTAAATCGGACGGCCTGCGTTTTGAACTGATGCAAAAATACTCGCATTTTTCTGTTCCTCACGAGCTCGTCAGGTCAAAATCGAATTTGGAAATATTTCAACACTTATGACAGGTGTTTTGAGCTTATTGTTCTTGGTTGAGCAGACAGTCACCAATGAGACCGACCGGCGAAGGGAGGAGGCACGCATCCAATTTAAATCACAACGATGACTCATCAGTTTAACCTACTGACAGCTACGGTGACCAGGTATCAGTACATTGCAAGGTACAGTCGGAACCTACCAGAGCTACATATACCTGGTACTCTACAGAAGTTACCAAACAACCGATGTTCGGTACCAGTTTTAACTCCTGGTACTGTAGGGTAATTAATAAAACAAGTCTGATACAGTAATTTCAAAACTACATTTGGTATTCTCAACGGTATTTATACCTGCTACTTTATTCCCGGTGGATGATCATTCTCACCATAGCACTCTGTTTGAACTCCCAGGCAATAGATGACGATGTAATGCTTTTGAAGGGTGCCGCTGGTTAATGACCGTTTTCAATGTGTCGGTTTCTGCCCATCAAGGCTCACCCATCAACTACAGCATATGTGGGATATCGAATTTTCTCGCGTTCTCTCGTAACTGCGTAGATGTTGGATTGATGGAAGGAGCAGCAAGATGGGGAAATAAGATGAGGTGCACCCATACATATTAGATTTCATCTTCATGCAAGATCATATTTGGGATCCCTTGCTTAATTGGAAACTTTCTACCCGTATCAGGGCAAACTAGATGCCCCTCAATGACATGAATGTTGAATAGAACATGGTAAAGCGCTTCCAATGTGGCAGTATCAATCTCTCCTTCTGGAAGCTTTTCAGGAATATCCGCCGGCTTCGGTTCTACTTTATCGGCCACCTGATGCAGGGCCCCAATGACAGCCTCATAGTTCAGTTTTGGCAAGATTCCAGTCACTAGTTCTTGATCAAATGGACTATCTTCAATCACAACTTCCTCAGCTTCTATTTGGAGTGGGTATCCTTCCTTGGTCCTGCAAAATATCGCAAATTGTTATATTAGCACTGGCTTAAACGAGATGTTCTTCGTTTCATTCTCTTTCTCTTCGTACGTACCCCTTGACATTGGAAATCAGATAATTGTGAGTCAGCAATCTCATTGTTCAGGTTGTTGTGATGTGTTTGAAGATCACAACAAGTTTTGTTGCATGTTTCACATGGTGGTTGATGATTTTGACGGACGAAGGCCAGTCTGCGTCAGTCCGTATCCCGCCATTCTGAAGCCTACTTCCACGAACGACAGGCAGGTGTACGGTTTGTTGTGTGGCCATGGCTGCCAAGCTGAAACATGGCTTTGAATTGCTGATCCTTTGCCGCCATCATACGATCATTGCACTCCTGGAAACCAAATCCAGCCAAAACTTTTGATTGATCAATTCAGCTACACTAACTAAGCAATTTTAAAAATGTCAGGTGAAGGGAAGACAGTTATTGACGCCGTTGAAACCACAATGGACGGTGATGAAAGTTACTTTCGAATGTTTGTGGGTGAGGAAGGAGACCGAAGCAACCTGCAGAGTCGATTTTACGAAAACAAGTACCCTGAGGTCGAATCCGTTGTCATGGTGAATGTCCGCAATATTGCTGACATGGGTGCCTATGTCTCTCTTTTGGAATACGACAATATTGAAGGAATGATCTTACTTTCCGAGCTATCTCGTCGTCGTATTCGTTCCATTCACAAACTTATTCGCGTCAACCGCAACGAAGTTGTGATGGTCCTTCGTGTTGATAAGGAAAAGGGTTACATCGATCTTAGTAAGCGCCGAGTATCTCCTGAAGATGTCGCAAAATGCGAAGACCGATACAACAAGGCTAAGGCCGTACATGGAGTGCTCCGTCACTTGGCAGAAAGACGAAAGCTCTTCTTGGAAGAGTTGTACGAGAAAATTGGCTGGCCGCTATACAAGAAGTACGGCCACGCATTCGATGCTTTCAAGATTGCTATTTCCGAGGATAAGAATGCTGGGGATCCATTCGCCGAACTTGGTGATGTTCCTCCGGATATCATTGAAGAATTGAAGACATATATTCTGCGACGTCTAGCACCACAACCGATCAAGATCAGAAGTGATATTGAAGTTTCTTGCTTCACTTACGAGGGAATTGATGCCATTCGCCAGGCATTGTTCGATGGTATGGCTGTTGGAAGCGAGACAAACCCCATCCGAATCAAACTTATTGCACCACCTATCTATGTTCTTTCAACGACTACGCTTGAGAAAGAAGTCGGTATTGGTATGTTGAACAAAGCAATTGACACGATCAAGGAGACAATAACAGCAAAGGGAGGAAAGATTGACGTCAAGATGGCACCAAAGGCTGTAAGTGTCAAGGAAGAGACTGAACTCCAAGATATGATGGAGAGACTGGCCATGGAGAACGAAGAAGTTGACGGTGATGCCCCAGATGAAGAATAAATTAGCAACCCTTAAAACATACTGATGATGATACTTTCTCCTAGTTACTGATACTGATACCCTTCGTGCAAGATTTTTTTCAATTTGGCCCGAGGTCTGTCATCTGTTCCAGAATTAAGTCTGTATGTCTCCCGTTTAGTCGGACGGATCATTCGATTCTGTTTTGTAGTAAGGCCGGTAACCCACCATGCAAGTTTCATCGAACACAAAAGCCAAGTAACTCAAGCTGTCAAAGTCGACTTAAATTTGCCTGTGTTAAGAGCTATTATATACAACAATAAAGATGGATAAACTAAAGAAGGCACAAAAGGACGAATTTGCCGTTTCGTTCGCCATTTTGGCTCTCTATGACGGATCTGCTGAAGTCACCGGTGAACAAATCAACACCTTGTTGGAAGCAACCGGAAACACTGAAGTTGCTCCTTACTACCCAATTATCTTTTCCAACTTCTTGAATACCCCCGAGAAGATCGCTGAAATGATCGCATCTCCAGGAGCCGGAGGTGGCGGCGGCGGCGGCGGTATGTATCGAACTAGTAGCAATCATTTGATATTGTTCAAGTGTTCATTTATTCTCAAATTTTTATTTTTTTCCTGATCAAAACAGGTGGTGCCGGTGGCGATGCTGGAGGCGAAGCTGCAGAGGAAGTAAAGGAAGAGGAAGCTGAAGAGGAAGAAGCCGAAATCGGTGGAGGTATGGATATGTTTGGAGCCGACGGTGGTGACGGTGGTGATTATTAAGCACTCAGTCTGTAATAATAAAATCAATCTATCCTTGATACAATCTTCGGAGTTAATATTGTGATCGTTGGATCTGAAGGTTTGCTGTGATCTCGGCTGGAAATGAATTTTAGCATATTGTGTGAGATATACTATGCTATTGAAATACAGCAGCACCATGGAAACCAAACAACTACACTCTTAGGGCGAGAGGCATATCGTGTGGAAGTGCATTTCTCTTCTATGATATTCTATGATGGCCAGCATAGTTGCTATTGACACTCGCGTGTATTGATTTCCCCTTAGCTGACAAAAACATCTGACAATGTGGGAGCACTTGGTGATTCCTGATCGTTCCTTTAAACAAGAAGAGTACCCTTCTTCGATGGGGCAAACTCATAGAGGAGGGATCACATGTGCTGTAACATCGCATCGTTGTGTTCCGAAGCAACTGGACTATTGAAGTCTTTAGCGTCTAGTTTGTAGATCGACCGGTACCAGGTACCTCCTGTTCTAGATGGCACTTGATTTTCTGCCAAACTAGATCACGAATGAAGATATTCTGACCAGAGTTGTCTTCAGATTCACAGGAAGTAGCTAACAAAATTGTATACGCCTGAAGAATGGTTGTTACAATAGCATGGAATACACATGGACTGCTCAAAATGTGAAAGTGCGAGGTGGTATTTACTGTATTTATTGGTGGTAGGTCAACAAACAAAATTGTTGTGGTTTCCTTCCGAGGAGGCACTTCAAAGGAAAATGTTTGAATGTTGGATTGCAATCCTTCAAACGATGTAGTTCTGATCCCTCCGTTCTATTAAACGATATTTCGATGAGCTTAGAACATTGGGTTTCCGGCCAAAGCAGGGACAGATCCTGGAACGGCATTGGCGGCAATGAAAGACATGATGGCGATCATGGCAAGGCGTCCATTGTTCAATTCACGATCTTGCTTTACCTTCATTGTCTTCTCGCTAACTCCAGAGAAGTCAATTGGGGGAAAGACGATGGTGGGAGTGGATCCACCCTTCATGTAGTGGGTTCCTTGGGCTTCAGATGCAACTTCGGCACACAAGATGGTGAACAAGATTTGGGCCTTTCCGGCCTCTGGAACAGCAGCCCAAGCATCGAATGGCTTCATGGAGGAAAGAGATTCGAAGGAGACGTCAGAGCTGAGCATTCCTGGAAAGTGGAATCCAGCAGCTTGGACAATGTATCCAGTTGTGGCAAGCATAGCAACACGGCCGTTCTTCAATTCAGCAGCGCGGAACCATGCAAGGGTTTCGTCACTTCCCCAGTCAGCAAGGTTCAAAGGATCAAATCCCTTGATGGGGAGAGTGTATCCAGCCATGCTTTCCAAGTCAGCTTGAAGAGCAGTGCTATGTCCCTATTCGGGGCGGAAGAGAAAAAAATCGATAAGATTGTGTGTTGTCATATATATATATAGAATATCTCAGTCCGATTTACCTGTTGGGAAACTGGGGCGAAAGCAGCGGCGGATCCGGCAAGAGCAAGGAGTGCGAAAGTCTTCATGGTTAGGTACGAATACAAGGTCAACGGGATGAATATTTCTTGTTTGAATCCTTCCACATTTCTGCATATCTTGAGCTTCAATGATCAATGGGTACGTGGATACCGGTAGGCCTTCGTCGCAGTCCATGTCGCAATGTTCGATAATGTTGACGGACATTCTGTCCGATTTCGGTTCTGCATCTTTTCAACCTCAATCTATTCATTCTTCCTTCAATCGTCCATTGCAAGTTTCTTCCGTCAGTCAGAATTCATGAAAGCATCAGGTGATGAAACACTAGAAGGAAATCACGATGTGGAAAACGTCCGGGAAACTGAAGGGCTTATAAAGTATGATAGTGTGTTACCCAACGTGGATCGAAAATGTAGAAGTGAAGACGAAATCAACCATGCTCGAAAACTTCTGTACTTTTCCCATCTTTTTGATCAGTTTTCAGAAGGAACGTGGCAATTCTGTTTGGTGCTCTTCCTCGCTGCCTTTTCAAATTTTGAGTCTCTGGTCCTGATCAGTACCTACGGTCTGTGCTCGGGTCTATTCGTCTGCTACTTTGGGCCTCGATTAGGTCGCTTCATTGATGGAACCGACCGACTGTTTGCTGCGAGACTCTTCATTGGATTGCAAAGTTCAGCAGTTCTTTTGGCGACTACCTGTTGTTACATGCTTCTTGCGGCAGATCACATGTCAGACGAGAGCCAGGATTCGAACAACGGCTACGGTGTGCCTACTGATGCCAAATCGTTGTTTTTGTTGGTTGGGGTGCATCTTTTGGGAGCGATTGCACAAGTTTTGGATAATGGCTTTACAGTAGCGATTGAGCGAGATTGGATTGTAGTGATGAGTCAGTATATTATGTTCTCGTCTGAGGAGGAATCTGATAACCTGCAAAGGCAGAAGCAATGGCTATCGGAAACCAATGTGGTGCTCAAACAAATCGACTTGAGTTGCAAAATTCTGGCGCCAGCTGTTGCCGGTTTCGTCGTTTCAGGTTGGGGTGGTGAAGGTGAAAACCACAATGTATCGGATCTCAAGTCTGCTGCTTTGTTCGTGGGGTGTCTGTGCGCAGTAGCTTTGGTTGTCGAATACATATGGTAAGTGTGGTGTCTCAGATATGATCATACATTAGGTGATACCCTCTCACGCGGAACTGTCCCATCAGCTCTACAAAGATTTTCTACACAGTAAATACTCTTCAGATAAAGCCGCTTCCTATAGTCAGCGAAGACTCGAACGACCCTGGTTCAAATGGAACCAAATGTGGTATCTTCGCGTTACCAGTAGGACTGAAGGTTTTCATGAATCAAGAAGTGTCTTGGGCAGGCATAAGTCTCTCATTCCTGTAAGTCTACAACCTTGACAATGCTTGCTCGTCTGAATATTGTTCTCAAAACTCGAATATTAGATACTCGAATGTCTTCACATTCGGTGCAATCATGACAGCTTACTTGGTTTGGCGGGGCATGGCGCTGGAACAGATTGGAATATGGAGAGGAGTATCCGCGGCACTTGGCCTTGCAGGCACTGTTGTATATAAGTTTCTATCCACGCAAATGGATTTAGTCAGCTCTGGAATGTTGAGTGTCACTTTTCAATTCTGTTGCTTGAGCCTCTGTTATGCTTCCCTCTTTGTGGAAGACTTGAATGTGTCATCTATCATGTTGATCGCTGGTGTCTGTTCAAGTCGAATCGGACTATGGGTTTTTGATATCTCGGTGACCCAGGTAAGTACGCTTAGTGCACATTTACTGCAAAATACCCCGTATCATAAGTATTGCTCAATTTGATTTCGTCAAACCACGTTTTGGCAGCTGATGCAATTGAATGTTGCGGATGATGTTCGAGGGGAAGTGGGCGGAGTTCAATCATCTTTAAACTCGTTCTTCTTTTTACTATCCTTTGGCCTTGGAATTTTGCTGCCAGACCCAGCATCTTTTCACGTATATGCCAGTATTGGGTACATTTTTGTGGCTGCTGCAGCAGTTTGCTTTGCTGTTGGAGTCTATTCCAAGCGCGATAGTCTCGCCAAGGCTTGACTAAAGCCACTGTTTATTTTCGGGGAAAAGGACGGGATTTTGATTGAAGCGCTGAATCGATAGACATACATACTTTTTTATAATATATACTACATAGATAATCATAAATATATCCAGTTGGGGATAGACTTCGGTTTTCGATAGATACCCGGTACAATAGTACCTGGTACCTGTAGGAAAAAATCTGGAAAATACGACCAACGCGAATCCTTGCGTTGGAATTTAAGAAAACGAGAACAAAGAAATATCCCAGTTGCATCATTTGCTTACCCATTGCTGCATTCATTCTCGGAATAGCTGGTAATCAATCCACTAGTCACGGCAGTGTGAAGCATTTCATTCCGAATAGCATTGGCACACCATTCTGCAAAACTAGCAATGATCAAAGAAGGTGAAGGCAACCATGACAATCAGGATTGTTCCGAGCACAGTAAACCACAGAATAGTGATGAATCACACCAGCCCTCCATCGATGAAGATGAGGATGATGTTGAGTCACAAGAGAGAGAAAGACTTTTGAATAGCAACGACACAGCCACGCCAACTGCAGACCAAATCTGGCGCGGTGAAGAACAAATCAACCATGCTCGCAAATTACTGTACTTTTCACATCTATTCGATCAGTTTTCAGAAGGAACATGGCAATTCTGCTTGGTGCTCTTCCTCGCTGCCTTTTCAAATTATGAGTCTTTGGTCCTAGTCAGTACCTACGGTCTTTGCTCCGGTATCTTTGTATGCTACTTTGGTCCTCAACTTGGACGTTACATTGATGGTGCCGACCGATTATTCACTGCTCGACTCTTTATAGGATTTCAAAGTTCAGCAGTGCTTTTGGCGACTACCTGTTGTTACATGCTTCTTGCGGGTCAAGAGAGTCCAGACCATTTTTCTGACCACATGGAAAGCGAAGATTCCAACAACAACTATGGCGTACCTACTGATACCAAGTCAATATTTCTGTTGGTTGGGGTGCATCTTTTGGGAGCGATTGCACAAGTTTTGGATAATGGCTTTACAGTAGCGATTGAGCGTGACTGGATCGTGGTGATGAGTCAATATATTATGTTTGCCCCAGGAGAAGAATCCAAAAATCTCCAAAAGCAAAAGGCATGGCTTTCAGAAACCAATGTGGCCTTGAAACAAATCGATCTAAGTTGTCAGATCATTGCACCAGCAGTTGCCGGTTTCGTCGTTGCAGGTTGGGATGGTGGCGGCGAGACTCATAATGCATCCGATCTCAAGTCGGCGGCTCTGTTTGTTGGATGTATGTGCGGCGTAGCTTTGGTTGTGGAATATGTCTGGTAAGTGCTGAAACTTGTGTACATGTGCTTTGTGCTTGATGCTGGCTTGGCAACACCAAGAATCTCACTCATCTGATTACGCCATAGTTCGACAAAAGTGTTTTATATGGTGCAAACTCTTGCCATCAAACCAATTTCTACGAACAATAATTCATCATCATCAAACGGCACAAGTTGTGGCCTCTTTGGTCTTTCCCGAGGACTGAAGGTATTCATGAGCCAAGAGGTCTCTTGGGCAGGTATTAGTCTATCACTGCTGTGAGTATATATGGCATATCGGTTCCAAAATCGGTTGCATTGCTGAAATACTTGTGACTTATGCTTTACTTGACTTGACATATTCCACACACATCCAGATACTCCAATGTCTTGACATTTGGTGCGATCATGACAGCCTACTTGGTTTGGCGGGGCATTTCACTAGAACAAATCGGAATATGGAGAGGCGTCTCCGCCGCGGTCGGTCTGGCGGGAACCTTTGTCTACAAGATCTTGTCCGCCAAAATTGGATTGGTGGGCTCTGGAATGCTGAGTGTCACGGTCCAATTCTGTTGCTTGAGTATAGCTTATGCATCGCTCTTTGTCGACAACTTGACCATCTCCTTTGCCATGCTGATTGTTGGTGTTTGTTCCAGTCGAATAGGGCTGTGGGTTTTTGATATCTCGGTGACGCAGGTAGGTCGTGCTTTTGCGAGTGTTGGTTGGCATTGCCACCATTGGGAGTGGATACTAACATATTGTTTTGCTTGAACCATCCTTTGTTTTGACAGCTGATGCAATTGAATGTCGCGGATGATGTTCGAGGTGAAGTGGGTGGAGTTCAATCATCACTCAACTCATTTTTCTTTTTACTATCCTTTGGCCTTGGAATTATACTGCCAGACCCAGCATCCTTTCACATATATGCCAGTATTGGATACATTTTTGTGGCTGCAGCAGCAGTTTGCTTTGCTGTTGGAGTCTATTCTAAGCGCGATAGTCTCGCCAAGGCTTGAAGCTGTGCGTTGCCTGGTTGATCAATATCAGGTGGTATTGAGTACTGCCAGGCTCATTTCTCTTGACAGATGACGACCAATTCATAGAAATAGATACATAATCATAGCAATAGAAGTTTGAATACACTATTTTTCTTACATGATACAAGACCAACGCGACGTTTCTCCATCCTCCCAATACTCAATCCATTCTATTCGGAAGTTGATGTCCAAAGATTTGGATACCAAAGCAATTTTGCATTCGTGGAAGGTGCGCCTTGTCATGATACTTTGTACGCTGCCAAAGAGTGAAAAATAGTTGCTTGTCACACTCTGCCAGATAGGGTAGGCTCTGCTGGCGCCATTGACATTGATTGACCGTTCAATGGATCTGAACGGAAACCAATTAAGAACCAATTATGACTCTTGCAGAGGTGGCAGAGATCCGATGCATGTACTATAGTTACGTAGATTATACGAGTGGCCTGCGTTTTGATTCAAACCAAGTAAGCGTTGAGTTCCTGAACGGGTTTGGCCAGCTCGAAATAAGAGTCGATCGATTATCAGAGTGCGCACAGCTGACAATTTTGCAGACCCCACACGATAGGCATTGGATATATCTTGGACCTTCTACGACCAAGCAAAGCATCCATTCGAATTCAAAACTCCGACCCAACGGTGGCTTTGTCATTTGCCTTCACCCAACTCCTCTCACTCAAACTTTTTATTACTTCTGATCTTTCACTTAAAGTTGAAAGAGGATGAGACAAGTTGTTGCCAACCCTAATAGCAGTGGTAGAAGCAGAAGCAGGCTTCTATCAGAACCATCTCCACCCGATAGCCCCAATCGTTCCTTCACTGATACCACAACCCCCATGAAGCAGCCAACGAATGGTCGTTACCGACCTCAGGCGGATGGTACTGTCAAATATGTTTCGAATGATACTCCTTCTACGGCACCTATGACGTCTCCGGCAGACTCATTGGGGCCAACTCCGTCTCCTCGCAAAAGCGGAAGCGGCAAAATGGGGAGACTGGCCTCACTCTTTTCCAGTCGGGCAACAGTCGCTTCGCCCGCTGCTTCGGACGCTTCCAGTGGCTATCTCAATTGGCCTGGAACGCAAGATAAGAAAGGAGGAGTTGTTGCCATGAATGACGATGCTTCTCAAGAAGGTCACTTGACTTCGGTGGTCAATCATGCGGCAGCCGCTGGCTCACCAATGGTCAAGCAACGCCAGGATGAGAAGGTTCACAGATTGGCCAGACCACAGGTGTTGTATTCCGATCCATGGAATCGCAATCACCAAGAGGAAACCATGTCGGATTTTTCGGGCACCTCATCGGCTTATTTTACCCCCAAGAAAAAGACGGACAAGGTCCAAGAATTTGGAAAGAAGAAGACTCAGGCAGCATCTGTTATGAGATTGACTGCCGAAGCCTTGGCGCAACAGGATCATTATGCTCCTCCTCACCAAACCATGGCCAATAGTGTGGGCTTTCGTGGACTACTGGATAAGTCCAAGGATGTCCCCAATCTGATGGACGATGCTTCGTCACTTGCCACTAGCATGTCGGGAGCGGCTTCCAACGCCCAACCTTCCAAAGCACCCCAACGGGCACCTATGAAAGTCCAGCAACAAATTCCAGAAGAACCAGAACCAGCCATTGAGGAGGACGATTCTTATGTATACACGGATCCCTACAGGCAACAAGCGGGCGACTTGAACGTTGTCTTGCTCGGAGGTGGATTGACTACGATTCAAACGACAGCCTTTGACTTTTCGAATCGTGTGCGTGGAGACGATAACATGACCAATAGTGATATTGATGATGGTGGTTTCATTCACGTTCCTGGCTTTCACGAAATGGCTTCGGCTGGTAGAACCGTCAAGGACAGTGCCTATGATTCTCAATCGGCAGTCTTGTTTGACGAATATACCTCGCGTGCCAGAGATGCTATCCACAGATACAGAGAACGAACCCAAAGTCCCCATAAGAACCCCTTTAACAGCGGAGGAAGCGATAATGGATCTGGATCCTCGCTCTTTTCGGATCCTTACAAGAAGGAAGGATTTGGGGCCAATGTGGCCAAGAATTTGGATCAATACTACATTCATCCCGACGAAATGAAGGTTGTGGTGAAGAAGTTCCGCAAGATGAGCAGTCAACGCGTCCCAAAATTGAGCTTGGAAGAATACGATCGGGAGGAAGATGCTATCAAGGCATTTGCTCTTTCCGAAATGCGTAGTCGCATTATGGAAAAGGATATTGAACGTGGATTGGAGCGTCGTGGAGGAACCACTGTCGTCGATGATAGTGTGCTGACTCCCTTTAATATGGCAGCCATGCGAGTTCGAGATGCTTGCATCGTGGCCAAGGCTTGGCGGGATGGCGCCACTCCTTTGGATGTTATTAACACCTCCATGTTGACACGACGGGCAGAACGATCCTACTTTATTCCACGCCTACTAAATGCTGGCACGAACCAATCGCCAGACTACAAGTATGCTTGGGAAGAAGTTTTGTGGTTTGATGATTTGGAATTGTCGCAATACCGATGCCATTCTTTGGGCCCACGAAGCATGAGAGGGTATGAAATGTTTACGATTGGAGACTGCCAAAGTATTCAACTGAAGCTATGTAACGATCGATGCAACGTAAGTTCTTTGGATTGCAATTTGATTCCTACAGTCTTGCCAATTTCAAAACGACTCACACATTCGGTATGATTTTATTACTACAGGAGCTCAAGGGTGAATTGAACCGAGGAACACAAGCACTGATCGAAGCGGAGGATTTGATGCGCGAGGAGGGTGACACACCAGGAATGATGTCCGAAGCTGAAATGACCTACCTTTCTGCCATGGAATATGTCAAGACCGTCTCTCATCAACTTGTCGTTGCTGAGAAGTCGTTCATTCTGGTCAAGGAAAGAATTGAAAAGATTGTGGCCAGATATGAAGCCCTTTTGGTCAAGCTAGACAATGATAATGACTCTGTTGCCGCATCATCGGTTGTATCATACCAAAGTTCTTATGTCTCTGACTGGACTGCAGCAGAAGAACGAGAACAAGCCCAACTTGCACGAAGAGCACAACGTGCCGAGTTGAGAGCTGAGGTAGCAGCCCGTGAGGCAATGCTTTCGAAACAAGGAGCACGAGGCGTGCGTGCTCAAAAGGAACAGGAGCTGGGAACCCTCCGCAAACGTCTTGCGGATCTACAGTCCGAGACGTCTGCGGCGATTTCTGAGAGGGAACATTCTGTCGTGCTTGCCCGAGCCATTTCGGCCGCAAAAAGCACGGCATCTTCCCAAGCGAAGAATCCCAATACCATCAACAAGACCAAAATCGATGATGTTAAGGCTCGTTTCCGCAACCGATCAGCAACCAAGCAAAAGAGTAATGACAACAAATCTGTCGTTTCCGCTGGTAAGAGCGTCCATTTTGAAAAGAAGACTAATTTCAAGAAGCGAAACACCGAAAAGAGTTCCATGCTACGCTCCGTTGGAGAAGAAATGTACCAGCAATTGGACTTTTATGAACGTTCACTTGAGGCAGTCCGCAGAATAAACTAAGACTTTTTGTACACTATCACTCCCACCAAATACTATATTCTGCGCTTTCTACCCTACCGATCCTCAAACACTTTCTTTCCACTTCTTTGGATAGTCGACTGAGTCGACTAAAAGAAATGACTCCTTCACCCCTCAGCCCTACTGGTTTACGGACCACCAAAGGACTGAACAACCTTGAGAACAACAGCAACTTGTTGGTGAGAGAAACGATTGGTTCATTGCTACAACTTTGGCTCTGCTAGTTTAAGAAACAACAAATTAAGCCGACAAGATGATGGAAGGAACGGATGACGACCCGGGACATCAGTCCATGGATCAGACGACCGCTCAACGTGAGTCACTTGGATATGCATTGGATGGATTCAGACATGGTTGTTGATGTGGAGATGCAGGACTGGATCAAACTTGTGTAGGAGAAAGCAGCTCTCAAATAGAAGAAGACCGAATGGAAGAAGGAGCGTCGTGTATCCGTAGATGCTGTGTATCTCACAATTCCCCTGTTGTTTTTGTCCTTTTCAATGTCCCACGTTTCCAGTGAAGAGAGCTGTCCAATACTGGCTCGACAAATCCACCATTCACATAGTTCCACGGTGGTGTGTATTCGCACTCTTGCTGTCTTTATTCTTTTTGCGAATCTATTTGGTGCAGGGCTATTTCATTGTCGCGTATGGATTAGGAATTTTCCTGCTGAATAATTTCATTGCTTTTTTGTCACCGTTGGAGGATCCCAATGAAGGACCCGGGCTACCATCCACTGCAAGTGAGGGCAAGGAATACCGACCATTCACACGACGTCTACCCGAGTTCAAGTTCTGGATGGCTTGTTCACGAGGAACTTTTACGTGCATATTCATGACCTTCTTCCCAGTTTTTGATATTCCAGTCTTTTGGCCCATCTTGCTGATGTACTTCTTCATTCTATTTTTCATGACAATGAAGAGACAAATTTTGCACATGTACAAACACAAATATGTTCCAATCAGCTGGGGAAAGTCCAAATACAAGCATGCAGGAGTTGAGCAAGGAATGTACGGTGGAGGCATGTCCAAGTCGAGATAAATTGTTCTGGGATTAGTGATTAATGTATTGCCTTTATAATGCAGAACAGTAATCTAGTTGTTATGTTTTATCTGTAATGTACTGTAGTCTTGAATATTTTGTTCCATAAAATGCAGTACTCGTACCGTACCTGTATATACAAAATATTTGCGAGGTATCGGAGGATTTTCATTTTGGGACTAAAGTGGAACTTTCTCAGCGCATTTCTCATCCAATTTTCCCCATCGTCCATCATACCGTAGAAAGAAACTAGAGCAGGAAAACGACTCTCCTCTCAACATGTCGCAAACCAATGCCGATCAAGGCGATCTCGAAAAACTGCAACAAGCTCTTCAGCAAGTTGTTGGCAAATTTGGATCAATCGACGATGTCCTCGAAGCATTTGGTCTTGCAACGTTGCCAACCGCCCAGAGATATGGAGTCTTGATGGGATGCATTGTATTCGCCACCACTGTAACCGCCGTCATTGCGCTTCTTATCTTTGGTGGTTCTTTTAAAAGAATAGCAGAACAAGAACAAACGGGGGAGGCGACACTGGAGTCTGATTTTAAAGCTCGCAAGGGCCGACCATTGTTACTGGAACGACTCTTGAAGGCTCGCAAACGGCTATTGGCAGAGAACTACCCCGACCGAGAACAGCGCAAAACTTTAAGAACCAATTTGACGAAAATGCTAATGAGTCTTCCTCCACCAAAAGACATCCCTGGGGTGGTGGACGATGTCGAAGCGAAGCAATCCGTAAACAAGAAAAAGGACAGAGCCGCGGAAATGGTTGGCTTTAAGGAGAACTTTGCGTGGGCCTACAGAAAGTGTCAAGATCAACCAGGAGGTGAGAACTCCTGAATTGTTATTTTGTGTGTGTGCGTGTGTGTGTGTGTGTGTCTATTCGAGATTTAGTCTTACACCCAATGCTGGTTCATTGCAATCTAGGTGGCATCATTCCGGGAAAGCCGGAAGCACGATTTGAGGCGTTTGCTCGTGGTTATGCATCCTGTGGTGACAATACAACTCTGGGATATCGTCGATCGTATGCTCGTGCCTATGAATCTGTTTGCTGCGCCAATGATAGTACTGAAGAGAAATTTTCCAAGCTGTACAATGCCAATCCCGAGGCGTTGGTGGGACAAACCGTGCGGCTTGAAGCACTGGATTCTTCTAAGCATTTGAAGGCAATTTTTGCGTCAACAAGTGGGGACATGTACTTTTACAAGAAGTCATATGATGCGAATGAAGTTTGGGGCTTTTTGGAGGAGGGCCCATTCAACACACAAGAGGAATTAAAGAATTCCTTTGTATTCCAACAATACGAAAACGAAGCAGCCTTTGCAATCGTACAGAATCTCAATGACCGCGTCTTGGGTGTGGCAATGGTTAGCAGAGACAACCCCAAACACCTTTCTATTCAATTAGACCCTCCAATCATTGGACCTTCCACGGTGGGGACAAAGGAGCAACTTGAATCGTGCTTCCTACTGCTCGATCGACTATTTGCCAACGGATACCGCCGAATCCAACTTTCCATTGACTCCAAGGATGGAAAAGGATCCGAACTAGCGGATCGACTTGGATTTACCTTTGAAGGTGTGTTGCTGAAAGACATGGTGGTCAAGGAATCGAATCGAGACAGCAAGGTATACGGAATGCTCAACAGCGATTGGGATAAGGGTGCAAGAATTGCTCTGTATAGAAAGCTGTATGGTGGAGCCATGGCACGAGCAGATCTTGCGTTCAACAAGAAGGAAGAAGAGTTGACCGATCAGCAGCGCGTTCTCTCCAAGAAGGAAAAGTTGCAAGCTAGTGCAAAAGATAAGAAGGCATAGAAAATAGCGTACAATCTTAATCCACCTCTTCGTCAATGCCGAGAGCAGAACATGTATTGTCTCTGATGTATGTTCGCACGTGCCCCCGTCTTTTCTTTGCTTGATCAAATGTTTCCTCCAACTTCGTCGTAACATCTTGATTCTTCTTGATCAATTCTTCTATATAATCCATCTGTTCTGCTTTCGTTCTATCCATACCTGGCAACCGATCGACACGCTCATCGATATCTGCACTCTTCTCCAACACAGTGTCCGCTAACCGTTTCACCAATGCAGCATCCCTGAGGCTTTCAATCTTTGAAAAAATCCTCGCATACTCTTCCCGCTTCTTGGGTGGAGTGGGACTCACTTTCTGTACCATTGCAACTGTAGTTGGGTCACCGCTACGATACAGAGTCCAAAATTCTTCCAAATCTGGTTCAGGGTTTTCATTGTTCTGATTGTTATTTCCATCCCCGCCCAAGTTCCCTGATTCTGGTGCCACAGCATCTCGAAGACCTCGAAGGGCTTCAAACATGGCAAGAGATAAACTGGATTCTAAAGAGGTCAGCTACCTTCTCATCAAAAATTCCATGAACATCACTGTAAGTTGCATCCACTCTTACCCATCTATCGCATCCTGTAGAGCAGTAATTTTGTCCACTTTTTCGTCAGTCTCTGCCGTCGGAGGAGTCTCTTTTGTGACAGAGTCCACCGTCATTGGATCAGGTTGCTGTTTGTCTTCCACCATGGTGAGATTGTATGGATATTCAGATCGTTGCTTGATGCCTTTTTGATTTCCCACCATCTCAACGTACGGGGGCAAGACGAATGCATGACGGATCCAAATTTTCCTGAACCGGTACATCAATCGATCAGCAATGATATGAATGATGCAGTGCAACCTTCCATTCTGACTCTGCTTTGCATAGATGCCAATTCCGAGTTGGTATTATATACAGGTATATCTAATAATTGCTTACACTTTTATTATATTCAAAATTATTCTCCTATCATGATTCCTCCAATCAGTCACTCTCAGTGGTTTGGCCGAGGTTGCATTGTGAACTCAAGCCATCTTTTTTCTATCAATATAATAGATTTAAAAGTAGCTAGCGTGCCTGCAAGATTAGGCGGCTTCATCATCTTCTTCGCTGATCGTCGACTCTCGGTTGATATCCACTGGGACTACTCCCTCGATAACAGCCTCTCGTGCCTTCAACGATTCGTATTTCTCGACAGTGATTTCTGGATCCATGAGAAGCATAGGTGGTTGTTCACCACGAACTGCTGCCGCATCCAGGTATACAGTATGAACATTGTCCAAAGATGGAACGACATATTGTGTCTCCATGAGAACTTGATCAGTAATAGATCGGAGACCTCTGGCTCCAGTACCGCGCTTGAAGGCAGTCTTGGCAATTTCTTTCAGTCCACAGTCAGTAATGTGGAATTTGACATCATCAATGGCAAAGAGACGGCGATATTGCTTGACAATTGAGTTCTTGGGCTCGGTCAAAATGTCACAGAGATTGTCCAAGTCCAAGCCCTTTGTGGATACAATGACGGGGAAACGTCCAACAAATTCTGGAATCATTCCAAATTCGACCAAATCCTTGGGAATGACATCATCGAAACATTGGCCTTGGATTTTGGGATCTTCCACTTCTCGCTTCATCTCGGCACCAAAACCAATCGATGCAGCGTTGGTTCGATGGTTGACAATTCGCTCCAGCCCCGCAAAGGCACCTCCACAAATAAACAGAATATTGGTTGTATCAATCTGCAAGAAATCCCCACGTGGATTCTTGCGACCTGGTTCCTTGGGAACATTGACTACATTGCCCTCTACGATCTTGAGCAAAGCGTGTTGTACCCCTTCTCCCGAGACATCACGACTAATGCTGACATTGCCTCCGGATTTTCGAATCTTGTCTGTTTCATCAATGTACACAATTCCCTTTTGACATCTCTCAACGTCTTGTCCACTCTCCAAATATAGCTGCAAGAAGAAAAATTAAAGTGAGCACATCTTGCATTCCATGGCTAGCAATCAAAGTCTTCCAACCGTTTGGACATACCTTGAATAGAATACTCTCTACATCTTCTCCCACATAACCTGCTTGTGTCAAGCAAGTCGCATCCGAAATCACCAGAGGCACATCAATCAATCGTGCCAACGTCTTGACCAAATGTGTCTTTCCCGAACCAGTTGGACCCAACAACATAATATTACTCTTATCGATTTCCACATCCTCCACGTCAGTTCCAAAGTCCTCGTCCGTAATGTCATTCTTATTAGTATCCATGTTGGGACTCGTGTCCATGCTGGTAGGTTTGGTACTTCCATATTGCCCCAAATTCAGATCAGACAATCCTCCTCCTTCGGCTCGCAGTGGATAGTACTCGTCTTGATCCACATGCGTTGTTCTGCGACTTTCTACCGAAGCTTGTGCTTCCGATACAAAAATTCGCTTGTAGTGATTGTAGACACCAACAGAAAGGGCAATCTTGACATTGCTCTGGCCAATCACATATTCGTCCAACCCCTTTCTGATTTCTTTAGGCGTGGGCATACGTTTGACGGGCTGAGGAGGATGAGGACTCCCACCGGGATCGGAGGGATGTGCTTCGAGTCCTGGTGGGAGTTCGGGAGGTATTGATACTCCTTGAGACCCCCCGGCATATCCTCTGGCATCATCAGTGGCCTACAAAACAAATAATTGCAATTGTAATTGAACGTAACCGGGAGCGTGAGAAATTGCATGGAAGGTGCCTAAAATAAGTCATACGATTGATTGATTCCTTTGACTTACCCGACGCATCGTCATATCCTCCTGCTTGATTCCTCCACCAGTCCTGGCAATGAATTCATCATATACAGATCCACCTTCATGCATCTTTCCATCGCTTCCAATAATGGTATTAGGATTGGCCATGAACCATCCCGAACAACTGGCACAATAGTAAGTGTTGTCTTCAAAATCACATCGAAAGGTGACCGTCGCACCACACTTGGGACAATCGGGTCGTAAATTACTTCCGCTTCCTCCACCGCCACCTCCGACTTTACGTATCGGTCCTGCGGTTTTGGCTCCGATGGAAGAAGGAGCTGGATAAGGATTAGCAAGTCTGGGTCCAGTCTTGTTGCCTCCTCCGGTAAACAGAGAGGAAGATTTAGGATCCAAAGAATTCAAAAGGATGGGTGCTTTTGATTTGCTGCTGTCATTAGAAAGAGACGCAAAACTTGTGGTAGTATTGCTGGTGTCTCCTTCTTCTAATTCGTAATCATCATCGTCGTAATCGTAGGCGACGGCGGGCAAAGGAATTGGATGAAGATGGCTGTCCAAATCCCCAATGATCCCATCACCGCTCTTGGAAGAGAAATCCGCAGCACGTGTCAACGGCTTGCTGCTAGAACCAAGCCATTTCTTTCCTACACGGTCAGAAACTGTAAATACTTTTCTTGTGGCGCTTCGCAGCATCAACGACGATGCTGTCATTGTCTATTTTATGCAGTCGTAAGACCCTTGAAAGCGCTACAGTACAGTACCACCTATCAGTACACTCTTCTGTTTTGAAACCCAGAATTTCCATGCGTCGAATGTTCTTTTTCTAGAGATGCCACTGCGGAAAACTTGACGTCGTACAATTCTACACACGTGTACGGAGACATCCTCTGATTCCTTTTGTGGAACTAATAAAGTGTTTTCTAAGATCGCACTCCACCGCGCATGAATCGTGGCGTTTGGCGGTGCAGTACTTGCGCGTTCGTGTGTTACACGATTTTTTCCGGCCTCAAACAAACACCATAAACTTTCAACCCCGATGCGGGGTCAATCTTGTTTTCCTTCTAATGCCATTCGCCAGGGTCGGGGTGATGCCCCAGCCCAATTCTAACACCGCTAAAAGCAACATGAGTCGGAAGCCTCAACCTACCTCCAGACAAAAGGGGATCACTATGGAGGTAAGCCTCGAAATTCGCTTGAGTTGACAACGCTGCAAATTCTCGATCGGTGGGATGACCGTTGTTCGTTCCCGCGGATTACCGCTTTTTCTGCACCACAAATTCCCGTTCCGGCGATTCGTGTAAAAACGACCTTAACTAATTTTGGGGCTTTTAAATGCATACGTCACGATCTACAATTCGATCACGGTTTTGCACGTGGTATTTGTTTGTTTCAAATTCGAATTCTCTAACTATTTTTATTTATTTTCTTCCACTTCGCGTTTCATTGGATATTTTTTTCGGTACCTAAAACGCTTCAACCGTTTGGTCAAATCTATCATCCTTCCCCATGATGTTCGCAGGATTTGAAGAGGCAAACCGCAATTCGGTTGGCTCAAGAACAAAAACAACATGGGAGGGGAAACGAAGAAACCATACTAATGCCACAACCGCAACCGCCACAGCAACCACCACCACCCCCAAGTCTTGTGCAAAATCAGGGATATCCTCACAATCGAGTTCCACAACAGGGGGAAACCCATCGGGACCAATACACGGGACGGGAAGTTCCACCACAACATCGCCCACAATACGTACCACCACCACCACAGTCCTTTCCACAAAATCAATACAATCCTCACTATCATCATCAAAGCCAAAGCTATCCAAACTCACAATATCGACCTACTGGAGGTTATTATGATGACAGGGGAAATGCTGGAATGCACAATATGCGACACCAAAATATCCATCAAGGACGTGAAATGATGAACAATACTGTAAGTGGTGTTGCTATTAAACTGGAATGGGGCTGAGATGAATTGAATTGATAATTGGAACTTAGTGCTGACCATGGCGTTGTTCAATTACCTTTCTATCTTCAGGCCTACGGTGGTGGAGCGAATCGATTTCCCCGGAATCAACCGGACGCTTTCAATCCCAACAAGCTCACTCACGGTCTTACTGTCCAAGAGTTGAAGCAAATGACCCAGGCTCGACTGCAAGCAGAAGCTGCGGAAAACGTCGATAATGATCGTCTATCTCCGCTGGATTTTGACTCTTCCTTGCAAGATCCACCACGAGAACGGACTGAATCCACCAATTCCATTCCATCTCTGGTCCAAGTGGGTCAAGGAAGCAATGGACGCCAAGTCCAAGGATCTCCAGGCTCGAGACAAAACTTCAACCAAGAATATGGTTTGTTGCCACCACAACCACAACACTCTTGGGATGGCAATGTGCCACAACAGCATAAAATGGATTCCCTGGATAATGCCAGCACTAATTCTTTCAACAACAGTGTCATTTCCGATAACCTTGGATCCGAGTCTGCCTTTTCAGGCGGAATAGGTGTGTTGTCTCAATCCGACAGTGACTTTTCCACGGGTCAATTCAATCGTTATGCGAAAGAGAACAATGGAAGGTCTGGAATGGTTACAGCTGCAGTTTCGCCGGCTACTGCCAAACAAAGCATGTTTATGTTTGATGCGGCAGTGGGTGGAAACAGGCGCCGTGCTGCAACTCTGTCCCCCAACCCAGGATCCATCTTGGAAGACCGACCTCATTTTGATCAAGATGTTGCCATTCCACTTTTTGATGGACAAGACTTGGCCATCCCCAGCTTTGCTTCGGCTGGTGGTGCCTCGCTTTTAGCAGCCAGATCTCGAGCCAATAGTTCTTCGGCTGTCCTGCCTTCGGATCATGTTGCTGGTGATGATTCTCTCTTTGGGCTAGCAGATAGTGGCGTGTTTGGCTTTGATGATACTCCGAACCGTGCCAGAACGGAATCTGCAGTGTCGCTGCCACCCATGTCACATACTGGCGATGAGTTCGGGATGGACAGTATCTTGAGCCAACAAATGGTATCGCAAGGCCGAGAAGGTCCTGCGGTTGGCCACAACTCGGCCAGCAGCTTTGGAGACAATCGGCGACTACGAGCACCACCAGGCTTTTCCGATGGCTTTGGATTTGCTGCCGCTGGTCGCTCGAATTCGAATCGAAGCACATTTACCTCTTCGGCAGTAAATGAGCTCGCGGAGGATATGGGTTCGCTCTTTCACTTTGCTGAAGGTAGCAACAATAGAGAACGTTTGAACACCTATCCTCAGAGTGCCAAGCAAACTCCCGAGTACATCTCCGAAGAGTTCTTTTCCAAGGATTTTGGAACTTTCCAATATTAAGGCCAACATCTACGTTACGCGTTGCCTATGGGATATCTGTTGCGTTATCGATGTTGCAAGATTTCAGTGTTGCTGTCGAAAGAGTTGGAGAAAAATTCATGTGACCCGCTACCTTTTTTCATATATTTCTACGTATTGTATAGAGTCATACTACATGTCGGGGTACATCCTTATGTGCAAGCCCGATTGCTCCTGCATCCTGCTGTTTGGGATGATGTTGATGTAAAGTGTGGTGCGGTTGTTACCCAAATCACATCAGTTGTGCATCGTTAGTCTGGTTGAGGAATATCGCCGTTAGAGTTCAAACAAAAAAAAATTATAAAGATAAAACATTATATTTGTATGCATAAAAACGGATTATATTGATTGCTGGTAGGAAAGGGAATAATTGAAGGCAACCACTGATCCTGAGCAACGAATGAAGAGATCGTGAGATGTGCAGTAGATGTCGTTGGTCGGTACACGCACGTACTGTCGTAGGCCTTCTGAAACAGATCTGAATAGTTTTATGACAACCAATCTAGTACGGTAGTTTCCAGCATGGATGAAACTGATGCTAGCGCAGGCCAAGGGCAATCGACCACAGATGTGCGACAATCATTGAATGAGCTAAAGTTGGCTCATTGGATAGTCGACGCTCGGGTTCTCGATGGACTTGTTCCCAAAGGTATCCTTACAAGTGCAGCCACCTTGGAAGCCAAGTTGAAGATTAGACAATTTGGGTTTGGTCAGTCGAACCCAACGTATCTCTTCAGGATACTGGGGGGAGAATTTGCTGCTGTACTACGCAAGAAACCGGATAAAGTTGCCCATGCCTCAGCACATGCTTTACACCGAGAATACCGAGTACTTGAAGCTTTGGCCAAACACAACCAGCTTCATCCAGATTCGACTGTTCCGGTTCCAAAAGTGTATGCATATTGTAAATCGAAACATGTGTTAGGTGCAGAGTTCTACTTGATGGAATTTGTGAACGGTCGAATATTCACTGATGCTTCTATGCCTGGATTGTCGGCGGAAGAAAGGACGAGAGCATTCAAGTCCGTGGTCGACACATTGTCGAAGCTCCATCGTGTGAATTTGACCGAAGTAGATTTGGAGACATTTGGAAAGAAGGGCAACTACACACAACGTCAGCTTCGGAGACTAGTAGGCATTTGTAAACGGCAGTCAGAACTGTCTGGGAAGCCAAATTTGGAGATTGAAGATTTGGCTGGACAGCTGTCACAATACGCGCCATACTGCCCCAACTACGTATCACTGCTACACGGAGACTTCAAAGTCGATAACCTTATATTCCATCCACAAGAATCTCGCGTAATCGCTGTGTTGGATTGGGAGTTGTCAACTATTGGTGATTCCCTGTGCGATGTCGCGAACATGTCAATGATGTACTTCATGCCGAAGAGTAAGGGCACTGGTATCTCTGGAATTGCTGGACTAGACTTGGAGGAGCTAGGAATCCCATCAAGATTATCTATTTTACAGGAATACTGCAATCTCAGACCTGATGTTGATTCAACTCTTGCTGGAGATTGGAGTGGATACTATCTCGCTTTTCTATTCTTCAAGAATTGTGTCATCGTTCAAGGAGTAGCGCAGCGTCAGCAAGACGGGGTAGCTAGTAGCTCAGTGGCCAAGAAAGTTGGTAACCTGTTACCTATCATCATCAGAATGACACAGGGAATGATAGATAACTACGTGAAACCGTCGCTTGGAGTAATACAAGCTCCTAAAAGTAATCTATAGTCTGCCCTTCGCAAAGGATCACTAAATATCGTGCTCTCTTACATGGCCAAGGTGCACTTCCTTCATTCGTCTCCGTTTTGGAACATTGTGACACCAGTCATCTGGTATGTATACTATTGAATCTTTTCTGCTCTGTTCAGTCGTATCGAGTCTTTCCATCACAGTACTGAAATCAGATTTTGCAGCCTCGCTAACTATTTCGGTAGTGACCATACCCCGTTTGGAACACAAGGAGAGTACTTTCCCAACTAGCTCTGTTCTTGTCTCCCCTCGTGGCAAAAGTCGATGACACGCACGAAGAAAGAACTCATATGTCAAACTATCAGGTTTTTGAGAGGCATCAGGAGCATGTAGCTTTTGGAAATGTTCCAGCGCAAATCCAAACTTTTCTGCATCAATTTCTGCATCCGATGAAAGCGAGTTTGCAGCCGCTAGTATCAACTGTGAAAATGGTGAGGTTAGGGGATTCTAGTGCCTTGTAGCATGCCAATACCAAAATTTCAACTTACCCAATTGAAGGTGCTTGTATCCGGCTTACAGTTCTTCTGACCAAGTTTCTGCAAAGAGACAAGCTTCTCGAAGATCTCTCGAGAACGAGCAACTTTGTCTTCGTGGGCACTATTTGCATACGCAGCCAAAAGTGTGTTATAACAACGTGTGTTGAGGAGTCTTTGATACCTCTTTTCCAAGTCATGAACAAAGTCCTCAGAACGATGCACTGCATCGTCAGCACTACTTCGCGTTTGGGTGAGTATGACAAACGACAGGATTTCTGAATCCAAAGGTGCAATGATGCCATCTCGTGACAAAATTTCAGCTTTATGAAAGGCTTCCATTGCCAAGGCTGCTGCGTTGGGAGCTCTACTCATAGCAAATACCTCGCCAGCGATCTTGTACGTCATGAGATCGGGTGAAACATCTGAAGTCACCTCAAGCTGCTGTAACAAATCATTTGCTCTGGTCACAACACACTCTTCGCCCTTCGAATGGAACGTGTAGCTCTTGATGAGAGTGTTAAAGAGCTGTGCGTCGGGTTGCAAATTTCCATTTTCAATTTCATTGCGAACCTCGTCGACTACTGCGTCAATTCTACTGACAGCACGGTCGGTGTTGGAATCAGATGCCACAGCTCGGGCAACGCAAGCGTATGTAATGACATCTGGTACAGTTTCGTATCCTCTTGAATGTAGTGCTTTCATTTCTTCAAATGTCGACCAAGCATCTTGGCTTTGTTTAAACCTCGCAAATCCATTCATAACGACGTTGAAGCAAATTGTATTTGGAGCCAGAGAGTCCATACCGCTCCTTGCAAGTTCAATTGCTTGTCGCAAAAATCTATGGGCACGTTTGGGTGCATCTGGGCTTTGCGCCCTCAACATTGCTGACAATATGGTCGTCAAGGTACGTGCATTCACATTAGCGCTGCGATCGCCAAGCTTATAGCGGTCTATGATCAGCTGGAACAAATCTTCTGATTTCCGAACAACCCCTCGCATATTTCCTCTTGATACGCACGACAGCGCCGACGCCAGCACCCGAATATTCGGTTCTTCGATCTTCTTCAATATCTTTAGTACCATTTGTGCGCTGCGAGGGTCGCCGCATCTTGCCAAGCCGTCGATTGCTAAGGTGTACGTTGACGAAGTAGGGGCGAAATGTCCAGGAACTAGTTGGTTCAGCTTTTCCATATCTTCAATGATTGCAACGATTCGTGCGGCATTGCCACGGCCTCGCCCAACCAATCGAAGGACGGAGTCAAATACTTTGCCATCAATTCCCGTCTCCGCCTCCACTACCTCACCATCCAGATACATTGAAACAATTAGGTTCAGTATATGTTCGGCCTTTAGAGATGCATTTTTTCGGGTAGAAGCATTCTTATTGTGGCTTGACGATTTCGACAAGGCATCAATTATAGAGCCCAGTGTACTGACTTCCAAATAATTGATGCCTGGCTGATCCTTCAGCTCGTCCAAAAGCTCAAGTGCTTTCCCAGCGTTTCCAAGTCGTGCATAGCCCTTTATCACTGTTCACCAACGAGTCACAGCAAAGAGAAAAGAAAAATCCATCAGTTCACAGCCGCAAGAGCATACAAAAATTTAAGATTCAGAAGTACTTACAAGTTTGGTACGCCACTGCATCGGCACATCCCGAATCCCGCATAATCTCTTCAGCTTCAGCCATGCTCGTTCTATTTCGCTGTATTGCCTTTGCATTAATGGCTAGAGCAACAAGACAAATGTGAGTGAAACGCACTGACTCTGCGGCAAAAACAAAACACACACACAAAACGCAGATATCATCCTTACCTGTCGTTACTGTATAGACACTCGGATTTTGAATGTTCCTTTTCATCGATCTGACCAAGTCGTTCACTCGAGATTCTATTCGAAATGCATGGGAGTAGCTGATGCGGGCCGCGGATGTAAACAAATACTTATACATGGATTCGAGTGGCGCATAATCTTCGTCGCCTGTCGTTTCATACAAGTCTTGAAGTTCATCATAAATGTCAAAAGCTTTTTCGAGGACTTTATAGTTTCCTCTACTGTTCACTGCAACCTGGAACAGCGGCAAGGCGGATAGTGCATCTGGCTTCAAGCTCTCGTACCCCCAACGTTGATAATCCTCCTTCAATTGATGGTACAGTGTTTCGAGTTTCTCAAAGGTTGGGACCCCCTTGCCGACACGAGAATTGCATTGCATCACATGGGTGTAGGTGTACCGGTTTGGTATTGCCATTGGATTCACTCCTGAATTGAATTTCTGTCGCATATGTTTCAGTATGGTCATTGTCATGGTGGCGCAGTACTTTCGTTCGGCAGGGCACCCAAACTGCGACAACCCATCTGTAAGGGTGTTGTACATTGTGGTATCCGGTGCCAAATTGATATCTTTCGTTTCACTGAATCGATCTTCCATGCGTAGAAGGATGTTATGGGCCTTGGAGTAGTTTTTGGCATTGACGACTGCCCGAAGAACGCCTTTCATAATGTACCGATTGGCGTAACTTTCAGGTTGATGCTTTTCGTACCTCAAAGCGACGTCTTCTGCAAGGTCTGCACCCATTTCCCCCTCTCGCGCCATTCCATATGCTTGGGTAACAGCTTGGTAACAGCTCTCATCTGGTCGAACAGTAGGTCCGTCGTAGCTGAAGGCTGACTTGTTCTTGATGCATTTGGGCGATTCCTCAGGAGACAAGTTGTAGAATTCTGTTTCCATTCTCTTTAGATCATCGTCCATGTAGAAAGACAGAAATGGTTTCGCCTTGACTTGGGAAAGCAACTCTTGTAGATGGTCCCGAAATGGATTTTGCGAATCGCCCTCAGCAGAAAGAACTTCCGATGGAGAAGATACCGAGACGCCGATCCGAGTATTGGAAGGATTTTTATGACGAATCGCGACATTGCAGCTTTGTTGAAATGCCCGCACAGGACTATTTTGCTCCACAAGAAAGATTACCAGTGATATGCAAAATCCTGATAGAAATTGCTTCTGTATCGTTGCGAATGCCAGCGTCATATTGTATCTTGAGAATTGTGGTTGTTTTGGTTGTCAATAGGAGAATTCTGGAATTGTTGACTTCACTGCACTGTAACTCTATTTCTATCAGCGAACCGGCTTGTTTTGCTGTAAATGCAATTGGTATTATGCATTTACACAATAGAGATTGCTTGCAAACACAGAGTTGAAAGATGAATGGCTCAAATGACGGTATAGTAAATATGTCGTCAATGCCTCTGTTTTGATGTGCGACAGATGGCAATGGTGAAGGAGAAAAACAGAACTGTCGCGCGATATCGCGCATCACTTTCGGCTCGTTTTTTCAAAATACCGCACTCCAATGAATCATCATCTATCCACTACTGTAGCATCTTCTACTACCATCATCCAATGATGTCCATATTGCATACGTATAGGTCTTTTTCTACTGCTACCGAGCAAATATGATGGGAATCGTTGCTAAGCAAATAGTAGTGGATAGTTCATAAAACATTAGAAAAGTAGTTTGGAATTGCTTAAGTATCAGCTGGATCTGCGTCAAACGAAAGAACCTTGACACCATCCTTGTCGACCTTCTTGATAATAAAGTTTGGCTGAGACATGAGGAATCGTGTGTGTATTTCCTTGATGCACTTTTCTACAATTTTCACAGCATCTTCTTCCGTCATGTTCTCTGTGCAATCCTTATCAAAGATGGAGGAAACGAAATATTGTGCGTATCCTTGTGCCCCATACTTGACCTTTTGCATGGCTCCCATATAATCGAGGTGATACAATGATCCCTTTGTCTTATCGTCATATCCTGCCAATAATACATTCACTTGGAATGGACCCTTTCGCAGTGCCGTAGCGAGTTCTCCACGAGCAAAATTCGCTTGGGCCTTGGTCGAAAGCTTGGTTCCGTCATTTGACAATTCGTAAAGGTTGATATTCTTGGCAACGTATCTGCGTACAACGAAAGGGGGTTAATTAGTAAATGCTCACCCTATATCACGAGGGAAAAACAGCATCAATCCGATCTCATCAATTGAAACTTACTGCGTAAAGTTTACCAAATCACAATTTGGTCCTGAAACTCCCATCATTGAGTGAGACGAGAGCTTTGCAATTTTATCCAAGTTTGTTTGGTAAGTAAGGATCGAACGTCCATTGGATTGATCGGCCGCAATGACGACTGTGAAGAACAAAAGCAGAGCAGAGCAACGAAGCGAAAAAACACTTGGATGAGATTGATGATAATTCCAAAAAATGCCATCAACACATTCCACAAGACATACCGCCACCTTCATAGCAAACTCCTACAACTGTATCCATTGTTTTCTGACGGCGGTAGACTAATAAGCAATCTCGTAAAGGTCAATCTTTGTTTGCAGATTGAGCAATTTCCAAAATTGGTTTTCGCAACAAGGTTGATGCGAGGATTTCGGATCATCTCGGAAGAGCACCGAAAACGATCAGTCGAAGGGGTCGAAATTTAATGAGTTTGAAACTAACTTATGCCCGTGAGGCTTATCGCCAACTCCTCTCAACAACATCAACAACAACACAGAAACCAAGCAACTTGGACAATGTCGCTGGAACTCAGCGACGATTTTATTCGTGTTTTCACTGCCCGTGATGCACAGCTGCGCGACATATCCCGTCTCTTGGATTTAGTAGGGGCACAATTCAATGATGTTACGGACAGACATGTAATCCGAAGTCTGAAGTCATTTGAAGTACAAACCCTGGAAAGTTGCCGCTGTACTTGTACGGACTGGTCTACTTTGCGTGTGTTGATCAAACGAAGTGAACAATCTAGCGATTTGAGTCCCATCTTGAAGGGTCTAGTGTCAGATACACGGTTCGATGGAGCAGTCATACTAATTGTTGACGATGATGACAAAACAAGCAAAAGCGGTCTTTCCAAGAAGGGTGCTGCCAAGCAAAACCTGGACAAATTACCTGCTGGAATTCATTCAAACTTGATGGTTTCGGATTCCATCATCCATCTCAAGTCAGCTCGTATTTACCGAAACACTGTGATATCGAAAACCTTTGTTGGTCCAGATTGTACAATTGTCAATTGTGGCATGATATCAGCTCCTAATGACTATGAGATTGGTCACATCAAACTATCAGTGGGCCCCGAAAGTGGCGGAGGACGGCCTCTACATCTAACTTTGGAGCATACCATGATTGACGTCTGCCGCCAACTGCGATCGAAACCACCCACTTCTAGCACTACATCCGCAATTCAAAATATCAATATGAATGTCTTGACAAAGAGCAATGTACTTCGCGACACACCCACAATCGAGAACATTTACCTCCACGAGAATGCTAGTATTGAAGCTGCCACGTCTGTGAGCAAAGTTACCATGCTGCCAGATTCCATTATTGGTAGCTCGTGTACGGTTTCAAATGCCTTGCTGCAATGGAACGCCGGCGTTTCGGACAACTCATCCATCACGGATGTCTTGCTCATGGAACGGGCACATTGTGGTCCCAGTGGAATTGTAGTAGAAAGTGTCATGGGTCCGGATGTGCACACCTCTGCTGGAGAGGTCCATGCGTCCGTGATTGGGCCCAATACAAATGCACACCATCAAAGTCTGGTAATTGGCGTCTTGTGGCCACTGGGAAGGGGGAATGTGGGATACGGTGCCAATGTTGGAAGCAATCACACTGGGAGATTACCGGATCAAGAAACAGCATCGGGCGAAGGCACCTTTTGGGGGCTCTCTTGTGTAATCAAATTTCCAGTCGACCTGACCTTTGCTCCCTATTCCATTGTTGCCGCTGGAACCACACTGTCGCCGCAACGGGTGTGCATGCCATTTAGTCTAATTCTGGAACAGCAGTCAGGAGGGAATGAAATCATTCCAGGATGGGTCCTCCAATCTTCTCCTTACACTCTGGCTCGATCCGAAAAGAAGTTTGCCACCCGACGAAAAGCCAAACGGCATGATTTCTACACTGGATGGAAGATTCAACGACAAGAGATAATTGACATGTGCCGATGGGCCCGAAATGTACTCCAACAGTCAAGTGGTGAGAATAACAAGGTTCCTGGTGTCGGTGCCAACCAATTGACCGGACGGGCACGCAGTGTTGGAGTCAAGGCGTACACCGAGTGTATCCAACGATATGCCTTGCATGGATTGTTGACTTGGATATCACAGGGTATGGAACAAGGCGGACAAAACCCAAAGACGATGTTGGAATCAGAGTTTTTGGCAAAGGGTATTCCAACTCCTCAGAGTCCAATCGATCCCTTGGCAAATGTGGACTGGCCTCCAATGCCATGGGATATGAAGGCAGTGGATGAGTGGAATTTCCAAAAAGCAGTTCTTGTAGAAGAATTTGGGGCGCCGCCAGCAAGTGACACAATAGTCTGGATTACGGAAGTCCTGGAACGACTTGTTTATTTGGAGGGCGACTTTGCTCGACGGATTCACAAGAGTAAAGCACGAGACGATGTTCGCGGTGCCAAGACGATTCCTGGTTATGCGAATGCGCATATTGCGGCAGATTCTGACCCAGTCATTATGGAAGCTCGCAAGAATGCTGATGACGTCAAGATCCAGGTTGCTAGCATTCTTGGACACAAGAGCACAGTGCTTCGAAAACAACGAAGTCGTCTATGAATACTCATTTGCTTGTATAATACGATGCTATTCAAAATATGTGAATAAAAATATGTGAAGCTTTCTCTCTGTTATAAAGTCAGACAGTATTGATGATGTAACTCCCCGCCTAACATAATGCACTACTGTCGTGAAGAACGACAAACGTCCTCGTCGTGGTCAACAGAGAGAGAGAGCGACAATGATACAAAAGGAATTTTATCCTTTAAAAGACTTCATCCTCTAGTGCCGCAACAGAAGTAGGTTCACTGGCCTGAGTAGTATTGAGAGGATCCTCACCATCAACAACTGGCACGATGTCACCCTCATCATCAATATCTACATCCTCTTCAGCAGTAGCATACAAGACCTTGAAAATCTTCTCCACGAGGGCATCTAAATCAGCACCTTCAAAGTTCTTATCCTGGTGGACTTGCAACATGAGTTCGACGTTGCGTAGCTTTCCAAAATAGAAATCACGCTCCTTCTCGAGCTCGGCCATGGCCGTTTCAACATCATGCATCTTCGTTTCCATTTCAACGTTCTTAGCCTCCAGATCCTTGTTCTTAGCCTCCAAATCCTTGTTCTTCTTGATCAATTCGGGATCTGGACTGGTCGTTGTTGACATGTTGTTCTCTCTAGCTCTGAGTGGAGACCCCTTCTTCTGTGGAGAAGCGCTTCGGCCGACGGCTGCTCGGGTAGTTGTTGATCGGATGGTAGAGGTCGTGGTTGGTCGAGAGGGCGGTACGACGCCGCGACCACGAGATCCAGAACGAGCACCTCTGGCTGGAGCGGCACCTGATTGCTTTTGATTATATTGCTTTCCACCCTTTCCCCTAGCGCGAACTGCCTTGCCGTCATAGTCGTCACGGTGGGCTCCAGTTTGGTCAAAAAATGCCTTCATCCATTGACAGAATTCAAGATTGTCCTGATACTTGGCACGGATAAGTTTGTTGACATCGACATGACGTTGGACATTGTTCTTTGTGAATGCATTTTGTAGCAATTTGTAGTTGGCAATGTATTCGTAATCCGATCTTTTGGCAGAAAGAACAAACGTTGAGCTTCTGAATGTATCTTTGGAAATGCATCACAACACAGACACACACAGACACACACAAGAACTAGAGCAGCTCTCACCTTGCTTCCCAATTCACACGTGACATGGGGACACTTCCAGGGAAGATGTATTCTGTGAGTTGACAGGCGACGGCACCAGTAGCAGTTTGTTCAATCTTTGCAAGGTTCAATCCCAACAAGTTGTTGAAAAAGTCCAACAGTTCGGCCCGACCAACAAAGTAAGCCTGGTCCATCAAGCCAACGGCAACATCAGCACTTTTTGACATGATTATAGAGTCTTTATTTGATTCCTACAATAGACCGAGATGATGATGATTCGTACTGTAGTCGGCACCTCAGACTTTGTTGTTTGTGACTGTTTTTGATGATTTCGTTAGATGTCGTAGAAACAGTACTTTGAAATTCAAACTGACAACGGTCTTGTTGCTTTTGGAACAGTGCCTTTGACCACTACGACCAGAACTAACTGAACGAATGACGGACATGAAAACGTCTTTGGAAAATCGAGTCCATCACAAAACAAAAACCAATGATCAAACCACAGCATCTCAATTTCTTCCGTTCTACCTGCTGATTGAAGCTATCTCAACATGGTGCAAGTGAAGAAACCAGCAGGACGAATAAAACCGAAATCAACAACCGCAACGATAAGGAGTATTGCCCTTCGAATGATAATACTTTCCACCCTGGCAAACGTGTTCATCTATGAGTTTATTGATCATCCAGAACACTTGGAGGATGCTGACCACATGACTGATACTCCAAGAATACGGGATGGCTCTTCAAGTAATACATTTATGGGGCCAAAGGCCCCCGAAAATTCCTATACTGGTAGAACTTCAGCGAACAGTGCCCTCATCAATCCATTGGACACGACAATGAAAAATCCCAAAAATGTCTTTGTCGACAATATTGGGCACCAATACCAAGCACTTGTGAGTCCCTTCCTGATAGGAAACTACTCTCGGCATGAGGGGCATGGAATGGATGCTGTAATCATGGCATCAGCTCCCGATTCGGCTCTGGCAGTCTGTGTTCACAATTTATATCATTTGCAAGGCTTCCGACGGTTCATCTTTGTGGTCAACGATGCAAAAGCACACTGCCACATAATCTTTGATTTGCTGCCCCAACACGGAGGTCCACAGGACAAGAAACACATATGTCTGGAGCACAATAGTTTCTATACCGATGCCGAATTGAAGCGATTATGGAATGAGAGTGGTGAATTCCACAACATTCACAGTGGACCGCCAGAAAAAGTATTGCGAGCTGGAAAGTACTACTCCAATCCACGAATGGGTTGGTACTTACAACAATTTAGCAAGATGCTGATATCACGACTAGTCCCAGACTTGTCCGAGCAGTACTTGGCCATTGACAGCGACATTATCCCAGTGAGACCGATCGAGTATATCAGCAGAGGTTATGATGGAAAATTGACGATAATGATGCCTCAGGTACAGAAGAAACCTGATCAATGGAGGGACTTTTCCCGTCTAGTATTTCCTGAGCTCGAACGGCAAAAGAGTACGCTCCGAAAACCAAACAAAAACTATGTGGTGGGATGGATGATTTTTGACCGAACGGTTCTGAGAGATATGGTTGGTACTATTGGAGAGGCTTTGCTACGAGAAAAGCAACTGAGGGACCAATTCCCATTCAACGTGTTGCACGTTGGAAACGAACTCATCAAAGAGAACAACTACTTTTCCGAGTTTTATACCTATGCGATATTTGCGTTCAATCACACAAAGGTTAAATATGTTGAAAAGTTCTTTGAGAAACCACATCGCAATAGGGATATGCATGAATCCTGCATCCTTGACCAAGTAATATACAAGCAAGCCCAAGACGATTCGTTCACACCGCCGTGGAATATCTGGGAAGAACACAAGTACCACCACTTTGACTCGTGTCCAGAAGGAGAAGCCTACTTTAACTTTTCCACCATTGGAATCTGGCACGACTTTCATCCTCCACCATGGGGTGGTGGTAATCAATTCCTGCTAGCTCTGCGACATGGTTTGGATGATCTAGGAATGAAGGTGATTGGAAAGAACGATCCCGGTGATGGAACCAAACAAATCAGAGAATCTGGTCAAGTCCTCTTGGCAAATGCCATTACATTCAAGGGAAAGAATGAGATCTTGGAGGATTTCAAAAAGGAAAACCGGCTGGCTTTGGTGCACCGTGTGGATGGGCCGTATTATGTTGCTCGATACTTTCGAACTTTGAATTTCAAGGAGCCGGAACCTTTGCCCAAGGAGGACAAGAAAACCCAAGAAATCAACGATCAGTATGCTTGCGCCACTGTATTTCAGTCCAAATGGAGCATCGATGCGAATTTCAAGATTGGTCTAAACCTCAAGAATCCAGTGGTCATTCCAAATATGATTGACGAAACTTTATTTTACCCTCCAAAGGAATCAAGGCCAAAGCGAGAAGGACGAAAACTTCGGATCGTTGCCTCGAGTCACAGTGATAACGTTCGGAAAGGGTTTGACACGATGCTATGGCTGGATCAGAACTTGGACTTTGACAAGTACGAGCTGCTATTCATGGGTGGTCACCCCAAAGATTTCATCCCGAAACGTGGACTTCAAGTCTTGAAGGAACTGGGTTCTGAAGCTGTTGCTGACTTTTTGCGCAGTGGGGATATCTACTTTGCGCCTTCACGATTCGAGCCAGCTTCAAATGCTGTATCAGAAGCTTTGGCATGTGGTTTGCCTGTTCTCTACCAAGAAGGAAGTAGTCATGGTGATCTTGCTGGCAAGGCTGGAGTTGGTTTTGAATCCACTGGCCCAGGTCTATTACGAGCCCTTGAACAACTTGTCGCAAATTATGACGAGCATGCATCAAGCATCTATGTTCCTTCGATGCAAGACATCACTAAAAGCTACCTTTCGACAATGCGATGGTGCTTCTACATGAGGCATCTCATGCTTGTCGATCCAGAAGCTTTTTCTAGCAGTTCTGGAGAAGGTCCAGTTCCACAACAAAGGACGCCGCAGCTACCAGCCCAAGCAAAGCAATCGCCACAAAGGAATTTAAACGACCAAGGAACTATCAGCCAAACGATGCCGAAACAACGCTCCGCTCAAAATCCCAGAAACATATTTGTGGATAAACTTGATGCCAATTATCAACCGCTGACAAGTGACTTTCTCTTAGGGAATTACTCTCGACATGAGGGACACGGCATAAACGCAGTGATTATGGCAGCATCTCCTGATTCTTCTTTGGCCACAAATGTACATAATCTGTACCACTTACAAGGGTTTCGACGATTTATATTTGTCGTGAATGATGCCGAAGCTGATTGTCCTGTGATATTTGATTTGGTCCCCCAACATGCTACTGGAAATGAAAAGAAGCACATGTGCTTGGAACACAACAGCTTTTATACCGATGCCGAACTAAAGCGGTTGTGGGATGTGAATGGAGAATTCAAAAACATTCACGATGGACCACCAGAAAAAGTGCTTCGAGCTGGAAAGTACATTTCCAATCCTCGAATGGGTTGGTACTTGCAACAATTCAGCAAGATGCTGATACCACGGCTAGTTCCAGACCTGTCTGACCAGTACCTAGCAATTGACAGTGACGTTATCCCGGTTCGACCTCTAGAGTACGTCACGAAAGGAGACGACGGAAGACTCAATTTGTTGATGCCGCAGTGCCAGAAGCCACCATTGCAGTGGCGGGACTTTTCAAGGCTCGTCTTACCAGAGATAGAGCGAGACAAGAAGTATCCAAGAAAGAACTATGTGGTTGGATGGATGATCTTTGATCAATCAGTTCTCAGTGACTTGATTGAGGTCATCAATAATGCTCTTGTACGCGAGAAGGGATTTAAGGACCCATTCCCATTCAATGTGTTGCAAGTTGGAAATGAACTCATTAAAGAGAACAACTACTTTTCCGAGTTCTACACTTATGCCATGTTCGCGTTCAATCAGACCAAGGTTAATTATGTCGAAAAGTTCTACGAACGGCCACTTGGGAACACTGGGATGCACGAATCATGTGTTCTGAATCAAACGCTATACAAGCAAGCTCAAGACGATTCATTCAGACCGCCATGGAAACTCTGGGAAGAGCACAAATACCACCGTTTCAATTCCTGCCCAGAAGGTGAACCATACTTCAACTTTTCCACCATTGGAATCTGGCATGACTTCCACACTCCACCATGGGGCGGTGGTAACCAATTCCTGCTAGCTCTGCGACATGGTTTGGATGACCTAGGAATGAAGGTGATTGGGAAGAACGATCCTGGAGATGGTACCAAACAAATCAGAGAGTCTGGTCAAGTCCTTTTGGCAAATGCCATCACGTTCAAAGGAAAGAATGAAATCCTGGAAGATTTCAAAAGTGAAAACCGGCTGGCTTTGGTGCACCGTGTGGATGGACCCTATTACGTCGCTCGATACTTCCGAACGCTGAATTTTACAGAACCAGAGCCACTGCCCAAGGAGGACAAGAAAACCCAAGAAATCAACGACCAATACGCCTGTGCTACAGTCTTTCAGTCCAAATGGAGCACCGACGCAAACATCAAGATTGGACTCAATTTGAAAAATCCAGTGGTCATTCCAAATATGATTGACGAAACTTTATTTTACCCTCCAAAGGAATCAAGGCCAAAGCGAGAAGGACGAAAACTCCGTATTGTTGCCTCGAGTCACAGCGGAAACCAACGCAAAGGTTTTGACACAATGATGTGGCTGGATGAGCATTTGGACTTTGACAAATACGAGCTGCTCTTCATGGGCGGCCATCCTGATGACTTTGTATCAAAGCGTGGGCTTCAAATTTTAAAGGAGCTAGGCTCTGAAGCCGTTGCCGACTTTTTGCGAAGTGGGGACATCTACTTTGCGCCATCACGGTTCGAGCCAGCGTCGAATGCTGTTTCTGAAGCAATGGCATGTGGCCTTCCTGTCGTGTATCAAGAGGGAAGCAGTCATGGGGATCTCGTTGGGAAAGCAGGAGTAGGCTTTGAATCGACTGGACCTGGATTGCTGGAAGCTATTGAACGTCTCGTGGCGAATTATGATGAGCATGCCGCAGCGATTTATGTTCCATCAATGAAAGACATCACTCAAAAGTATTTGTCAGTGATGAGATGGTGTTTCTTCATGAGACATCTCATGCTCGAGAATCCAGAAGAGTCGTCAAGTAGCCCTAGCGGAGATTAATGAGCTCTTCACTGAAAGTACCCGGTCCCTTAATGTAGAATAGATTTTCCCTTGTTGCTGTATCCGAAGACAGAATAGAGCAGAACATTTGGCACATCAGTCAGGGCTCGTCAAACAAAGGTGGAGGCAGCAAGAGAGCACTCCATCTGCTTTTTCGTTGACGTGTTTCCGGAAACAACTCGGCTTGGATGAGGTACATGTAGGTATCGAATGGATACATGGTCTCATGATCGAACAATGGATTATGTTCCAAGATCTTTTGACGCCTTCTTTCATATCCTTCCTTATCATCCAAAATCTTCTGCAGACTTTCGAGAAATGCTTCCTGGCTCGGAGTCTTTCGCACTGAAAATTGGGTGACTGGCTGTCCCGAAAAGGCTGTGTCATCATGGACTGGCAAGTAATAAGATAGCTGCTTCCAATCAATCCAAGGACCTTGTATTCTATACTGATCCAAAGATGTAAAGATGGGCACAGATCCACTCAACATGGTATCAATGAGTCGTTGGGATCCAAAGGTATCGCCGGCTGCATGAATTCCAAATTTCGACTGCGACAAGGCGGGACAGCGCTTGCCTGGTCCACACAAGGATGTTTTGACGGTAGTAGACTGATTCAACCAATTGCACACATTTCGTCGATCTTGAAAGGCAAGCCGTTCTTCCTTCAATGTAGCAATCATGGCAACATCAAATGGTTTTGCTCCTGGAACGACAGGGGTGCCATCTTCCCACGGTTGTGACTGATTGCATGCAGTTCCCACATAGTAAGATGGCAAGGTAACGCGAGCAGGATTTGGAGGCGATGGAATAAATTCTTTTCCCTCAAAGATTATGCAGCTCATTTTGGGGATGAGGTTCATGAACTTTCGATATCCTTTGTCCATCGATTCATATTCATTGTACCAACGTTCCCAACTAGCTGTGTAAAACGACCGGACAATCACATGACGTTCTGGATGTTTGCGAAAGGCTTTGTGTTTCTGCAATTTCCGTTCCGTTTCGAGTAACAAGTCGTAACCACAAGTTCCCAGATTGCAAAAGTCTCGCTTGACATACTTGGCGTAATCCAAAAAGTTGAGAAAGATTGGCACGAAGAATAGTTTGGCCTCGTAGATATCTGTCGTTCGCATGGGATGTTTCATGGCCGCCTCATAGAACCAATAGTCGTCGCTGTGTTTGAATCGCGTCTTGTGCCGCCCATGCGTGGCCACATGGGGGATGGGTTCATCATTGATTGTCGCATTGGTCCATATCAGTTCTTCGTAGACGTAAAATGGAACGCTGAGCAACAAATCGGGAGGTGGAGTTTTATCATTACCATTACCATTATCGTCATCATCATCCTTATCATGCCCGTAATTATTGATTGTGATGCTACCATCAGATATTGGTAGTTGCCCTTGTCCTTGTATTGCTATGGGTCGGTCGAAGCTATGACGGTCGGTGTGGTCTGATCTTTGATCCGCGTCATCCAGTTGGGCGGCAAGATAAGTCGTAGTCGCCAGTGACAGTATGATTATTATGGCACTGAGACTATATAGATACACCAGGCTACCCTTTTGAAACCCCAATTTGGATATTGACTTCCAAAAGGGCATGGTAAAAGGGAAGTCGCTCCGCTTGTTGTTTCTCGTAACAATGTTTTGAAAAAATGCGATGGTTGACGGGTGGTGGAGGGACGGGATATTCGTTTTCTTCCCGCCTTACCGGAGATTTTGTTCTGGCCCGTCTGCCGAAAAGGACCAACTCATCTTGGCGTCGTCTACAGAAACATATCTCAAAGCACTTTAACTTGGACTTGTTTACAATTTCAGGAAGGAAGCAATCTTTCCTTGTAATATTAAGTTCTCATTTTTTATTCAAAGAAGCATTTGTACTCTTTCACGTTTGCACCACATTCATCGTGTTATTGGAGGAACCATTCCACCACCACCACTTCTCGACACTTGACCACTTTCCACCAGCAGTAGCAGTTTGGCCATACTATTCTTCACTTGTTCCATATAACTTGCCAGTGGTGGCAAGAGACACGAATTTAACATTCCTCCCAATGACAATGTATTTTGAAAGTTGGAAGCATCTTCTTCTCTGGTTTCCAGTTTGACGCGGTCGACAATCTTGACGCTGCCATGATTGCGTTCGTCGGCAGAAACACTAATGGTATGCCGGACATGGATTCCACCAGGAAAGGGACCCACCGTCAAGGTCACTTTCCCGTGAGTTTTTTCCACAAAAATGGTAATCAAACCATAACTTCCCACTCCCAAGCTTTCCCGCAAGGTACTTTCCAATTCGTACAAGGGACCCACAATGCATGGTGGACTTGCCAAGGCTGTTGTGGAGGCTTCAATCCATTCACCTTCATATTGACGGTCCGAGGATCCACTGCTGCCAGCACTGCCATTGCCACTACCCAATCCATCACTATTGATATCATTATCCTCATTGCTGCGAGAAGTCACCACCAGTGTTTGAATGGGATCGTACCACAATTGCAAATTGTTGGGATTGGACACAATGTTCATGATATCTTCTACCGTTGTACATTGTTGTTGTTGCTGCTGTTGTTCATGAAGGTTGTTGCTGGCGCTGAAATTCATGCACACTTCAAACGACCGAGAATCTTCCAACGATGTCATGACTCGTGCACGTGCACGGTCCAACCCTCCAAAAAAAGTTGAGGGTGCTGGGGTTACCAGCAATGGTGTATTCAGCCGTGATGTCGAAGCATCCAATATTGTGATTTGGTTGTTGCTTGTTGTAGTTACTGCTTGACCAGATCGTCGCTTAGCCGCAGACAGCAAGTTGAAAAACCATTGATTATTCCCTTGTTCTTGTTGTTGTGGTGGGTTCTGTGGACTGTAATTCGGAATTTGGTGGGTAGTAGCTGGCAAAATTAGAGCAGCGCCTTCTTGCTGGTCCTCCTCAGCGCGAAATAGTTCAAAGGAATCCATGGCTTCGTCTTCTGGAACTGCTGGCAGATTGGTATCATCCGCGGTTTGCATGAGTTGCGAGAATCCCATTGCGCGACTGGAACTGGTATTGTTCAGCTGGTGGCTGGTGGTGATTCCAGCACTTGCAACAGGATTGTGTCGACTATTTTGCAAACTCATTGCCATGGTTGACTCGCTATTCAAGGGAACCGTAAACAGGGAAGATGCCATGATTGTGGAGGAAGCCTGCATTCGATGTTCTTGCGAAATATCTGATTCTGTAAGAGGAAGCAGTTGCTGGCTGGAGCTAGACCCACTCGAGGAGTTCATGCTGCTAGTGCTGTTGGTGTTTACAGAACCCATGTCACCATGATGCTGTGACACCAGCAACGAAGAGTCGGGCGCAAGTTTGGTAAAATTAGAGGCGAACGTAGGAGAAGTCGTCAGTAAGGTGTTGGTAGGAATTCTGGCAGATGCCTCCAGTATTCTAGAATTCGATTGTGACAGATTGGAGGAATAAATTTGTTGCTCTTGTTGTTGCTGTAACATAATTGGTGATTGATTCTGCGATGTCGTCGCCATCAGTGGACTCATGATTGGCTGTGACGACGCCATACTGGAGGTTGGCGAAGAAACCAGATTTTCGGGAGTAAGTTGTTCTTTTTCAGACGAGGATGATGATTCGTCCTCAATAGCAAACGGAGGAGATTCCTCCTCTATCTCATTCAAGGGAGCTTCCATTGTTGTCGGAGCTGCCATTATCTTATTTGGTATTATGAGAATGGTATTGCATACCGGTACCTGGTGGCACGTTTCTTTCTCAATACACGAAAGACTACAGGAGGCGCTTGGAACTCTTTTTGTATGTGGCAAGTTTCAGTTCTTTTTGTTGATGACACGTTTGCGCTTTGACACTATAATTCGGGAATCGTCAACAGAATATTGAAGTCACTGTAGACCAAGTACGTGGCTCTACGATGTATTTTCGTTCGGGAATGGACAAATTTGGTGACAGCGCACAGAACTCCCCCTCCAAATTGTTCGATATTCTGGGGGCCGGAATCGGACGGAGAATTCGAACAAAATTCTCATTGGGTGATGTTGCACTGGTGACAGGTGACAGGTGTTCGCTTCTGAGGTTGCCCTTGAAAAGGAATTATCATCTACCGGTACACTTTCTTTCCAATCAATGATGTGTCTGCCTATTACTATTTGTACAATATACTATTCTTCTAATAATACATTACTCTCCATTCTCTCTCATCGATATGTTTTACATTCATCCTGATTGATTCAGAAAGTGAATGACAGCGTCGTCCAACATGCTTGAATTCAGCAAGGTGAGATAGGATCGGAATTTTCCTTGTTGTTCTTCCTTGGAGGGAAGTTGAAACCCTCGTGCCACAATATTGACCACCTTGGCAGCATCCTTGGCCGCAACCGTTTCATGGTTCCCTCGGCCTTGACATCGTTGAATGCACAATAATTTGGGCACTTGCAAGGCTAACCCGTACACGGGAATCTTTCGCTTTTTGGCCAAGTCAAACCAAGTACTGCGTTGGGCAGAATCAAAGTTGCATCGATCCAAAATAATGCACTTGTTGTCGTCCAAGGCTTCATTGGCCGCCTTGATGCACTTTTGACGGGTCCCCAATTGATCTTGATTGATTCGGGCAAACTTGTACGGCATGGCCTCTACTAGCAAATTGCTAAAGGTGGACTTGCCACTACCAGGCAAGCCAATCAGCAGTATCATAAAGGGAGAAAAGTTGGTAGTCTGAGGAGTAGGAGGAATGGGTTCGACCATGATGGGTGGAGAAGACCATTGAGGAGACGAGTTCTGGTTTCGTTTGTTTCGTCGTTTCTTGGAGTTTTTGGTAGGAGCAGCTTCCCACCCGTCATTTTCATCCGTTACATCGTCTTCTTTGCGTGACGACGATAATTGCATACTTTCCATGGCGGCTTGGACCTCCATCAATGGATTTGGATCCACAGCAGCAGCTTCGTCATTTGTGATGGTTGCTGGGGGGTCATTGGATCCCTCTTGTTGGTGCGATCCTTCTTCTGATGACATTGCAATTAGTGATGTGTATTGAGGGTTGTAGAAATTTTTTGGATGGCTTGAATGGTTTCGTTGTGAAAAAAATGAGAGCAACAAAAACTGTGCTGATAACATCAACATTTGTGGTTTTGCTAGGTCGTTGGTCGTTGATATCAAATCTTGCTCGAAACGTGGAAGGATGGATGGAGGGTCTGGGCAGGTAGGTCGAACGGGTCGATTTTAATTCATTAGAAGAATGAATCAAGATCCAAATTCCAAGAATTCGCACAAGGTGATGACGCATCGGCAACAATACCAACAAAACTCTTTTATTGGATCTTCTACTGCAAGAGTCAACCCACTGAACTTTATTCCTCGACACATCACCGGAACTCTTTCTCTCTCACAAAACCTTCTTCTATAGTCCATACCTTTTGATCTTTTTAAAAAATCCTTTGACGTATTTCATATAAACACAAACAAAGAAAGATTCTTGTTCAGCAGTCATTCATCATGACACCATCACCAGTTACCACACTCATCTTTGATGTCGATGATACCCTCTACGATGTTGGAACTGGATTTACAGCTCATCGCAACAAAGCTGCTCCTAAATTGATGGTGGAAAAATACAAATTTCCTTCTGAAGAAGAAGCTCAAAAAGTCAAGGCTGAATACTTTTCCAAGTATCATGCGATTGCCAAGGCATTAAAGATGGCCCAACTAGAGGGCAAGTTTCCAGAGGATGCACCTGAAGTTAAGACGGAAGACATAGCCACTTTTTGGGCCGAGGGTTTGGATTTTAGCATGTTGGGACCGCCCAAGACGGAACTCCGTGAGCAACTTTCCAAGTGCAACTGCACGTTAGTGGCCTTCTCCAATGGGCCCCGCAAGTACGTCAAACGGGCCTTGGAAACGATGGGACTCTTTGATTTGTTCGGGGAAGAACGATTATATGCGGTTGATGATGTCATGCCTCATTGCAAACCAGAAAAGGAAGCCTTCGAGAAGATACTCAAGAACATTGGAAATCCCAGACCGGAAACTTGTGTAATGGTCGAAGATAGCATGAAGAATATTAGAGGTGCCAAAGCATTGGGAATGAAGACTGTGCTAATACGAGGAAGCTCGGAAAATGGGCGCATCTTGAAGGACGATAAACCGAACAGTGAAGACCCAGCAGTGGATTGTAGCATGGCGAGCATTGAAGAGTTCTTTACCATGTTGCCTGGTCTATTGGATGCCAGCCCATTTTTTGATCCCGTCGTTGTGGATAAGTGAGAAAGGTGTATTGCTTGACTACTATGTGATGTTGGCACCAGTACCTTCGTCAAAATCTCGCGAAGGATGGCCACTGGGTGGCTCGCCTCGAATGGGTCAATTCAGGTTTGATTCGTCCGAATGAATCGATCTAAGAACCATAAAGAACGAATTCAGAATGTTATGACGCATCGGCGGCTCCAAACAAACAACAACAACAACAACACCCTTCGGAAGTAACGTACCAACATCTTCTGCACGAGTCTCCTTCATCTCCAAACACCTACTTCTTGATTTGATCCCTTTTGCGCTTCTTTATTTTTACCCCTTTCATCAACGAACAATAATACAGTCCATAATTCATACATATTCATCATGGCAGCATCACCCATTACCACACTCATCTTTGATGTCGATGATACCCTCTATGACGTCGGGAATGGGTTTACTGTTCACCGCAACAATAGCGCTCCCAGAATGATGGTGGAAAAATACAAATTTCCCTCAGAAGAGGCAGCCCAAAAAGTTAAGGCTGAATACTTTTCCAAGTATCATTCAACTGCCAAGGCATTGAAAGTGGCTCAAGATGAAGGAAAATTTCCAGAGGACGCACCTGAAGTCAAGACGGAAGACATAGCCACTTTTTGGGCCGAAAAGTTGGACTATACCATGTTGGGGCCACCCAAGACGGCACTTCATGATGAACTTTCCAAGTGCAACTGTACACTGGTGGCCTTTTCCAATGGGCCCCGCAAGTACGTCAAACGGGCCTTGGAAACGATGGGACTCTTTGATTTATTCGGAGAAGAACGGTTGTATGCGGTTGATGATGTCATGCCTCATTGCAAACCAGAAAAGGAAGCCTTCGAGAAGATACTCAAGAACATTGGAAATCCCAAACCGGAAACTTGTGTAATGGTCGAAGATAGCATGAAGAATATTAGAGGTGCCAAAGCATTGGGAATGAAGACTGTACTAATACGAGGAAGCTCGGAAAATGGGCGCATCTTGAAGGACGATAAACCGAACAGTGAAGACCCAGCAGTGGATTGTAGCATGGCGAGCATTGAAGAGTTCTTTACCATGCTACCTGGTCTATTGGATACCAATCCAGTTTTTGATCCCGTTGTTGCGGATAAGTGAGAAAGGTGTATTACTACAGTATTTGTCCGCTTTATCTACAGCACTGTCGGCACCATTGCCTTCGTTGCGAGTACCGGTACGCGTTGTAGTCTAATTACGATTACATCAACTACCTTCTGTCGCATAGGACAAGAAAAATGAGGCTAAACATTTGTCAATCATTTGAATTCAGGGTGGATTGTTAAATGCAAAAATTGATTCTGGATGTCTTTGTTGGGACCATAAGTGTAAGAAGAAGATTGATACAATAAATATGATTTCCTTCTTATTCGATCGAGATCACCATTCGACGATAGCTGCGAAAATTTTGACCCAACGAGAAATCGAAAGACAACGCACACCGCACCCTCAAAAAATTGAGAACGAGTCGCCCCATTGGGAATACGTCAAATTCAATCAGCTGCATTCCTACGACCTCCATTCTGTCATCAAGACCAAGATAATAGAATCCAAACCACTCACGACTTGTATCACCCCTGTCTGAAACATCACCTAACCACTCATTCACCAATAGTTGTCGTAATTAGAGCTGAACACGGAAAAAATGGTTGCCACAAGAAGAAGAGTTATCACCTATGCCATTGGCGATCGGGTTGAGGTGAGTCGTCATTGAAACGATCGAATGCCCAGAATTTTTCACCTGGAGTGTATGGAATATCACAGCACGTCACGGGAAGCATGAGGAGCATTTTTAAAATTGTGTCTGAGGTCGCTGTTACTCACTTGCCGCTGCTCGTTTCGCTGTTCTATTCTCGTGGGTCCAGCTCGTTCGCACGGAAGGAATCGACATTGGGATCCTTCTCTCCCAGCCCGATGATGAGGATTACAACATTCCCCATTGGATTGTATCGGTTGAAGGAATAGACACAGAAGAGGTGGTCTCCGAAAAGACCCTTGGCCGAGTTTTGGATGGACAGGAGAGTGATGACAGCAGCGAAAAGTCCACCGTCAAAAAGACTGCCGAGAAGAAAGTTGTCAAGAAATCCTCCAAGACCAAGCCCAAACCGCCTAGCCGCAAGATTGTCAAGGCCAAGTCAAAGACACGATCCTCCAAGTCCAAGGGCCCATCTCAGCCAGAGAACATGCTGGAAGCACCAAGAAAACATGCTACACCCAAACCGCGAAAGCAGGAGGGAGATGAAAAAGTGACGGAGATCAAGATGAAAACGGGAATTCTATTCATGTACCGTGGCTCCAATTACCGGGTAGAATTTGTTCGCACTGTTTAGGAAACAGACAGATTGCTAATTCATCATTGTCGAGCGAGTATGGAGTCCTATTGGATTTTTTTACTGGACCAACATCGGCAAGTATCGGGGGCAATTTTATTATACAGTAATAAAGTTAGAACAACATTTCTTTCAATTTTGTCATGTGACTATAGGAGGTACTACTACCAGTGTTTACACATCAGATCAGATGCATCAAATGGCTGTCGTTATGTTGCCGTTAAGTTTAGTCCAATCTCTTTCAGTAGTCGATCGAGTCGCAAAATGCACTCCGATCACAAGGCAAAAGCAAGGCCAATCGAATCAATCAACGAAGCGAATGAAGTTACAGTACATGAAACAAGCATACAATGTCTAGAAAAATTCTGAACCAAACATAATGTCTCTAGATTGATCATTATGCGTTTATGCTGAATTTATTCCCCTAGCTTGTTCATATGATAGCCTTCCCTTTCATAATTGCCAAGACAATTCGTTCTCGGCATTGGGTAATGTGCTCCTGCGAAAAGACCAAGGGGCATTCTTTGGACACGAAATCAGCAAACATGCAAGTGAAAACTCCACAATCGAATCCTTGAAAGCAAGGGAGAGAATGAAAGTTAGTAAGTGGTTTCAGTGCTAATGGTGCGCGCAACCATCCGTTTGTTATTTTCCCACTTACCATTTCGTTGCCTTGGTGTATCCGACGTCGTACCAACAAGTTCCCAGTCATCAATATCCGGCATTGGACACTTCTTCTTGTCCTTGTGTTCATCTTGCACATATTTAAAGAGACACTGTAGGTACTTGTGACCTCCAGATCCCATGGAATCGTATATTTGAATCCTCTTCTTTTGCATGTGGATTACGCCACACATCCAATGCATCCCCCCTTGATTGATGGGGAAGATAATCTTGTCCAAATTGAAGATGTCCTTTCCAGGAACTTTCTTGGACCATCGCTTGACATTTTTGTATTCGTATGTTCCATTAATGGCTTCATTTGCGTGTCCTTCGTTGAGGATCTTGGTAATGAAGAATGATTTGAAGAAATGGCTTCTCTTTCTGGAAGGATCATTACGGCACATTTCTTCATCTCGTCTTGCAAGCATGAGATAAAAATAATGAATGACTTCATCGCCAAGCCACTCTCCTGGCCGCAAGGTCTGGATCGATTGCCGCTGTACAGTATCTGTTTCGGATTCTGCCAAAATTTCCGTTGGGGGTCCGTTGCCATACATTACACCACGCACTAGTGACGACTCGTCTGGGGTGAGATCTCGCATCAGAGAAGAAGCTCGTTTCTTGGCCTCTTCTTCCCGCTCCTTTTGTAAGAAACGTTCTTCGAATTCATCCATGTGCTTCTTCTTTGTCGCTTGTTCGTACTCCCGCTCGGCTTCTGCAAGCTTGCGATCCAGAGCTTCATCATCCCGGTCGAGAGCTGCAGCTAGTTCACTCTTTTCTGTATCTAAAAAGCCAAAGTTGACAACTTGCTTCCATTTTTGTATTGACGCCAAACCCTTCTCCCGATAGTCGACACGCAAGTCCTGAAGCCTTTGTTCCAAGCTCGTCGCGATGGTTCCCGCGCTTTCTGTAAGGGGATTGTTGGCCGCGGCGCCATCATTTTCAGATTCTTCCTCTGCGAATTCAAAGGAGGAGGAGAGATGTTGTTTGACTTCTTCCCAGTTGGAACACTTAACCCTGAACGAATCTGGCCTCCTTTGAACCTTGTTCAAAGCATTAACAAGAGCATAGCGCTTTTTCATACTATCATCGTCTCGTTTGGATGCTCGAAAGACGATTTCACCGAGCTTTCTTGTCATATGCCTCAGTGGATGGAGTCGTTCCTCCAAGTCGGCATGCGCGTCCATCACCCTTCGACTGCCTTGAAGTGCACTCGCAATCGCCCACAGGGTTGCACTTTTGCTTTCATTCGCCGTCAAGTCATTCACTTCCGCTTCCATCTCCTTGGCCGCTCGGTAGCTAATTTCAATGGAATCTGTCGTCTGCTCTTGATTATGATGCTCTAGATGTTGTTCAATGGGACTCATGGGAAGAGATTCCAGTCGATGTTGCTGAGAGTTGACTCGTCGTCGTTTGAATTGAGGGCCTGGTGACCGCACCTTTACGAGTTTTTGGCGGTCTTTTCGCTTCTTGAATTTGCCGAGAATTGTCATTTTTGTTTTGCAATAGATGGATGATGCAGTGCTATCGCAAAGACAAGTATACGTCCTTCAGTGGACAAGAGATAAAGTATGCTGATGCCAATGATTGTGACAATAACTTTCATCGGGCAGGGACGCATCACAAACCACAAGGAAGCTCCGGCGCGGTCTGTTCATTTCTACGTAAATCGATGATCATAGTAGTCGACTGAATAAATTTGTGATTCTACCGGTAGGTACCTGGTACCCTGGTACCGTACATGTATGTAACAAAAGGAACAAACCTTGGCACTAGAAATTATATTCATTTTATAATATTACATCTCGACAGAACACACATATAGATATGGATGGATCCTGCTGTAGCCTTAGATAATGTCAGGGTCTTCCATTTGGTACTCGTCCTTGTAGTCCGAGTACACACTTCCGGCATCCGAGAATCCAACGGCAATCGGTCGCTCGTACGAACCAGTATTTAACTTTCCAAACTCCGATACATCGTCATCGTAGCTAGGCATGATGTTATCACCATTGTAGAGACCGCGGTTGTTGGTTCCAGTGTCCATTTCCTTCTTGTTGTAAATGCACTTCCAGTAGAAGATGATTCCAAAGATGACTGCCGCAATTCCAAAGCAAATGTATCCAATGGTGTTGGCATTGCTATCTTCTTCGCCATCAATGTTTCCAGTGAGGCCGAATTGTCCGTCGTCAATTCTAATGGCAACAATATCAGTGTGAATCATTGATGCCTCCTCGGGTGTCAAAGCTTCTCGGATCATTTCGTAGACGTTGGCACTGGCTTGGGCACTGTTGGCACCATAAAGATTGACTTGACCAGAGAAGACTGCGCAGAAATCGAATCCACTAACGGTTGGGCTACATTCGTCTGTAATAAGAAAAAGGCAAGTGCATGATGTGAGATTTCAAATTCGGCAAATTCTCAATATGACATCCTGCCATCAAATGGAACAATCGTATTTACCTTTTCCGACAAGTTTCAAGAATCGGAATCCAGAAGCACGACCTTTGTTTAGTCTGCGTCCACCGAAACCACAAAGGTTGGGAAATGATTGGGAAAGGACGTTATCGACAATTCTGTCTTCGACCAAATCAATCATGTCGACAATGGAAGAAAGGGGCTTGGTTTCGATGCGGAACCCATAGGTCAATCTGACTGGTTCACCATAGGTAGATCCAAAGTATCCATCCTTCTCAGGGCGGCAAGAAGAAAACATATCCTTCATGAAATTCGGGTTAAATGTGTCTTTTGCGTTCACGTTCAACTCTTCGGGAGCGTTTCCAGTGGTGTGTCGGGTCAATTCTCGGGAAGCGACATCCATATTATCGGCATGGACATTCGTCATTATCATGGCTCCCAAGGAGAGCAGTGCAGTTAATCGTTGTACCATGGTTTTTGCTATTATTTGCTATTTGCTGGAAATCGAAATGGTGATATGGCGATTACGATGGAGAGATGTGTTTCCTCCTAGAACTCACTTGCTTGATGGATCAAGGTGGCATTCTTGAATAGACGCTTGGAAAAAGTGGTGTGGTGCGTTGGAGATGATTGCCTTAATTAATTTCGTCGAAAGTAAGCTGCGCGATAGCAAGGTCTGTCCTTGCTTGCGTTGAAATGAATGACGTGTGACGGACCACTCTCTCGGACGGACCATTTGATACATTATTGATACATTCGACTCCATTTTCGAAATCGGGGCGCGAAGTACGCACGGACAGACAAAAGTCGTTGTTTAGAACGCGAGCCCAGACCAGGAAAACGGAGACATAGCAAGAGAGCATTCCGGATCGAATCCCACAGGGTTCTACATGTAGGATTACTACTAGAGAGGAGGTACAACTAAATCCCGTTGGAGGTGACACGTGCCGCGTTAAGTTTGAACCGAACTAGCTGTCTTGGATCAATCTTCCATCCGAAAAAAACGGTGCAGACATTGTACTCATTACTGAGAATCGCTTCCATAACATCATCCACAACCGGAACTCCACCATCCTAGACTACCAAACAGATGTAAGTCAGCAAGAACTCTGTTTCATCACCTTATCAATGAATTCATTGTTAGGGTGAAGGAAATCACGCTGTTCATGCCCAAAATCTTGTGTTCAAAAGTATGTTTTATCTCACAATGACTTGTTCCTTCCATCAATTTATCTTCCACGACTATGACCATTGATACTCCACAGACACAATGATGAACCAATTCACCAAGGCACTCCTTCTCTCCGCTATGGTTTCCATGGCCAGCGCTGTTGACGATGACATTTCACACTTTGAATCCCCTCTTGAAGAAGATGTCCCAATTGTTTCTATTCCGTGCTTTGCCAACGCAGACGGATTTGGCGGATCCATCACCGACACTTCTTTCACCGTCGAATACTACTATGAAATGGTTTACAGAGAAGGAGGCGATCCTGTAGACGACCTTGTCGGATCTTTCGAAAGGGACAGTACAAACTTTCTTTTGCAATCTGATTTGTTTGAAAGCCCATGTAACGAAGTCATTGCAAGACAAGCTGGAGCTGCTCATGGAATCACTTCCAATCCACCTGACGTGGCCCTCGATGGCATTCCATGTACTACTATTTCTGGTGACGATGCTGTAGCCACCGAGTGCGTTGTTGTCAATGGAGCATTTGAAGTATTCTACATTGACGACGGAAGTGGCTCGGAAGCTTTGGAGGCGCAATTCAAGGCCGGCATTGAGGAGGGAATCAACAATGGATCAGTCTCCATTTCCAACCCAGATATTGTCGAAGTTGCTGCTGTTCCTGATCCCGAAAGCACTCCCCGTGGACAAGACCCTGCCGTCACCCCCGAAGGCATTGTTGCCAACCCTGATGACGATGGAAACAGCACCCCTGTCATCATTGGAGCAGTTGTTGGTGGTGTCTTGATTGTCGGAGCTATTGCTCTATACAAGAGTCGGCAGGCTGGAGCCGCTGCCAGTGGTGCTGCTGATGCTGGCGCTTCTGCCGGAGCTGACGTATGAGTTCATTGATTGATTCATTAACTGATTGATTGATTGATCGATTTCTTCTACAGCAATCTCTCTTTTTATCGACGTGGCAGCCAAACACTCCTGTCTTGCTCCTACATCTACGGGCACTAGGCGCTCGTTATCTTGATGTATCTTTATGGTATTTATATAAATATTTTAGAACCTACAGTACCGGTATCAAAACATAGAGCACTCCAATGATGACACTGAGTAATTTCGTTGATGCATTATTTCGCTACAATAGCAGCAGTGGCACGACTATTGATGAAAGACATTAATTTATCGGCATCAGCAATCCGACCGTTTTGCATACTTGCCAATCTTTCATTCGTGCTAGTGCACCTTCAATCTTGCTTCAGTCGTATTACCCCACTCAAACTCCCTATGTAAAGATATGAGTCAATAGTTTCTTACTTGGTATTTATTTACATATTATATATAGTTCCTACGAACATTACACTTTTCTATCTGGCTGTAGTTGTACTGTAGATGGATCTCGTCTCTTACAGATCCGTTTCGGTATTGCCTGGAACCTGTGATCCGCCAATTTGCGATTCATCCATGTCAGGACCGGAATTCTTCTTGTGTTGTCGGTAAGCAATACCAACCAAGACAGCGAGTAGAACAGCTCCACCAATAATAAATGGAACCGGTGAAATTGTGAGGATTTTGCCATCATCATCGTTCAAGCCAGGCGGTGTGTCTTCAATGTTGTTCAAAGTAGGATCGATGTCAACGTAGGACACTCGCACAATATCTTCTTGAGCATCGTTCAAGTTTCCGGCAGTCATTTCATTCTCGATTGCCTTCTTGACATTTTCCGTTTCGGTGTCCAATGTATCTTCGTCGTCGGCAAAAATTGTCAATTCTCCACTGACAACAAAGCAGGAGTTTCCGTCTTCAACACTGGCACAAGCCACTGAACGAATGCATCAAAAGTTAGAGATATAGTACATAGATTCAACATTTACCAACAACATTTTGTTAACATACCATCATCGTAGACCAAGTCCTCTGGATACTTGCTGATTCCCTTCACTTCCGAGAGACGTCTTTGAACGCGCAGATTTCTAGTGGTAAGGGAGTGACCGCAAGAATCTGCGAAAAGAGAAGGAAGGATACTATTGACAATTCCATTTTCCAACAAAGGAAGAACATCAGATTCAACGGCATCTGCATCCAAGATGGAAATAAGTTCTACCTCATAGGAATATTTTACGATGGCATCTTCATTTGGAAATTCGCCGAAGCTTCCATCATTGGATTCACAATCGGCCTTTGTAGGAACAACGGAAGGGACTGTCGATGGCATGTCTGATGGGACGAACGATGGATTATCTGATGGAGATGCCGATGGTGAAGAGGTTGGAATATACGAGGGCATTTGTGAGGGCATGTCTGAAGAAATCAAGTGCACACTAAAGAATGAGGAATTTGGATCATCGGATCGTTTGGAAATTGACCATTGTTTCTTACCTGATGGAGCAAAGGAGGCCGCAATAGAAGGTTTCGTTGATGGTTCATTTGATGGCGCAAAAGATGGTGATGATGATGGGGCGTTTGATGGCGTAGAGGATGGTTTCGCAGATGGGGACGAAGATGGATAGGCAGACGGCGATTGTGAGGGATTGGCTGGAAAACAAGCAGTGTTAAAATTTCTCCGTTTGCGCTCTGGATATTTGCTCATGACGAGGTGTACATACCTGAAGGAACGGTGCTTGGAGCGGGTGTGGGGAAAGTTGTGGGGACCTCCGAAGGCATGTCTGTTGGATGTGCGGTAATATCAATCTCTGGCACATCTTCTTCGTCTGGATGCTGAAAGTGTTGTCGGTCTTCAGCCTCTTCTTCGGCAGCCAAAATTACTGGCGCCTGAAAGAAAAGCATAGTGACTGTAATGATATTGAAAATCTTCATTGTGTATTGTATGTATCTGTCTTATCTTGTCGCTACTCGTCCAGTATAGGGTTTGAAAATGCAGAAGTTTCTTTTGGATGCTTTGTGTGCTAAAAATGTGGCCAGAAAAATCTAGCTCGGGCCGGCAAAACGATAATTTAGTAGAGCCTACGGCGCCTCCACGGTACTTTACGTGTGCATTTTAACTGAACCGTTTTTTCTCGTTAACGAATTCTAGTCACGCGGATTGGTTTCAATCACGGGTCATCACAGTGGGATTGAGATTTGAGAATACGAAGAGAAATTGATCATCTCGTTGTGTATATTTCACTTGTACGGTATGTCATCTCATGGGAAGATGATGCTGCACACACTGCAAAAAGTGACCACCACGTTTGGTGATAATCAATTTTCTACTGCTGGTGCGAAGGCAGGGTAGAGCCGAGAGTTCAGTCAAGAACACTTTCGGTTCCGTTGGCCGTTGGAGAGGTAGCAGCTTGATCTTTGAAACAAAACAAAAAAGTGCACCACGATGCATGACTGACAGACTGCAATTCGTGATCCATGCCCATTCACGAACGAATGGATACGTCACAACACTGACTCTAAGTGAACTGAAGTCAAATCAAAACTCAATCTGAAGTATCATACAGTACCATGAAAGCAATGTCAGCCACCAAGATCATTGTGGGACTTAATGGTGCCCTTCAAAAGCGATTCATTCTCCCTGATGATGGAATTTTAGTCCCAGGAAACGTTCATAGAGCAGCCAGCATCCAAACAGGCGTTGGTGGCAAGGGACAGGATGTTGCAATTGCGATGAATTGTCTCGCACCGGACTCGGATTCTGGATTAAAGTTGGCGCAGTTTGTGGGTTGTGGATCCTCTGGAAACTCCGTTTATGACCTCTTGAAAGATATTCTGGGCGAATCTGCCCTCGACCTGACGGTCCGTACCAAGGAAGATACGCGCATATGCACCTCAATCGTTGCCTCCGACGAAACCACCGAACTCGTCGAGCCCAGCGGACTGATTAGTGGGGAAGAAATGGACGAGCTGCTTGTGAAGCTAAATGGAATTGATGCAGCATCAGCACTTTGTATTATGGGTTCCATGCCACCGGGCTGTGATGAGGAAACCTATGCCAAGATATATGATCGATCAGCCAGTACCGAAACTTTGTGTTTGGTGGACTCCGTTGCCGGAGTGGAATCCTTGCTGGCCAAGATGGATTCCAAGAAAGATTCGGGACCTTCTATATTCAAGGTGAATGCGTCAGAACTCTGCAAATTGGCTGGCTCCAAAAAGAGCAGCAGTGAAGCTGGGGGAATTACTTTTGAAGAATTGACGGAAGCTATCAAGCTCTTTCGGGAAAAGTACTCAACATCTCGGAACGCACTCGTCGGACTAGCAATTACTGATGGCCGGCATCCCGGATATTTTGCCGCGTTTGACAAGAATGGTGACGACACTGTTCTTTACAAACTCCCAGTCCCTGTGTTGGATCCTGGCAAACCCCTCTTCCCAATTGGTGCTGGTGATGCTGTAGCAGGTGGAACCCTAGCCGCGTGGCTTTGTCTGACGAATGACGACAAGAGTACTACCCTTTTAGACGATTGTTGGTCGGTGCTGCAAGAGCAAATGAAAGCCAACAAAGGTATTATCTCCGATCCATCGATGAATGCAGCAGTTTCGGCTTTCACCTTTGGACTAGCCTGTGGTTCCGCAAGTGAGTATTACGTATTGTCATTGTTCCATTTGTTTGCCCGCTTTTACTATTGTATCTGACGATTTGGGTTGTTGTTGCTAGGTTGTTTACAAGAAGAAAACTCAGTCTTGGATCCTGAAGATGTTGTCGATCTGTTGAAGAAAATTGGAAATGCAGAACTAGTATCAGCATAGCGTGAATATCTAAACTATGATCTTCTTTTAAAAGTATAATACCTAGCAAAAAGAGGAGGCAGAAATGTCCTCCAGGCCTTTCTCTCGCAAGGCAAATGGACTGTAGAAGCGAGTGACGTCATTTCGTAATGTATTGTGCAAATAAGTGATGGTTGCCTTTTTCGATTTTGCTTCCAATGCAATCCCAAGAACAACACAAACAACAAAAACTCCACAGCACAACTTCCGACTCGCAAAAATTCACGCGAAACGATGCCAGAGAACAATTCGAATTCAGGAATGCTTGCAGCAACTGCCACAATGGGCCTTGGTGCGGGTTTTGCCTTAGCCACTTGGTGGAACCGTCGTCTAGGCACCATCGGCCGTCTTGCAACTCGACCAAGCTACACACCTGGTCAAGTCCCTACTGTGCCTTCCGGATTTGGATCTAAAGTTCACGTATTTGATCCCTCCAATCTGAAATCGTGCTACAATCTCATGATTTCAACCACCACACCTCGTCCTATTGCCTTGGTGTCTTCGCGGAACTCCAAAACTGGCCTTGACAATGTTGCTCCCTTTAGCTATTTTGGAGCCGTTGCCCACGATCCTCCCATGTTAGCCATTGGATTCTGCCGCAATGGTGGCGAAAAGAAAGATTCTATAGCAAACATTTTGGAATCCAAGGAGTTTGCGGTAAACATCATTTCCGAGTGGTACTTGGATGCTGCCAACCAAAGTTGTGGTAACTATGCAAGTGATGTGGACGAGTTTTTGGAGTCTGGCATGACCAAAGAAGACTGCAAAGTCGTCAATGCCCCACGAGTCAAGGAAGCAGCTGTAACCTATGAGTGCGTCTTGGACCATGTGCACACCATAAAAAATTCTTCTGGAAGTGAAACGACCGAAATTGTATTGGCAAAGATTGTCCGTTTTCATGTGGACGATCAAGTCTTGGTGGATGGTTTTGATCCACTCAAGCCAAATGTAGATACCATGAAGTTAAAACCAGTGGGTAGATTGGGAGGTAATATCTACACAACTCTCGGGGACACTGCTGACATTCCCAGACCAAAGCTGTAGAGACTTTTTTGAGATTAGCAGAATAGAGCAAAAGATTTTCCGTTTTGGCAATTGAGATCGCTGTCGTACAAGTACAAGATCGAATGTGTTTCTCTCTTTTTTCTAGAGCAATTATGATGCCCACATATTCTCATGGAATTTTTATATTTTTTTAAAAGTAATGTTTACAATTTTACAACAACAATTCATTCGTGATTTTTTTCATAGGTCATACATCTTTCGGACAGCTTCTGCAAAGTCTTGACAAGCCACATCCAAGTCATTGTTGACTACAATGGAATCAAAGTTTTGAGGAGTTCCGTACTCGAGTTCGGCCTTGGCGTTGGCCGTTCGTCGTGACAGACTTTCAGGAGTTTCCGTACCCCGCCCAACCAAACGCTCCTTCAGTGCATCGAAAGAAGGTGGTGCAATGAACAAATACTTTGGCTCTAGCAACATTTCCGAAGCAATGTTTTTGACGGATCGAACGCCCTCAACGTCAATGTCCAAAAGACAGCGCTTGCCTTGGTCTTGGACATCCCTTAGAGATTGAAGACTGGTTCCGTAAAAATTACCATGGACCTCTGCGAATTCCAGAAAGGCACCTTGCTGAATTTGTTGCTTCATGTCTTCAATGTCAACAAAGTGATAATGAACGCCATTCACTTCTCCTTCTCTTGGTTGTCGAGTCGTATGAGAAACCGTAAATCCGAATTGGTCACGTCCTCCCATTTCCTCCATGAATTTGGCAATGATGGTGCCCTTTCCAACCCCAGAAGGTCCACATACAATCAGTGGATCCAAAACTTGATTTTCGTCGTTTCGAGTGACAATCGATGTGGAAAAGAAATCGGCCAACACCATTCGCAAAGGATTTCCAGCAATTCTTCGATGACTCGAATTGGGTCTTGAAAACCCTCGGCAAAAGGTTGCGTAGAGTACCATTATAACTGTAATCAATGAAGGAGACTGTCCCGCTTTCATCCTGTTTTGCCGCAATATGAAAAAAGGGTTGTTGGTTGTGGTTCTCGGGTAGTGTGTATTGGATTGAAGGTGTTCTGATTAGGATCGTTGACGTCGATACTTGTTCTGTGTCATCGAGGAAATAATAAGCGACGAAGAACTGCAACATCACCGACGGTGACTCAGCGCAACGCACGACAGACGCAAATTGGTGGGTCACGAGTGTGCGAACTGGGACTCAAGATTGCCCAGGACGATTTTGAAAAAGTGAAGCTTTTGAGTTAGGTCTTGAAAGAGGCAACACGAACTCCAGAGAAGTCATGTGTTGGTCTCATTGATCACCTACTGCCAGTCGTAGCGCCATCTCCCAATAGGCCTTCACTTGTGTGACAGATAGTCACAAAATCATCATGTCTCTTCATTTCACCAAACCCACAACTCGACCAGAATGGGCAGCTTCCATTGCCGTCTGCCTCTTTGGCACCATGGGTGCCATCCAGGTTGGCATTGCCGTAGGACTCCTTCCATCTGATATTGTGTGGGGTGGTGCCAATGATGAGCTCACCTTCCAGGCCAGTATTGCCAGTCTGGCAGCTTGCGCCATATTATGTGGCATGGCACACATTGTTCACCGACGAACCAAACCAGGACCTTCCAAATTCATACGAGGAGCCAGTTGGTTCGTTGCCTTTTACATGGGGCTCAATACACTGGGAAATGCATTGGCGAAAACGTGGCTGGAACAATATATCTTTGGAACCATGACCTTTGTCCTATGCATTTGTTCCTTTGTTGTCGCATCCTCGAAACCGTTGGATGATGATGATCCTTCAACAGAAGACGTCTCGGCAGATGCGACGCCTTATGGAACGATGGAGTAGTAAGTTTGGAAATGGACAATGTATAATATACTGAAAGGATACATGGCAAGGGTTAGTTGTGTTACCCTCCGAAAACAAATAGAATAGTTATAAACTAAAAAAACTCGAAACATGAATGGTTGAGACTTGTTATCGATACAATCTTCGTTTTCATTTTGGCTCCACTACAGTGCATGCAATACTTATTTTGATGTATAGTATAGTCTGGTCGAACTACTGTAGATGACATTGCTATCATTATTCTTACATTTACCCATGCTTCACAAGATGAACTCGGTAGGACCATTACCGATTATCGAGTTGCTCATGTCATTACTGAAAGTTCCACGTTATCCCCACGGCCAATCAATTTAAAACATCAATCTAATCAAAGCTTACGTTGAAATCAACATGGGTTGAATCCGCTTCTTCTTTTTGGGCTGTTTCTCCCCATCTGCAACGTGTAATCGGCTGTTCAATGACAGCTTGTTGACGGCATCCCCCACTTCTTCCGTCTCTGGTGCACTACGTTTCGTAGCAGTGCTGACTGTTGTTGGACTCTTAGTAGCAATAGTGGAACTACTACATGTCATCATTGTGGACGTAGGAGACAGCGTGGTTGGAGTGATTCGCGTCTTCTTGGTCGGCCGTGATTCCAAGACTGCCGGTCCAGGTCGACACGGAGGAATGGGACTGGAAACAGGACTGGGATTTTGCATCATCATTTTGACTTGTGGTGGTCGTGCCATGACGGCTGCTGGCATTTGTGATTCTTGTGCTGCTGGTGGTGGTTGGTATACCTTGCCCAATTCATTGGGTCCAAAATTGATAATGGACAGATATCCATCGGTACTGCAAACCACTAGACTGTGCCCATCTTGGGACCAAGAACAATCCGTGAGCCCCGTATAATGCAAACCCCTTACAATCGACAAAGGATGGGAATGGTGGGTATCGTAAATCAATATGGAATCCAAGGTCATGACGGCAAAGATGGATCGATACGGTAGGTTCTTGTGGTTGCGGCCCTTGGGGGATTCATTTTCCTTGGATTCACATTCACTCTCGCTGGGTCGATTCTTGTTCGATTGATTCTTCGTCGTTGGCAATTCAAACAGAACTGGATTCGGTCGGACGACTACCGAAGGCTTGAAAGGAAAAAAAAGAAAAAATGTCAGAACATCAGTACTGAAAGTGCCAACGCCACACAACGTTTCAATCCATTAATGAATGAATCCATTAATGAATGAATCAATGAATCAATGAATCGTACCTTATCCAATCCAGGAAGCACTTTGCAAGGTTCATCAAATTTGTGGCGGGCAAATAAGTAGGTAGCAAAGGAAGGCGACGACGACGAGGATGATTCATCTGCCCCATCTTCATTGTGCCAGAGCGCCGCCGGAGTGACTAGATAGGCGCCGTCAGTGGTCCAACTGAGCCGTCGAAAAAAAGACTCACAGGTCGATTCGTCCACAAAAAGACGCTGCTTGGTTTGGGCTCCCGTTTCGGGATCCGTCGCCGTGGTGCGCTGTTTGATCCTCTTAGTCTTTCCCATTTCCACCTTATGTTCCGTCATGAGTTGGGAGACCATTTGTTGGTGTTCCAGCGGTGGTTCTGCAGGAGGAGGAGCATCCTTACAACTGTTGGACGGCCGTAGGACCTTTTTCTTGGATTTGGGTGGAATTTTGCGTGGAAATAGACGGCAGGTTCGGTCGCTCCCCATACTGGCCAAATAGACGCCTAGGGGATCATAGGAAACTCCTTGGACAAACGAGCTATGCTCCCCACTTCGAAAGACAGACTGCCATTCACTATCCTTTTGTTGTGATTCGGTGTTTGCCATATTGTGGGCATATTGTTTGTCCTCCCAAACTTGTACTTGGGAATCGATGGTCCCGACCATGAATCGTTTGGAATCGGCGCTCCAGGACAAATCCGTGACTCCCTCGCAATGCGTGCTGACAATCTTGACGGCCAATTCTTTTTCGGATGCCAGGGTGGACCAAAAATGCTTTCCATTACCATTCCCTCTCTTTGACAAAGGGACGGACCAAATGATAATATTGCCCGCTTCTCCCGCCGTGGCCAAATGCAAGCCATTCGGTGAAAAGGCTACGGAATTGACGGGCCGTTCGTGTCTCGAGAGACTCGTCATGTAATCTACCTTGTTGAGCAGGTTTTTGCAGTCCATGTGAAAGAGTTGTTTTTCCTTGTCGCCATCATCACCATCATCACCATCATCATCATCGTGAGAAGCAAAGGAAACCTTCCAAAGATTGATAATGTTCGTGTTTCCAGCCGTGGCCAAAACGTGACCATTTTCCACCAGACCGCTTTCTTGCATCGCAATGCTGTACAGAGGAGCATTCTTGCGAGAGTCGCCCTCGATATTCCACAAAATTTGAGGTGTTTCGACCTTCATTGCTGCTGTTGTGATAGTTTGTTGGTATACTGTTTGTATTTGTATTTGTATCTGTGTTTGTGTTTCTGTTTGTGTTTCTGTTTGTATTCGAGTATGGTGTTTCCAGTCCAACGCCGTTTGTAATCTTTTCAATCAAAGCAATTGGCAAGACAGTAGTCAAATGAAATCAACTGCAAAGCTATATGATGAAAGCAAGAGACTGAGATGGTGTAGAAAATGACACGGACAGAAGCTATTGCCGCTGCGTGTGGTGTTTTCCGTTGCTATTCCTTTGGATGAACGAATAATGAAAAATATGCTCAAGCCAACCCGCCAAAACTTGACAAACCTTGTGCTCTGGTACCGGTAGTAATTGCTGCGTACGCAAATGCTCGGTACTACAGTAGGCATTTCACTTAGACAATTTCGATGGCGCGGACTAAGTTAGTCTTCTATTGGTCTTTTATTCGGAGGAGTCAGAAGTTTGTGGGTGCTGAAAACCCAAAACTGAAAACCTCACGCTCGAAACGGTCACAATTCAGTTGCCCGACTGGGGGTTTTGCGAATATTTTACATAATGAAATACCTGGCGGACGCGCGAGGATTCCTTGTTCCTGTGTTGGTTGAGCCGAGTTCAATCCATCACTTTTTTAAAAAGAAAAACCAACTTCAAAAACCCATCAAACCCCCAACCATACCAACTACATTTCATTTCCATTCTCATATATTCACCATGGCAGTATTGAGTAAACCCATATATTCCATCACTATCCGCAATGGGGCTAAAGGTTCTGAACATTTCCTCGTGGACATACTCGATGAATTGAAAGGAGCTATCGGTTCCGAGGAGCGCGATGCTGCTGCCCGCTTGGAGGCTTGGAAGCTTGCCAATCTTACACGTGCCCAACGACTGGAATATCAGACTTTCTCCGAGGGGTTACAAAAGGCTCGCGGCGAGCTCATTACAGCGCAACGCAACGAACAGGCGATACAGGATTCCCAGCTTGCTTTGGTCCACCACCAGGAGGAGGAGCTTGAAAGGGCGACCAACACGACACTTGAGATACTGGAATCATACAGCGAAACCATTCGCTACTGCGAATATCAAGATCGTGGTCAACTTCCACAATTCCACCGAATGCTATGAATACGATCGGAAATTGATTTCAATCAATCAATGCTGCAATGGTCAATATTGCTGACACTCTTGTCTATTTTTTAAAAAGACCATTATTCGTACCATTCCATTTCTCAGGATCAAGCAAGCGAGAAAGTATTGGGCATAACACACTAGAGATTAGAAATAAATAAATAAATTTTAGGGGGTATCCATATTTACAAAAAAATATATGTTTCTCCTTTGACTATCCTGGCCAAGTCCTCATCTCGTCAACCTTTCATACCTTCCACCCGACAAATAAGTATGGCACGTTTCTCGTGATTTTGATCTAGATTGCTTATCAACATGAGGTATAATCATCAGACTAGAAGATGATTGAGCGCTTCACTGACTGATTGCCAGTCATAATGATGACAATTCGTCAATTGAAATGGATTGTGAGGGCTTTTTTCGTTCCCAAGTTCTGTGCTATTCCACCAACCATGTCCAGTTTCTTCATTGAAATGACCTGAGCAAGAGTTTTCTTCTTCTTTCCCCTGAAATATTGTCTTCCATAGCCTATCAGTTCCAATCGTTTGTGATAGAAACGAGCCAACGTATAAGCATTTTCGGGTGATTCGATCATGGCCTTGAGGCTGATACACGGAATCATCGTGTCCATTCCTTCCTCCTCCAAGATACCTTCATCGCCAAAGTGCAAATGACCACTCAAAAACAATACAATACTCTGACGAAATGGCCGGATTGTCTCCAGCAGGGCATGATAATCCCAAATCTCATCGGCAGGCTGGTGCGAACAGATAATGACCCTTTTGGCTGCTTTCGTTGCATCGTGTAACGATTGGCGCAAAAAGGCAAGTTGGACATTGCCCAAGGCCCCCGACAGGCTGCTTGGGGCGCACCCTAGATCATCCTTGTCTCTTTTGTCATGTTGTTCTTGGAAGTATTTCTTCATGCTGCGCGATTCCTTGTACAGCTTGCTTCCCTTGCAATGAGCAAAAGTGCTGTACTCGTTGGCATTCAGAACAATGAATCGACAGTAGTTGCCATAGTCAAAATGATAGTAGTTGGCGGGCATTCCCAGTCTATCTCTGACTTGAGCCTTTTCTGGTCCCAGAACCGAGAATTCATGATTTCCCAACACATGATACCACGGGAACGCGGAGGAGGAGGAGGACTCCTCTTCCATAATCTGGAGTGGCAGATCATAGCTCTCGAATCCTGTATCAATCAAATCTCCCAAACTAATCGCAAAGGCAGCACCATGTTGCTCAAAAGTTTGGATGGCTTCTTTCAAACGATCTGGAGTTTTGAGATAATGCCGACTTCTTGGATGAGACGGATTCCCTCTGATTTCCTTTCTGCCGTACAACAATGGATTGCAATATTGCATATCGGCAATCAAACCAAAGGTGAAAAGAGGACTCTCTGTTTCCCTTTCTTCCATTTTCTTGTTGTTGAGTGCATTTTGATTGCTGAATCATGCATGATATTCTACGCAGTTGAAGGCACGTCTAAAATTTGCGTTGGTGATGTTTGTGATGGGCCATTTTGAATTTGAAGTTCAAAAGAAAATTCAAAAAATCTGACATCATCGCGGACGAAGGTTGGACGTTAAATTTCCATTCCCAAAGCAGATCATATCCAAAATGCAAAAATGCATGCAAGCTTCCGTTCCACAACAACGCCACTTGGCATTCACCGTCGTTCTCTACTACACCTTGTAGTTGCCTCTTTGCCCTTATCTATACTAGGTTCTCCTTTTACACGCCACGCTGCAGCAGCTTTCTCCTCAACGCCTCCATCCGACATGAGCATTATACCGCCAAAGCAAGACTCTCCCTCCGCGCAGCGAAACAAAGAACCAATCTGGCAGTTCTTGTCGTCAGAGGTCCTCACGTCTCCAGGAAGTTCGAAAGACTACCGAGTCTTGGAAGTCGCTACAGGTGCTGGAGTTCACACCGACTACTTTGCCCCCAAATTTGCAGAGGCATTGAAAGACAAATCTTGCTCCTGGTATCCCTCCGATCCAGAACAAGAGTCCCTTGACTCAATCCAATGCTACATCAATGATGGTAATCTTGGATCCATTGTAAAGCCCCCGTGTGTTTTGACTCTTGATGAGAACGGAATCATGGAGAAGGAAACCACTGCATTGTTGGATGGACTTGAGATGGATTTGATGATTTGCATTAACATGATCCACATTTCACCTTGGGAAGCAACGCTAGGTTTGCTCCAGGAAGCATCCAAACGTCTTTCAGATACTGGTTGTCTCTACTGTTACGGCCCATATCGAGAGAATGGAACAGCAGTCGAGTCGAATATCAAATTCGAGGGTTGGCTAAAGTCAAAAGACGAGCGATTTGGATTGCGTGACTTGGAAAAGGTCGTCAATGTGGCCGAAGAAAATGGTCTCAAGCTAGTCAAGAAGATTGAGATGCCAGCAAACAACCTCAGTTTGGTATTTCAAAAGGCCAGTGCCGCCCAGAATTAGAAACCGAAGCATTCTCTTTGGTATTGAAGCCAAGAGCAGGTCTTGTAACGCGTAAGTCAAAAACGATAGTGAAGTTTTATCAGAATGTTCTACTTCTAATTCAGTTACTGCCCAATTACAGCTATAGCACTTGTTTTTTAGAGATTGACTCTCAAACCTCTCAGAGCTTACTCAGAGTCTATGATCCCAAGTATCAAAGATGCCTTTGCGCACCAAACCATCGCGATACGTCATCATTCCAGCTCCCTGACGAATGCCACCTTGAAAGTTGCCAGTATATCTGGATCCACTTTCATACATTTCCCAGCCCGTTCCGTTCAAGAGGCCCTTGTTCCTATGATATAGAGAGAATGAACTACATGTTAAAAATGCATGCTTCCAATTCACAAAAACAAGAGAACTCCACGAGTGATGCGTATCTGTGTATGTGTATGTTACTTACCAGGTTCCGCAGGCTGTCCGGATGACACTCAAACTCAGTTTGTCCTTCTTCTTGGCCCAAAAAGTACATCCGACACCTTGTGGTAAATCGTTAAAGACGCTGCCAATATAGAGTCGATCCCACCCATCCTTGGAATCCAAGACGAGAAATTCAATTCTCGCAGCAGTTGCTGGGAGAGCTACTTCTGCGTCTGCTACTAAATCACCAGGTTCTTGTGGTTCTCCTGGTTGATGATCAACCCCGACTCTATGTCCTAAAAAGGTTGGTTCGTTCCCGCTTCCACTCGCATTACTCGAGACTTTGGTGGTGAATGGAACCAAGAGCGAAATTGCCAAGGCAGCTTCGTACAGAATGGACGATGCATCATTGTTATTATTATCGTCGTCGTTGCCATCGGTACACCTTTCATAGATGCGAGTGGCGATTTCAAATGGATCTTGTCCGGCGGGATACTTATTCTGTTGTTGTTGCAGCAGCTGCATCATCTCGACCAGCATGGATACCAGTGTTCCAAGAATGACACACTTTTGAATGTCAAATCGAGCCAAACTCGTCTCTAATGCTTGAGACATGATGGTCTGAACTTTTGGACCTGTTTCATTGGACCCGCGCTCTGCAAAATCAGTCACAATAATGTCGCTTTCAGTGGGGCCGTCACCCCCCGCTTTGGGCTTCGGTTGGGTTTCTTCATCCTCCTCTATTCCGCCAATTTGCATTTCGGCAGTCGCGGCTGGGTCACTGTCGACAAAGTCCCATTCTTCGATTGCAGAAGGAGAAGTTTTAGGCATTACAGCTACGTTGGGCGCATGAGAAGAAGAAGCATTTAATGAAGCCTTTTGTCCTTTCAAACCTTTGTCCGATGGGGAGCGACTGGTGGCAAGGGAGGATATTGCTTGAACACTCGTCATGTCGGTCCCATCTGGACGCCTCAACGTCAGCAATGCAAGATCATTGGCATTTAGATCAGGATGAAGTCTAACGGCCTCCATTACTTCAGAGAATACAGCTTTTAACAACTCGAATTTTCTCTGGTTGCTCATGGCGGTGGAGGATTTGGATAAAATGCTGTTCATGATTTTGGGCAGAAGAAATTATATGAACACCACTCAGATGTTGAAAGGTTGCAACCATATTCCTAAAATAAAATATACCTTCAGTCGCGGATAGATTTTATGAATGATGAAGCAAATGGGGTTTTCAAACCGCTGCTACTAGAGTCTAGAAACTATTTTTAGCTCGAAGGTCTGCCCGACCGTAAAACTTTTTTAAAAAAAATATATTTTATTTTTATATATTATATAAAAACTCGGTTCTAATGTGTTTTGCACGTGTTTTAAAAAATTATTAGGACAGTGGTTTTACCGCGTTAAATTCTCACGAAACAAATGATTGACATTTAAAATTCCACGTATTTTTTTATAAAAAAATAGAATACCTTCTCGAAATTTGAAAATTTGAAAAATAAAAGGAGAAAGAGAGGAGATAAAATAAAGCCGCACACGTACGAAGGACGGACTGGAAACCCATTGAACAAGAATTCACTTGTTGTGACTTGATTCAAAACACCAGTACACCAGTAACAACTAACAAGTGAAGTCAGTCGTCATAGCGTAGACATTGTGTTTCACCACTGAATCAGCAACGAATACGACAGCATGAGCTCAAAGTCTTCTTCATCGAGTAATGGGGAATGGCTCAATCATTCTTCAACGGGAAAGAGAACAGTCTCGCCGTCACCATCCACATCACCAGCCAAATCGCCTTCATCGGCCAGTATATCATCCTTTCCCCAACGGAAGCAATCCGCCATGGAAGACTTGCCCCTGGACTGGACACGAATCAAGAGACGTCGAATGGAGTGCAGTATTGACTATAATCCACGCACTCTTATCAAATCTCCGTTGGTGGTTTCCGGCAACGAGAAAATTCATCACGGATATGCGATCTTTTGCCTCCACGATAGCACCGACCCTACCTGGTTTCAAGGGTACTTTTTGGAAACTGCATTGGGAAATTCTTCTACTATTGACGATGAAGATAGTAGCAACATGACAATGATTCAGAGTCGCAGCCGTCGCCCTTGGGGACTTTTGGCAACCAAAGAAGAAATCGATGAATGCATGGAATGCGAAAATGGAGGTTATCGCCGGATTACTGTCAAGGTATTTCATACTCCATCCTCCAATTCATCCTCACAATCGACTTCCATGAAAGGAATTGACTGGACGGGTGGGGATATGATGCGGTTGTCGAATGACAAGGTCGAAATGAATACCCAGCGTTTGTTGACTGGAAAGGACGCTCTTCCATACCTGAAACAGTATTTCATGGGGATGCTTCGGAAACTCCAACAAGCTTGTCAAGAGGATGATACGGTCAGGCACGACATAGACAAAGACAAAAACGAAACATCAAAAATGTTTGAACTCCTTCCTGACGTCGCCGTATTGGTTGGGAAAATGTCGATAGTATTGTCACAAGATGTCGACACTATGGGAGGAAGAGTGACAAAGAGCCTTTCCTTTTACGAAAAGAACAAAGAAGCGATCACGGAGACAAAGGCAAAGACTGGGGGTGATTTATGGGATGATTAGATCTGCGGTAATATCATATGGAATGACTAGATTACCATTCATTCAATGATTGATTCATTCTGTCGGATGGTGTCAGTAAATCGATGATTCTTCACAGTTACGAAAGATAGAAATAGATACTAGTTTTGCAATAGACATATAAAGCACGGGTGCCAATGGTAGGTCTTTCTACTGACATCTCGTTTTCCAGTATGAGTAGATCGGAACTTGCTACAGTATTTGGCAAGAACTATTTGGCAAGAGTAAAGTATACTTTTAACATTGCAATCGATATCTTAGATACAAAAGTGGAATGATTTTCTTTTTCTTGTGTTGCTGCCTTTTTTGTAAGCGCTTAGACGTAGCCCAAAACCTTGGCGACAACAGCAGCTCCAGCGACACCAACAACAGCAACGTATGGTCCAGCAACTCTGCTAAAGTACAAGAGGACACTCGTTTCCCCAATACTGTCGACCATGTATGCACATCGCCAGTTTCCTCCATGGAAGGAACCGTAAGAGAATAGTTGGTTTGGATTATTCAATTTGTTCTTTGGATTTCCAACACTCTTTGGATCATTAATATCCGAGAAGAGAATGGCAGTCATGACAGCATTCGAAGTCTCAGGAGCAAAGATTTCATAAGGTGTGAAATAAGGCATTCCTTCGTAGGCCCATGCAAAGGTTCTGTTTTGCACAACGGATTGAGTGGAAGTTGCTGGGGCAATGTTGGTTGACACAATACAACCCTTGCTTCTGGCAATAATCGCACGCCAATGCTGCATTCGCTTGGCCAAGATGTAGTTTGGTCCTTGGGCAACACTGATACCATTGACAAGGTAATAATCGCCACCCTCTCCAGCCGCTGGCTTTCTCATATTCTTCTTCAATAGCTTTCCATTACTCAACAGACGCATAATCATACCTACAAACATGGTAGAAAGGATTGAAAGTGAGCCGATAGTGATGAAATAGGACACCTGCTGTTCGTCATAAAAACTCCCAACAACTTACATAGAGGCTTGCTGTTGAACAACTTGTAGTTCTCGTTACTGGCCTTGTATACTTCTTCTGGCACGAGGTGCAAATCGGTTGGTGTACATAGGTAGGCAAGACTGGTTCCTTGGCGCTTTTCGCTGAGGTCCTTGGTGATGGCATCCATGGCAAGCGAAACTTGAACGTGAAGAGCACCATTCAAGTAGGCATAGCTTCCAACAGTAAAGGGCTTGCCCTTGTAAAGGTCCATCAACCAGTCACGGATCATTGGAGTATGAGTGAAAAGATTGCATCCCGCGTTGTCATACAATTCGTCCTCACTGAGTCCAGCTTGTGGCTTCTTGAGTGGGAATGTCATGGTACCGGTAGACTTCTTGGCCAATCCAATCAAGCGCTTCCAGATGAAAGGACGGTCCAAATCAATGGCAATGACATTGGCACCCAATGCCAACAAGACGTGAAGAGGTCCCATGGCAGATCCAGCTCCCAACAAGACAAAGTAACGGTCGGAAAGTTCGCACCACTTTGGGTTGTCGACGCATCCAATGATGGCTTCTCCAGCCGTGGGTTCGATGGTTCCGTAGTCGACCCACTTTTTGACTTGTGCCTTCAAGGCGTCTCCCTTGAGAATCTCTCCCTTGTAAGGAATCTCCAAACCACCGGCCTTTTCGGTAGCTTCTCCCTTGATAAAACCAGTGTCGAACTTTTCGGTATTCTTGACAGCCATGGCCTCCTTAAGACTGACGGCCGATCCATCGGGTGCGACAAATTCAAAGATTTCGTAGGCCTTGTCCAAACCAGCTTGGGCAATCTTCAAGGCATTTTCGGGCGATTTGCATTGTTCTTCCACAAGTGCAATCAAGTGCTTGGTGTAAGTGAAACGGTATCCCTTGGCCTTGCGAATGGCCTCGGCCTTTTCCGGATTGACGGCACCGACGGCAGCCGCAAGGATCTCCTTGTTGACTGGAGTGGAACCACGGGTTCCCTTCTCCTTGTCGTCAATGGGGAAACTAATTCCACGTGGTGGTGGAGGTGGTCTGGCGAATCGCTTCTTGAAGGCGGACTTACGGTTTCCGACCATGTTCATAATCATACCAGGGGATCCGACAAAGTAAATGGCGGGCAAAAGCGTTCCGTACACAAACGCAACGGCTCCACCCAAGAGTCCTCCGACAGAAGGATCGGCAGCGGCCTTGAAAAAGACAGTCAATTCTCCAGTAATTCCAGTGGGATACAAGACGGCAAACAGGGAGTATCGGGCCCAGAATAGAACGTAGGGAGTCTTTTTGGTAGAATCTCCCGTGACGATAGCAAAGGCATAAAACATGTAACGGAAAACTTCCACCAACGCCCAGGAGATGATCATGACACCAGCACCCCATTGGTCTGTGAAGATGGACAAACGAGAATGTTAGCAACAATTCGTTTCAACGACTTTTTCTTGCTTTTGAAATTGGAATTGGAATTGAAATTGAAATTGGAATTGGAATTGAAATAAACATAAACATAAACATACTTTGAGCATCCTCAGATTCATTGACGGCCCACAAGGCGGCGATTCTGGATCCCACTTGAAGAGCGGTAACAACAACAGGAGATCGGACCAATCCGACGGCAGCATGAATGATCTCCAATAGAGCAGCACTTTGCGAGTAGGTCAAGAAAGTAGCAAGACCTTCGGTGGAATAGACGCTAGCCAACGACTCCCACAAGCTACCTTCGCCCGAGATGACGGTGGAGACTGCCATTTTGAGAACAAGTGCCCATCCTGCACAGCAGAAGGCATTGTAAAGGATCAAATACATATCCTTGGGACCCATCTTTTGATCTTTCTTCCGTGATGAGTGAAATGCACAAGATTCTGAGTGAATGAGTGAGGTGACGCGGTTGCGAGACCAATTTCTTGTCACACCTCTTGGAGGGAGATACTTGTATGGTACGCAACATGCAACAATGCTGTGACGTACACTACCAAAGGTTCGAAGGTAGCACGTGGAATATCTTGCTGACGACGGAAGGACGCCTTTATCGTCTCCCTGTTATGTTGTCAGTTGCCCCTCCCCCACTTTGACCATTCAACATTTTCATTTGCTCTAAATTACTGTACTGTAATTATTTCCAAGACCATCTTTTTGTGGCAATCACACTACAGCAGTGTTTTGTTTTTCACAGTTCAATCCTTTTGCTCTCTTGTCAAGCCACCTCTACTACCACCACCTCCACCACCCCTCCACAAGGAATGACAAGAATGCGGGGACTTTTGCAGCTACTCGTACTATTGGGCATCACTAGCGCCTTTGCGGTGGATCAAAGCAAGTTTCGTACTTGTGACCAAACCAGCTTTTGCCGTCGCCATCGAGGGGAGCATTCGGCAGCCCTGTACAAGTACCGTCTTGATAAGGACTCGATTCACTTTCATCTTCCATCAGAAGTAGAGAAAAATGAGAAGGAAAAAGCAGCAGCTGCAGCAATGGACGAAGCCAAGAGACAAGCCAAGGGAGGTCTTTGGCAGTCGTTGAAGAAGGGAATTCTGGGAGGTTCAGAAGATGGAGACGGCAAGAAAGATCCATACTATCGAGGGACCACTCCAACATTGACAGGCCATTTGATCAATACTGCACCCAAAACATCTACTGGACATAAGGAAAGACTCGAGCTTTCACTTCATGGTACGTCTTTATTGCTGTCCTTGATTTTTCAGTATCATCATTCATTTCGCTCATTCCTATCTCACGCATTCTCTTTCTTTCATTTGCTACGCCTTTTTCCTAATCGATCCCGATTACTATTACTATTACTTTTCCTTTTAATTTTTACTGACAGCCATGTCACAAGGACTCCTCCGTCTTCGAATTACTGAAATCTATCAAGAGCATTCGGGTCCACACGAAAAGGCACGCGTGACCTATGACGAATTGGTCTTGGAGACGGACACCATGGAATCTGCCGAACATGCCCGATGGATCCAACCTGGAGACTCGTATTTGACCAAGATTGTTCCTTCTGCGGAAGCAGAAAACTACATGGGATTGCAATACGGTGACGAAGAGGGCAAGAGTGGCATGTTCCTGTTGATGCGAATGGATTCCTTTGCCGCCTACTTGTATCGGGAGGACAACTTGGAAGCTGGGCCCATTACCACCTTTGGTGAAAAACAAATGACGCATTTTGAAATCCGTCGATCCAAAACGCACGAGGATATTTCCGCATCCGCCGAGGATGAAAAGTCAGAAGACGAAAAGGACGACGAAGACGGCAAACCAGAAAAGGAGATTGTCGGGTACTGGGAAGATGGTCTTGCCATTTACGCCGATGGTACCCGAGAAGAACGCAAGGTGGAAGAAGAAGAAGAAGATCACCGCAAATTGACAGAGCTCGATTTGGATCGTGAGGGTCTTTGGGAAGAAAACTTTGAATCACACAAGGATTCGAAACCCCATGGGCCCATGAGTGTTGGTGCGGACATTACCTTTCCTGGATCATCGTTTGTTTATGGTCTTCCGGAGCATGCGTCCGCTACTCCCTTGAAGACCACTATTGGAGAAGGTGCAGGATACGAACATCCTTACCGTCTTTACAACTTGGACGTCTTTGAGTACGATTTGGATGTTCCAATGGCACTTTACGGAGCTGTTCCTTTGGTCGTGAGCCAAAGTCCAAAGACTGGAACCAATGGAGTATTCTGGCATAACCCAACCGAAACATTTGTTGACATTTTCGAGTCCGAAGATGGTAGCAAGTCAACCCATTGGATGAGTGAAAGTGGAATAATCGACCTCTTCTTTGTTCCAGGACCAGACCCAAAGACTTTCTACCATCAATATTCGCTCCTCACTGGCGTTGTTCCGCAACCACCCATGTTCAGTCTCGGATACCACCAATGTCGATGGAACTGTGAGTCTTTTATTCAAGTATTTTTATTACCTCTTTGAATGTGATTGTCTTGACTAATCCCGTTCTCTTCTCCAACCTGTTTTGTCCCACAGACAAGGACGAACAAGATGTTTACCAAGTTCACGGAAAGTTCGAAGAACTCGATTATCCATATGATGTCTTGTGGCTCGATATCGAACACACAGATGGAAAGCGGTACTTTACCTGGGACCATCATCTCTTTCCTCACCCAGAAAAAATGCAAGAAAAGTTGTGGTCACAAGGGCGACGAATGGTCACCATTGTGGATCCACATGTCAAGCGGGACGACCACTATTACATCCACAGTGAAGCTACTGCCAAGGGACTTTACATCAAGGACAAGGATGGAAAGAAGGACTTTGATGGATGGTGCTGGCCGGGATCCTCCTCCTATCTTGACTTTACAAATGCAAAGGCCCGTGACTGGTGGGCCGAGCAATTTGGGTATGACAACTACAAGGGATCCACTCCGTCTCTCTTCACCTGGAATGATATGAACGAACCATCGGTTTTCAACGGACCTGAAGTGTCTATGCAAAAGGATCTGAAAAATCTCGATGGAGATGAGCACCGTGAATGGCACAACCTTTATGGCATGCTCTTTCAACGATCCACAGCGGAGGGTCTGACCAAGAGAAATCCTGACCACAACATTCGTCCTTTTGTCTTGAGTCGAGCCTTCTTTGCGGGAAGTCAAAAGTACGGAGCCATCTGGACTGGTGACAATGCCGCACAATGGTCGCACTTGGAGATTGCAACGCCGATGCTTCTGAGTCTGAATGTTGGAGCACTGTCGTTTGTGGGTGCTGATGTTGGTGGATTCTTTGGCAACACTGATGCTGAATTGATGACTCGGTGGATGCAGGCTGGTGCCTACACACCATTCTTTCGTGGTCATGCTCACCACGATGCCAAACGCCGCGAGCCTTGGATGTTTGGGGAAGAGACCATGGTACGACTGCGCAAGGCTGCGATGGCACGTTACGCACTTTTACCATACTGGTACACTGTCTTCCGTGAAGCTGGACTGACTGGAATGCCTGTGATGAGGTAAGCATGAATAGGCTGTATCCAGATTGCAGCATGCTTGATTTTTGAAAAGGCTTACATTGTTGCCTCTTCTCCTATCAGAACCATGTGGATGCAATATCCTTCAACTGAATCCTTATACGGAGTTGACGATCAGTACTTGGTCGGTTCCGATCTCCTTGTGAAACCTGTGACCGCTCCCGACGTTGTTCAGACTACTGTCAAGTTCCCAACTGATGACATATGGTATGATGCTGAATCTTTGACCGAAGTGTCGAAGCAAGGAAGCACTGGTGGTGTCATGGAGATTACCGTTCCAAGTGATATCGATACCATCCCAGTTTTCCAACGAGGAGGCTCAATCATTCCCCGAAAATTGAGATTGCGCCGAAGTTCCCATATGATGTCCAATGATCCTTACACCTTGTTCGTGGCATTGGATGGATCACAAGTTGCTGTAGGAGACTTGTACATGGACGACGAAGTGTCTTTCAATCACGAAAAGAAGGAGGAGTATGTGATGGCGACGTTATCTGCTGCGATCAGTGATAATGCTGGTGTCATCAAGAACTCGGTTGAGGTCGGCAAAGGATGGGTAGGTTCTGAAACTGAGAGCTCATCGAGTCGATTGATTGAACGAATTGTCATGATGGGAGTCAAAGCTGCGCCTTCGAGTATTTCAGTTGGCAAAGAAGCGTTGGGTTTCACATATGATATGAGCTCCAATGTGCTTGTCATTCGAAAGCCTGATGTCCCAACAACAAGTGAGTGGGAAATCAGCATCATGTTCTAGTTTTGTTGCATTGGAAAAAATGTGCTGCACAAAATTATTTAGCCATGCTATAACTAGGCTCTCAAAACATTCAAATAGCAATATTGCCTCAAATTCTCGCTCGTCGAATCATCATCATCATGATGCCCCAGTGGTGGACGTACTTGCTTTTTCTGCATGAGCTTCAGGTTCGTTTGTTGGTTCAGCTACTTCAGTACTCGGAGTCATGTTCAATCTCAGCGCTTTCCGCTACTGTTCCTTCTTCTTCTTTCCCTTTGAAGTCCTTCAAATTTTCTGGTGTCTCGGCAGCTGGCGGCTCTGGGGGAATATCAGCTGGTGATTCTGGAGGAGGGCCAGTTGCCCGTTGTGGGGGAGAATCAGCTGGTGATTTCGGAGGGGCATCACTACTTTCTTCCACAGGGATTGGCTCGCCAGCATCATTAGTTCGAGCTTCCAAAGTGTTGGTAGCTGTTAATGACGTTGATACTGGAGCGCTGGTGTTGGTACCTTCCTGGCCGGTGAGTGTGGCAGCATGACTACTTTCCGGTCTGGGGGTCGTATTTTCGACTTTTTCCGATGATTGCTCCAGTTTCAAACTCAACAATGCATCTGCCACATTCCCCTCATCATCACTTTGCAGGCTAGTCACTTTTTTTTCATTCAGCAAGTCGGCCAAGATATTATCCACAATATCTTTCGCTTCATTGCGCACACTCAAGTCGATGAGAGCCCCCTCCGTCTGTTCCTTCATTGCTTCCGCACTTGCCTCGGCCGATATCTCTTGAAGTTGCTCCGTTGGTGAAGTTGGTATCGGTCCATTGTTTTGCGAAGTAATTGTCGTGTTGGTTTCGGGAGTCAAGATCTGCCTCTCTTGTGGAGTCTGTACCAGGTCAGTCGCTGGTATAACAGCAGCAGTGATTTGTTCAATGCTGGGAGGTGATGTGGTGGAAGTTCCTCCAAGATCTATCAAGAGACCCTCTTTTGGTACTCCAGTTTGACCTGCAACTTTGGATTCCTTTTCGTTCACCGCTTTAACTTCACCTTCACCACCACCAGCATTGGAGGAACCAGAGATCGCGGTTCTGTCACCATTGCTATGATCATCGCCGTGATTCTTCTCTCCTGAGACGTCGTCTAATTTTCGAGCCTCAAATTCAAGTTCCTTTATTCGATTCTGGTAGGCCAAGACCTCCAACTCGTTAGCCACCTTTTCACCTTCCAAATACACAATGTATGCATTGTCGTCCCCAAACTGTTTCCGGTCGTGCGACATTTTCGACGCATTCGCGGGAGTAGGAGTAGATGGAGGAGCAGCAGGAATACTCTTTTGTGGAGTGCTAATCGCAAGTGTGGAAGAAGTCATGTACCCTTGCAATTCCGGTTCGGGGATGGACGCATCTACCATAGCGTCCACCACATTTTCAATCTTTTCCTTCCAATTTTTTCGCTTTGGATCACCACCCACATTCATCTTTTCCATTCCATCTTCCTCGTCCTTGCGGGCCGCAATCCTATTTTCTCGAAAGTCCTTTAGTTTTTGTCGCAGGGTCCGAGGACTGGCAAAATCTGGTTTGGTGCTTCCGAATCCTTCAATTCGTTTCCTGGATGGGGAACTGGGACTCCAGTACGGATCGGCAGAACCGGGAACAGCTAGATTGGTATGATCCAAGTTGGAGGCGGTCTTCCGACGACTCCGGGGGGAGAGCAATTTTTTGCCGAGTTGTTTCAGGAGGCTATTGCGACGTCCACCATTGGTTCGTGGGGATCGTGGGGATCCAGAGTCTTGCCGATATTCTCCGTCCTTGTAGCCTCTACCATTATTGTGCAAGTCCTCACCATCACGATAAGACCCTTCTTTATTCTTGTAATCGCTGTTGTCTTGATCATGTATTGAATTATCAATAGATTTATTCTCATATTCATCATCATACCGACCCCATGGGCTGTCATCATTTTCTGACTCTTTTGAATGGTCTTCTTCGAAATCACTACCTGTATGATCCCCGTGGACTTCTTCGTGATCGCTACCTGGACTAGCATGTTCCTCGTCCTCCACATCATCAGCATCATGCTGAGCGTTGTTGTTGTCATCCTCACCACTATGTGAATGATCACTGTGTTCTTTTGGAACCAAGAAATCGTCGTCATCATCTGAATCTATCTCGTTGATTGGTTTCGATTCTTGCTCGTCATCATGATGGTCACCATCTCCATGAGAGTGACTATCAGCATATCCACCACCGCTTCCATTTTTTTCTACTATCAGCGATTCACCCTCTAGCTTTTCATCACTTTCCGCGCTTTTGCCTCGTATTCTTCTCACCAATTTGCGCTTGCTACGTCGGAGTGTGGTCCGAAGCGCTTGCCTTCGATCCAACGCACCTATGGGACCTCGTCGACGTGGAGCATGATCACGCTTCCGACCACCGGAGAGCGACAGGTTGTCCATTTCAGACATGGTGCCAATTCATTCGTTGGGTTGTAGTATTGACAACTAGCAACAAGTGAAGGGGGGTTCAGATGGAAGCCACTGAATTGAGAAGACTACTGTATTCTCCAATAACGCGTTCCCTGTTCTGATTCTTCAGGTATTAGAGGTGAGAACCAAGATTCCATTCAGTTTTTTTTTCTGATTTCGTTTCCGAGGGTTTCCTTCTCATTGAGCTCTTTTGGACGCCGGTCGGCTACGAGTGAGGAATTGTGCCAGTCCACAATGTCCGTCTCATGTCCGAAAACAGAGTCTGGACTCCAACCGTTCTGCGCCCGATTTACCGAGTGCCGATAGACGGACGAGGAACAAGGCGGAGGATTATTGATTGGCAACGACAAGTGACATTGCTCCTCTCTCTTCCCCGCATTGTCCATCCTCCTCGCTTCCCAGTTATATTCTTTCCATCAATTCTTTTACCTTCTACAAAACTTGCAGTCTACCAAGCATCCCGCACCCTATTTTATTCAAAAAACAAACTCAATCCACAGCGCATTCATCGCACTAAATATCTCTCAATCAATACACTATTGAGGTTCAGTTGCTACTAGTCAATTACTGCTACAACGACCATTCCAACAACAACAATAAGATGCCCAATCAACGTTTCCCAAAAGTTCAAATACTACACATTGCGCCACACGAAATCAAATTCATTTTGAGTGAGACCGATGTCAGTGTGGCCAATACCCTGCGACGTATCATGATAGCGGAGGTGCCCACCATGGCGATTGATCTGGTGGAGTTTCATGCGAATACGACTGTGTTAAATGATGAATATATTGCCCATCGACTGGGTCTGATTCCAATTCGGTATCAGCCACCGGAATCTATGAAGTAAGTAGTGGATTGTTGTTGTGGAAGTTGTTGGAGTCGGCGTTGGAGTTGTGTACTACATTGACAACGGGAACGCCCTTGATGCCAAGCTTGTTGAGGAATCCATTCGATCAACATCGGGACATTAGGAAACGAGTGTACACAACTCCAACGCCCTTGATGCCAAGCTTGTTGAGGAATCCATTCGATCAACATCGGGACATTAGGAAACGAGTGTATCACATGAATGGATCCATGGGTGGACGTTGTAATGACAAGTCTTGTTGATCTATATCCTTAGTGATGCCCCAGAAACCCTCCTCACTCTTTTCATTCCTTTCATTCCTTCCTCATTTGAACTACAACGGAATTTGCTAAACAAACAGAGGAGAAGACTGCAACGGTGCCTTTCTTCCTCACCGAGAATGTGTCTGTTACGAACGTTGTCCGCGATGTTCTGTGGAATTCGAACTCGATGTCAGCTTTGATGAAGTCAATCCGCTACGAGCCGAAGAAGAACTCATGGCCCCCCTTACCGTCTCTTCCCAAGACTTGAAAACGAATAACGAAAGTGTCATCCCTGCTCACTTTTTGAGTCAGGACGAACAGGATGAAGCCCAAGATGCTGGTGTGGCCATTGTCAAAATGGGGCCTGGACAAAAACTAAAACTCAAAGCAATTGCCCGGATGGGTACCGCCAGGGAACACGCCAAATGGAGTCCCGTTGCTGTAGCAACCTATCGATTCTGGCCTGTCATTACCATTAATGAAGAACAAGTGGCCACACTCACCATGGAACAAAAACAAGAACTAGTGGACATTTGTCCCGACCGGATATTGGAAATCGATGACTTGACGGGATCTATCAAGGCAGTCGAGAATGCTTGGGAACTTTCCACCTACACAGAAGATATCAAGTTCCATCAAGATTCCCTCAAGAAACGAAAAGAAGATGATGACTTTGTGCGAATCGAACACTCGGCTGACAAGTTTATCTTTACGGTCGAATCGACAGGGGTTATGGATGCAGACGAAATTGTAATGTCCTCGCTGCGAGTCCTAAAGGATCGATTGAATCACTTGGCACAAGAGGTAGAAAACTTGAAGGATATGTAAATACTGCAGTTGAATGTCACAGCAATTCGGAAGGGAGGATGGGTTGGTGGTGGTGAACGGCTTGATTGATTCAATAAGATTGATTCATTCATTCACATCCTTTTGCGACCATCATGAAGTAAAGGACGAAGTGTTGGTACCGGCCCGGCATTGCTATTTGACAGTCGTCGAGCGTGAAATCTTTGGGGAAGAAATCATTAATAATCCAGAAAATTTCTTGCGCGAGCTCTTTTACCTAGTTACAATGTGTAGACTTCAAGCTCAGGATGCGGGTTGCTCTGTCTCTGTCTTTACGACTTGCTATCTTGAATCTGTGTGAGCCCATCCGGGATTGACTCGTTCGACCAAAACTCTGCGGTTTTCGTCATTCCGTCATTCTCACTTGGACACTTTCAACAACTTCATACAGGTAGGAGGAATTTAACTCGTGCATTCTAGGATCAGCATTGATCCAGATTGACTCGTTCCATCACACTTGTTCATCTTCCACAAAGGGAGTAGTAATACAGAACTATGGCCGAAGAGGATGGTGCAGAAATGGAAACCCTGACATCACCTGATGGAAGGCGAAGAGACCGAAACAATGATCAACGACGACGTGGATTGGGTGGCCTAGGAAGAGGAGGTCGTCGTCGTCGAGGCAATGGTGATGATCGCAGCAATTTAAATGAAGAAGAGCAGCGTCGAATCCGAAAATGGGGACCTCGAGGAGTCATGAGAAGAATACGAGGCAAAGGGATTCCAGGACAAGAAGGTGAAAAACCAGAAGGTGAATCTCTGTTGACTGATAATGGAGACGGTGGATTTTACGATAATGACCCGTATGGAGATATGGATTATGACGAAGAAGAGTCGAGGCCTATTACTGATCTGGGTGACGATGGCGAGGACGATAATTTCTTGGACCCTGAAGGGTACATTGATTATTCTCAGAATGATGATGAAGAGGACGATGAAGAAGTCTGCGGCGGCGAGGAGGATGAGGATGAATCTGAAGAAGAGAATGACGACGAGGATGAGGAAGATGATGATGGTGAATACGAGGAAGCTGGAACTGGCGAAGCCGGTCAATCGGGTCGTTATGATGATGAATATGGAGATTCCTCGTATCGTGATGGAGGAGGAGGCTCATATCACGACGGTGGAGGCTACAGCAATAATGGGGGATCGTATCGCGATGGAGAAGAATCTAACGACCGAGGAGGCTACACTGATGGTGATGGCGAATATCGCCAAGACTATGATGGCTCTTCTCGCGGACGAGGAAACAGAAGTCGTGGTCGACCTCGTAATCCCCTTTTACGACAGCTCAGCAAGATTCGACGACCCGGACGCAGGGGTCGCGGTCGTAACTCTTCCTCGTCTAACTTGGATCATACCAATCTGATTCGTTCTGATGTTTCTGATCCCTACTGGAACTCAAACGCTAACGTCAGCGGGCGGATTGAAGGATTTGGAAGTAAACCCGAAATCGAACAGCATCGCAACTTGCGCCAAATGCTAAAGAACTTTAGGGACAAGCGGATTGCAACTCACAAGGGCGAAACTGGAATGAAAAGAATGAGCATGGGCGGCGATCCGTTGAAGAAAAAGAACTGGATAGAACGAATTGATAATGCGCTTGATAACTTGGCCGATGCCGCGCTGACGCATCCTGGATTTGAAGGCTACATGTCGTCTACCGCACGAACGGTCACCACCCAGAAAAAGAGCACGTCGACTAATAATGCGAAGCAGTCCTACTTGCGAGGCCAATTTGGTGACGACAATGCTTATATCATCTATCTGGAAGGTGAAAAGGTGGCCACCGAGTTGGAAGTCATTTCCTACAGGAACCGCATCAAGGAGCTTGAGGCTCAAATTCGAAAGCTGAAAGGAATCGAAGACGGAGGTGATGGTGATAGTAGTAACAGCGACAGTAGCAACGCTTCAGATTACTCTGATGGCGGAGGAAAAGACGAGAAGGAATCAGAAATCGAATGGCAAACTGGAGTGCCAGAAGAGGGTGTTTTGATTGATATTGAAGGAACTACGACAGCTCCTAGCAATGAAAAAGATACTTCGCCGGCAGCAGTTGCTAATTTACTGGAAACCCCACCAGACGGGCAGATTAGAGAAAAGATAGTTCAGACCAGTAAAGCACCAAGCAAAGCAGTATTGATGGGTTCACCAGCAAAGAAGCAGATTTACCAGAAGAAGGCAGCGGGGACTAACAAGGAAACATCAACGGGACAAACCAAGGGTGCTCTCGTTGACTTGAGTGTACGCGACGAGGCCAAAGACATTGTTGATAGTATCTTGGCTGGCTTGTTGAATGACACAAAAGTGACTAGCCTTCTTGACGAGGATGAGGAAGAGGAAGTGGCGGAATCATTGTTGAGTTTGAAACTGGATTCACCAGCTGACCAATCTGAGACTGTTGTACCTGAAGCACAGAATACCCACTCTACCACATCGATCGGCCAAGAAAATACGGATGCGGCCGAACCAGCTGTTGATTTGCTTCCAGAACCGCCAGCGGAGGCTCCTCCAGAACCACCAACTGACACCGAGGAGGCACCTGAAGCAACGCCAAATGCGGAATCAACGAAACCAACTGGTGCTCCTCCAGAACCGCCGGCCGACGCTGAGGAGGCACCTGAAGCAACGAACAACACGGGATCAACGACTACAGCAGAAGCCAAATCGGAAGAGTAATTATATCTAGATTATTGGAATAGAAAATTCTCTGCTGGAGCAACTTTTGCTAGTTCTCATGCCCAGGATGGTGACGGAGCAGTAAAGCTCTTGTTCTCTTCTTCCATCTCTCCACCAAATAAGGTGTATTGAAACGCATGGAGCCAGATTCCACTGCTTCGAATCAGAAACTCAAGAGTTGCTCGATCCGTTCCTCCCATACCTGATCGAGCGCACCAGACACAAGTTCGTTTGATAAAGTCGTGAATGGACTCAGCCTCGGTCTGGATTGCTTGGCAAATACCCTTTTGGATCTCTTCTTCGGTTGCTGGTTTGTCAATGGTTTGCTGTGCACGGGCATCTTCTTTTGTCATTTCATCTAATGACATGTCTGGATCCTGTGTTGCTTGTTGCTGCTCTTGTTGAATGTCATCCAATCTTGCTTGCGCTTCTCGACAGGCTTCCTTGCCCCCTTCATTAGCATACCACATGTCACCGCCGTAATTAGGATCGTTGGCAATGGGATGCCCCACATGTTGCAAGTGTAGCCGAATTTGATGCGTCCTGCCAGTGGCTGGACGACAGATGATCACTGTTGAATCAGTGGCTTCGTCATAGCGAATCACTCCAAACGAAGTCGCTGCTGGTTTCACCGTTTTGTGATACAAGGCATTCTCCAATTCGTCAAAGGGACCAGCTTCGCAGACTCCATCCTTGGGTTTGGCAATGCGCGTTGGGCAAGCCAAATGGAACCAAAAGCGACGGCTCTCGGTATCCTTCAAAGGCTTTAACCAGTCCTTATCGCTCCTTTGATTGTCAAAGATATTTTGTAATGTGACATTATTGGCAACCGTTCCATCTTCATTGGCAACCCACCATAAATGAGCGTTCTGTTTTCGTGCCTCATTTGCCAGTACTGCAATTTCTTCATTGCTGAGATTGCTCTTGTTTTTCTTGTTCTTCGTGCTGCCTGCTCCCTCCCCGTGTTGAGATGCTTCCTCGCCATCTCCTTCTTCCTTCCATTCCCCGTTGACTGGTGGTTTCCTAATATTTTCAGCAAGCTTCCAATCAGGGGGACAATTTAATGGAAACTTTCCCTTCACTCTTGCCAAATACACCTTTTGGCATTTGCGGTTCATGATGGCTTTGCCCCATTCTTGGGCAATCGGTGAAGTCTTTCCCAAAATGACCAGGCCACTTGTCAATCGATCCAATCGGTGAATGGTGTACAATTTGCCAAATTGGGATTCCAGTAAATTCATGAGCGATTGCACGTGGTAGCCACCACAGGGATGAATCGGAAGCGTACCAGGCTTGTCAACGACCAAGATTTCGGGAGTGTCTTGGACAATCGTTACATGGGGTGCTTCATTAGAGTAAACTGCCACGGCTGGCTCGTGCCGATGCACAGTATGAGTGAGTACGTCACCTCCCTTGATTACAAAGGAAGTATCCACTTTCTTGTCGGATACCAATATCCGACCTTGTTGAATGGCACTCTCGTAGTAACTCTTGGGGTAGGATCCAAATTCTGTGGCATAGACATCCAAGACAGTTCGTCCTACCCAACGAGCCTTGGCAAAAGTCGAAAAAGTATAAGGATAGGGTTCGACGGTTCGCAACCATTGGACAGCTGAATCTTGGACGGGTTTCCCATCAATAGTTAGCTGATGAACTCGGGTAGTGTGTTGCACATCTTCTCCCAAAGAATGGACTTCCGAACGAGGTCGTTTTCTATTACGCTTGCTCCTAGGTTTCATACCACGCTTTTTGGATCTCTGAGGGTTGTTGTCGTCGTCGTCCACCATATGTTTCTTCTCAACATCTGCTTCATTGCTCTTCAAATCAACTTTTACAGCTTTCGTTGGATCGTTTGGATTTGGTCCTCCTGAAGCTGAAGATTCTGTTGATGTCGGCGTCTTACTGCCGCTGGTGATCAGCTCGGTGCTTTTCCTGGTATCCATGGTATTTGTTTCGCTTGCATCTATTGGCGTTGGCTATGCTGAGAAAAAGGAGTTTCTATGACATGATGTTTCCACCCTAGAGTGGTTTTTGGTTGACAGTTTATTCGTGCTAGTCAACCCATCATGGTCTTTTCGTTGCGTCGCGCGATACGCACGACCTTTTTCGAGAAGACGACCAACTCATCATCGTTTCTGCGTTCAACTTGCATTTCTATGCGAACTCAAGCTACAGGTCTGACATATATTATCGTGGTCTATCATCCTTTTGTTAGATTGAATTGTATTGTTATTCCTTGATCAGATAATACAGAGAGTTTGATACTCATAAACGAGACTGGAGCCAGTGAAACAAAAAGAAAGACAAAAACCAAATCTCCACATTCTTCGGAAGATTTATTTCAAAATGGCCTCCCCCATCTCGTCCATGATACAAAAGGGACTTCCCGCTGTCACAAATGCAGCCCACAATCAATATGCTCCGGCTGGAAAGTGGATCTTGGGTACCGCTGCTTCCGTTGTTGGTATGATTCACGTGGGAGGTGTCACCCGATTGACCAAATCGGGACTCAGCATGACGGATTGGAGTCCACTCGGCAGTTTGCCACCAATTACCCAAGAAGAGTGGGAGACTGAATTTGCTCGCTACAAGACTTATCCCGAATGGCAGCAACGAAAGAGCATGACGCTGTCCGACTTTAAATTCATTTATGGTTGGGAATATGGCCATCGTATGTTGGGAAGAACTGTGGGATTGATCTTTGCTCTTCCTTGGATGTACTTTACGGCTCGCGGAAGAATTCCACAGGGCTACCAAAAGCGGATGGTGGGTCTTTTGGCCATGGGAGGAACCCAAGGTCTTGTTGGATGGTGGATGGTCAAGTCTGGTTTGGGAAACGACCGACGGGATGACAAGCACGAGATTCGAGTCAAGCCAATTCGTCTTGCCACTCACTTGTCCATGGCGGTGGCTACTTATGGAGCTTTGGTTTGGACTGGCTTCGATATATTGGGATTGCCACACCAAGTAAAGATCAAGGAAGAGGCAATGAAGCTATCCAAGGATGCACTCAAGCAAGCTAGACGTCTGCGAATGGGAAGTCTTCACTTGACTGCACTAACTGGATTCACGATTGTCAGCGGTGCATTTGTTGCCGGAAATGATGCCGGAAAGTAAGTCGATCTATGGAATGAACAATCGCCTTGCTATGGATCTGCAATATGACTAACGTTATTCCTTCTTCTCGACTCAACAGTGCTTACAATACCTTTCCAAAGATGGGCGATGAATGGGTTCCAACTGGAATTTCCGAGCTAACCCCCTGGTACCGAAATATTCACGAAAATACTGCTACTGTACAATTCAACCACAGAATATTGGGTATGACCACCGCAGGTGGAGCCTTTGCACTTGCTGCAATGGGACTTTCCCCTTCGAAAGCTGCCCTTGTGACTCCCCAAGTCCGCAGAGGATTGTATGCCGTTGGTTTGGTGGCGGCTGGCCAAGTCACTCTGGGAATCTCTACTCTCCTCATGTATGTTCCTCTTTCGTTCGCTGCGGCGCATCAATTGGGAAGTATTGCAGTGTTGACCAGTGGTGTCTATTTGACACATTCCTTGCGCTATGCCCGACCAGCTTTGACACGTGCAGCAGCGGCCCAATCTGCCAATGCTAGCAAGAAGGTTGCCGGCGCCGTTGTAGCTTAATTAATTTTAAAATGATTTAACACTATTCCAACCTGCGATATTAACAAGTAGTGTTGTGCAGTTGTTGATCACCTCTGATTTGGGTAATAGAAATCTGCACATGACCACGTTGATATTTGTGAAAGCATTAGTATAGTAAAATGATATGCTCTAATGGATACGACCATACCAACATGACAGCACCGCTTCCCGTCCGCTCAGCGAAGTTAAGCATGTTCGGGCCTGGTTAGTACTACGGTGGGGGACCACGTTGGAATCCCAGGTGTTGTATTCTTTTGCCCAAAAAAAAAGAACTTTTCCTGGCACTCTTTTCCACAGTTTTCATGCTGCCCCACCTATTCCCACTTGAGGAGGTTTGGTTGTTGTCGATTGCAATGGTGTTGTTTTTAGGTTTAGACTTCACCTTGAACGATCATGCACACCTTTGGAAATTGTCTGCTTAGCATGGTGACTTTCTTTGACTTAGAAGCATTTTTTTCACTCTTCCTGGCACTCTTTTGCACAGTTTTCATTCTGCCCCACCTATTCCCACTTGAGGAGGTTTGGTTGTTGTCGATTGCGATGGTGTTGGTGTTAGGTTTCGACTTCACCTTGAACGATCATGGCACACCTTTGGAAATTGTCTGCTTAGCATGGTGACTTTCTTTGACTTCCTCATTACTATTTTCTTCTTCACTGCCAGAGGTTCCATTCTTTACAGCTTATCTGATATGCAGAGCAACAACTGACTTTTAAGTACTCGTACCAGGTACGGTGCTTGTGCGAGTGTTCATCTCAGATCTATTTTGGTCAATATTCACAGTTGGGGGGATGAAATACCCCAAATGGATCCCCCATAGTTTCAATTCGCAACGTCAGTCATGCCGAGTCAGTTCCTATCGATCCACACCTGACACTTGATGGATCGCATCCGACATCTCAATCAATCTGACTCTTCGTACTGCCGTGTTCTCTTTTTGCTGATCTAGCACTAGGAAGTACATTTGACAAAACACTGCCAGCAGCAATCTATAGGGTATCATAGTCTTCTCCCACTCTTCTCTCTTCCTACTACCCCACTCAAATCTACAGCCAAACAACAACATGTTTGTACGATCCACCATTCTTGCCCTGTTGGTTGGCACCTCTGTGGCCTTTGTTCCATCGGGACAAACCAGATCCAATACTCAATTGCAAATGTCCCAAATGGATGACAGGAGATCCTTCGTCACCAAGGCAAGTTTCAGCTGCGATGCCCTGGAGATCTTTTCAGATTCCTTGATGTAGAATACTCACATATGTTTTCTTTTGTCAACTTCTTTTTTGCAGTCTGGAACTGCTGCTGCTGCCGCCGCTTTGGCCACTGCCACAACCACTGTCGCCCCACAAACTGCCAGTGCTGCCGCCTCCAAACTATGGACTGCGGTTGACCTTCCTTTCACAGATACGCTATACGATATCGACTTTGACACGTAAGTGCCAGATAGAACCTGATGAATCGCACAATAGATTTGTGACTTTGGAAGACTCATATTGTCGTCATCATCATCGTCGCCTTTTTTTCCTCCATATTTGCAGTGAAAACCACGGATACCTTGTTGGATCCCGTGGATCCTTTGCCGAGACCAACGACGGTGGTGTCACTTGGGAAGCCCGGTCATTCTCCAACTTGGATGCCGAGGAGGAAGTCACTTACCGTTTCACTGTTTCGTCGTTCACCGATGGCGAAGGTTGGGTTTTGGGAAAGCCAACTCTGATGTTGCACACCAAGGATTCTGGAAAGACCTGGGAACGTATCCCTCTTTCCCCCAAGCTTCCTGGAGAACCAACTTCCATCACCTGTTTGGGACCTGGAAAGGCTGAAATGACAACTTCTTCTGGAGCTATTTACACTACTGAAAATGCCGGAAGAAACTGGAAGGCACAAGTTAAGGAGACCATTGATGCTACCCTGAATAGAATCAGTAGTAGTGGTGTAAGTGGAGCTTCTTACTTCACTGGTAACATTATCAACCAAGTGCGTGACGATGATGGTGCCTACTTGGCCGTTTCCAGTCGTGGTAACTTCTTCCTTACCTGGGAACCTGGTAATGATTTCTGGATTCCACATAACAGAGGAACTCCCCGTCGTATCCAAAACATGGGATTCGTTGATGGTGATATCAAGAAGGGTCTCTGGATGACCTTGAATGGAGGAAAGCTTCTCATCTGCAAGGATTCTACATCTTTGTCGGCTGACACCTTCGACTTCAAGGAAGCCAATATCAAGACTGGAGGATACGGAATTACCGATGTTGCATGGAGGAACAGCGACGAGGTCTGGGCTGTGGGAGGCTCCAACACCATGTACGTCAGTAAAGATGGAGGAACCAATTTCTCCTTCGACAAGAGTGCCAACAACATCCCAGGAAACTTGTACAATGTCAAGTTCTTCAAGGAATTTGGAAACAAGGGTTTCGCTCTTGGAAGCAACGGACTGTTGCTTCGATACACTGGATAAGCTTATTGAAAAATTCAGTAATAATAAATGCTAAGACTACATAAAAAGCTTTGAAAAATGAAAAATGTATGATCTGGAAAATCTAATTGAGTTGAAGATGTTCCGTTGATGATTAGACGTTAGAGAAAGCGAGGATGAAGGCGTGTCTAGTATTTAGTCTATGCTCTGTATTATTACAGCTGGATTTGTATGTTTTAAGTTGTGGGTGTGTGGTATTCGGAACCAGTACAAGTGCTGCATGTTTTTTAAAATACACATTGCGGCAGTAATAGCAGTGTTGGAGTCGCTGTGCGTCGTTGCAGTCACTTGGTTCTCAGAAGCCAAACTATTTTGCTTCTCAACTTTGTGGGTTTTGTTTGGAGTTGGTGATATGTTTGTGCCATTGGAACCTTTCAATTCATGCGTGAAGTCACATCATAATCTTCGACAAAGCCTTTTTTGTTCCATAGACGAACATTGTTTCCAAACATTCGTGACTTTGTAAGCCCTGTCTTGCGGAAGCTCTTGTCTCCCTTTTGTACAATAAGTCGGTGGGTGTCTTTGCCATCGGATTCCCAGTATATCTGTGTTGGAGAGACTTCGGAACACAATAGTTCGTATGCTTTTTCTTTCAATGATTCTGGTGCCCAAAATGGAGCGTCAAATGACAAGCCAACATGTTCCTTCTTCAAAACCAATCCTGGCATTACTGGACCACAGAGGACATCATGGGTCAACATTTCCATTTGGCTTGCTACGTACAATAACTGCAATGCAAGATTGACAATGTTGGCACAGTGTTTGTCGGCAATACAGAGCTTTCGGCCTGACATGGTGATACTTACGGCAGCGAATAGAGAGCCGAGAATGACTCCAACAGCAAAGATGGGCCCCAATCGAAACGAGCTTCTAACCTTTTTGGAATCAGAGAGAAAATCTGGCTTTCGAAGCATTCCATCATTCAATTGTCCATGTAAACGATCTGCTTCTAGATTTGCTTTGAGTACTTCACGGCATAGGTCGTCACATTGACTGGCATGTGCCTTTTTCAAAGCTGCAATTCTGTTTTCAGTATCAGAAAGTTCCTTGGCATGTTTTGACCGTTCTTCTGCTAAAACGTGATTTTGTTCTGCTTTGTGTTCTTCTTGGAGCTGTTTTGATTGCTCCAGCTCTTTCTGTGCAAGAACCCAATGGTGCTCCAGGAATTCCTTCCTAACTTTGTCCTCTTCGCGGAGTGCATTGCGTTTCTTCAGTTCTTTTGCTAGCTTGAGAAGACTATATCAATGAAAAGCAAAATGTTGCATTGTATCAGTATTGTCCAAAACAAGCCAAAGCCGAACCATCATATCCATACAAGCAAAACTCACTTTTTTTCCTTCTTTTTTCGTCTGTCTTTCTCATCGACAAGTTGTTGTTCCCTTTCTTTGAGGAGCTGGTTTAAGCGAGCGACCTTGGTCAACAACTCTTCACGAGATCGGTCGTAATCCAGTTCCGCTTCCTTCTTTTCCTCCTCATCCATAGAAAAGGATACATTCTTCTTCAGACTCAGTGTGGACTGAGGACTCAGGAGTGCGGATGACGCCATGCTTGTATTCATCAAGATGTCCATCGTTTGCATCAAATCCTCCTCACTACCCTCATCTTCATAGAACGACATGGTGCAACTATTTCCAACCTCTTGGGGCTTATCGATGTACTGGTATGTACCAAAGAGCTGTGGAAGGAGCAACAATGGAATGCCAATCAGTGCAAAGTTTGAATATTTCTGTGCGAAATATTTCGCTCAGCTGTTAGATCCTATGACGTCACAAGCGGGCGATGGACGAGCTGTCGTTCGTGACTCGCGAAACGTGCTTGTACTGTAGGAAGGGTTTATTGGGGAAAAGGCAGATACTCAATTGGTCGAGGAGGTGGCATTTGAAGTATTTAATTAGGGAACTCACAGAGATGACACAGTACTCAACCGTAGATTCTCTACGTATCTCTACCAATTTATGCTCAAAACAGTAGAAACCTACATCACAGCAAGGATTTCAGCAAAGTATCGGTAAACCAAGATGGGTTGGAAACATAACGCGACTATTCAAATTACGGATTTTGCGCAAGTTTTTTTTCGACAGTGACAACGAACACAACACAATGAGAGGAATAACAACATCGCATCATAGATAAACCAATAGATACACAGTTCGAATTCCTTCCTTATACATACTACCGAAAATATGGGGACGTTCTGTAGCCCTGGATGCCAACTTCATCTGACGAATGGCTTGTAAATGAAAAAATCCTTGATGGAAAGTTTTGCAATACATCCATGCTTCTGCTTCACTGTTTTCTATCAATTGCACCCGATATTCGTAGCACAACTTAATTGTAGAGGCTTTTTACTCATGCGATAGTTTTTCCCAGTTAGTTCGACCAGCTGGGACGAGAAGGAGTGGCTTCTTGTCTCATGGTGTGTTTGTTGATGCTAGCTATTCAATATCGATATTGTTGACTAGTCGGACCCATGCGTGAGAAGAGCAACAGTGGAAAGACTACTGCTATTTCTGTCGAATTCGCTGTCTTTCCCTATCTATTTCTGTCGAGATCTCTACATGCAGGCTTGTAGAATGATGGTGTTGTGATTGGTGGGTACGGTTTTTACCCATAAAGGCTCCCCCCAGATCACAACTAGATTTGAAAACTGTAACTAGTTTCATTGGTTGGATATTTTGTTTTGCGATACCGCGATCACCGCAAAAGAACTCTTGAAAACCTCCTTCTTTTTTTCTTCTTCCTCTTCCTTTCCCCCCTCCTTTTCTGCCCCTTCCCCCCCCTAAGCCGTAGGAAGGGTTTATTGGGGAAAAGGCAGATACTCAATTGGTCGAGGAGGTGGCATTTGAAGTATTTAATTAGGGAACTCACAGAGATGACACAGTACTCAACCGTAGATTCTCTACGTATCTCTACCAATTTATGCTCAAAACAGTAGAA